GAGCAGTTCAAGGAGGAGCTTCTCTCCCGCAACGTTCGCCGTATCACTTTCATCTGCGGTCGCAACGACGGCTCGTACCCCGGCTACTACACCTTCCGTGGCCCCGAGTACATCGAGGATGACAGCATTCGTCACAGTGAGCCTGCTCTTGCCTTCCAGCTTGAGCTCGGTCGTCTGGCCAAGTTCCACATCAAGCCGGTCTTCACTGAGAACAAGAACATCCACGTTTACGAGGGTATTGGCAAGGCTGTCGACGGCGACAAGCGTTACTTCACTCGCGCTGTCATCCGTCCCGGTCGTCTCCGTGATGAGATACCTACTGCCGAGTACCTGATCTCTGAGGCTGACCGTGTCATTAATGACATCTTCGACGCTCTTGAGATTATCGGCAACAACAATTCCGACTTGAACCAGATCTTCATCAACTTCACTCCCGTCTTCCAGCTCCACCCCTCCGAGGTCGAGAGCAGTCTTCAGGGCTTCTTGGACCGCTTCGGTGCCCGTGCCTGGCGCCTTCGTGTCGCTCAGGTCGAGATCCGTATCATCTGCACCGACCCCCAGACCGGCGTTCCCTACCCTCTGCGTGTCATCATCACCAACACCTCTGGATACGTTGTTGATGTCGACATCTACGCCGAGCGCAAGTCCGAGAAGGGTGAGTGGGTCTTCAACAGCATCGGCGGTACTAAGGAGAAGGGCCCCATGCACTTGCTGCCCGTGTCGACTCCTTACGCTACCAAGAACCCTCTCCAGCCCAAGCGTTACAAGGCTCATCTCATGGGCACTCAGTACGTGTACGACTTCCCCGAGCTCTTCCGCCAGGCCATCCAGAACAGCTGGACCCAGTCGGTCAAGAAGCACGGTGCTCTTGGCGCCCAGCAGCCCAAGAGCGGAGAGTGCATCTCGTACACCGAGCTCGTCCTCGATGACAAGGATAACCTCCAGGAAGTCAACCGCGAGCCCGGTACCAACACCTGCGGTATGGTTGGTTGGATCTTCAACGCCAAGACCCCCGAGTACCCCAAGGGTCGCAAGTTCATCGTCGTCGCCAACGATATCACCTACATGATCGGTTCGTTCGGCCCGAAGGAGGACAACTTCTTCTACAAGTGCACCGAGCTCGCTCGCAAGCTCGGCATTCCCCGTATCTACCTGTCGGCCAACTCTGGTGCTCGTCTCGGCGTTGCCAACGAGCTCATGCCTTACTTCAAGGTTGCGTGGAACGACGCCAACAAGCAGGACGGTGGTTTCAAGTACTTGTACCTCGACGAGGACGCCAAGAAGCGCTTTGCCAAGGACGTCATCACCGAGGAGGTCTCCGAGGATGGTGAGAAGCGCCACAAGATTGTCACCATCATTGGTTCCGAGGATGGCCTTGGTGTCGAGTGCTTGAGAGGCTCCGGTCTCATTGCTGGTGCCACCAGCAAGGCCTATAACGACATCTTCACCGTCACCTTGGTGACGTGCCGCTCTGTCGGTAAGTAGTTCAACATTCCCGTGTCACAACTTGTACTAACTTTGTAACAGGTATCGGTGCGTACCTTGTCCGTCTCGGACAGCGTGCCGTCCAGATTGAGGGTCAGCCTATCATCCTGACTGGTGCTCCTGCCCTGAACAACGTTCTCGGCCGTGAGATCTACACCTCCAACCTTCAGCTTGGTGGCACTCAGATCATGTACCGCAACGGTGTCTCCCACATGACTGGTACCGACGACTTTGACGGTGTCTCCAAGATTGTTGAGTGGATGTCGTTCGTCCCCGAGAAGCGCGGCAGCCCCATCCCCGTCAGCCCCAGTGTTGACTCCTGGGATCGTGACGTCGTCTACACGCCTCCCCAGAAGCAGCCCTACGATGTCAGGTGGATGATCGGTGGTCGCACTGACGAGGACGGCAGCTTCGAGCCTGGTCTGTTCGACAAGGACTCCTTCGTCGAGACTCTCGGAGGCTGGGCTCGCACTGTTGTTGTCGGTCGTGCTCGTCTCAGCGGCATCCCCATGGGTGTCATCGCCGTTGAGACTCGCTCCGTCGAGAACATCACCCCTGCCGACCCTGCCAACCCCGACTCCATCGAGCAGGTCACCAACGAGGCAGGTGGTGTGTGGTACCCCAACTCCGCCTTCAAGACCGCCCAGGCCATCAACGACTTCAACAACGGTGAACAGCTGCCTCTCATGATCCTCGCCAACTGGAGAGGTTTCTCCGGTGGTCAGCGCGACATGTACAACGAGGTTCTCAAGTACGGTTCTTACATCGTCGACGCCCTCGTCAAGTACGAGCAGCCCATCTTCGTCTACATTCCCCCCTTCGGTGAACTCCGTGGTGGTTCCTGGGTCGTCGTTGACCCTACCATCAACCCCACCGTCATGGAGATGTACGCCGACGTCGACGCCCGTGGTGGTGTCCTCGAGCCTGAGGGTATCGTCGGTATCAAGTACCGTAAGGATAAGCAGCTCGAGACCATGGCTCGCCTGGACCCCGTCTACGCGTCTCTTAAGAAGCAGATGACCGCAGACCTTCCCAAGGAGCAGGCCGACGAGCTCAAGAAGAAGATGACCATCCGCGAGAAGCAGCTTCTGCCTGTCTACTCCCAGATCGCCCTTCAGTTCGCTGACCTTCACGACCGCGCCGGTCGCATGAAGGCCAAGGGTGTCATCCGTGATCAGCTTGAGTGGACCAACTCTCGTCGCTACTTCTACTGGCGCCTGCGCCGCCGTCTCAACGAGGAGTACCTCCTCCGTCGCATGTCCACCACCGTCATCACCTCCGGCCCTGGCTCCGACCGCACCCAGACGCCTGAGGCTCGCCAGCGCAACCTGCAGCTCCTCGAGTCTTGGTCTGGTGTTGTCAACTTTGCCACCAACGACCGTGAGGTTGCTGAGTGGTATGAGGCCAACCGCAAGTCCGTCACGGAGAGGATCGAGACGGTCAAGGGCGACAACCTGGCTTCTGAGTTGAGCTCTATCCTGAGAAACAACAAGAACGCTGGTATGCGTGGTGTTCGCGATGTTCTCCGCACCATGCCTCCTGAGGAGCGTGACCAGCTCCTGAAGTACCTGCGTGATTAAATGGATGCATGAAGATTGGGTGGCGCAAGGTTGAGGTACATGGATAATGGATTTAGATGTGTATGGGATGATTATGACTATGTACGAGCATCTTTTTCTTGTGTCACGATAGATTTCAAAGTCGGGAATGAAAGATTCCTGTGTAATAATATTCGGCGTACCATTAAGTTATTCTGATTGCCTATACTCGTGTGCCTTCGTCTTCTGCATTGATCCCGCTCGGTTCCATTTGTGTCTTTCGTCGTGTCGTACTTGTTGTCTTGCTTCATACCTGCGTAGTGCCTGCCTAGCGTGGATAGTGTGCCTTATCCATCCTCGAGAATGCCAAGAGCATCTGAGAAAACCAACATTAGCTTGAGCCCTTTTCGTTGCGACATCGACGATGCCTTGAGTCTTACTGGTACGTTTACTTCCTAATCCGCCGTTTTAGTCACGATGGGGAATAAAACCCGCCTGCTGATGAGCCGGGGTCGTTCTCTAACGATAACTCGAGCTGTCTGGCGAGCCTCTCATCATCCTTCACATGCGGTGGGTGGTATCCCACCGGCGGGTGATGGATCTCTGAAGACTCTGAACAGGGGGAGCGTGGGCTGATGCTGGAGAGAGGCGGCAAAGAATTCTGCCGAGTTTGACGCTGGAAGCCGCCGTCGAGCTCGTCATTCTTGTGGTTTTACCTACCTTTTGTAGCTTGGCTGCGGGCGGATATCCCGCCGCAAGTACCTCGCGGCCTCGGCGTCTCGTTGATAACCGGACTCTTCGGATTTCCTCTGTGTGAGTTCAATATCATGGGATTTCGGCTCGGACTAAGAGCGAGCTGGGTTATTGCGCTGTTGCTGAGCGGATGGGATTCGCATGTGTCTCTCAACTGCTGAAGAAGCTTTACGCAGTGACGAGGAGGTATGGAAAGTTGGTATGATTTATGTGAGCTTACGATCTACTTAAGAGGTGTTTGTAGGGACCACAGGCAGCAGTACGGCTAGTACCATAAAGAAGCGTAATACTCACAACTAGTCCCGAAACATACCACCACTAAGAGGCAGCGTACGTAGCCCTAGAGACTCTCTCGTACGAGATAGGAAAGTAATAGCAGTCAGTCAGGCTCTTGGCTTGGGTCGTAGTCATCCTGCATACCCGAGATCCATACCACGCCGACGGGATAACGGCATAGAAGAGGCTTAGCACCGAAGGGGGGTCCTGTTTTTCTCTTTCCCCCACGGAACGACGCCGACATCCCCCGCGGAACGACGTAGTTCGTCAAGAGAAGGTTGAAAGAGACATCCCGGTCAACGGGATGTGCCGTATTAGGGAAGCAGACCGCGAAAAGATCCTGGTTTACGGGATGTCAAACTTACGACACGGAGATCGAGATGGATCCCTGCAGCTCGGGCCGGTCCATTTTCTTCAGTGGCGCGGCGGTTTTGCTTGATCTGATAAGATCATCTCATTTTTTATCAATCTCGAGTTTCGGTGTGGAGGTTTTGTTGCAGGGAGTTCGTTTCTTCACGACAGTTTCGTCTCGGGCTGATGTGCTCGAAAGGGCTAGGATAGATACTTGCAGACGTCGATTATATGATATCTGAGCCGAGTTGGAGGTTGGATGATGAGTCTAGATCTCGTGGATGTGGTATCAAGCGCGTATTCGCATTACCAGGATCGGCTGAATGGGCGCTTCGAGTTGGTGATGCGGCATCCATCCCCGGAAACCGCCTTCTGCCGTTTAAGCTTGAGGTTTTGCCTTCGGGAAGTGGATCGGTGACATGTTGCTAGAGGCTTCGGGAGAATACTGAAGAACGTCGGTCTCCGATCCGCATTACGGTGGGATGGATTCGATGGAGTAGACGTCGATAAGTAGTCGCCTACCCACCGGAGGAGCCTGTGCTGAAGAGGACCTGCGGTTTCGATTCTATCCACCACCTTCGGACCTACGAAGCAACAATGCCGGCTGCGTTGAAGTCCATATCGAAGCAGGCTTTGGCCATGGCCAACGCCCGCTCCCGCACAAGCTTCAACGTCGAGAAACTCACAAACCTCATCTACGGCGGTCCATCGGTCGTACGCTCGAGACGAGAAGCCTGGGCTCGGGTCGAAGAAGCGCTCGGCACGTCAGACACATCTCGACTCCCAGCCCATTACGCCAAGACGAGCCGAGAAGATCTGTACGTCACTCCGTGACCACCCCAGCAAATACAGCCACTGACCGACAGGAAGATACCTCGACGGCCTCCGCATGGGCCGCGCCGTGTGGGAAGACAGGCGGACGCACGACCACGACCACTTCGACTGGCTGACGCCGCGCTACACCCTCTTCAACTACTCCCCCTTCGGCCTCTCCCCCGCCATGTTCGTCAAGATGCTGCAGCTGATGGCCACGCCCGAGCAGCAGGCGCGCTGGCTCGCGCCCGCCGTCGAGGGGAGGATCAACGGCGCCTACGTCCAGACGGAGCTCGGCCACGGGACGTTCGTGCGCGGGATCGAGACCATGGCCATCTTCGACCGCGCCGCCGACGAGTTCGTGCTGCACTCGCCGACGCTGACGAGCATCAAGTTCTGGCCTGGTTCTCTCGCGTTCTCGGCTACGCATGCGATTGTCATGGCGAGGCTGGTCGCGAACGGGAAGGATGAGGGGGTACATCCGTTCATGGTGCAGCTTCGGGATGTGAAGACGGGGAAGCCGGTGGAGGGGATCGAGTTGGGCGATATCGGGGTCAAGATGAGCCATAACCAGAACGACAACGGGTACGTGCGGTTCGAGAAGGCGAGGATTCCGAGGGGGAATATGTTGATGGCGCAGGCGAGTGTCTCGGCCGAGGGGGTGTATTCCAAGAAGCCCGGCGTTCACGAGAAAGCGGCCTACGGGACGATGATGGTCACGCGGTCCAAGATGACGTGGGTCAACGGCGTGCAACTCGCCGCCGCCGCCACCATCGCGACGAGGTACTCCACCGTGCGGATGCAAGGCACTCTCTCCCCTTCAGCGAGACGGCAGAGGAGATCCCCCTCATCTCCTTCCGCAGCCAGCACTACCGTCTCCTGACGCTCGTCTCGAAGGCGTACGCGATCTTGTTCGCGTCCAAGTACACCGAGGCCGTCCACCGGGAATTCGAGCGGCGCGGGGGGGAGGGCGACTTTTCGACCATGACGGGCGCGCATGCGTTGATCTCCGGGATGAAGGCGTGGTCGTCGGCGATAGCGTCTGAGGGGACCGAGGACGCGAGGAGGGCTTGTGGCGGGCAGGGGTACCTCGTCACGTCCGGGCTGCCGGAACTCGTGCAGACCTCGGCCATGATGTGTACGGGCGAAGGGGATACGCACGTGCTGTATCAGCAGCTGGCGCGGTATCTCATGAAGTTCACCACCGCCTTCTCGGACGGGGAGAAGAAGAAGATAAGAGAAAGGGAGCTGCCGGAGGACTTGAGGTATCTGACGGCGCCGTATACGAGACGGTGCGCGGAAGCGGATTTCACAGATCCGAGAGACGCGACGACGCAGCTTTTGATCTTCCAGCACCGGGCCCAGAGGCTGGTTGACCGGGCGGCGCGGGGGCTGAAGAATGCGGTCCGGAAGGGGATGACGAAGGGCGAGGCCTGGAACCGGTGTTCGATGGGGCTCATGTCTGCGGCGCGGGCGCATACGGAGTACCTCCTCCTCCGCGAGTTCGTCAAGGCCGCGGAGGCCGTCGAGGACGAGGATCTCAGGGGCGTTCTGGTGCGGTTGAGGTCCGTCTTCGCGTTATCCTGCATCACGAATCCGCAGTCCGCGGACGCGTTGGCGTTCGTGGAGGACGGATTCTTGTCGGAGGACCAACTGGACCGGATCCGGGACGAGCTGGGCGCGTTGCTGGACGAGTTGCTCCCGGACGCCATCGGGCTCACGGACGCGTGGGATTTCACCGATGCCGGGCTGGGGAGCGCGATTGGGAGGAAGGACGGGGAGGCGTATGAGACGTTGATGGGGTGGACGAGGCAGTTGCCTATTAATCGGATGGTGAAGAGGAACGGGGGTGTTCATCCCGAGGCGTGGAGGAGGTATATCGGGCCTGCTCTTGGGGGTGTTGAGGAGGTGTCTGGGGAGGGGGAGGTGGGTGTAGAGTTTACGCCGTATGATCGGGAGCATCAGGTTTTGATGGCGGGGAAGGCTGCTGAGATTTTGTGAGTGCGAGATGGCTCTGTGTACGCGCTTGAGACCTGTTCTCCTGCCTGGGGTGGGCGGAGAATAACTGTAATGACCTCACGGTGCTCACGGTATATCTTTTGTCTCGTTCTTTCCTCCGTCTATGTTTCGATTCTCGATTGCGGTTGCGCAAGACTTTTGGCTTCGATGTGGCTAGACTCATGGAACTTGCTGGTTCTCGTGCATATAGATGATGGATGTGCTTGGCACTGCAAGCTTCGCGTGCTGGATAGCTCTGTCCTGTTCCGCCCATTTCTGGTAGTCATAGACTTGCAAGTTTAGTCACGTAAGTAGAGTGATATCCTAGCGACCAACAAAACTTACAGTAGCGATGAGAAGTATGTCCTCAAACATCGATGTGAAAGTTTGAGTTTGGAAGTCGGAAAAGGTTCGATGAGGTACCTTAGCCCAACACTCCTCTTTTCAATCTCAACTACAAGCTCCTTTTCTTGGCCGCTTGGGACACCACATCAACATTCATTTGAAGCTCCTCTAGATGGAATTTCTGCCATGGTCCAGTCTTAAAAGGGGCTAGCAAGGGTGGGCATCCTCATTCAAATCCTCAGTACTACCTAATGATGCTATTTTGTCTCAATAATGTATCTTAACCTCGCAAGTCTTCGGAAACCAGGTCAGAACCCCTCGGGTCTACGTGGGGGAGCCGACAAGGATCGGCATCCTGCGTATTTATCCCAATGATTTGATGATTTTTCCGTCAGCAACTTGGATTGACTCGTCTGAATCTCTATAAAAATATGCTCAACAAGTTGAGTTTTCTGGATGTAAGCTGAGATGGTACGTATGGGTTGAGTCATATGGCTATCTCTGCCGACTTGGAGTGTCGACGATTTGTCGCCTGTCCGCAGGACATGAGATTCATGTAATGTCTGAATTTGTGTAGCCATTCAGAGGCTTGAAAGATTGGAATATTATCCCTGGAATCAATTAGATAAAGGGCCGTGATGTCATCCAGTCTGCCTGTTGTAGTGCAAGATTGACATTGGACGCCATGGATCAGAGGATTGCTGTTGCGCCCGGCCTTTTCGTCGTAAATTCAAATGCAGTTTGGTGTCCTCGGAATCCTTCGTTGCTATTAGGCGCTACCCTGCATCTGGCTCTCTGGGTAAATCCTCACGACAGGAGCTTGCCCATTCAGTTCTTGGCACTAACTCCTTACACTCTAGCATTAGCCCTAAGGAAATGGCACTCGGCATCGACTGCAAGTCAGCACTACGTCGTGAAAGGAAAGATTGACAGAGTTGACGGCGATATTTAAGGCGACGAGTTCCATCATATCTTTAAGCGAAAGATCAATGGATTTTGGAGAGTCGCTTTCACTGTTGTCTCAACGCAATGACATCTTCACGCGTCTTCGACATTCCCGCCGAGTTTCAGGACAAGGTCCGGTTCGTGGAACCACTGGACTCCAGATCCGACCAAGAAATCCTCGATGACCTCGCCAACCCCTCGCCCGTGACCTCGGAAAAGAACATCTGGGCCTTCTGGCATGCCGGCCTTCACGACATGCCGGCGTGGTGCCAGCGCAACGTCATCGGCTGGTCCAGAATCTGCGGTCCAGAATGGACGATCCGGGTCTTGGACACTGTCAAAGACTCCCCGAGCAACGCTCTGAACTGGGTGAAGGAAGAAGATGTTCCCAAGGCTTTCGCGGCAAAGACCATGAATGGCCCCGTGGGATACACGGGTCCCCACAGCGCCGACTTCCTCCGTGGTATCTGCCTATACCAATATGGCGGTGCTTGGATGGATGTAGGCTCCATCTTGTTCCGTTCGATAGACGACTTGTGTTGGAATCAGCTGGCAGACCCGGACTCGCTGTACCAGGTCGCTGCTCCGTGGGCATATGAAACAAACTTGGCAAACCACTTCGTTGCCAGTCGCAAGGGAGATCCCTTCATCAAGAGATGGTGAGCTCAAACTGCCAACAAATATCATGAAAGGTATCTAATATTCTTGCCAGGCATGAACTGTTCGTGTTCATTTGGAAAGATCGAACAAGTGCAGAAGGTCTTTCCCAGAATCCACTCTTGGCCAATGTCAGGGAGAACAATCTGGATGCCCTTCATGCCCGCGGATTTCTGTGGAACTGGGACAGGCCTGTTTCTCAGGTTGTCGATTATGTAGCACAGATCGTGTGCTGGAACCGACTCAGTCGTATTCAGGAGCCGAACTGTGGGTTCGACGGCGCTGGGTACTACTCCAAGCATGTTCTTCTCTTCGACGCGCTCTGGGAGGACTGGCCAGCAGAGGCCCTCATTGGCTGGAACGGTGAAGAGCTGTTCGACTTACTGGCCACTCGACTCGACGCGGACCCGGAGTCCGAGGCGTACCAAAAGGCTTACAAGACGGTTTGGTATCTCATCACATCTTCGACGATGCAAAAGGTCACTCGCACTGGGGGCCTGACGTCAACCAAGAGTCTGGGTGAACTTTGGGACATGAAGGAGAACGAGGAAAAGGATCGAGAGCCTGGTACGTTCGCTGAGTTGATGCGTTACGGGGCTGCCCACTTTCGGCACAATCAAAAGCCTAAGTATGTCCCTCCTGTTGAAGCGAAAAGCATCATCAAGAAGGGTCTGCTGGAGCCTTGAATGCTAATCACGGATGAGATGTACCTATTGGAATGAGATATGGGAGCACGCGAATACCTAGGTTCTTTCCCACTGATCAGGCACCATGGAAATCAACATTACTCGAGGAAGTTCTTAGAAACCGTCATTACATCGCTCAGAATACTATTAAAGCCATATTTAGAATGGGTCGACTTCATCTTCTGCTTCGCGGCATCTTTTTTGACTGCCATCTCGTATTCTCTACAGAAGTACAAGAGGTATTGATTCCATGACAACCCCTAAGACGAGCCCCAGCCCAGTTTCAAGACATCTATGACTTTCAGAGGTTTGATATCTGGAAAACCCTCGTTCAGAGTCTGGCTCGGTTGAAGGTTCGCCTGTCCTCTCGCGCAGATGAGGCCAAACGGGGCCAGGAAGCTGTGCAGCATCTCCTTGGGGTAGATGCTGTAAAATTGGTGGTGAGAGGGTAATTCGGTGAGCTTGCCAGCCTCGAGGTGCTCAATCGAATCATGGAAAACCGTAAATTTGACGCCTGCCAATTGCATTAGAACAAAAAAAGGGACTTAGAAGATTGTTGTCTGCTTACCCTTTACTTCCTCCGCGAGACGCACCACGTCATGGAATGTGGCCTTATCACCAATGATGTACGTCTCTGGGGACCAGCCAGGGTGCTCGAGGAGTCGCGCGACGAAGCGGCCAACATCAGACGTGTGGGCAAAAGCGACCGTCACTTCTCCGGATCCTGGGATTGCCGCTACATTGTTCGCAACGTCGACAAAAAAAGCCACATCGTCCATGTAACTCTTCAACTTCGGTGTTCCGAAGTAGTCCAGGAAGTATCCGTTGTAGATGGCGGTCCACTCCAGAGAAGTTGCCTTCAGAGCGGTCAAAGCGGACTTCTTTGCCATGGCTGGAGGGAAGCTTTCATACTGTCTAGCGGCGAACGTGTTATCAATGAGGATCGATCGTAGAGAGCATATGATAAGGGCTGAACAACTTACTCGGGCAGATATGGTACTCCGAAGTAGCTGGGGATGAAGCGCTTGGTGGTATTTGACTTCTCAGCAGCTCTAATGAGACTGAGTTCCGAATCATTTTCGCCGGTGATGTTGTTGACGGCCGAAATGACCGTATCGACATTGTACTTTTCAAGAACCGACACGAGCGAATCCTCGTTGGAGTAATCCACAGCGACGAAACGAACGCCGTCGGAGCCGCCCGGATTTCCCGAGACCTAGCAGAGAAGTTCAGTTAGTTTTCCTAGCAGACACTCTTTTGACCACTTTCCTTTCTGGTCAACACGATCACTTGGTACGTTCCTCGAGCCTGAATGGCTTCAATGAGAGCGCGCCCAAGACCCCCGGTGCCGCCGGCAACGACAACAGACATGATGTATGAGTTGATACTAGATATTTGATAAGAGAAGATGAAGAAATTTGGTTTCTGGTCCTTTATTGCAGCTGAACATGACTTTATTTATCTGTTCAAGCACCCCTGGGCAGGAGGCTTGTGCCACTAGCCTACAAGTTCGGACACTTTAGTTAGCAAAGATTGCAAATGGCCAAAGTAGTCTTTTGCCGGGTTTGACCGCAAGAAATGTCTAAACTTCAATACATGCCTGTTCTGGATGTGAACAAAGTTTTCCATTATGGCGTCTCCGGGTTTCGGACCTCGGGGCCCGACGGAGATGTGGGGCCGGACCCGCTCCGCTCAGGGCCCCGGATTTGCCGCACTTCGGCCGCGCGTAGAAATCCGTTTTCTTCCCATGATCTCCCAGTAACAATTGAGTTAAATGTAGGCGAAAACACCACAGTTTCGAGCACTTACCCCCAGAAACTCCCACCTATGCAAGGAGCACCGCAGCACTGGTCAGCAAGGACGAGGTTTCTTGAGCATCAGAGCTGACATGTTGAGATATCGCTTGCTAATCATCACATGTAAACATCGACTGGATTTGCTCCTCGGAAAGCTCTGGCAACAAATCCTGATGCTCCATCTCAGGGAACATGGTCGAAGCGAAGTACTGCGAGAATAAGTTGGATGTTGGTGACGTCCAACTCCCCCCACGTCTAGTCTCCACGTGTCTTACTGCGGCCCTATGCAGGTCTTGACACAATTGATGGAATTCCCGAGCCGATGGTGAAAGATCCACAGTTAATTCCAACCCTCTTGCAAATTCTTCGAGTACCAACAGATCTCCAGCGTCTTGCCGGCTGACTACGTTGCAGAACAGGACAAGGACAGGGGCGAACGGGGCGTGCAGTAGTCTCCTGTGAAAGGACCTCTGTTAGTTTGCGAATGGTATACCGGAAAAGGGTCGACATACCAGTGCAAGTAAATGTTCATTACAATCAGGTCATCTTTGATTATGGACATGCATTCTCGATGAGCATGTACAGCAGCTCTAGCGAATTCCAGACATTCGGGTGACAGCGTTGGCGATGACGAGCGGATGACATTGGCCCTGGCGATCAGCGTCGCTGTAGTGTAATACAGGACCTTTTGGGATATAGCAAGCACGTCTTCCAAGCGACCTCTTTTTCCCGTATTGCTGCTCTGAACCAGAAGGTCAGGAATCGGTCTGCCGGATGATACGTCCTGACAGACACGGAAGGTGAGGAGGGGTACCTTTTCGTACGGTGTCTTCGCTCTCAACTCCTCCAGAAGACGATCCGCGGCAAGAGATAGATCATCGTCAGAGGTAGCAGACGTGTTCCGACTGTAGAGCGTTTCGTAAAGCCTGTCGTGCATTGAAGCATTCCAGATCCAGAAGGGGAGCAGTTTGTCCCAGGGGTCGGGCAAAGAAAGGGATTCCGTATTCTTAGAAATCGTGATGTCGCACTCTCTAATGAACGAAGCTCGTCCCAATCGTAGAGCGAGACCTTTCTCCATGGCATACACATAGAAGAAAAGGAGGCTTTTGAGGTTTCTTGTGTCTTTGTCGTCGCTTCTTGAGAACGTTTCGTCAGAAAACCCTGCGGCGATGCATAGCTGCGCCGCATGCCCAGTAAGTCGCCAGGCAAGCCAAGGTTTGGCCATCTCAATGGCCAGAGAAGCCTTTGGATTGAAATTAGTCACAATCTTCAACAAGAAATACGGGAAGAAATCTGGGTTATTACACTCAGAACCAGCGCCTGTATTGACTCGACACTGGCTGGCAACCAGGCTGGGAGCCCTTTCACGGCCTCAATCACAGCACTCCTGCATAATGCTCCCCATGTGTGGTATTGCTTCCGTAGATCTTCGTTATCGGCAGGGCAGAAGAACTCCGTGAACAGATAAAACATCCCCGAGTTGACGATGATGAAACTAGTTTCTGCGTATTCGTCCACGGAGAAATACACGTCACGACACAGATTCACATACTCCGCTATTGGCATCAAGCAACGAAGTACAACAAAGCTTTCCGGCGGGGATTCTGTTCCAAACTCTCACTCAGTCTGCATTAAGCTGTAAGAGGAACAGGGAAAACACACCTTTCAAGCTCTTGAGCACATTGACCACAGCGGCCGTCGGTGGCAGTGGCATGTTCCGATATGAGTGACGTTCAACGGAGCCGATGTCTGATGGACGGGTCACCTTGTTCGCAGTATCCACTACTTGATCGGTGCATCGAGGTGCAGCCATATTCGACAGCCCCCGGTCGTCCACCGATTCGGCATATCTCCTGGCGACCTGAGCCTGAGATTTGAGTGACGAAGGGCCCTCGAGAGTTGAATCTGTCTCTATGAAATGAAGTTCAGAACGACATGAGACTCCAGAATCTTGCGTTGGCGGCAAAGAGGCAGACACGGCACCAGGACTTGGGCCTGAACATGTGCATGGACGATTGAGCAGCAACGACTCAATGTTCGCGAGTCGTCTCTCTATAAGATCAATTTTGTTTTCACTAGAAATGCGTCAGAATGGGTACTTAGAACTTAGGCGTAGCATTCTTACTACTGGGTTGAGACCGGCACCTTCTGTCGAGGGACCTTTGGCCTTTGAACGGCCCCCGTGTAGCTGCATTCATGGACCGCGGACCGACAATTGGAACAGGGGAAGGATCTAGCACAGCGAACCTGACTTTATGCATCAGCCGGGGTTGAGCCGAATAACACACTCCAAGACACATTCCCTTGGGCGAGATCTCGTTTGCGATTTCCCACCGGTAGTTCCTCATACCTTGCGTGAGCGACACAAGTCACACTGTCAAACTTGATCAGCAACTGAACACGATCCCGGCTAAAGTGAGCTCGAAATCTTACAGCTGTTATTCGTGAGTCCATTGAAGTTACTTCGAATTATCGGACCAAGGTGTCGAACAGAGTGTCAACTCGGTAGCTTGTCAAGTTGCAAGTTTGCAGCGACCGCTTGCTCCGAGAGATTTGAGAGTAGGAGCTCCGAATAATCCTGGTTCGGCCACCGAGGGGACCGAACAGGGATGGCACGCGAAATGTCCGTCTCCGTCTCCCCTTTGCCATTGCACTGCGGACTACTCCGCAAGGCGGCTTCGGACGCGGGACCTAGTTAGTCATCAGGCATCGAAACGGAGAAGCGGTTCGGAAGTGCTTGGCGACGGCACATAGACGTTTTATGTGCATGTTCAACTCGTAGAGCAGTGCTATCTTGTGCAATATATAAAATGCCGTCTCATGAACTGAAATCTATGAGCCGAACGTCTTACAGGCTCGACATGAGAATTATTTCCATCTTCCTCGACGATGTCTTCCACACCTAAGTTGCATTTACCTCGCACAGTCATCCCAGTCGGAGGAACTGTTGTTGTCTCGGGCGCCAGCGGCTGCATGGGCAGTCACATATGTGACCAACTTCTTTCTCTGGGGTTCAAAGTACAAGGAATCTCTCGCAATGCCAAACGTGCTGCGTGGCTCGAGGATCTCTTCGTTCGAAAGCATGGGCAAGGAAGATTTCAGCTCTTCGAGGTCCCTGACTTTGCGACCGAGGGAGCGTTTCGAAAAGTCTTTGAGGGTAATACGGTGAGATTTTATCGTTCGAATGCACTTGGACTAACCACGATAATTGTAGGTGCGCATGGAGTAATTCACACAGCGGCGGACACCAGTCTTGACTTGAATCCGGGCAATGTTGTCCCTCGAATGATTGAGGGGGCAATGGCAATCGCCCAAACTGCTGCTGATACCGATTCATGTATTCGGTTTGTGTACACATCGTCGTCGAGCGCCGTAGCTGATCCTGCGCCCGGCGTGAGTCGAAACATCACGATTGACACGTACAACGAAGCCACTGTCGTAGCTGCGTACTCACCAAGTCTGCGACAGGACTCGGTTGGCGGTCACACAGTCTACGCTGCAGGGAAAGTCAAGACAGAACAGGCTTTATGGGGTTGCTACCATCGCGAGACCCCCGAATTGGTGGTGAACACGGGTAGGGATGAACCCCCAGTTGACACTTGTGACTTGCTGAAGAAATGTCTAGTCATTCCGAGCCCCTGTTACGGCGAAGTTCTCGACCCCCAGAATCAGGGTTTCACGGCAGCAAACGGGGTATTGAAATTACTTTGGGACGGCAATGCCTCGGAAGAAATCGTCAAAAATGTTTGAATCGCGTACGTCACCTTGCATAGTTAAACCAACAGTTACTAACTTGTCAACAGAATGGTTTTGCGATGTAAAGGATGTCGCAAGCCTCCATGTCGGGGCTTTGCTGCTACCAGAGGTGAAGTCCGAAAGACTGTTTGCATACGCTGACAGGTACACCATCAACGACTTCTTGAGAATATTCAAGACGCTCGAGCCTACCTGTGATTTTCCGGAATATATTCGAAATATTGAGGAAGATCAAAGCAACGTGCCTAACTCCGAATCAACTGAGGTCCTGAGAACCTTGGGTCTTGGAGGGTGGAAGAGCCTGGACGAATGCATCCGTCCACTGGCCAAGCAGTTTGCCAAGGGTTCAATTTGATGCGAGATACACCAAAGAAGTTCACAAAATTTTTGGGGGGCTTGACTTCAGTCATTTAAATGGAAATCATATTGAATAGGTAGGTCTCCTAACTACAATGCTGGAATCTTTTGTATCCGTAAATTGCACCAACCCGTCGCTCGAAACTTTGGGGACGAACACGGGCCAATTAGACCGCACTCCTTAATGCGCCGCCTACGTGCAAGTAGTACTTCAAAGTATGACAGCTGCCTAGACGAGAAAACATACAAGATTCTGCAGCAAAGTGGAAACAAGGCACGATCTTTGGTGGCAGGGCAAAACGTGGTGGTACAAAGTCACGCATTGGGCCTTCTGATTGGTGTTCATACGTTTCTTGCTAGTGCTTACGAAAGGCTATGCTTGGCACCTCTCATATGAAAGACGCTTGCGACTGAGCCACCCACTGCTCTCTGGGACGGTTGTACAAGTGACATCATAAGGTGAGCTTCAACTGTGGTTGTTCGGTGCGTCAATCAGTGGGATTGGCAGCCTTTGATGCTTTGATGTATGAAGACAGTCTCTTGATGGACACCAGCGGACGGCAAAAAGCTGAGTAGTCCATTCGCAAGTTCGAAAAAGACAGCCAAACAAAACACAATTTATAAAACTCGGATTCTAAATGCGATAGCAAAGTTGACTTTGATGGGACATTTGGGGGCGCAAGAACTTACTTTCAGCTGGAATGGTAGGCCTCTCAGAGAGAGTGAGAGTTCCCGTAGCACTGAAGAGCTTGGGGGTACTGTTACGAGCATTTCTCTGCTATCATTGGCCTGCGAGAACGAGGTGAGTTTCGTTCAAGAGCCAATATTGCCCACGTCACGTCGGGCATGCCGAGAAAACAAAACGATTTGGTTTCTACATACGATCTCTTATCACGGAGTTGAAGTCCGTGAGGTTAGGGTTGCCATGACATCCTGTTAAGGTACGGGAGAACAGCGCCAGATCGGACTAGCTAGGGTGACATTACAACACCCGAACGCTGTTCGCTGTATTATTCTCTCTAACCCATCCCCGGCTGTATCATTTTTGCCTGCAGCGAACGCTCCACTACGTAGGCAACAGAATTACACAATTGATAGTTTGCAGGGTATGCCTCGCTACAAAAACGGCAAGCGCACGACAAGACGCATGCGCCCGAGATCGCCAGCCGGTCTGGGGCTGTGGCAGTTCAGGCACACCGGCAGTGGGCGCTTGATGTCAGCCGAGATCCCTGGCGCACAGGGGTCTCGGGCCTTCGCTACCCGCTGAAAGGCTGGATGGGTTGCATCCAGGGCGCGTTGGTCTACCCAAGAACTCCATCAATCCCTGTGACTGGATCAGAGATAAAGTTGTTCTTAGGGCTGTGTGAGAGCAAGGTGATCAGCAAACGGGCTGTAAGGGGGGGCTGAGGGGCCAACAACAACCTGCAAGTCAAGACATCTGAGTGAGGCGCTGAGGGGCAAGGCACAATGCAAGTAGAGAGAATGCAATCAATCTGTCTGACTGATATTGTACTTAAAGTACGACGACATCCCCGTCAGAAAAGAGTCGAAGCCAAACAAGTCATTATCGTGAACTTGAATAATCGAAACATTCAACCAACCAGACCTCAAACTCGTACCATCATGTCACAAAGATACACCGTCGGCGATGGCTCGCCATTTCTCAAGAGGGTCATCATACCCTTTTACATCGTCCGTATCGCGGTGATGATCTTCCAGGTCATCATGTACGCCCTCGTCATTAGTGTTGCCGCGAACAACAAAGAAGACCTGGGCATCAATACCTCACGAAGGACAGAAGGCTGGATCATTGCCATTCTCGTTGTTGTCATGGTTATCATCGCTGCTTGCCTCTTACTGGACATCGTCTGCATCGTCAAACGGTCTCGAAGAACCTTGACACCGCGATTCTTCCTCATTGCCAACTGGTGAGTATCAATCGTATATGAGAGGATGCTGTCAAGATTCAGCTGGCTAATACCGTCGTCATAGTATCCAAACCGCTATTTGGACGGCACTTTTTATCCTCACCATTGCTGGTGCATCGGGAAGAGCGGTCACTATCATCGTCAACATCATCATTTAGTGAGTAATCTCCAACCAAATACATGAGAATGTGACAGTAACTGACCATATGCTTAGTGCCTCGTTCCTTGGATTGCTCATCTATGCTTCTGTCATCTACCACAGGCATCGCAAGGGAACTTTGCGCGGCGAATATTCACGTACAAACCAGAACCAACCGACAGAGTACAATGGCTACTCAAGCGACGAGCCCGCCAAAGCCCATCAGTCCCAACCATATGAGTCGGACAGCCGATACGTGTAAATCAAAATCACTCAGATGGATTTGATCGGTACGGTTGTGTGGGATTTGAATTTTTTCACAGGTGGTTGTAGCATGATACTGTTTGACTAGAAGATTAGAAGTATGCCGAAGTCATGGCTTAAGATACCTCGTTAATTAATTGAATTGACAAGTTCAAATTCACTCCAACTTCATCTCCAATATTCTGTAACTCGGTTTACGCTGAATCAGCCAGTGATGCACTTCTTGTGAAATGCCAAAGAATACTTTGCCATATTTTGGGGATATCCCCTCCTCGTGATCGGTACATAAAGTGATGGGATCGGCAGATGATTGCTCCTGAATAGTAAGGGCCAAGCATTCTCAACTGAAAGCTGCATCTCTGCTCAGGGCTCCGTCGACAAGCTACTCGCCGGTTGAAGAGTTGCGATCAAGATGGAAGACTATCCCTTCCGGAAATATAACTGCTCATTCGGAGATCACATTGAATAATCCTCTTCGATTCTACTTAACTAAAGCTACTTCTTCGCATCGCCAGGCACTATGCGACCCATCTCAAACTCCCCGGAGACTTCGTCTTCTCTCATAAGAACCCCAGTCTTGGGACGAGGTTCGTACTCAACACTGACTTCAGTCGTCAACGCGATGCCACCAGCGGCCGGAGTATTCCCATCCCGAGGAGTTTTCCCCAGGATGCTCTTGTCGCTGGCAGAATCCTGATCTCGAGGCTCCGCCCTAGTCGCCGTAACTACGCTACGGTTGTAGAACCTGCTACTCTGCTCTCCGGTTTTGATGTATGCTCCCGCACCAGGGGATGACTCTGTTCGTTTTCGAGCGCTGCGAACGAAACCTCTCAGCACGGGTATCGACGCGGAGATGATAGTGACGTTCGGTTCGGCCATGGACCAGATCCAGTATACTGCTTGGTTGTACATATCTGTGAAATATCATGTCACATCAGTACGTGATCAAGCTTGCAAGGAGTCAAAAGGTTCTACTCACAGTCTGGAGACCTCACGCTCAGCAGCTTGTACCCTTGAACAGCTTTCATAATGCCTGTAACTCCTGCAAGTACCCCCATACTCAAAGCCAGGGCCACGCTGAGTCTTTCCGATCGTTTCATCTTCAGATTGAATATCATCTTCCACGGTAGAAGGGCCAGGATGAAGTCGCAAAGCGCCGAGTATACTGTCCAAATTGTACATCGTCAGCCTCAGACCTCAGTGATCTTGGAAGAGATGGAACACATGGGCTACGACTTACGAGCACTGAAGACCGAAAATGTCACTGATTGATCCAAACGCCAACAGTTGCTTCCACCAATATGCCATTGGTCGGGTGCACCGCATATCATTTGCCATGTCGCAATAATATGTACGGCAAATTGTAAGTTCATCGTGATGATGAGACCCCAGATCAACTTCGCTTCCCACCCACCAGGCATCAGTCGCAGGAGCGTGATTCCGAAAGACGTCTTTGTGAGGCCAAGAGCAACGGATTGCAGATTATGATGGGATCGAGCAAGGGTGATCTTCAGTACGTTTCCTGGTATCAAGAAGACACTCATCAACCAGGAAACGTTGGCGGAGGCTAGCAGTAGGAAGATCCATCCTGCTACTAACACCCAGTCATCTGCCTGGAGACCAACACCTGTATTTCGTATGCGACTGAAGATCCTGAGACCAAGGAAAACGGTTGCTAGAAAGAACAACTGCCGTCATGGTGTATTAGCAACATGCCACGAATAACAATAGACGTATAGTGACGATCGAGGATGTACTCACAGACCATGTAGTAGCATGCACGAGCACCGCAAGCTCGCCGGTAGACCCAGACATGATGCGACCGATTTTGCGGATGCCTGGACAGAGCCAGCACCGGGCCACAAAGGATTTCCAGGATCAATCAGATGGAAATCGCAGTGCGAAAACCGCGCGAGAAACTGGGCTGAACTCCTTATGTACGAGGTTGTCGACTCTGACTCGTGGACGGCTCGCTTCACAGAATCTGCCCCATGGGAGTGGCCAGACGTCAAATTTGGACCCAACAATAAGTCGAAGTCAAGGCGGATATCCCGCCGCTGACATCTCGGAGATAGGGCCAACGCACGCAAAGGCCAGGCCTGATCATTTGTGCGGTAGGCACACTCACATGTTGTGGGAACTTGCTCGGTTTCGTTTAGCAAGGGTTGATCTCATCAAAGACCGGTCCAACAACGCTTTTTCTCCCACTTGACGTTCCAGATCAAGCTTACGTGCCGCCCTCCAGGGCTGCGGTTCCTGTCCCCGACTTGGCATCCGTACGAGGAGGGTTACCGTCCTATCAGGTTGGGCCAACCGATATTACCCTTCTGCAACTAACGCAGAAGTGCCGGGGTGTAGGTATGCTGTGCCGCCTAGGCGCGTCCGATGCAGAGCTGCAGGAACGAGGGGGATAGATTACAGTACGAAGGCGCATGGCGGATTCGAATGATCCTGATTATATATCAGAGATTCAAGATCCCGTTTTGTATGCATCTCCGAATTTGCTAACGGCGTTGCGACTGCGGCATGGACGATGACTGGTTCACCCGAGTCTGACCCCGGCTCCGAACGGACGGAGATGACAAGGGGCCTGATCTTGTTATGGTATGATTTGCCTCTATGACTTATTTGATTGATGGGAATAGTGGAAACTGCCACGATGGAGTCGATGAGAAGAACTTCCGTTATTAAAGACGTAAGACCTGCGCCCTAAGGACATCTCGTTGACACACAACCTCGTCGCCGTTTCCGCTTCCGTCCCACCCAGCCGCTCGTTGTTCTTCAGCAGCTTGAATCATGAAACCTATCAGGATTCTTGGCGCAGCTGTGTCGGCTGGCCTTGGTGCCGATGCATTGGCCCAAGCGAATGGCACTTCCATGTCAACGGGTTTCAAAGGTGTAAGTTCTGTTCTGATTACGTTTTCTTTGCATTTGTTTTCTTTATAGAATCTTTCACTATCACTGTCTCGTAACGAAGTTTTGCGCAATGTTCTGACATTTTCTTGCAAGTGTGATGCCCTCCTTAGCGCAGGTCTCGGGGACATTCTGGCATTCCCTGCCGATGTCGCCTATGGCGAGAGCACGTCAACGTATTACTCGTCGGAGAACCGACGCCTGAGACCTTACTGTATCGTTCAACCTCGGTCTACAGAAGAGGTTTCGACCACTGTCAAAGCTTTAGCTGGGGTAAGCGGTGCTGGCAATTGGGATATCGCCGTCCGCTCTGGTGGTCACTCCGATTATGACAACAACGCTGTCCACCGCGGCGTCACCATCGACCTCACGTTCTTCAACACGACCGAGCTTGTCAAGAGCAGCTGTTTCAATGGAACGGCTCCGTGGACTGGCCAGAGCATGCTGACTAAGGTAAGATTCACATCAACCGGTTGAAACAACACTGTCGGCTGATATTCAATACCAGAACGTGGCGCAAATTCGCCCTGCAGCACGCTGGGGCAACGTCATGACATACTTGGAGCCGTATAATCTCGGTGTCACTGGCGGCCGTTCCGGCCACGTCGGCGTGGGTGGCCTTCTTGTTTCGGGAGGCGCGTCCTATCATACCCAGCTCTGGGGTCTGTCGTGTGACAACGTCGTCGGATATGAGGTGGTGCTTGCGGATGGCTCTATCGTGGAGGCGTCCGCTACGGAAAACGAAGATCTCTTCAAGGCCTTGAAGGGCGGTGGCAGCAATCTTGGTATTGTCACTCGATTCGATCTGCGGACCTTCACGATCCCACCCAGTGGTGCATACGGTGGTCTTCTTTTCACCTCATGGAGCAATCTTGATGTGGTCATCAACCAGTTCGTCAACTACGCCAGCTCCATCGGATCAGGAAACCCGGATCATGAGTTCGTTGTCTACCGATCCGACTCTGGCAGTCTTTCTGTCATGGCCATGGCTGTTGCTACCGACGGAAACGAGAATTCGCCAACTTTCGCACCTTTCAATAACATCACGTTGACGAGAGATGCAAGAGCGAAGCAGCCGCTCAGCAAGGTCGCGGCTAGTATCGCGGACACCGGCGGCTCGCACTACGTCCCTTTCACACTGTCCGTCCAAGCTACTGCTGCGATCATGAATAAGGCCGCCGACATATTCGTCGAGCTAACTCAAGATTTCGACGCCGCGGACGTTCCGGTGTCCGTCAACTTCGTTTTCCAGCCTCTTCCCAAGAGTCTTGCTGGTGTCACACCCAGCAACAACATCTTGGGACACGATCAGAACTTGCCGGCCGACTCGATCTTGTTCGAGGCAAGAGGCACCTTGGCCGCCGATGATGCTGTTTATGAAGGTGTGGTGCAGTCCAAGATGGCTCAGGCCATTGAGGAGTTGAGGGCATACTCAGCCTCACTGGAGGGACACTCAACATACCTCTACATGAACTACGCCAACCCAGAACAAGACGTCATCGGATCCTATGGCGTGGAAAACGTTAAGTTCTTAAAGGAAGTAGCTGGAAAGTACGACCCGACTGGTTTCTTCCAGCGACGTGTGCCCGGTGGGTGGAAGGTCGATCGTGTTTGAGTGCCTTACTAGCAAACGTATATCGTAATATCGTAATTATTCATAAACACATTCACAGGGTATGTTGTCATTTAGATGGTCAGCCGGCTACGTCAAACTCTGATGGGTGACAAACACCACAAGAGAATGTATGTGATTGTAGTGTAAGACCTCGTTTTCTTCCCGGGTCTGTTCAATCTGCTTCCATCTACCCTTAGGTATATACATCTGCAGGCACTGTTGATCGATCTCGCTGGGTGGGCATGTGTTCCATCAACAATTTCGCCTGTCGGTCGATCGGCTTTTCCATCTTGCGCCAGTAATATGGCCATGTGATTCTTGGACAGGCACCAGGAGCCTCTCTCTTCGAGAAACATTTGGCCACAACGGTCAGGAACTCTTTATCATGAGATCTCAATGCTGTCTGGACAAGTTGACACCGCTTCATGATAATATTCGGGATTCGCGGGTTTTCGTATATTTCTGTGAAAATGGGATGCCTCATTTTGGACAAGTCGGTCTCAATTTCGACGAGGAGCCAGATGAAATCAATCGTCACCATCGCATAGTCTATGCCTGTGTAGGCGTATTCTCCGTTGATGTCGTTTCCGAAGTCTATCATGGCGACGTCCAGATCACCCAAGATGGTTTCAGATCTCCAAATGCCGAATCCAGTTTGCTGATTGTCAACGGCATCTTCATTGTCGCTGCAACAATCTGCTGTGACATCCTGGACTTGTAAGGGCGCTGCGTCAGGCAGCTTTGGGCGATCAAATACTTGGGTTTTGCATTTATACTGACGCACAAAGTTTTCAAGTCGCTTCTCGTCAATTGATGTCGCATTATTTCCGACTTTTCCCTGACGAACCGCCTTCAACGCTGCTCCTGGATGAAGGAGGCTGTCGGGAATACGACTCGGGTTCCACCCAGCATCTTGATATAGCGTCAACTGAGCCGTCATGTTGTATAGCATGTTATGTTTGCCTCTAGAGCGACCAATCAATTTGATGAAGTCCGATTGCGCCATGGCCGTGCGCCTTTTTCTCAACCTCTTGGGGATCGTGTGCACCAAAGCTTTGCTGGCTTCCGCATAGTCTGAGACGGGGACCTCGCCTCCTGCGTAAAAAGCATCACTGAACAATCTGTGAATGGTCGTGTACATCGGCATTCGTGACGGGATGTATCCTTCCTTCGCCAGCATATTATAGAGATGCATGAGCATGACAGGTTCCGGCATAGAGTCCCAGACTTCCATCATAGTGTTGAACGCAACTTGGAGAGCCTCGACCAAACCGACACCGCAGAGAAAGGGCGAGTAGTCCCAGAGTCCATTCATGTTTGTCTGCGAGAAGCGAGAAGGGGCCATCATGAGCCCGAAATCGAACCCGGACGAACCCAGGCAGCTGCCCAAATAGGCTTCTGCAAACTGGAGCATATCAATCGGGTGTGCATACACGCTGCCATCACCGCATGATTCTGAGTGAATGCGCAGAATGTCCTTGAGAACCTCGGTTGATCGCATGTACCCCAGACCACCGCGACCATTTGTGTCCAGGAACTCATCCACATCGTCGCGTGGGGAGAATTCTGACGCTGGGAGCTGTAAGTTGTGACTGCCTTGCTCGCAAATAGACCAACCATGGTAGATCATGGTTGCGTCAACGACGCACTGAAGCAGAAATACGTGATGCGGCAGGATCTTGTGTCGGAAACTTGAACCTGGCTTCAAGATGGCAAGAGATGTGACAAAGGCAGCGAAATCGTGCAAGCCAAATAGGTTTCGGAAAACACCCCAGTGTCCATCTGCAGATACGTCCACCGAGCCATCCAGGCAGCGCGTTCCAAGAGCTTTTTGCGCATGACGGGTGTAGACATTCACCAAATCGTACAGCCAATTGATCGTGAACGTTCTGCGCCACTTGAGTCTTTGTTGTTTGGTGGCATCGCGGAGACAGAATTTGGGGTCCCAGATACCCAACTTTGCTTGCATAAACTTGGTGGGTTTTCCGCTACGGTTCTTCTGAAAGTCGGAAACAAAGTCGACGAGATCGTGGTAAGCGTAGATGAGAAGTTGCTCTGAAGTATCGAGTTGGCCACTTGCACAATCTTCGGTACCATTGGCAGCTTGCTTCTCAGCCAATGACTGGAATCCGTCTGGGTCGTTTCGCGTAAGCGCCTGGATGATGGTTTCATACGAATCATTGTCAGGAAAGTCGACGAACATCTCTAACTCCGTATGCTTAATCTTGGCAATGGCAAGATTGGACGTAGCACCAGCTGTAGCGGCATTCAGCCCATCGAAGGCCACATCGTGCCACATTCTTTGAACGTAAGCTCGGATTTGGGTCCATTCGGACTTGAAGGCGCAAGCTGCAATTGTGTATCTCATCATGAGGTCCTCGTCGTCCTCCAGAATGCGGTAGTGGTCCAGAGAGACATCATCAATCTCCGAAGTCGAGTCGTCCCTCTTGCTGTATTTCTTGCCAGCTGTCTTGGATTTCTTTCCTTTCCCACCCTTCTTCTTCCGATTCTTCTGCTGCTTGGAAGAGGCGGCGGGTTCCGTGTCGGACTCCGAGTCAGACTGGTCATCGCAGAGCTCGACGTTGAGGGAATCGAATTTGTTGCTGAAGATGAACTCCTTCACCTCGTTGATGTCGCTAGCTTGTTGGCCCCTAGCTCTCAGCTGCGTAGCCTGCATCTGCTGTGCAAGCCAGACGTTGCCACCCAAGATTGAGAAAATCCTGAGCATGGAATCGATAAAGTAAAGGTGAGTCGCGTTACTTCGCTCGATAGCGGGATCCGGGAAAACAGAGACGTGAAGTTTGAAGGCCTCGTAGTGCGTGGTTCTTGCTCGGACAATTGACAGCACCAAGCGGTAGATGTGACCAGACACTGTCACCTGCGTCTTGGCGATGAAGCTGGCCATCGACAACAGATCAGCGATCTTGAACTTTCCGGTGGTCTTGATGTCGGAGGGCAGGGATGCCTCGCCTTCGTCGGTGGAGCGGGATCTCATGGCAAAGATTGTCGTCTTTACCATCCATCTCACAAAATCTCTCGTGTTGTGTTTGTAGCCGATGTAGGAAGCTCGATTCGCGATCGGCGCGTCGGTCGGTGTCGCGTCGGGGCGATGAGGAGTCATCGCGGCTATCTGGACGACTCGTCAGTACCTTTTCTGTCAAAAAGATATTTTGGAAGCGGGGACCTACCGTGTCGCAGCCAAGGCGACTGTCAGCCCGATTGAAGTGGTTCGCGAGATTCTCAGCCGATCTGCTTGGGCAATTTCACCCGGCGGACGACTCTCCGCCGTGACAGCGAGTATGTTAGAGGACGTGGTCCAGATGAGAGGGGTCCAGATGAGAATAAAAGGAATCTGTGAATGGAATGATCTGGTTGGTATGATGAAGAGGATCGGAGTACCTCTTATGGGTTGGTAGGCATCTCGCAGGATGGTGTTGAGGAGGGAGGAAAGTGCGACTTTTGCTAAAACAAGTCAGCCCTAACCGAAAGTACTGGCAAGAGGAAGGTCCGGCAGGGCTTTCAGGCAGAAAGATATTTTTGGCCTTGGATCCAGATGTTCCCATACAAAGAAATAGCTTTGCTGTTGGCGGAGTGAAATCTCTGCAAGATACGCCTGTGTCTGGTGTTTGTAGCAAGGAAGTCAAAGGTCCACGTGAATAGAAACCAAAAGAAACGGTCAGCATTGTTTACCACGGCATATTATTGAGACCAAGCTCTTCCTGTTAACACCCGTCATCCAGCATATTTATTACATAAAGAGAATATTCCACTGGGAAGGAGAATCAAGTGGCACTCTCATCACGAGGCAGTCTCATTAATTGGGTAGATAAGTAATTCCTCTGAAAAGTCATGCATACTGTCAAAACGCGGTCAATCTTTTTGAAATCCAAAATATCACATTTCAATGTCCCCTAAATCTCAACAAAAATTGACAAATCTAGCCTCTCAGACACAATTCCTGGAAATATTCCATCCAATTAGCCCAATCGTCATCCACCAGCTCAGGTAAGAAACTTTTCCACTTTTCGATGTCAAAAAACGCCGCGCCCATGGTGTCTTTTGCGAATTTGAGAGCCCTATCCATCTTCCTCTCCATCCTCATACACATGGGAACTCCGAACTCTTGCCAATAGAGGTATTCCTCGAACTGCGTTGGTGAAGCCTGCAATATGTGAGCCATTGCCTCCAGACAGTCCTCATTTCTTCCTTCCATCGCAAACCGAGTGAGCCCAACTCTCTTGAGATGGCTCCATCGCGAATGACTCTCGTAAATGCGTTGGTACAAAGGATTCTGCTTGGATTGAAGCTGCATCTCGAGTTCCCTGAACATGTCCGCGAATTCGGCAGCGATCCAGATGAAGTTGATTCCCGACAAAGGAGCTTTGCCGGATATATCGTTGAGAAGGTCATGCTTGGAGCTTTCCATCAACTCTGCGGCCGATATATCATGAGGATCACTTTTCTCCCTGAGCCTTCTCGCCATCTGGAGACGTGGGAGTGTCTCATCGCCAGAGTAATCGCCGTTCTTCTTTCTCTCCTCTCGAACTTTGGAAGCAAAGTCGAACATGAACTTCTCGTCCATCCCTAGGGACTTGAGATGCTTGATGAGATCGGTGTCCTCCAGCTTGCTCTCACCAGTGACTGGATCAATAACCTCTTTGGTTCTGCCAACTCGGCCGGACGTGACCATTGTGTTAATACCGAGCTCGCTGTCAGGTATGCGGCTGGGATTCCAGTTGGACTCGGCATAAAGCATGAGCATGGACTTCCTCCTGAAGAAGTGGTTCTGTTCAAACATCCAGTGGCCGACTCTGATCTCTCCGGCCGTCTTCGGGTGGAGTCTTCGCTCATTGCGTCTGAATCGGTGGAGACCATGGTTCTGTATGCCGCACTGTTTCACCAGAGCATTCTTGAAGTCCGACTTTGGGGGTTGACCATCGACGAAGAAGCAGTTCCGAAATTCCCTCTGGAGAAACCCGTACATCTGGAGGGGCTCCATACGTTTCTGTTCAACCAGCATGTTGTAAATGTGCAAAGCCATCGTCGGCTCCGGCATGACGTCCATCAACCACATGCCGGCGATGTACGCCAGCTGGAGAGCTTCCGCTAACCCCTCGCCGCACATATACGGTGAGAAGTCCCAAAGACCGTTGGAATTGGTGGAAAGAAATCTGGATGGTGGTCTAGAAGACTGCGGTTTGGCCAAGTAAGACGTTCCCAAGCTCCGGAGCAGGTCGTTCTCAAGATTGATGAGGGCACGAGCCTTCACGTAATGGCGGTCGTGGTCGCGGTGCACATCACCATCAATTTTGAGAGCTGTTAGTATTGAGGTGACGCCCCCTCTAAACTGAGCACCGGAAGTTTCGAGTCTCGTAAAAACGAAATCGTCGATGTCCCGTCTGGGGCGGAAGTCCCACGCGATTGGCTTTAGCAGATGAGCGCCAGTGTCGTCAAAGTTCCAGCCTTTCGTCACAGTCGTGGCATCGAGAACGCATTGGAGCTGAAAGACGTGATGCGGTAAGATCTTCTTTGCCAGATCGCCGTCTGCTCCAGGCTTCTGCATCGCCAGCGTGGTAACCCAGGCCGCGAAGTCGTTCAGGCCGAATAGTCCTCGATGCTCTTTCCACGGAACCTTTGTGGTCGTCCAATCCACATCTTCAAGCTTGTTCTTCCTCTGATGACGGTCGGCTAAACCATGCTCGAAGAATGGCGACGAAAAGACGTTCACCAGATCGTACAACCAGCTGATGGCATAGGCGCGTCGCCACTTGATCCTCTGCTCGTTCGTAGCGTCCGCGATTGCAAAGTTGGGGTCCCATTCGGTATCCGTCTGCATTGCCTTGGTAGGCTTACCGTTGCGGTTATGGCGAAAGTCTTTGATGAAATCAAATAGGTCCCGATACGCATAGAGCATGATCTGCTCGCGCAGGTCGAGGTCAGGCCCTTCGTAGCCCTCGGCCTTGTCTAGTGCAATACTGTTCTTCTGCATTTCGTCGATGTGACCTCCACGCGTCAAGATCAGCATGCAAATTTCGTACGAGTCCTTGCCGAGGAAGTCTACGAAGATGCTGAGCTCCGATCGTTGAACCATTGCGACCGCCATCTTGCACAAGCCTGTTGCGACGACGGTGTTCATGCCTTTGTAGGCGACGTCATCCCATGCTTCCAAGAGGTAGTCTCGGAGCAGTTGCCACTCATTTCTCAAAGCAAATACTGCCATGGTATACTCCAGCAAAAGCTCTTCGTCACTCTCTAGGAGGCGATAGTTCTCCAGTGGTATGTCTTCAAGGTCGTCTGAAGCGCGCTGAGCCGGTGCCTTACGTCCCTTCTTCGACTTCTTCGACTGAACCTTTCGTCCCTTCGTCCTCTTGTTCCTGATGGCTTGACCATGATTCTGTTCCTCCTGCTCTGATTCGCTGTCTGGGCCACCGGCGGGGTTGACGTGGAGGACGGAGAACTTGTTCGAGAACAACATCTCTTCGACTTCCTCCCTGGTGACGTTGACGTGGCGTTTGTCCTGGGGCGCTGATAGTTGATCTTTGCCGCCAAAAGCTTCCAGGACATGGGCAAGGGCATCGATGAAGTGCTTGTGGGACGCGTTGCTCCTCTCGAGATCGGCGTCAGGATGGTTGGCAGCGTGCCTTTGAAACTCCTTGTGATAGGTAGCTCGCGCTTGAATAATCCAGTAAAGCAGCTGAAGAACCATCTTTGGGATGGGCTGGATGTATCGAGCAATGAGCTGGGCCATGGCGAGGAGGCCTGCTACTGTGGTCTGCCCGGATGTGTTGATGTCGAGCTGCGGGGTCGCCGGAGAGCAGTCTTGGGAGTTCGGGTACTTTTTGATGATGGAGTTCGAGGTGTTGATCATCCAGTAAAGTAAATGCTTCGTGTCTCGTTTATACACGACATACGTGTTGAAGTTCTCGGTCGTCAGAACGGCCGCGGCCGGTCGAGGCTTCGGAGGAGGCGGCATAGCCGAGGATTGTCCTAGATTGGGATTAGTGTCTGAAAGGAGTACAATACTGAACGAGCATAACATACCAGACACTCCGATCCCGTATTGTTTCTCCGTTCGTATGCGTTGGTGTTTCTGTGACGAGGTCGGCGGGAAGGGCGGAAGAAATCCCAAGAATGAGAGGCAGTCACTTCCTTGTGGGAAAGAAAAGGGGTGATAATCTCGCAGCAGGCAAACAGAAAATTTTGCGAAATGTGGGATGCTAGTGAAGAGTAAATCTCTTCTTTGGTTATTCCATTCTAGGCCCGTTTGCATTTGCCTCGGCCATGACTGGGTGAGGTCTGATGCAGGAACCCGAATTGCATAAATGAGGTGATATCACGACGAAAGCCAAGTGAAGCGGGTGAACCGTCATGTACGCATACCAAGTGATGACTTAATTTAGACAAAATTTCAGAACTAAGCTTCTTAGCTTTTAATAGTTGACAAATGAGTCTACGAAATATTTTCTGCGCAGTTCTGCGCAGTTGAGGATAATAACTATGTGCAGAAACGGGTACGACGGGATGAGGATTAGGGGAAAATGTGTCAATTATTGACCGGTAATAAACACCATTTTCATTTGTTCATGCCAATGAGTAAAATTACAAGTGCCCATGAGTGACGTGGCGGATTGTCTGTAACAATTAGTACACGGCAGTAAGGCCCCAACCGACTGCCAATATTCTCGCCGTGATGTAGCATGCAAGCGAGACAAAATAGGAAGCTCCGGAAAAGAGGATCAAAGCCGTCCATCCAGTTGCTTCGTTGTCGATGTTCAATAGTAAACCGCCAAGCGGTATTCCAGTCAGGGTCCCAAAACTGGCCGAGAGCATCGCAGTGGACAAGAAACGACCATAGTCCCTCGAGTCGCAGAGTTGGCCAATGCAGGCGGGGATGAGACTGACGTTTCCACCACTCGCGAACCCAAAGATGAAGGTGAATGCAAGTAATGTCGGCCATGAGTTGCCAGCGGGTAACCAAATCCCGAAAACCGATACCATGCACAGTCCGACCGTGAGAATGATGGTATTGAAACGACCGATGTGATCGGCTAAGAACCCCGGGGCGGCTCTACCAACGACACTTCCAGCGTTGAGAAGAATGGGGAGAAGGTAGCTGGTGCTTGCGTTTTGCCCTTTGCTCACAGAGAACGAAATGATGTACGTGAGAGGGATGAGTACACCGTATTCCATGAAGAATATTCCACCACAGCAGAAGACAAATTTGGCGTCCTTGAAAAGTCGGATGTCAGGCCATATTGAATCAAATTTCTCGCTCGGTGGTAGACGCGTCCTCATGAAAAGATTTGCAGGAATAGCGAGTACGAGGTAGATAAGCCCAAGTAGACGCATGCTCCAAGAGAAACCGAACCGTGGCAGGGCAGCTTGAAGCACGAAGGGGAACACGATACCCCCGAACGAGCCTCCGGTAGCTGCGAGACCCATTGCTAGCCCTCGTCTTGTGTTGAACCAATGGCCGATGACGGCAAAGGATGGCGTGTTGATCAGTGATCCGCCGATTCCAGCCATTATGGAGAAGGTAAGAATAATTTGATAATATTCTGCCGAGCTTTGTGAGTCATGTGTCCTCTTATGTCGAAAGAACACCAAAGATAACACACTTACCTGAGCAAAAGCTGAGAACGACTAGACCGGCAACCATGATGACGCTGCCTGCAGCGACAAGAATTCGATGACCATATTTGTCGAAAGCTGGCCCAACTATGATGCCGATAAGATATACGACAAACAGGTAGACGGAAAATATCCATCCCAGTTGAGAAGCTGTGTATTCTCGGAGCTGATTCTCAGAGAAATACGATTCGAACACCGCTGCAGTATTCGGCAAACCAAATACAGACAACATGGCGCAGAAAGACCCCAAGACAACGTACCAGGCTTTCGTGCCTCCTTCTGGATAAACGTCCTGTGCGGGAGTTGGATCTTCGTGCTGGGCTGGGAATGATTCCTTGGGCATTGTGTCCTTTTGCGTCTCGTCGGCTCCGTAGCTGGCCAATTGCTTGCCAGCTGATGGCAGCAAAGGGCCTGCTGCCTTGGACTTTTCTGTCGGAGAGTTATCGGACTGCGCCATTCTCACGCGGAAACAAGTAATTCGAAGGGACTTGGTTTCTCGGAAAGATCAGAAAGGTCAACGGTAGAAGTTACCACTAGATTTCGGAAGAACAGCCTAGGGATCAATGTTACAGCTGCGGAGTAAGTCCATGGATACCCATTGGAAGGTACTCGAGACCGGATAATCCCTGGCAATATTTGTAGAACATGCCTTACATCGAAAGTTTGAATCTCTAGCCAGCATTCTAGTCGCCTGCCGATTCGAACCCGGCGTTGGGTTTAGTTCCTTTTTGGGCATTACAAAGCGTCCAACCCCACTTGATTGTTGGTTCTCGGGCCGCCTAGCCGGCTCAGAGCAGCTCATATGGATGTATACTAAATAAGGTGTATGAATGAAACTCATGATCGGATAGTTGCGCTACGGAGATCCCGTAGTTTTTATGACACTGTACGGCTAATATTCATACTACAGCAAGCTCTGTTGACGCAGCTTTATCATCATTCACCCTTGCGGAATATAACACTCCATGTTTTCTCGCCCGCGACAGCACCAAGTTGCCGACCGCCACTCACGCAAACTGAATGAAGGCCAAATGCCGTCACCTAAGTAAGTCTCATACTTGCTGCGAGACACAGGAAACTCCGCTAGCGCGCGATCCTACAGGGGCGGACTTAGCATTACATAGCTCGTGCGACCGAACTTCGACGGAATATAAATCGCGGGGTGTGCATGGATCAGGGCATCTGCAGATCATATACTTGGGTGCGGATACTGAAAAATGGCCTATCAGCAAATGGTCCACCCCTGCTTGGGCTTTAAAGTCAACTGCAATCCGCAATCTCAACATGGTCAGTCCGAAATTGAACTGAAACAGTAACCGAGATCTTCATACTAGACACTTATCAATATCATTTGACTGTTCATACAATGGCAATTGTTGCAGTTGCTGGTGGCTCTGGGCCAGTTGGCCGCACAATCATTGACGGTCTCGTCGCTCATGGGGGACACAAAGTCTTTGTACTTTCAAGAACGGTAGGCTATCGTATGTTTTTACTCGTACCGATGCAGTCTAACGTTGAATCCAGAGCCGCCCAACTCAGAATGGCGTGCAATACGTCGCAGTGGACTACAAGGACATCGACGGCACAGCCAAAATTCTCGAGGACAACAAGATCGAAACAGTCATCAGTGCGATGGGTGTTATCAAAGCCGAAACCAGCGAATCTCAGATCCAGCTTGTCAAGGCGGCAAACAAGTCCACTTCGACTCGCCGCTTTGTGGTCAGCGCGTACGACATGCTGCACAAGAGAGAGTATGGATCTTCCACATGTTGAAACTTAGAGTTCCAAGTAAACTGATCGCGACGCAGACAAACTTCATACTTTCCCATGGCACAGTACACCTTCGAAGCAATTGATGAGCTTGAGACAACGGATCTCGAGTACACGCGAGTTGTTAATGGTTTCTTCCTGGACTACTACGGCATGCCTCACTGGAAGTCCCATATGCACCCATGGATCAACTTCGTAAACGTCGAGAAGAAATGGGCCGTCATCCCCGGTGACGGTTCTGCAAAAGCCAACTTCATCGCATCGCAAGACATGGCGAAGTTCGTTGCTCGGCTTATGGGTCTGGACAAGTGGTCCAAGATTAGCAGCATCGTCGCTGAGACGCGGTCGATTCTCGAGATTCTGGAGATTTCCGAGAAAGCACGAGGTAAGTTGATGCGCGGCTGAATGCGAGAATCCGCGACGCTAAATTTTCGTCGCACAGGAGCAAAGTTCGAGTTGGTCTATGACGACCTTGAGAAGCTGAAATCTGGCAAGATCTCGTTCATCTCTCAATTTCCCGACATTGGCTTTAGCCAGGATGAAGCCGAGGCTATCTTTGCCAGCATCCATTATTTCGCCGGAACCAATCAAGTTCTGGTCCCAACACAGGACACCTTGAACTCGAAGATCCCAGACATCGTCACAAAGACTGTGGAGGATGTTATTGAGGGGTCATGGAAGGGAAATCCGTAGGATGCAGATGTCCTTGCGCGATCATCCGAATTGTTAACGATTGATGGAGCTTTGAGTTGATGGCTAAACGTATAACCTTCACAATTACTTGTAGGCAGATGATAAAAAAACATATGGTCATTAAAGTACGCTGTTACGAATCCCATGTGCTGGAACTACTTAGACCAGCATCCTTTATCTAGCCAGGTCACGCCCGCATTATTTCTAAAGTCGAGGCCTAATCGTCTGGTTTTCCAGTGCTTCTTGGGCCTTTTCCCTCGAATCCTGCCAGGATTTGGTCTTTGCAGTGCCCATGGTAGCCCATATTTCCAAAAGATTATCATCAAATGGGGGCAGCACTCGACCTGTCGTACCCGGCGCTGGCTCTCCGGCAACGGATCTGAAATACTCAAACACAGTCTTGTAGTCGGGCGCAATAGTGTAATATGCCTTACCGCCCCCAAGCTCGGCCACGCGCCTTCTCTCCCACTCCTTTTGTTCTTCTTTGGGCGGCAATTTGTTTCCTCTCCCGGCAAGGAGACGAGAAACAGCAACAGCTTGCCACTCGAAGAGACGGAACGTGAAGCCGCCTCCGCACTGACACAAAGTGGTTAGTATCTCTCATGACGCAAGTTTGGTTAGCCTAGAGACTTACCATGCCCAGGAAAGCGAGAGTTGGGTCTTCGATGTCCCAAGTATGGTAGTAGACCCCCGGCAACCGACGATCAGCTTGCAACAGGCGCTCCTGAACTTGCGGTAGGAACGGGAAGCTGAAGGTGTATCCCGTGCCGAAGATGACATGATCTACGTCCTTCACTTTCGTGCCGTCCTCGAATGTGATGTTTCCGGTCTTGTGGCAGAAGTGAACTATCTGTTTCTGGATGGAGATATGAGGATGCGTGAATGGTTCCCAGCCGAAATGAGGAATAGGGTCGCCGCGTAGAGAGGCGTAGACCGGATGTTGGGCAACTGGCAGGACTTCGTGGAGAAGCTCGTGCGAGGAGACGGATCCTCCCACGACGATGACCTTCTGTAGATGCATTAGCAGTGCCAATCGTTATGAGTGTGACAATGCAGCTTACCTTGCCCTTGTACTTTTCCGAGCCCCTGAAGTGCTTACTGTGGACGATTCTTCCCGGAAACCTCTCATCATACTCAGCAATTCCCTTGATATCGGGAATCCATGGAATGTTGTAATGACCAGTAGCAACTATGAGCGCATCAAAGGTTTCCTGCCACCACTGGTCCTTCCCAGGGAGCTCTTTTCTCAAAGTGAGTACCCACTCATCGCCTCTCTTCTCAGCAAGCTCAACCGTTGTACTTAATTCCAGCAGATGCTCGTGGCCGTTCTTGACGAAAATAATCTCCACCCACTCTCGAATCTGCTCGCGGCCGCGGAAAGGAGCGTCCTCACCGTACTTCTCTCGGATCCTCTGAGTCAGGACATCAGGAAACGGTTCTTTCGTGAAACTCATAATCTCAGGGGTGATGTTGGTGTGAAGATGCTCATGCTGGGCAGTGTCCGAGAAGCGAACTTGGTGGCTGTTCACTGCTTCGGACTTGTCGGTCTGAGCTGGCAGTTGGGCAGGTACAGGAACGGGAGCATCTGCGGTTCCGTCGAGAAGCTTGCGCAATGATGGGATTGCAGCTGGTAAATGGGGAGTGTAGATCCTTCGATTGTGTCAGAATGGAAGCCATTGAACGAAATGTAACTTTTCAACTTACCATGTACCGCCCGGGACGGCCCGCCGGTCGAAGACACGAACGGTGTCAAAAGCCTGTTCCTTGACCAAGGCATCAGTTGCGATGGCGCCGCTTGGGCCGGCGCCGATAACGGCGACACGTCGAATCTTGCCTGGCATCTTCTTCTCTTCAATCGATGGTTGAAATGATAATCTTGATAGAGAAAATGGGTAGACGAGGGTGGAACAGACCTTAGCCTGATAGCGCTGCGTCGAGTTCCGGTATTAAGTTTTGCAGGCTAAACCAAACCTATCATCAACCAAATAACTTACTGAATATTGAATTGGCTCAAGATCATCTTCATACTAGGAATTTATTCAGTATTTTGGTTGGCCGATTGCGCCACGGTTGGTGGTATTGCGTCTTCCCGCAACACGAGCACGCAAGGTGGGTCGGAACACTCACGCCAGTCAGAGGAGGAAAAGCAAGTTACTGAATGGCAGGGGGAAAACGCATCTAAGTCGAATCAGCTGTTGGTAATGGTTCATCCTTCAGCTTTTGGCCAGGTTCTTGCCGAAAATTGAATGATAAGCCCGCAGCTGCGGTGGCCGACAACGATGTCGCCATTCCCCGGTCGGGTTCCGTACTCCGGAAGCCCCGGTCTAGAGGGCGCGGGCAAGAGCTTGCACAGAGTTTCACCTAATTGAAATTACCAAGAAAGTTCTGATTGTTGATACTGAGTTGTACTTATATCTTCTCATTGGCCAAAGCATATCTCGACGTTAGATCTAAGGCATGGGAGAGGTTAGGTCCGACCCATTCTCACTCTTTTAGCACCACTGCGACCTTCTCTCCGTCTTTTCCTTCTACCGTTTCCACTTCGCACTTGTAGCTCTTGAACTGCCTTGCTGGAACTCCCTTTTGGAACATGTCCTCCAGTTCGAGGTAGCTGCGGCCCTTCATCTCCGGGAAGCAGAAGTACAGGTAGACGGAGCAGATCAATGACGGAGCGAAGAAGACGAATGCAACTTTTCCGCCCAGGTTGGCGTTGCTCGGGTTGATAAGGTAGGGGATGAGCTGGGTCACCAGGCAACCGGCTGCGGTGTTGCTCATGACGGTGATCGAGTAGGTCTTCTGGCGGAGGCGGGGGGAGGGCGTCTCACCACCCACAGCAAATGCGACAGCACCAATGGACAGCTGATACTACAGAGAAGGAGCATGTCAGTTACATGGCTCAGACAGATACTAAAGGAGTTCGACTTACCAGGAAGCCCCACAGCGCCATGAAAGCGACAACAGCCTGCAGTACTCGTTGATTTCCTTCAACGACGCTGAGTCCACCAATCAACAACAGAAGAGCTGACATGGAGATGATGCCGCCGACAATCAGAGGCCGACGGCCAGTGCGCTCGATGAGGAACCAGGAGCAAATATTTCCGACAAGTTGGATGCTGTAGCATACTTGAGCAATTCCAATCGGGTTTCCAACGCCTGCAATTGTGAAGTAGTAGCTATTGATCGAGGTCCGTTAGCAAGTTGTCATACGTAGACAGAGGGTATCAATAACTCACGGTAGGTACGATGCCACGAAGTTCGATCCAGCCAGCTGCTGCGCCAAGAGAACCACGACAACGATGGTAGTTCTGCGTAGGTTTGGCCCCTTGAAACACTCGAGATAGGATGCACCCTTGTGGTTCAGCTCTTGCTCTTTCTCCAGCGTGCTTTCCATAATGGCCAGGGTTTCCTCGACGTCGTGCTTCGGGCCGTTGAACCTGCGCAACGACTTTGCCGCCTCATCTCGCCTTCCCTTCATCAGCAGCCACGATGGCGACTCCGGAAGAAGAATGCCTCCAAGCACAATGAGAAGAACCGGAGGGACAAGTTGGGTAAACACGGGGATCCTCCATCCCCAGTCACTGCTGATGAACGACCCGGCGTATCCGATCAGCGCACACGACCACTGACCGAGGACAATCATGGTGTTGATGAGGATGAGACAAACACCACGGAGGGAATCTGGTGCGATCTCTGCAACATATACTGGGCCGAGGGTGTGTCCCAGTCCGAACCCGACTGTGCTGATGAGCTTTCCGCCAAAGAGCATCATTATGGAGTTGGAGAAACCCTGGACGAGGATTCCGGCAATGCAGAACACGCATCCGAGGAGGACGACCAGACGGCGACCGATTATGTCGGAAATGAAGCCAGTTGTGTAAGCTGCGAGGAAGACGCCGACTGTTGTTGCCGCATTGAGGACTTGTTGGTCGTGTGTGGTGATCTCCTTGACGCCTGTGGTTGTGGTGACGCCGAAGCGGTCTAAGAAGGCGGGGATGGCGAGGATGTTGCCGACGAGGGCGATCTCGTAGCCGAAGTTGATCGGTAGAATGAAGATGAGGAGACCTGTCCGGCGATATTCGTCAACCAACAGTCCACTGAAGTGGGCGGCGGTAAGCCTCCCGCCTGCGTCAATACTCACACCAAGCCAGCACTCTCTTGTTTTTGGAGAGCTCGGCGAACCCTGAAGTCGTTTCCGAAGTTTTCGACATGGTGGAATGTGGCTGGTCCTGGTTGCCAAAACCTTTCGGGACCTGCTAATATGAGAAGCCGCAGGACTTCGAGCAGAGACAATGTTCCTCGAGTGTCTTGTCCCCATCAAAGCCTGAACACTTGCAAGAAGAAACTCAGAATAGAGGCCTAGACTCAGTTCTTATGCAACTCTTCAGGGTACTGAATCCGGCTTAGCCCACATGAACTCCAGATTGATGAACAGTCAAACCACATGTTTCCCCATGGGTTCCGTCCACATCAACTCTTCAAAACCCCACAATGCTTGATACGACTCCCCGCAAACCCACAGAATTGAGTGAGACAATTGGTCAAACCCAATTCGCCGCGGCAAATTGCTATGGTCCGGCCGTTTCCGTGTCGTTCCCACTCGAGTCAGCCGCCCCTGAAAATTCCTTTTCCACTTTGCAACGGCTCGGGCAATCGGGGAAATACTTCCACAATTCACCGTCTGGTGGTATTTTCGAATACCTAGTAAAAGATGACCAAACGAGCGTGCGATGGCTGTAGGCGGAGAAAAGTCAAGGTCAGTTTCTCTCATACAGATTATGGATCGTATTCTGACGGGTCTGGAGTGCGATGCCAAGAGCCCTTGTTGCTCGAATTGTTCGATGTCTTCTTTGACGTGCGAATACACAGTCCCGGCAAAGAAAAGGGGGCCGCCTTTCAGGATTCACAAAGAAGGCCGTCGAGATACGTCCCAAGCCAGTCAGGATACTGAGCCAGCAGTTGCCGAAAACCAAGCTCAGGACTTGACTCCGACCAACGGCCCTGTCTCGGGTAATTCGTTCACGGAGGCTCTCCGAGTCACTACAATTCCTCCAACACAGCCAGTACACAGTCCATTTCGCGACGCCCAAGATGATCTCCTCTCAGCTCTGGGGAAAGCACTCCCCTACGCACCGCTCGAGGACGTCTTATCCACCTGCATCGACCTCTACATGCAGTGGGAGTTCCCTACAGGGCCGGTTATCTGCGAGCCAATGCTCCGGCAGGCAGTCCCCGTCGTCGTTCCAATTCTCCGAGGCGAGACCTCGATTCCCAGCATCTCGGTCACCGGTCACTCCACCTCGGACGTGTCCACGTTGCGCGTTTTCGCACTACTGACGGGCATCTGCGCGTTCGTCTCGTCGAGTCTGCCCACCGCCGTCTTCTCCACCGGAAGTGCCCTGGCATGGCCTTTTCTGAGGACATCACGCGAGGCTCTGCGCCTGTATCAAGATTACGACGTTGAGCACCCCGAGAGCAGCTCGATCATTATTCGCTATTTTCACTCCAATGCTCTCCATGCGCTCGGCAAGACACGGGTGTCGTGGCATGTCATGGGCGAGGCTCTCCGTCTGGTTCAAGAGATGCGGCTCTACGATGAGTCGAGTTTTCAAGGTCTTGAGTGGCCCGAAGCACATCTCCGGAGAAATGCATTCTGGCATCTGTACATTGGCGACAAGTCTGCGTCGATTTTGCAGAAAGTTCCGATTTCGCTTCATCAGATGTGCTTGGACACGCCGATTGATACTGTGTTCGATGAGAATCTGGTCTGCAACCTCATGAGCTCGAATTCGAACATCGACGGGTTCGAGACTCAGCTACGCGTGGGCTTTTATCTGTGCTTTCGGCTGTGGTACACAGCCTCGGAGATGCTAATAGACCTGAATCTGCTCTCGCGGTTGCAAAACAGAGGCGGCACACTGACAACAGCTCCGGCGACAGACACTTCGAGTTTGAGGACGAGCATCATGCAATCGTATTTCGATTTTATGAGTATCCTCCAAAACTGTCCTACGTGGATCAAAGATCCTTCCTCCGCCGGCGGGGACAACCAAGCCGATCCCACGGCGCAATTTCGTATTCGCTCATTTGCTACTCAGAGAGCCAACCTCTTTGTCACATTTCATGCGTTGCGTCTTGTTCTTCTCTCTAGATTTACGGATCGAGGCTTTGCGGATCTTCTTGGACTGACAAATGACCCGATCATGCTGTCGCTGCGCAAGGTCGAGATTGCGAGTGATTTGGTGGCAATCGTGACCGAATTACCTTTTGAAGCCCTCCTGGCTAACGGAGAACCATGTGTTAGTATTCGTGTGGCCCCTTCGTTCCCTGATTCCGTATGATAACGTTTTCGAAGGTTGAGAAACTCCGACAGGTCGGCGTTGCCTTGCTTGAGATCATGCACAATGTGGGCAACGAGGCAATTTCCAACCGAGCAAAGTCCCTTTTCAGCACCCTTTTGGATATTCTCGCCCGACTTAACTCGAGAGTTTCTGACGAACTTAGCAGCGATCGCTAGTCACAGACTTTCCCAGGGAACATTTTTACGGCTGGAGAAACAATCCATCACCGGTCATGTCTCGGCTCACGTTCCTCTCCACACATGCAGCTTGTGGGTTCTGCTCCAGTATCCCGCCGCTATGGGGGACAAGGTGGATTCCCAGCAATGTTCCGCGGCGAATTATCCCACAACTCCATACCGCAACCACAAAAACACGCGATGCGGGGTGCTTGCAGCCGATGTGGTTATAAACATGATTTGCCGGCGGGCGGGATCTCTACAAGTATCGAAGTGCATTCATGCCCTGATCTGGCCAAGTCTCGTAGCAACAACACCCGCGGAATACGACACCCGACAATGGCAGAGACTCGGACGTACCGCAACCCCATCATCCCCGGCTTCGCGCCCGATCCGTCCGTCGTTTTCGTTGACGGGGTGTTTTACCTCGCCACGTCGTCTTTCCACGTATTCCCTGGAATTCCCATCTACGCATCTACGGACTTGCAACAATGGAAGCAGATTGGTTGGTAGTGTCGATAAAAAGCTGACAAATCATCACTGACAACCCGTAGGCAATGCGATAAACCGCAGGGAGCAGCTCAATCTCGAGCGAGCTGAGACGGCGGTAATGCCCCTAGATACTGGCAACGTCATGGTCTCCAGCGCTGGTCTCTTTGCTCCAACGATTCGCTACCATGAGGGAACATTTTACATTATCTGCACCAACGCATTTCGCAAAAACGAGGAGTTCTGCCTGGACAACTTCTACGTCAGCACAAAGGACATCTGGGCCGGAGACTGGTCCGACCCGGTCTACTTCCCTTTCCACGGCATTGACCCGAACCTGTTCTTCGACGAAGACGGACGTGCTTACGTCCAGGGATGCTGGATGATCAACCGTCTGAAGCAGCCCAGCTGCACCATCAAGCAGCTCGAGATCGACATCAAAACGGGCAAGGCGCTCTCGGAAACCCGTGAGATCTGGGGCGGATATGCCCGCTATGACACCGAGGGTCCGCACATCTACAAGCGCGGAGAGTGGTACTATCTTCTCGTCGCGGAGGGCGGGACTTTTGAGCACCACCTCCTCAGCATCGGGCGCTCCAAGAACATCTGGGGCCCGTATCAGTCGTGTCCGAGCAACCCCATCATGACCGCGGACGGGAAGCCGGATGAGTATATACAGAATATCGGACACGGCGAGCTCTTCCAGGACCAGAGCGGTTCGTGGTGGGCTGCTGTGCTGGGCGTGCGCAACGAGAACGGGGCTCCGCCTCTGGGTCGCGAGACGTTCTTGACCGCGGTGGAGTGGCCCGAAGGAGGTTGGCCAACGGTTCAGCAGCCCAAGATGGAGTTCCAGCGCAGTTTATCCGGGTTGGTTGGGGCCATCAAGTATCTGCCTCCGTCGCCGGAGAATGTCGATAACGTCTACATCAGAAATGTAGATCTTGAAAACTACGATATCAAGGGCGAGGCTGGCGACTTGACTTACAAGCTCAAAGCAAGCGCCTCTAGTATTTCAACGCCATCGGGTACGGCTACGTTCATCGGAAAACGCCAGAGATCGCTTGACTCCAGCGCTTCGGTAGTCCTGGACCTTTCGGCAACAAAGTCTGAAAAGAACGTCGTTGCAGGACTCGCGCTCTACAAAGACGCCCTGCGGCATGTGTCTTTGAGCTACGACTTTAGCTCGAAACAACTTACCTTCGACGTCACGACAACGTCCGAAGAGAAGAAACAAAGGTCCTCGTTCTCTATCGACTCGTCTACAAAGAGGTTGTACCTACGAGTCGTGACTTCGGTTCAAAAATATCAACTGTCTTACCGAGAGAAGGAGGAGGAAGATTGGCGAGAGGTGGGATCGGCGGAGGTGGCAGATTTGGTCGCACGAGAGATGACTGGGCCGATATTTGGTCTGTTTGCTCACGCCGTTGATGCTGAAGCTGAAGGAGAGGAAGTGACGTTCAAGAAGTTTGTGATTGAGGGACAAAATAGTCTTGTCTGGTGATACCGTGATAAGTAGTCATGAATCAACACACGATCACTTTTTACAGTGAGGACCCAAAGGTCTGAGGCCATTTGACTTTACGAACGCGCGGGTCGCGTCGCGTCACCCATCTCGCCACATACCTTGAAGACCCAAACTACGCGTTTTTTTCCGTCAATTTAAGCATTGACCGCGAATGCAACGGTGAACTTACCAAAATCCAGTGCCGCCTCAGCGGTGGTCCTGAGCGGCACCTGGAAGCGCCATATCAAAGCTAGGTACCTCACTACACAACTAATACATAGTTCCATTTCATGAAAAGTTGTAAATACAACCAGCGTGCTGATTCTGACCTCTGATATTGTTACTATTGGTGTAACGTCTAATGCCGTGCCGATACAAGCCGCGCCACCAGATATGCTGATTACTCATCATTTCGAAATGCCGATGATGTAATCCGTCAACCTCACTTCTTCTTTGGCAGCAAACAGCACGATTCTTTATCGCGCCGGGCACCCTGATTGTTTAAGTCTCGGCAACACAGAGATATTGTTCAACACTCTAGAACCTTTCCTACACACAAGAAAGCATTCAAACCCCTTTCTCATCATGGATCCTGCACAACTTCCTCCGTGGGATCTTCCTGAAGGTGTCGCTTCTCGGTTCGTCGATACGTCTCCTGCCGGCCTCAAGTTCCACATCTTGGAGTCCGTTCCCCCAAATGTCGAGCAAAGTGACCGTCCTCCTCTCATTCTGCTTCTTCACGGATTTCCCAATCTGTCATACGACTGGAGCGCCATCATGCCGATGCTCTCCAGAGCAGGGTATCATGTAGTCGCTCCCGACATGAGGGGGTTTGGTCGTACGCACAATTCGGACCTGACCCCGATTGCGGATGAGCATTTTCGTCCGATTGTAGCTGTCCACGATGTCACGGCGCTCCTGGTCGGTCTTGGGCACGATTCCATCCACACACTGGTCGGCCACGATTTGGGTGCGTTTGCTGCTTCGCTTGTGACGGTGGTTCGGAAGGACTTGGTGAAGTCGCTCATCCTGATGTCTCATCCATTCAAAGGCATCCAAGGCCCTTCGACAGATGGCAGCACTGGTGGAGGAGAGGATATTCAGGCCACTCTCGCCAGGCTTGACCCTCCAAGGAAGCACTACAAGTACTACAACGCATCCCCTGAGGCGTCTGATGAATGGACGTACCCGACTGGCCAGCCACTTCACGACTTTCTTCGGGGTTACTTCCACCTCAAGTCCGCAGACTACAGCCAGAATCAACCTCGCCCTCTCGAGTTCTGGACTGCAAAAGAGCTCGCGGTCATGCCACATTACTACGTCATGAGAGCCGACCTTTCGATGCGCGGCAACATTGAGCTGGACATGTCCCAAGAGCCTGCCGAGACTCGGGGAAGGCTGGCTGACACACCTTGGCTTCCCGACTCCGACCTTTGTGTATATACCAAAGAATACGGCAGAACAACGTTCAGCAAGGCTCTGCTTTGGTACAGGGCGCTTGTGGATCCGAAGTTGTCGGCAGACCTCCTACCTTTTGCGGGGACCAAGATTTCCGTCCCAACTATGTACATCTCTGGCGATCGAGACTGGGGAACTTATCAGGTTCCTGGAGCCCTCGAGGCAATGCAGCGAGGTGGCAGCGTTGAGCATGGATGTTGGCGTGGAGCCGTCCATATCCCTGGCGCTGGGCATTGGGTCAACATGGAGAAGCCGGAGGAGTGTGCTCGTGAGATTCTGAATATGGCGACGTCCGTCGGTAATACGACTGCGAAGTAATCTGGATGAATCCAACATACCGTACAGTGCTACCTCTGGATGACTCTAAGGGTGGTATCTCGGGCGTAGCCAGTGCAAAGGTCCAGTGTCAGAACCCGCGGCATAAACAGAAGACTTGCTTGACGAGGCAGCTATCAAGCAGACGCCTTTACAATCTTTCAGGGGCGTAGCGATGCCTTCATCTAGTAATACTTTCAGGCTTAATACTTTGAGGTGCTAATGAAGCATTCCCAAGCCCATATAAATTGATTTTGAAGGGGTGAATAAACAACGTCTAAGCAAGGCAGGAGCCACTCGGAGGGTTCGACGTCCCAAGTCGCGTCGCGCCTTCCTCCAGACCTTACGGAGAAAGGTCAGGAAAAAATAATAATAAACGGCCCTCCCACCTCACTTTCGAATACTATTTTTTCCTCCGATCCCACACTCCACGGTTTCCCTTTTTTCCACAAACCACCTCTTTCTCCCCCATCTGTGTTACCCTCTACACAGCTCCCATCCGCCGTCGACAACACAACGTCGACGACGGCTTCTCTCTTCTTCTGCTACATCAGCAGCTACCGATTACCCTTTCTTATCACTACTCAATCGCTCTCCGGTGTATTTCATCTTGTCATTTTGCCTTGGCTTCTCGCGCCTTCGACTTTTGGCACCATCACTCCTCCGACCTCAACTCACCTGCACCACATCCGCCTACCACTTCAGACTTCGACGCAGTCAGCAAAATGTGTCGACACGAGAAGTGGATGTGCTCCTGCGCTACTTCCAGGCCCGTGAGAGTGGAATGCGAGGCCTATGACGCCAAGAGCAACCACTGTCCCTACGTGCCGAACCCGGGTCCCGATGAGAAGCTGGACCTCGTGTCGAGAATCGACGGCCGTTGCACCAACATCAAGTGCAAGTGGGCCGATCCCAAGCTGAAATACAACGCCCAGCAACCCCTCTCTCCGACCTCGCAGGAGCTTGCACAATTGCTCTTGGACGCCACCGTCACCGTCAACGACGACACCGATGCGAAGCACGCCACCGAGGCGCGGAACGACACGGTCTCGCCTCAACCTTGTCTGGCAGAGAAGCCTGAACTTTCGGTTTCCGCCAACACGACTGCTGAAACTTGCAGCAGTCGCCTCACTCCCGCTCCGGTCGTCAATGTCGATAAGGAGAAATCTGCCACCGAGGTCGCCCCTGCTACTACTCGTTTTGACGACTCCATCATCCTTTCTGCAAAGGACGGCGAAGACACCAACGTACAGGCTGACCATTCTGAGTCTCGCGTCACTTCTGAGTCTCGCGTCACTTCTTCTCCGGTCGTCGATGGCGATACGGAGATATGTACAAGCAGAGTCACCGTTACTGGTCAGAGTACCGACACAGCCAGTCTTCTACAGCAACCTTCTTCAACGGCTGAAGCTATGAACAGCGACAATAGCACCTCCTTCACAGAGCCCATGAATGACACCGACTTCGACATGGATGAACTCTTTGCAGATGCTCCGTCAAAGCCCTTCCTACAAGTGCCTTCTACGACCGAGCTTGAGCGCGACTACATTAATCATACCGCCAGAGAAGTCGAGAAAACTGCCGAGAGTGTTGGCACAGGTGATCTTACACCGTCCCCTTCAATAGGCCAGGGTATCACTGGCGACAACACCAATCTCTTTAACGGAATGTATCATATGAGCGCGAAAGACTGTGCGACATATGGTTCACCTCCTTCGATGCGGATGACCACTAGCGACAACAACCGTTTCTCCATCGGCGCCAGCAATGACAAGAACAGCGCCCGATTTGGTAAGCTACTCTCATGCTCTCCCACTTGCTCTTCAAACACTGACGCAGTCCCAGCTGTTAATTGTTCTCCGCCGCCTCCTGCTTCGCCGTCGCTTGGCAAGATTGAACAGTTGGCTCCCGTCAACGACCTGCCCAACGACGGGCCGTCTGGCCCAGGCAACAGCGAGTTCTGGAAGGACACATCGCATAAGATGCGGGTGTTCATGCCATTCATTGCACAGCCCTCAAATGGTATCGGTAAGTCACCCTCCATTCTAAGCCAACACTCGCCTAACATTTTTTCAGGTCAATCTGTTGTCAGTTCCCAGCCAAAGCCAACAGATGTCAATCCCTCTCCAAGCACCAGCGCCACGAGCCAGCCATCACCTGCGTCGTCTCTTGGTATTGCAAATCAGACTGGCAAGCCGAAAACCTCGCGAAAAGGCAAAGGCCCAAGCAGCCGATCTGTGAAGGCCCAAGCAGCTGGCGCCCTGGTTGGGGCCAAAACTGGACTGTCAGCTCCAGTCGTTCCCCATGCCACGCAGCTGGCCAGCGACGTCAATGACTCTTCCAGAATGCTGCCTGTCACCACACGTCAGCAAATTGCCAAGTCCGCTGCAAGAGCCCAGACACCCAGGGATATTGCACCCATTCTCCGGGGTCAACAGCAAGTTGCAAACGGCTTTCCCAGATATCCCGGTATGGCGACGACCATTCCCTCGTATCGGCAGCCCGGGCATCTTCAGCAGACAGCCGGAGTTGCTCCTGGGATATCCAAGAATATGTCTCAATTTTCGCCGAATCAGCAATCTGGAGTCCGATATGTGCAGTGTCCCCTCACAGAGGCTGAAATCCCGCATTTGCAGCAGCAAGCCGCAAGAGGCTCTCCGATATATCCTACCAACGCAGTGGGGGTTTTGCCATATCAACAAGCCGGAGTCCAACATCAGCAGACGCCAAGAACAAGCCCTGATCTTACACGGACTCAGATTGCCTTGGGCGGGCGCCAAGGACACATTCAAGAGCAAGCCGCTAGAGGCCTTCCGGGGCATTCTACGGGCTCATTGGGCAGCGATTCCCCGCTAATGAGAGAGCTCCGGAACATGACAGACCAGCAACCTGCTATGCAACAAAACTCGTCTGCCGTATCACAATCCCCGGCTCGCAATGCAGTCACTCAAGCTACTCAGGGAGCAGGCCAGAGTTGGCCTTTGACGGCGCCAATGCAGTCACAGATGAACTATATGGGATACCCTCAGACCGCTGCCTCGTTCGGAGCAGTTCCTTCCAACTCGAGCAACCTGGCTTGGTCAGGACATCAGGGCTTTCAAAACCAGGACTTCAACAATCTGGGTTTCTTTGGGGCGCGCTCTCCCAATGAACTTCCCCAAGTCAGCAGCGGCTACAATGGCATGCCGCCCCTCCAGCAACATTCCATGTGGCAGAACTCTCATGGAGCGTCGAATGCTTCATCGCCACCCCAGAGCCAAATGGCGTTCGAAGGCATGATGGGCGCATCACAATTCAACACATCCCAAAGCACGCCCACGATGGGCCATGCGGTTCCGACCGGCAAGCGCTCATATGATAGGATGAACAACAACGAACCCGTCATGCAACGGCACATTCAGGCCCAGATTCAAGCCCAGATTCAAGCCCAGCTTCAGGCCCAAGTTCAGGCCCAGCTTCAAGGCCAACCGGTCGCTATGCACACTTCACCAGATTGGACTCCATCGGCAGAGTCGCAGCAAGCCCCTTCCAAGAGGGCAAGACGTCATAGGCCCATTCAGGAAGCCCCTCAAGGTTCGGTGAACTACGACACACAGATGGGATCTCAGAGCAACGTTTAGGGAACCGACTTCGAGATGCCATCTGAAACTTCACCCGAGCAATTGGCTAACGCCATCCATCAAACCGAAGGAAAGGGTACCCCCCAGCAATTATACCCAAGCCCGGTGTTGACAGATGGCTCCTCCGAGTCTTCTGAAAGTCATTGCGACGATCTTGAGCAAATCGAAAGAGATGACTCGCGGCTCTTATTCAACCTCATGCCTCCGTTGGAATACACGGAGGACGATATTGCAAGTTCGTTCGGATTCTATTGAGAGGTTTCTCTGTTTTCTTTTTCTTTCGAGTGGGAAGGGAGCATGATGAAGTCCTTTCTCAATTGGGGCTACACGACTTCCAACCCCTTGCACAGACACAGAACGAGCAGATCTGAGATTGGCATTTTTTTGGGCCAAGGATGCTTATGCAATGATTTCATCAAGTAAACTCACAGATGAGTTGGTGGTTATCGATTCTGTTTTGGCAGGCTTTTATGTTTTCTAGTTTCGATTGGTATCATGGGCGTATGTGAGTTGCCGGGCTTGGAAGCCATCCATAGCTGCTCTACCTTGCGCATCAGTTGTATACGCAATCGCGCCGGAACGCTTTTGATTGATAGTACCTAGCTCTCTAGATAACGACGTAATGAAACTAGTCTTTTCTGTAGCTTTGATTGTTCTTCCCTACTTGTGCTTCAGTTTCTGAACACTCATGAAGTGCGTTTCTTTGACCATGCTTTTGATGCCTTTGTCCTCCCGGCTGTTCTGGATGCATATGCGATTGATATGCATCGTCTTCTCCATCCATAAAGATACGACTATGGCAAAACTACATTTCCAAGACACGTTGCCTCGGCCTAGCCCTAAACAAGATCATGTTTCGAACATGCAGCGTCGGGACGAATGACAATACAGGAGCCTCCTGGAAGAACAACGTGAGCCTCGGAATCCTCGGACTCGGGACTCTCCACAGAGGCTGACTGGATGACACCTCCATCTCGCCATCCCAACGACACGAGCCAGCCGCCTTTCGTACGAACCCCGGAAAGCTCGCCTTGGGACCATTCTTTCGGACACGACGGCAGCAGCCTGATCTCCACCACGTCCTTCGAAACGATGGTCGACTGCACCAGACACTCCAAAATCCCGGCGCATCCCCCAAAGTTGCCGTCGATCTGGAAGGGCGGGTGGCTGTCGAGCATGTTCGACAGCGTCGAGCCCTTGAGCAGGAGGTCCATGTGCTGGCCGCAGCCTTCGGCGTCGAGCAGTCTTGCGTGGAGGTTCAGCAGCCATGCTCGGCTCCAGCCCGTGTGGCCGCCGCCGTGGGCTGCCCTGCGTTCGAGGACGCGCTTGGCTGCCGCTGCGAGCTCGGGTGATCTGGACGGGCTTATGAAGTCGCCTGGGTAGAGGCCGAATAAATGGGATACGTGCCGGTGGCCGGGTTCTTGCTCTTCGTAGTCTTTCAGGCCCCATTCTTGGATCAGTCCGTCTGAGTTTATTGATAGTGGAGGAAGCCTTTTTAGAGTCTCTTCGACTTTGCTTCTGAGGGGATGATCTCTGTCCAGCGTATCAGTGCTCCATAAGAATTTCCTGAAAGCGATCCGGATGATGGTCATGTCTATGGCAGAGCCTTCGCAGAGGATACCTGCTTCTCCTGACTCTGACAAGAACGTGTTCTCGGGGGAGAGCGAAGGGTTTGTGACCAGATACTTCCCGGAAGCCGATGGTATCAGGAAGTCAAGCAGGAAGATAATACTCCCTTCCAAAACGGCCGCCGCTCGTGTATGAAGATCCTCATCGTACTGGTACTGCAACATTTCAAATACGTCGATACACAGCCAAACACCACCGAGTGGCCAGATTGTAGAGGGCATCCACCGGTCTTGAGGGTCCGTGTCCGCCCAGATATCCGTGTTATGATGCGCGCACCAGCCCTTGCAGCCATACATGACCGAAGCAGTCTTCTCCCCACGGACAGCCATCCTCTCCAACAGATCGAGAACCGGCATGGCGCAGTCGACCAGATTGCATGGTCCCGCCGGCCAGTAGTTCATCTGCAGGTTGATGTTGATGGTGTACTTGGACCCCCACGGCGGCGCGAACGACGGGTTCCAAATACCTTGCAGGGTTGCCGGCAGGGCTTTTTCGGAATCGCGGCTGCATGATATGAGGAGGTATCTGCCGTAGTTATGGTACAACGCGACAAGTCCCGGATCTCGGCCTTCTTTGATTCTCTGGTCTGTTGGTACGTGGCTGGCGTCGGGGGACATTCGTAGGCTCGTCCGGTTGAAGAGGTTCTGGTAATCTTCTCGATGACGTTGAACGAGGGTGGCCCAGGGGTGCTGTAACGCTTTGAGAACGTTGTCTACGGCTGCTGCCTCGGGGTCCTGGGTTCGGTAGGTTGTTTGGGCGCCGATGGCGATGGTGCACGCGGATGAAGTGACGATTAATGCGTTGCCGATCACTTCCACGGAGTCCGCCGCGTCGTCGCAGGAAACTGCCAGGGCGATGGACAAGCTGTTACTATTCCGGCCGCCCGGCGTCGCGTTCAACACGATTCGTCCATCTTCTGCATGGATACTGTCGAGAAACTCGTTCGTCTCCCACTCAATCTCGCTAACGCGGTTTAATCGCACGACGAACCGAGTCGGCTTCGAAGAAGAAAATCTCACCGCCAGCACGTTGTCCGGGAAACTGGCGACGGCATCCCGACGATACGAGACCCCTCGATGTCGATACTCAACACTAGTCTGCGCCGTCTCGAGACACAGACACCTCCGATACTCCGTCATGTCCTCGACAGCATGGCCGAACTCAACGGTGCAGTTGCCGAGCGGCTCGTAGTGCCTCATGCTCGCCGGCGTCGCGAAGAAGGCCTCGCGCACCAGCGCCTCGGCCTCGGCGTGCCTCTCGTCTCGGACCAGCCGCCGGAGCCGCGGCAGGTGACGGAGCGCGTCTCTCGGGGTCCTGTCCTGCGGGCCGCCGTACCAGACCGAGTCCTCGTTGAGCTGGAGCAGCTCGGTGTGTGTTCGCCCATGGACCATGGCGCCCAGCCGCCCGTTGCCGATTGGCAGGGCCTCGGACCATTCAGAGGCGGGGGACTGGTAGTGGAGGAGCAGGGGTTGGGGGTCGTGTTGGTTCTGGCCGGAGCCGGGTGTCGAGGTGCCGTGTTTGCGGGACATGGTGGTGGTTGGGAACGTCGAGCCGATGTGCCGCTGCGGTCTTGTTGGCCGTGTAATAAGTGACTTGACGATTTGGAGCTAATACTCAATTGGGATTTCGAAAATCCCATGAAAGAAAGACTTTCTCTTGTCAATTCTGCCAATGATCAGAACAGAGTGTCGGATCACCGCATGCCCAAAATGATGGGATGTTGGAGCGGTCCTGATGGACGATTTTAACCCCAGACAACCCACGAAGGGGCCGGGGCCCTGGCTCGGCGTCGTATCATTTGAGGAAAATTGGCTCGGGAGTGTGGGGTAACCGGCCGGCCCCCGACGCCGGGGCCAATCACGGCGGGGTAAAGCAGGCCGAACGACCCCACCCCGGCCACCACCGGACGTGGAGATGCACGACCTACAGCCGCCAGTCCAATCATCCTTCACCAAAGCCGCTGCCGGGCCGGTCCAGCGTTGGATCTTTGGGGTAGGGTCTGGAGGCGGATGGACTAGAATAGGGAATGGAGTGGTGTTTTTTCAGATGAACCACATGGTCGGTCTGTTGGAAGTCTGGGGATAGCATCCTTAGTCAGGGTTCGAGACCTAGCTATCGGAAGGCCATTCCGTGGATGTGCAGAGGGTGGTATGCAGAAAGGAGAATGCCACCTTATTTCCCTTCTATCTGAGCTGAGGCCGCAAGAGTCTATATATCCGCCTGGGTGCGCCACTGCAACCTGATCCCTCGACCCAGAAAGCTGGGCTTCTTCCTCGTCGCTGATCCACCTCCATCTTTCAAGGTCCCTGACATAGGAGACAAACGACCCGCGCCTGAGCGCTTTAGTCACTGACTTGCAGCTGCATTCCTCACCATGGCGCCGCGAGACGAAGTCAACCACACGGTGGTCTACCACGACGATGTCGCCGAGGCGACCAAGATGGGCGTCGCCGTGGAAGAGGTGACGGCAACCCGAATCACAGAGGACGACGTCGCGCGCAAATCTGCAGAGGCCTTGACGCTGAAGTCCAAGACGGGACTCCGCATCCTGCTCTACATGCTCATCATGGGAGCCAACCAGGCCGGGTACGTCTCACATGCTCGTATTTCCTCGTCAAGAACTACGCAACTGACACAATCACCCGCACAGATACGGTGTCGACTGGGGCGTGATCAGCAGCATCAACTCCAACCCGCGATGGCACGACTACTACGGCTTCCCCGACGCCGGCCCCATCATCGCCACCATCAACGCTCTCATGCAGATCGGCAGTTTCATCGGCGCCCCCTTCCTCAGCTGCGCCGACATCGTCGGCCGCCGCGGCGTCAACTTCATCGGCAACGCCCTCGTCATCATCGCCGCCATCATGCAGGCCGTCGCGCCGAACCTCGCCTGCCTCATGGCCGGCCGTCTCGTCCTCGGTTTCGGCACCGCCCTCTGCACCGCGCCGCAGTACGTCGCCGAGGTCGCCCCGGTCCACCTCCGCGGACGCATCGTCGGCTTCTTCGGCGCATTCTTCCAGGTCGGATCGCTGGGTATGATCGGCATCATGATGGGCTTGACCGGGTGGGAGAGCGACTGGCAGTGGCGCTGCGCCTTCCTCATCCAGGCCATCTTCCCCCTTATCGTCTGCATCGGTCTCTACACCGTCTGCCCGGAATCCCCTCGTTACCTCCTCATGAAGGGCAAGAAGGAGAAGGCGCGCGAGATGATCGCCAAGTACATGACGACGCACAACGACATCAACCACGAGATCGTCGACGTCGTCGTGTCGCAGATCGAGGAGTCCATCGAGAACACAAAAGCCGGCTTCCGCGCCACGTGGGACTTCCGCGTCTTCTTCACCCGCGCCGTGGGCTTCCGCACCACGGTCCTGGCCATCTACGCGGTCTTCCAGCAGTGGAACGGCGGCGGCATCATCGGTTACTACCTCTCCCCGGCGCTGAAGACGATCGGCATCAACGGGCAGCTCGAACAGCTCGGCATCAACCTGGGGTCGACGGGCCTCTACTTCATCTTCACCATGGTCGGGGCCTACATCATCGACTTCTTCCGCCGCCGCACGCTCATCTTCGCCGGGCTGGTCAGCATCATCCTCGCGCAGACGGCCGTGACCATCACGAGCTGGCAGTACACCGAGACGGGCCTGAAGTCGACGGCGATCCTGACGGTGGTCTGGATCTACTGCTTCCAGATCTGCAGCGCGTCCTTCATCGCGACCATGCACAACCTGTACCCGGTGGAGCTGCTCTCGCTGCCGCTGCGCGCCAAGGGCATGGGCGTGTTCGCCATGTTCCAGGCCATCGCGGCCGTGATCCACACGTACGGCATCGGCATCGGTGTCGAGAAGCTGGGGTACAAGATCTGGGCCGTGTACATTGTGTACAACTTCGTGCAGATCTTCATCAGCTACTACATCTTCCCGGAGACCAGCAGGCTCACGCTGGAGGAGATTGACAACATTTTCGAGACCGCAGGGACGCAGCCCGTGAAGCTGAGTATTAAGATCGCCGATGCCAAGAGGGAGAAGAGGAAGCTTGAGCGGGAGGCTGCGGTCAATCCGGAGTTTTGAGCGTTGATCCAGTGAGTAGTTTGTACAGGTGATCAATAGGAAGAAGGCGACTTTCATGGTCTTGACAGCGTCTATGCCCATCTGAATTCAGTTGAAATCATAAATGCTCGTATTCGAAGCCTGCCATGTAGCCACCGTGAAGTTGAATATGCATGGTTCTCCGCCGTCAACACAGTCGAACCAAATTATTTCTGAGACAAGTAAGTGTAGATGCTTTTCACATACTCCTCATATTCCCGATCCAGAAGTTATTGGACACACAAGCCGTTTAGAAACAGCAGCAGAATGAGCTACCCACAGCAAAGCATACATCTAACAAATGCAATATGCCGCGCAATATAATGCAGCCACCCTTATAAATATCTCACTATACCCAATAAGTACACATTTAATATTTAATATTCTAAAAGAATAAAACTCTGTCCTGATAAGCTTCCTGGCGTACTTGGTGGCGTGAATGGCCGCACTCTCAAGGTCGAAAACAGATATCTAAACTTACAACACCTCTCTCTTCCCACATCTTATAGGAAGAACGATTACAAGGTCTTTCACTATAATTGGCCATGACTTTAGCGTTTACAAGAATGGCAGTTTGCTTAAAAACAAGCAAGATACACCCAAAACACCAAAAAGTGAACTCGTCATGAGCTCGTTGTGTTGTTGATGAGAGTGGGATTCGAACCCACGCCAATTTCTTGACTAGCACCTGAAGCTAGCGCCTTAGACCGCTCGGCCATCTCACCTGGTGAGGTTGTTGACGATTTGGTCCGGAACGGGGCTTATGCAGCGCGAGCCCTGGGTGGAGACAGCACGACACACCAAGTGTCGGGGCAGACCGACGCTTAGAGATTCTACTGATAACAATGCGAGTGCTCTTTTAATTTGTATTTTGTCAGTCCAGGCTATCGGAGCGGTTCTACTAAATCGCCGCAAAGCACTGGTTAAATGCAGGCTGGACGACTACAAATTATCCTACTTATGTATGCTTCGCCTCCCTGAGAATACCTAGAATCTGCGACTTTGTCGCTTCCGTCACGGAATCAAACGTCATCTTTTTCCATTTTCCATTCAATACTGCGGGCGGGAACCCGCTCGCACCATTTTCCAGCAGGAACTTGACCGTTTCCACATGACCACTGTATGCTGCGCTCCATATGGCGTTGTAACCTCCATATTCGTAGTTCAGGTCTACGTTATGCCCGATGAACACTTTCAGGCAGTCAATTTGTCCCCAGCTCGCCCCCAACATGACCGGAGTGTCCCCGTAACCTCTGAACGGGTCAGTGATCCTATTCATGGAGGCTTTATGGTCCAGGAGAGCAGCGCAGATTCTTGAATGACCTTTCTCGGCGGCGAGATGGAGGCTGGTGTAGTCATCTTCCGTGACCTCGTCGACGTAGGGGGCTTGGTCGCAGTCGAGGAGAAATTTGACAACATCGAGGTGGTTGTTTAGCACGGCCAGGTGGAGTGGGTTTTTTTCCTCCTTGTTCTTAGATTTGACATCGGCGTTGCGGCTGACCAGGGTCTGGCAGATTTCAAGATAACCCTTGGAGCATGCAAGATGCAATGGTTTGGTTCCATCTCTGCATGTGATGTTGACATCTGCCCCCGACTCCAGTAACACGTCAACGGCTTTGGGCTTGTTCTGTCGTACGGCCAAGAGAAGTGGTGTCTCGCCTGCTTGATTCTTGACTTCGAGCTTCGCATTGAAGCGTAAGCTGACCAGAGTATGACAGAACTTCCACTTGCCATCCGATGCGGCATTATGCAGGATTGTATTACCTTTCGAGTCGGCAGTACCGAAATCGGCACCCGCATCAAGGAGGAATTCAAAGAGGTCGTCCGAATCTGCCGCCATTGCTAAGTGTAGTGGAGTGCGACCCTCATGGTTCTTCATCTCGAGTTCGGCGTTATCCCATCGACTGCCGACCAACGCCAAAAGATACGTCAATGCGGAGTAAGCCAGTGCAGACGCTTAGGAGGTTTTTTAGCCCAATTAAATCATCCCAAAAGCCTGATTTTGGGGTAAAATTGGAGACGTATTTTTTTTGGCGTTGGTCGGCAGTCGATGGGATAGCGACTAACCAGCTCGCGTGCGATTTCCAAGTTGCCCAAGTCATCACGGCGTGATGCCGAATGAAGTGGCGTGTCACCATCCGAGTCTTGCAGCTTGATGTCCGAGTCAGCGCCGGCAGCAAGCAGGATCCGGGCTGCCTCCGTATGTCCCGAGAAGCAAGCCCGATGGAGGGCTGTTTCGCCCTTTTTGTTGACAGCGTGTACATCAACCTTCTTGTCCAAGAGCATCTGTACAATCAATTCATGGCCCCTGGCTGAGGCAGCGAGAAGCGGGGAGTCTCCATCAGAACTGTCCTTCACATTAACGTCAATTCCGGAGACAGTAAGCGACGCCCCGATAGCTCTTTCGTCTCCGTTTCGGGCGGCCACGTAAAGCAGTGGGGTTTCATAGTAATCGGGGTTCTCAACCTTCGCGTTGTGATCGATCAGTTCTTTCACAAAGTCAGCCAGTCCGTAAGTAACAGCTCGTGACAGAGCTGAGCCTTGCTTATTGACTGTGTCGACATTAACCCCATGTTCAAGAAGCGCTTTGGCCACGCCAAGGTTCTCGTATTCGACTGCCATCATCAGGGGTGTCTTCCCGTTCACGTCTCGTGGTTGTTCCGTGATATTTGGCTCAGCTGACAGGAGAATGCGGGCACAGTCCTCCCGGCCTAGCTGCGCGGCAAGATGCAAGGGTGTTTGACCCGTGCTGTTGTGAGACCCGAGTAGACTTCCGTTCTCAGCCAGCAGCTGCAAAAATCCAGTGTCGTTCAGTTTGATGGCGGCCAAGATGCTGTTGTCCGAAGCCGACACCATCTTGCTTATATATGGGATGGTGCGCTTGGAATATGGGCCAGTAATAACGATCATCGGATCCATCTTGGACGTATGCAGGGGGCACTTGAACTGCTCCTCGAAAGCACAATCATGACAACACCACGAATTCTTGCTCGCGAGATGTATTGTGCGGTCACAGCTTTCGCAACAACACATGTAGTAGTCATCGTCCAGGGGATGGTATAAGTAATGCGGCTCTGAGTTCGGAATTGGCAGCGAACATTTGGTGCAACTGGCGATGAGTGAGTCTTGAGTGACTGCCACTTCTGTTTCTTCCTTGGTATCGTCGTCTGACTGTGCGCGAGCTGTAGGACTGCTGCGTCTGGTAGAATGAGCCGCCTCAGCGTTCTCCAGCAGGGCTGCCTCAAATAAAGATTCGTAAGATTGTGCGGCTGCTTCTGTCGTCTCTGGCTCTGCTTCTGTGCCTGGGTCCGGTTCTGACTTAGGCGTTTTGGGGTCTGGACTAGGCTCTTGGACCGTCTTCGTCGTCCGAGGAGTCATCATCGTCATTCAAAGCTTCGAGCTGGCGTTGGAGCTCCAACGTGCGCTGACGAGTAGCCTCGATCTCTGCTCTCTGGGCAGCGAGCTTAGACTCCTTCTCCTTGGCTTCGGCGAGCGCGGCCTTCTTCTTGCGCTTCTCCTCCAATTGTCTGTCCATCTCCTCAGAGCTTGGCCGAGAGTCCGGATCTGAGATCGCTTCGGAACACTCTGGGTATGGTCTTATATCTTGCTGTGGGTCGAGCTCTGCTCTCGGCTGTACCTTCGGCTCTGTGCTAGTTGCCGAGAGTTCTTCCCAGGGCATCGCAACCTTCATCTCCGGCTCTGGTCTGGATTGGGGCGCTGGTGTCACCTCCGGCCCTGTCTCAGACTCCGCTCCCGAATTGGACTCCAGTTCTTGTTCTGAAACCGATTTTGCCATCATGTTCAGCTTCAGCTCCGGCTCTGACGGTTCTAATGTTGGCACTGCCAAGGGCTCTGGCTGGGACTGCGACCGCGTTGGGGGCTGTGGTGGCTGTGGTGTAGAGCTTCGACTGTAACCACCAGCAAGGAAGGCCTGAGGTGGCTCCAGCGAGACCAAAGTGCCGTCCGACAGACTGCGAGCTAGGTTTGCTGTCGAAAATCTGTGCGACATCTGCATAGGTACTTCGGTAAGATGCCGGGGCCATGTCTGGGAAGGTGTTGTCGGTCTGTAAGGCGTTCCAATCACATGAAGGCCTCCCGCTTCACCGTGACGGTACATCGAGGACGATGTTGCTTCAAGAGGGTGGGCCTGTGAATACAGCTCGCCGTGATGGTACGGCGAGGCCCATGGCACTGCGGCCTGCCCGTGCGTCGGTTCTTGAGCTCGCAGCGAGCTAGTCTGGTGTTCATCCGCCACTGTCACAGTGGGGCGAAGAGCGCGCTTAATAGCCGACCTGATGTTGGGATAAATCCCACCTTGGGTTCGCCGAATCTTCGCGATTTTGGAATGGTCCTCTGCAACTCCCTTGGCTTTCTCTCTGGGGTAGGAAAGAGTTGCCGATTCCTGATCGACCATCGTGACGTACTTGCCTTTCCGAACCCAAGAGCCGTCTTCCTGCTAGGAATTAGCTGGGCCAAAGAAACGGAATGGAAATCTATCACATACCGTCTCCATGACTGTCTTAGTTTGTTTCATCTCGTAACATGTGAGAATATCAATTTCGTCTCCAAACCGCCGGAATCTGGAGTTCAGATCCCGAAGAGTGGGGGAGTTTCTCTCTAACTCGCTCACAAGTTGTTTAGAGGGCGTCTGTTTGACGAGGCTTTGCAAAGCTTGCACATCCAGGCCCCGATGAGGTGCGGCTAAGAAAACAATGGCTCTGACTGGAAGCCGTGCGCCATGACTGCCTCAATGTCAGGAGATCCTGATGGAAACCCGCCGAAGAGAAAATATTTGACTCACATGCCCTTTTCCCATGCCTCTATCATAACCTGCATGTATTTAGTGCGTTCTCGTCGGAAATCATGAGAGAGGAACTAACTAACCTTTTTGATTATCAAGCAACCCAAGCTATGGCCAATGAATATGATGGGGCGGTTCTCGCACTGTGGACTATGTCAGATCGATTGGCACGTGAATATGTGCGAGGGGCCTGTAATGTGCCTTTCCATAGTCTCGCATGGCGATAAGATCTTCCAAGAAGTTGTCGGCGTGGTCTTTGATTATACCGAATGATGTGCTATTCTTCACCTCGGAATCGTAGCCGTACGTCAGAATCCGCGCGTTGGCGACATCTTTCTTCAAGTCGTCTCGGAGCCACATCCTTTCCTCGCTCCATGCCCATGAGCCGTAGGCATGTCCAGCGAGCCCTGTAATAGCAATGACACTGATTGCGTCTTCATCAGCAAACTGAACTCGTTTACGGGGAGTCTATGGAGGAAGGGAAAAGAATACATACTCTGCATCGATTTTAGTGTCAGCTGGCGGGACATAGAGCGGAGTAAATCCTTGAAACTGTTTGCTGACTGTGATATCACTCGATGGAGGTACACGTAGACCTTCCGGCCGAGGCGTTGGAGGTTTGAACAGGACTGTGGCCGTGAGCTCGAAGTTCTCCTCTTCTCCCTCGATGGCGTCTACCGAGGGGAAGATGGATTTGACTGATAGGTGATTCTGATCTTCAGAGAAGAAGTGCCGCTCGATGAGCTGTTCTACTGTGGTGTCGTAAGGAATGTTTTCCACCCGATATGTCCAGGCCTTATCTTGGCGTGAGGCCATGCTGCGTACAGTGCTTGGGCGAATGTGATTGAGTTGGTGCCGAGTTTGTAATCCGCGACCACAAAACACTGTCTCAAGTCAGAATCTGTCAGAATCGAGAAGTTCTTGCCAGGGAGGAGAAATCTAGTCCTTTGCGGGTGTCGGGACTTTGATGTCGCGGCCTTTAACATTGCCGACCACACGAGGCTGCCACGTTGTGACCTTTGACTTGGAAGCGGGGTCCCGTTGTCAGACGACACATCGGGAAAACCTCCAGTCCATTCAATCCGATAGCCCCGGACTGCCGAAGTCGGGATACCGAGGCGTTTAGGAAAGGCGCATAGGGAGCTCAGAGCCTCATCGGGAACCAGCAAAGCGATCTGCATCCCAGAAGAGGCAGCCATGCCTAGAGACTCACTGCAGGCCACAGCAGGATGTGGAAGGTGCTTCGCCGAGCGCGATATCCGTACGAATAGACATATTCCATTGGGACAGATTGATTCCGAAGAAAGCGGCACAGCAAGTCAGCTCTGTTTTCTCGAAGAATGATTTGTGCGGAGGAAAAGTTCAAGAACCGTTAAGACCCAAGAATCAATAAAGATGACGATCTTGTACCGTTCTGGCCACCAGTGCATGTAGCCTGCCGCGGCCACCCTTCAGCGAGGTTACATCGCAAGGGAGTACACCCGGAATAGAGACTGTCTTCTCTTGAGGCTTCATTCGATGAATCCAGACTCCCGCCAGGTCGCAGAGGCGCCCGTGCCGAGTCCACTACTCAGAATCGGCCTTGTCACATTTCCAAAGTCTCCAACAGAATGGCTCCCGGGCAACCACCGTTTCAAATTCGAGTGCTCGATTTTGAAGATCACGAACATGTACGAGCCACTACCCGCAGCAAACCCGAAGACATCGTAGGTGATTACCCCGCTCACTCCTATTCGCCGAGGTTGCGCGACCTCAGGGCGGTGGGTGATCCAGCCGCACCTGAACCTCTTCGTGACTGAGTCTTTACGACGCTGGAAGTGTGGGTCACCTCGAGCGGTTCCAAACTTCAAGCAGACCCGTCCGTAACTTAAGTAGATGAGAGGTTTTGTGGCCTATATTTCTTTACTATCGCCCATCTGTTTCACGAATTGCAGTTTTGGAAGATGACTTCCACGGCTAATGGGTCCTCAAAACAGCCGAGTTCTTCAACCGAATGTTGTTGAAACTCTCTTTACGAACGAGAGAATCATAGAGAGGCTCTATGAATGCCAAAGGGCTAGATGTTGGCCAAGATTATTTGTTCTATGCGCTGCTGCATGGCCTTCATAACCCCACTGGTTACTGCCCAAACCATGAGACAAGTCTCCATTATTCATTATTGCCCGTCGCAACACCCCAGAAGTAACCACACCAACTACCCACGATCAACATGATGAGAGCTCCAAAACAGGTCATCGAAATAACTCTGTTCTTGTGGCCGTTCTCTTCGTGGAACCTCCTCTTCTGCTCGTTCAACACCTCGCCGCGCGCGATGCGCGTCTTGCGAGACCACTGGAGATGTCCGAGGTCGATGGACTTCAGCGCCAGGAGGAACAGAACGAAGGACACGATGACCGACAGTCCGGCCAAGATGACGTACACGATCGTCACCTTGTCGTACGAGTTGTTGTCGGCGTCCTGGATCGCTCCCGTGATGATGCGGACGACAATGTTCATGCTATTAAAGTGTGAGCGTACTTGCTGATACTGAGTCGGATTGAGGTACTTACGCATTGTTCATGGTGATCTTGAGCGAATAAGCTGAGCCGAAGACGGACGAGTCCCACATCGAAGTGCGAGTGCTGTCGATGATGGTCGCCGGTCCAAAGCAGTAGGCGAACGCAAAGACGCCAAAACTCGCTGCGGTACCGGTCGTGTTGTTCGCGAAGCAGACCAGAAGCATGGATGTGAACATGCCAACACCACAGAAGGCCACTGTCATTTGTTAACACTCTGATTCCAACACATTAAGGCGACAAGAACCAAAAGTCCCGGACTCACAAACAGAGATTCGATGACCGAAGATGTCGAGGAAGACGCCAAGAAGGGGCACAACAAAGAAGCCTAGAATAATCAGCCTCTGATGAAAGCAACCCATCGGAGAATTATCGATCTCTTACCAGCATATTGCAACGTGGCACTGTACCATCCCGCCGTAATCGAGCTCGTCCCGAACCGCTGCTCGGCGAGTTCAGTAGCGTTCTGCAAAAACACAATCGCCGTGCTCGTCTCGAACAGCGAGAACGCCATCACCGCCCAGAACGACCACGGCAGCTCCAGGACCTTGCGCAGCTGAAACTTCTTGGACTTCTCCGTCAACTTCTCCCCCGTCGCGGGGTCCCGCACGCCCTCGAACTTCCTGTGCGCCACCTTGGTGAACCAGTAGAACAGCACCGTGACGCCGTTCGTGAACAGGTTCATGAAGACGGCCACCCAGAAGACCCACGCGAAGTTCCCCGTCCGCTTCGCGATGATGTTGGCCGACGACTTCCCCGCGAACGCCCCGATCTTGCCGATGCCCAGCTCGAAGCCCAGCGTCGACGCGAAGCCGTTGCTCGGCGCGAACCATGACGAGAACACCTTGTACTGCGCCACCTGCGTCGCGATGTCGCCCAGGGCGCGGACCACCCGGCCGGCGATCATGAATTTGTACGAGCGCGTCTGCGCGGCTGCCGCGACGAGGATGGATCCGACGGAGTAGATAAAGTTGCCGTACAACATGGCGCCTGTGCGAAAGTCAGTTTGCGCAGCGACGGGTTTGCTTGGGAATAACACGCACCGGCACCGCCGATCCTGTCCGTGACGATACCGCTGACCAACATGAGCGCCGTGACCATGAAGTCTTCGCTGGCCTCGAGCAGGGAGAATTGGGTGTTGTCGATTTTCAGTTCCTTCTTGATCGTGCTCTTCATGGCGCCCGAGATTCCGGAGCTCCATTGGGACCCGAAGCCGATCGCCGTCACGAGGGCGATGGAGGCGAACTTCCACGTCCACGGGACTTGCGTCTTGCCCGTGCTGTCCGCGTCGCTGTTATCCAGGCTCGAGGCGTTGACGGCGACGACGCCCGACTTCTCGTCGGGGTTGTTGGATGATAGCGAGGCCGGGTGCGCCGGCTCGGCGTCACGATCTGAGGGCATCGTCGCGCCGGTCATGTTGGCGAATAACCGGTAAAAGAGAAACGGAAATGACAGTGAAGAGAGCGAAGGACGAAGAACCGCACCGCCAATGCCAAGAAACTTCAGTCACGATGGATGATCATCTGGACCGGCATGGGAAACGCAGGAAATGACATTAAATATGTCCGACACAACCCTCGTCGTTGTCAATACCACTCTGTTGGGCTCACTTTTTCTAGAATTTTTTTTTCCCCCTCGCCCAAATTATCAATCTGATAAGATAATCAGACCGACGTCGGAATGGTTCCGACTGCACACGTGTTGGGCAACGACTTCCCAAGTGGACTGACTACCAGGAGCCGGGACTGGGCCATCGTTCCAAGAAACTCTTCTAGCGCGCCACCGGACGCTGTCAGGGAGTGGGACTTCGGACGAACGTTGCCTCGTTGGGTAATACACCAAGTGCCATTGATGTGCGTGAAAAAGATCAGATAACTGGTCGTGTGAAACCCGGCGCGGAACGACTCTCATGGGTGATGGAAGAGGGAGCTCATCATCAGTCCAGTGACCCGGGAGACTGGTTGAAAGCCCCGAGGAGGACCCTGAGATATGCAACAAAGATGCGTCGCATGGGCATCAACGGCCTCTCCTCACATGCTCATCTCCTGCTCGAGGGCGAGACCGTTTGGTGGGAGGAAGTGCCGAGAACAAAGGACAAGGATGACGCCGTCCGACGCGGAGTGACATTCGGGACTCGACGAAGCAAACCAGCCAAGATTATCACAGTGAGAACACTCCAACTCGCAGAACCCCGGGCGGAATAAGTGGGTATTCCCCGGCGATACGAGCCCGACTCGCTCGGTTTTGGGCGGAAACGCCGACGACGCCGGAAACGTCGTCCACCGCACCGGGCGACAAGCGCGCAGAGTTGTCGACCCAGAGATCGAGTTGCGCGTCCCAGAAACTCTTGGGCTTGCCCGGCCAATGGTGCGTCGTGATGTTTCCTCCCGTTGCCGCCAAGACTTATCGGTAGCGCGTGCCGCGGTCGGGGGGGTTCGTGGGGGGTGGTGCGGTCGACTTCCGGGGGTTTCACTTATTTTTATGGACTTGTCTTTCCGCTTCTCGGCCGGCGGGTGTGTGTGAGTGAGTGTGTGTAGTTGTTGTAGGAATAAGTGAATTTTTTTTTTTTCGAGACACAACCGAACTTCCCACGAGACTCACACGAGACGACAACCCGTTTCCAACTCAGCCTCGTTCGTGATCGTCAAGATGCCGAAATCTTTGACCAGATCACGGCCCAGAACGCGAGATTACGGATCTTGCTCCCCGGGCCCTCGATCCAGGTCGCCGCCGTCTCCCCCGTCCGAGAAGCCGGTGACATGGAGCGCTCTGCCGCACAAGGGCCAGCTCGCCATGATCGTGTTCGCCCGGCTGGCGGAGCCCCTGGCCGAGCGCTCGCTGGCCTCGTTCCTCTTCTTCCAGCTGAAGTGGTTCGACCCGTCCCTCTCGGAGGCCACCGTCGCGACCCAGGCCGGCATCCTCACCTCCGCCTTCGCGGCGGCCCAGTGCGCCACCGGCATGTGGTGGGGCTACATCGCCGACAGCCCCCTCTGCGGCCGGAAGAAGGTGCTCATGATGGGTTTGCTGGGGACTTGCATGTCGTCTCTGGGTCTGGCGTTTTCCAGGTCCTTCTTCGCGGCCATGTGTTTCCGGATCCTGGCGGGCGCTTTGAACGGGAACGTCGGCGTTTTACGTACCATGATATCCGAGGTCGTGGATGATTCAAGGTGAGTGAGAGAGGAATCCCCAATTCCAAAGATGACTGATCTGACCGTCTGAGCTCAGGTACCGCTCTCGCGCTTTTCTTCTCCTCCCGATGTGTTTCAACGTCGGAGTCATCATAGGCCCCCTTCTCGGAGGCTGGCTTGCGGACCCGGTCGGGACGCACCCGCAAATCTTCGGCCCCGGGTCCCTCATTGGCGGCCCCGACGGCGTCCGGTGGATGATGGAGTACCCCTACGCCCTGCCGTATCTCATGTCGGCAACCTTCCTGTTCATGTCCGCGATGGGAGTCATCCTCGGTCTCGACGAGACGCACCCCGCTCTCCGAGGCCACAAAGACTACGGTCGCGAAGTCGGCCGCCAGTTATCGAGCTGTTTGAAGACGAACCGCGAGAAGGGCTACACCCTCGTCGACCAGGAACCAGAAGCAGACCTCCCGAGCGGCGGCGTGCAATCGCGCGCTCAGCAAGCCGCGGCGGAAGACGGCAGCGAGGACTCCCGCTCCATCTTCTCCAGCGAGGTCCTCCTCACCCTCACCCAGAACTTCCTGTGCACCCTGCACACCTCGGCCTTCAACGCGATGCTCTTCATCATCCTGCCGCTCGCGCGGTCCAATAACGCCCACAAGCACCTGCCCTTCCAGTTCACCGGCGGCCTGGGCCTGAGCTCCCAGCAGGTCGGCTTCGCCAACACCATCATCGGCGTCGTGGGCCTCCCGCTGCAGATCCTCCTCTTCCCGCCCGTCAGCGGCCGGCTCGGCGCCACGTCGTCCTACCGCCTCTTCCTCCCCTTCAGCCTCCTGGCCTACGCCGCGATCCCGTTCCTCGCCCTGCTGCCCGGCAAGAGCGAGGTCTTCTGGGTCTGTCTGGCGGCCGTGCTCAGCTCGCAGGTGCTGTCGAGGACGTTCGTCGGGCCGGCGACGATCCTGCTGGTCAACGAGGCGGCGCCGCCGGCCGCGCTGGGGACGGTGCACGGGATCGCGTCCAGCACGTCCGCGGGCGCCCGGATGCTCGGTCCCGTGATCGGAGGCCTGGTGCTGAGTTGGGGGCTGAAGAATAATGCCATTGGCGTGCCGTTTTGGGGTCTCGGCGCCTTGACGATCCTGAATTGGTTGCTGGTTTGGGGTGTAAGAGTGAACCCGGGGCGATGAGTGTTCAGATACAGACAAGGGGTATCATCGTAGGCCGAAATAGCTGACATCTGAAGAAGTTATTCTGTTACTATGTAGAGTTAGATACAACCGGACACACGTACAACCAAAAATAGAGAGACGATTGCTTGAAGCAGGAGCGTGTCATTCTCAGGCTCCATCCCAGAATCTTGTGCCAGATTATTGCTGCATGCTAAAGTTTTGAATGCCGCTTCCGAACACTGCCGCTGATGACGTCTTCGTCGAGACCAAAGGTCGCGAGACCCAGAGTAAACTTCTCAAGCTTCTCCTCTTCAATCATGGGAGCCGCGATGTAGTCTTGTGCACCGGATCGTTCTATCAGCTTCGGCAAGAGAGGGAACAGCTGTCTATAGGCGTCTTCCTCGTCGTGCCAGATTTGCGCCCGGGTCAACTCGCCGTGCTCGGTGTACCAGCTCGGGTCCTCGCGGATGCAGGACATGACGAAGACATCTAGAACCTCTGGAAGTACGGTCTCAACACGCGCTGCGGCTTCGTACGCCATCCGCTGTCCCATAGCTTCGACAAGGCCCCTGCAGCGCGGGAGGATGCCCGAGTTGAAGCCTTCCCCTCGGTGGCCCCCAGAAAGGGATTGCACTTTCTCTGTCGCCTCTTGGAAGAGTCCCCGCTCGTACTTTGCCAACGGGCTGTCTTGATGAGTTGGCTCAGGCAGACGGTACTTTCCCATCAGAACCTCCGAAGCGAGACCTGGGAGTTGTCAGTACATGTTTACAAGGATGGTGCGGATCACACACGTATGCAGAGTACCAGCGTGTCGCCTTCCGCGATCGAGTTTCCTTGGAACGACAACGCCAGCTCGTTGATCTGGTTGTGAGCGAATAGACCCTGCCAGCCACATCGCTCCACCAACTCGGTCATTGTGCGAGAAGACCTCGTGACCAAAGCCTTGAAGGCGGCGGCGAGACCCCGGCGAACGTCAACGCTGTGTTCCGGATCCATGAACTCCCGAACGGTCCAAAGCGCATAGACTTCGAGCACTTCCGAATGCGCCAGCGCTTTCAGAACAGGGCGGCTCTGTGTGCTAAAGTTGATGACGGCGGTCGTCTCGCTTCCTCGGCCGGCGGCGACGCGGCGCTTCTGGCTGTACAGTCCAGCAATGCAGCCAGACACCTTGAGTGAGGATATGCTGGCGAAGGACAAAGCGATAGTGCCCACGGACACGCGCCATATTTGATCGAAAAAGTCCGCTCGTTGGTCCTCGGCCTTTGCGGCAGAGCCGAGAAGGGCTCCGGGGCCGAGACGAACGTCCTTGAAAGTCGTGATGGCATGGTCCAAGGGCTTGGTTCCGGGCCGGATGGGCAGCGCCCGGGAGGTGACACCACGATGCATTTCCCACTCGTCGTTGATCGGAACGAGGAACGGCTTGACGCCTCTGTCGTCGTTCCGGACGATGAGGCGAGCGAAAACGACCGCGACGCGAGGGATCCCGGCCAGGGGAGTCGTAGGGGGCATGGCCTTGGCCGCGGCGAAGTTTGGGGTGTTCAGGACGTAAGAGCCGTCCTCGAGCATGGTGGCGGTGGTCTCGAGATTGCGAGCGTCGAGCCCGTGGCCGATTTCCGTGAGCATGAACTCGCCGCAGACTCGAAACTGTATCAGGTCGTCGAGAATCCGGGTCAAATGCGGCTGGGAGCCCCGGAAACGAGCTATTGTACCGATGCAGAGATTCAAGTGGATTGACGATATCGTGAGGACTGTCGGGTCTCGAGTAGCGATCACTGCAAAAGAGTCAGAGGTTTGAATCTTGTCACGGGATCAATGGTACTTGCTGTCGAGGTGGAAACGCCAGAAGTTGGGCGTCAGGTCAAGGATATCTTCGACCGTTAGACCTATTTTCAGTCAGGCATTGTTCAAAGGCAGTAATGGCGTTTGGGCATCTCTGACCGCTTTCTTGGCAGATGAGCTTAGCACGATCATAGTGAAGTCGGATGTTGGAAGTTGTGGCTTCATGGCGACTGTCTTTGTTGATATCCCATAGATGATGCTGCAAAATCGATTTAGGAATGCTCATTTTGAACAGAATTTTCCGCCGTGATTGCGTAGAGCTTCTATCACCATCGTAAAGCCAGCCGTAGATGCTCTTTAAATACTGACACGACGAGCCGGATATGCCTCTACCAGTAGCAGAATGTAAGAATCATGTGCTATTTTTCGCTGATCAAGCAACAGCCTGCTACGTTTTTCACATGATCGAGGTTAAATGAACGGCTGCAGAATAACAGTCTCACTCAAACAGACCAATTGCAATGCTCGTGCCAATGCTTGAAATGTATGGAGGCGTTGATGGTGATTTCACCTTCTTCGTACGGCGGTTCAGTCCAGCAGATGATTGGGTTCTTTTACAAGACATAGAAGCCAAGACGGCAATGCCGAGGCTGACTTTGGTCTAACTTGACTCTCGTGATGATCAAGATGGTGTGCAGAAGCAGGCTCACTCTGCGAGCCAATGCTGCGCCCGAAGGTGGCGCTACTACCATTTTACTGTATTCTCTTTCTAATTCGGCAATCAAGTCGCTATGCGGCTCCCGAAATTCAGAGGAGGTTGGCGATGTTCAGATAGGAATCCCTGCTGTGACCCTGGATAAGAGGTTCGGAGAGTCGGTTCAATTGACCTATTCCACACTACGGCGGCGCCGGTGTGGGGGGTACGCCGTCTCGCATATAAGAACCTCATTTGACGCGAGAGTCCATCATCACCTTGAGAACTTATTGGCGATATTCGTTGTTCCTCCAATTACGTGGTGTGATGGCCTCACTAACATAGGTAGTGCTAAGCGCCTTCGTAGTAGCGTTGTCGCCGAGAGTGTTTCCTGTGGACCTGAGCCCCGTTCCATCTTTTTCTCTTTTTTGGTGGTGGTGGTGGTCGGGAGGGTCAATTGGGCCGGAAGCGACATGAAGACGGATGGTCGCAATTGTATCTGCGACGGCCGTGACGATGACGGGCCGGAGAGAAATTGACAGCGGAAGCAGGGCACGCCACGCCGCACAGCGGTCAGACGGGAGCGGAAGCCCCCTGTTTGGCGCAGCAGATCTTCCCGGCGGACGGGTTCAATCCCTTAATTTAGCAGGCTGGGCACCCGGGTTTTCTGCACCTGCACCTGCATGATGGATACAGGTGCCGACAGGTGGGTGAATGAGTAAGATAGGTAAGCTGAGCCGGTGGTGGCTGGGCATGAAACTCTTGTGCCAGTGTTATGCGCGTGGGACTCTTCTTCAGCGGCTTCGGCGAGCGACACAGGGTAATGTGTCTGAAGTTTGACCTTCTTGCTTCTTCCCGTACTTCATCGAGCTTCTTTCTTGTTTCTCCGTTGGTTGATGGAAGAACCCTTTGACTCGGATCGAAGACGCGAATGACGGAACGAAATGTCGTGCAGGGGACCTTCGGGGCGGTGGATGGAAATGCGAAGGGGCCTCAAGGGATCAGTGCATTGCATGAACGCAAAGTTGGGATGGCCTTGGTCGGGGGGGATCGATCCGCCCAGGAGCGGCCTGCTCGCAGCCGTCAACGTCCGAGGTTTGGCGAGCGACAGCAGAGTCCGGGCTCAGTCATGGTTATGGTTTTTTTGGTGCGCGTTTGCGGGAGGGTATGAAAACATTGACGCGTACGTGGTGGGAGGCAGTCTGATTTGATGAGCGAAGTGAGACATGATGCCGTGTGTGTCGATTGGAAGTCGATTGGTTTGATGTCTCGGACGGCCCTGCTTCTCAGACAGGACGTTGGCTTCTTCTGCTATGCAAAGGGCTGAGGCGCATTTTTTTCCGCATAGCCTCCAGCCCTCCGAACCCCACCGACGTCTCCATGATCGCCAACAAAGAGAATTCGGAGTAGAGTGTTGACGTGTTGGGGGCAGAAATAAGGTGGTTGAAGATGTGAAGCTTCAGGCGATGACCTTGCGGCGTGGGAGAAATGACGAAGGAGGGGCTTTTTTGGAAGGAGCTGGAGAGCTGTGACTCGTGAAATGGAAGGAACGGATGCGGCGGTACGTATCTCTTGGTCTCGAAGGCTTAGTCATAGTGCCTCGCCGCAGACGATCCAAAAAAAGACGTCCTCCCCACTGTTAACACCATTTCCGACACCCTCATTCGCCCTTGACCTGCTTACCTAAGTATCCGGTGCCAGTTGCCCGTGGTAGCAGACCACTCCCAGCAGGGCATAGCGCCACTGCCACGACAAGGGGCGACAGGGGCCAACCCGCAACAGCAACACCACCTCACACCTGACCGACATCAACATTGACCCTTTCCTTTCCTCTTCTGTCCTGTCCTGTCCCAGCCATGCCCAATCCCAATCATTAGTCGGTCCAGCGTCCAGTCCTGTACGTCCCGTCCCTGAGGTGTCCCGACATCGAAATCGTGCGTGTCTATTTCTTTTTTTTGTCCGCCGACATCGACATCTAGACACCGAAGACGACGACACACGACGACCACGACCAGCGACGACACCACCGGTAAGTCAGGTAAGTCTCCGCCCAACATTTGGCGGATCACAACACATACGCCCACACACAAACACGCGGCGGCTCGAAGCACACACTTCACACTTCGACAACACCAGCCACCCGCGACAACGACAACGACATACCCCGACGGCAATTCTTTCCATTCTATTCGGTTCCTCCTTTCACCCGCTTTTTCGTCTTCTTCTTCTTTTTTACTTCTTCTCTCCGACTTCTTACGACGACGAATTAACCCGAACCGCCACAACATTCTGAGTCGGTACGTCCTCACCGCAACGGAAACGGAAACCCCCTCCTGGCGGTTTGTTTTTCGCTGCGACCGCGTCCCGACCGCAAAATCAACAACCCAGCTGACGACGGCCACAACAGCACGCATTTTAACGACTCTGACGATCATTATCACCCAATATCGCAAACTTCCCTTTGTATACATTCGACTACTTCTATTTGCGACCGCATTTCAACCCCGCGCCTTCGCACGAGTCGCGACCAAAAACACCACCGCCTAGCCCGCCACAATCACAATCGCCGAGTTTCACATGTCCACCGTCTGATTATCGAGACGACGACGCCAGAATAGCAACCGACGACTACCATGGCCGAGCCACCATCATCGCCGCCGAGTGAGGCGACCAGCGCCGAGGACGCCTTGGCCTGGTACAAGGCCCAGTACGAGGTGCTTGAGGGGGAGCTGGCTGAGTTCAGAGAATCCAGCAAGGAATTGGAGCAAGAGCTGGAGAAGGACATCGACGCCGCCGAGAAGAGAGAGCGCGGCCTGCAGGAAAAGGCCGAGAGCCTCAAGTTCGAGGTCGAGGAATGGAAGGTGAGATCTTGCCAGCTCGTTCTGTCCGCGGAACCCCAATGCGACGGTAGGAACATCGCTAACTCTCGTCGCTCGGCAGACAAAATACAAACAGGCCAAAACAGAAGCAAACACGGCTCAAAACACACTCGAGAAGGAAATCACCACTTTGCGCGATACCAACAGGACATTGCAGCTGAAGCTGCGCGATATCGAGGTCGCAAACGATGACTTTGAGCGACAAGCGCGAAACACCACATCGTCCCTCGAGGACCTCGAATCCAAGTACAACGTTGCGATCGAGCGTGCGGTCATGATGGAGGAGGAGATCAAGCTGGGAGAACAGGAACGAGAGACCCTGCGCATCGAAGCGCAACGACTCAGGGAGGAGCTTGCCGACCTCAAAATCGAAGCCGAGCTGCTCCAAGACAAGATCAAGAAGCAAGAAGCCCGCCATCTATCCGCCATCTCTACCGACCTCTCCGTCATGTCATCACCGACCTTCGACAAGAACACCGAGCACTCTCCCATCTCGACAGCAAGCTCTCCCATGGTGTCAACGCCACCGGATTCCGAGGCTCTTCCCGCCGCGAAGGCCGACCTCATGGAGCCCCCTTCTCCCCCGATGTCCGACGTTTCCGCCTCCGTACCGAAGAAGACCGTCACCAGAACACCCGCATCGACCACGCGCAAAGTATCCCGACTCCCGTCTGCCGACCACAGCGTCACACCAAAGCCCCGATCTTTCACTGCGTCCATCACCACCCGGCCTACTGGGGGTCGCGTTTCCGCCGCTGGCGCGAATGCGACTACTCGCACCCCTGCTCCTCGCACGGCGCCCCGCTCAACTTCTCACCGCATGCCCACCACAAACTCGCTCAGCCATATCCGGTCTCTCACGGCTCAAATGCAGCGCCTGGAAGCCCGCGTTCACAACGCACGATCGAAGCTTCCTGCGCCTGTCACCACGCCGCCTCGCGCCTCCCCCCGATCCTCGGTCAACGGGGTCCACAGTGTGCCTTCGACGGTTACGATCCGCTCTCGCAAGCGCCCAACGGGCTCCACCGCCTCCTCGGTGCGGGGCGACGACACAACACCCAGCAACTTCTCTGCCAGCACAACATCCAAGCATGTGCCCCGCCTCAGCACGTCAGGCGTCAGCAGATTATCGTTCGGGCCCCTACCCAACCGCAACCCAAACGCAGGTCTCGACTCTGAGTCATCCATCTCCCGGCCAAGTTCGCGAGCTAGCGTCTCGTCGTATGCCCGGCCGTCAAGTCGTACCGACATGGCTCCTCCTCGCCCTATCAGCCGTACCAGCATGTCCGGCGCCAGGACACCTCTGGGCCGCCCACGAAGCTCGCTGGGCGAGTCCCTGAGAAGCAGCGTCCGCGGACACGGCCGGTCAATTAGTGTCAGCCACCGTATGGAGATGGACCACGCCGACGAGGACGGCGACTACCGTACGCCCAGCAGGAGGGGCACATACTCTCGCCTGGAGGCGGAGAACGCCGTCAGCGGCATCCCCATGCCGACCAGCGCCATCCCGATGCCCAACATCCGCCGTCAGAGCGGAGGTAGCGTCTCCGGAAGACGGAGCTCGATGGGCCTGAGGAGTTCAAGAATAGGACCCCAGGACTTGGTGGAGGAGGAGACGTACTGAGTGCTCGAATATCGCAAGACGCAGGATTGATACCACAGGAGGGCGGACTCGTGTTTCGTGTTTTTGATTATCACCACCACTTCCGAAACCGTGCACATGGCGCGGTAACGAACGCAGAGAGACGGTGTAAGCACAGCGTGGCGCGCAAACATTACCAATTATTCTATCATTGAAACGGAAAGACAGAACGTCTTCCGGCCCTTTTTTTATTTCCTTTGTCTTTTTTTTTCTTGTTTACGATTACGGGGCGGGGTTCCGGCGTGGATAAACATGCATTAGGGAGTTGGTATGATTATGAGTCTGGACGGGAGGGAGCATGGCGGTGCCGGGGTTTACTGTGGCTTGCGGGCCTTTTACACATATTCCCACTCCCCATTCCGTTTCACAGCCACACCTGGTCTGAATATACTGGATTTTAATGCCCCGTTACCGACGCTCTCTCGTATGGTCCCTGCTGTCGACAAGTGACTTGAAGGATTGGGCGTGTTGGGGAATTCGGGAGTGCAGATTGCGGTACTTCGCGCGGTGGATGTTGGTCACTTGTCGGTGGAACGATCTTCGCCGTGAATAATCGCGTATTATCGATTGTGGCGGTCTGTCATCGTCCAGGGCGTCGCGGCCGGTGACTACGGATCATAAGGCGATTCCGCCACGCATCGATTTATACGTGGTTCGTAGACAAATCGCAAGGTTCCCATCTCATCGCTTTGATGGTTATGCTTGTTTACCCCTGGCACAGCTTCGTTGTGGGATCATAGCGTGTGAGACGGGTATCACGGCGATTGAAGCCAACACCACAGTCGCGAAGGGCGCACACGAACGGTAGGGGTTTCCCACGAAACTCGCGCGATGCTCGACGAAGACTTCACAACGACGATGGCGGTGGGCGGGGGGGGTGTCGCAGAGCCACTTCACACGGACGGCGCAACAGCAGGAGGGCGAGGCCACTTAGGCAGAACGTCCGGCTGTGCCTACCAAGGGAACGCGGAAATCTACTTCATCCACGACACACTTCACGGGGAAAAGAAGCAACCCCTTGAGGGATGGATGCTTGGAGCTGTGGTGGTCTGCAGCGGCGAGAGGCACATCAGTCGGAGGCGGTCGAAAAGCTTCACACCTGGCGCCGGCGAATACGCAAACAGGGACGTAGAATCCAAACCTCGCAGCCTTTTTCAGGCGGTGCCGATGTATTGTGAGAACCTATTAACAAATTGCCCAAGATAAGATTTTAGAAACTCTGCACGTACCGTATGTGTCCAATTTCAAATGTTTCTCGGCCTCTCACACCACGTCGTCGTCGCCGTTGTCGTTGTCATCATCTTCATCTTCATCCTCATCTCCAGATACTGGGTCGTCAGAGTCGACGCTTGACTCGTAGTCGTCAGGGAGTGGGAGGTTGTTCTCCTCAAAGATGGCCTGCAGACCGGGCAGCGGCGCCTCTGGGTACCAAATGTCGGGGTCGTGGGTGTTCCATCCTCTAATCCATTCCTTCTGAGTCCATTGCTCGTGCTCGCGGATGAGTCTCTCGACGTTCCACGTTTCGCCGACGTCGAAGTTGCAGCGCACAATGGACCTGTTGTTGGTCATATCCTCCAGGGCCTGCGGGAAGTTATGGAAGACGTAGCCCTGGATGCTGCGGCAATGTTTTTCGACGTACCAGGGGTCCAGTTCATGGTGCCTTTGGGCAAGCCAAGGCAACGACGGGAGAATGCCGCGATCCTGGGACTCGATCCAGGCCGCCTGCCACGCGGCATCTCGTTGGACAACCTGCTGAAAGATTCGAGCGCAGTATTCGGGTACCGGCTGGCCATCCAGGACGAGCGTGAACGAATTTGGAGGCATGCCAGCCGGTACGAGCGCCGAGGCTTCCGCCATCCAATTGGCGATGTTCCTGCTGATCTGCCTGGAGTCCAACGCCCATGGAAGCCCCCGCCAGCTCTCCCTGCAGCGCTCTCCCTGCAGCGATAAGACATCGAACCGTAGAACCTGAAGTCGGGCAGGAGGGCATTCCTCCACAGGTTGACGCGGCGTTCGACTCGGAGCAACGATTGCCTGCAGAACGGGACGAGGCCCAGGGCGTGACAGGCTGAGTCGGCCACGGCCTCGCGATCCTCGTCCAAGGTGATGTGACAACATGTATACGTGACGAGGGCGGAAAGTCCTTGAGGAATTGGATGGCGACCGCGGCAGCTGAGAAGCGGTACTTTGTGCGGTCCCTGCAGCGGACCACCCGATCAACGTCGTTGCTCCCCCCCGAATAGCAAGACATCAAGGACTTGATGTCGTCCTGTGATGGAATAATCCAGTGGTCGATCGGGCGCTGGATCGCGCGAAGAGGATCGGGGTTACCATACCGGGAGTGCCCGGAAAACGGCGTATGCCTGTCCAAGCATTCGCGGCCAGCCTGACACAGTGAGATAGCTCGAAGCGCATCGCGACAGAAGGCACGGTAAGTCGAGGGCACCTCGCCGTAAGGGCCTGACTTGAAGACTTGGTTCCTCTGGCTCAGGTTCTCGTCGCCGCTCATGTCGCCCTTCTTCTTCAGCAGGTCGAGCAAGGGAGAAAATTGCGGATACTTGCGCTTCAAGTCTGCTTGGTCCTTCTCCGCAATCGTGTGACCGGCAAAGTGCAGTATGCCCTGGTAGCTGGCACCAACGCCATAGGACATCAGGCCGTCGAAGCGGGCGGCAAGAACGCGTATCTCGTCGGACGTGGCGGTCGAGAAGGTGATTGTGTTTCTGCGCAGGGCAATGCCGCTCATTTCCTGGGCTGTGAGCTTGCACGCGTACATAAGATTGAAGTCGGTCGGACGACCATCGGCTCGCCTCAGTGCCCCAGCAGTACTCGACTGGCTGTCGACGCCCTGGTTTCTCAGCTCCAGGGAGCGGGTGACGAACTTTTCGGTGTCGCAGACGTAACCGCCCGGCACGTCGACGTAGTGTTCGTAAATCGCATCGCGAATCTCGCGGGGAAGGGCCAGAAATCTCGACTCGGGAGCCATTTTGTGCTGTTTAGAAGTTGAAGAGAGGTACGAGTTTGCGTGTTTGTGAGGAATTGATGTCAGGGCGAGCAAAGTTGCGCTGAAGGTAAGAAATGGGGGGGGGCATGCTGTTTTTGTACGGCGCCAGTGGCCGCTGCGGCGGACCAAAGCGTCAATCGGAAATGGCACCCTGAGCTCCATCAAGGTCAGGTCACCTAAGAATGCACCCAATACACGCACAACTCACTGCCTCGCCTCATTTCTAGGCAGAAACAACCCCGTCTGACAATCAAATGAGATCACGAATTTCAAATTCCTGGCATGTTTTTCACGATCGCAATCACGTCGGCATCTGTAGGGACAATGTGTTCAGGCAATGTAGTAGTCATTTTGTTTCCTTTCCGCCTTGATGACCCAGCCACTTACGTACGTGGGGGGTGATACACTTCAATAACACATATAATAACACATAACCAGTGTCTACCAACACCTCATAAATGTCTAAATACCTGGAAAGCTATGGCTGCCTTCCATCCTCTAGGTTCGCAATGCAAGCCTTCTTAGGCTAGAAGTAAACGCATGAAATAGAGAAAGGGATATGATCACGTACCATAATAACCCCAATGGCTTCAACCAGAGGTTTCAGAGAACCCTGGGAGTCTTCATGATGAGGTATTAACGAAAAAGGAGACTGAAGCTGAAGCGGTATTGTTAGTGGCTGGAGTTCGAGAATATCAAAGCTGTATCATACATTACCTACGTCTCAACTGAAACTTACACTTATCACACTACCTACTAGCAATATATCGGCCTCAGTCTCACTTATGAGAGGCATTACTATTAACTATAAATCATTTAGTTATAATATTCAGTATACATTGGAAGAGTAAGCTTACAGCTAAGGATATTCAAACCGGAGAACAATACGATCTGTAGACGACTGCATAGCGGCATCCCAAGCGCGTAAAACGCTCCCTAAGAGACGTACACAACGACATCAAAGACGCAACTGTCCGAGCAGTGACTAGGGGAAACCGTTAGATCGACATGAGACTTATTGTCGAGGTAAAGTAATTACTTAAATGCTGCCTTGCTATCTACCTCTTATAGCTATACGCAAACGACAATAATAATAAGAACCCTTAGGGCCTCAACATATTCATAAAGAGGTTTCAGGCTATATATCGCGCGCTAGTAAAGGGCAAGAATAGCAACAAGTTAATCAAAGAGGGACATCACATAGCTTCTAACATTGAGAAGCTATATTTCCTCATTAGCAGGTAAACTTAGAATCAGCTACAACCGTCACTTACTGAGCACGTCTCGAAAGTTTCAACTATCATTGATAACATGGCCCCTAGCCTTTATATCAAGGATCCATCCCACAGTCAGCATTTCGTCAGAGTGCTGGATTGAACGCACTCACCGCGGATGGGGCTAGGGAGCGAGTTGGGTCGAAAGGGGTGGGTGTGCCAGGTGCGAAGGAAGGCCAGGGTGGCAGCTCAAAGTCTCTGTGTTCGCGAGGGACTTGGGGGATTTGGGCGACGGTCGGTGGTATTTGACCAAACGGCATTACGAAACACAAAGGCCGTCCCCTCGTAGGAAGTGCAAAGCGTGCCGTCAGGCTTTCGGAGCATAGTCATGTGAGAAGATACCGGTTTTCTCTTGGAGAAGTGCCGAACTTGGTTGGCCAGAGCCATGAGGCTCGAAAACTCCTTGCCTCGTTCGGCATACTCTCTGCGCTTTCGTATCGTTCGGACGAGACAAATCGCCTGGTTGGTCTTTCTGAGCGCAGCCTCCTATCCGTGACGATCGTGTCTGTAGCTCGCGCGACACAGCCAGATATGAGACCGGCGCATTTGTCCGCCTTCTGGACCGTGTGGATTTGGAGATTTTCCAATTCGTCCTTGGGGCAAATATCGGCCTCGAGGTTAGACGCCACCTCGGCGCGGAGAGCCTTGACGTCCATCTGCTTGAAGTTGTGGTGAGTTGAGGTGTCTTGGCTGACTGATACGTCTAGGATGGCGTGCAAAACAGCGTGATCAGTTGCGAACCCTCGGGGCCGCGTCACAGCGAAGTAAGATACTCTCCCTGAGTAGTCCTTGCCCACAAAAACCAGGTCGATGGTAGACTCCTGCGCGCCACGCATGAAGGTGGGCGAGCTGTTGAGACACACCATGCCAGCAGTCTTGGTGAGAAAGGAAAGCATCTTCATCTCTCTCCTGCAGACGCTCCTCCGGCCAAGCCAAGGTAGGTTGTAGTCGCCGAGGAGAACCGACTGGCCATCGGTCAGGTCGGATTGCAGCAGCTTGCCGAAGTCGAGAGTTTTTCCGGCTATGCGATCGTAAACGTTGTGAAACTTGATTTCCTGGTTGCCGGCCAGTCTGATGTACAAAGTCGCGGCGAAGTACTTGTGTTCCCCCCCCGGCCCTTCGACGTCATTCCCGTATTCCAAATAGTAGTTGCCAATTGGCTTGTCGGGGGAGCCGAGGTCCAGAGGGGGATCTTGCAAAGCCAGGAAGTAAGGGGCAGGATCGAGGGTGGCTGCGTGAGCAACCAAGTCGTAGATATGGCGCCAGCTTCGATTGACGTTTGACTGCAAGAAGGGAAGTTTGTTGAGCTACTCGGGGGGACTGCCGGCTGCGAAATGATCAATCAGATCGTTGGTGGATACCTACATGTTTGAAGATCGATCTCAGTGACTGCGATATTGGACAAATGGTAAAAGTGCTTATAATTACCAGAGACGAAGCTGGTTATTGTCTTGCTTTGTGATGGCGAACGTGCACCCCGAAGCCGGCGGCTGTTGTCGGGTACTGTGTGGTTAGATCTCCATCCCCCAGCTTCCGCCCCGGCCCGTATCCAGTGCGCCGCCTCCGCCTCCGCCTCCGCCCCCACCCCGATCCCGACACGCCCCACAGCGGTATTCGTGTCATTGAATGATGATCCCCCCTACAAACTCTCTGTACATGCATAGAACCCAGCCTATCAACGTAACATCAATGCAGCCCTTTTAGAGTCTTCCTCTCTTTTCTTTTTCCCCTCGCTGTCGCACATGATTAGTCGTGGCCTAGGTAGTCCTCAGCTGGGTTCATTCGCTCGGCTAGTTCTCTCATTTGCTGTTCCTTGCCGACTGCAACCACACCACCGCATAAGGTTCTTCTCGGCGTGCCCCTAAATATGGCCCAGACGCCATTTCCCTGCCAACGCAATTAAAAAGGGGGAAATTATCTCTTCCGCCTGAGTGGCCAAATTGCAACCTACCACATATATTTTGATGGAAAGAATGAACACAGGCAGATTTCCACTTGTCTTTCTCTCGTCTCAACTTTGGCAACTCTTGAATTATTCTTTTCTTTGGTCTTGTGCGACACACCGCCATGCAGCTTCCGCCGGACGTCTGGCTCGTGATCTTGGAGCAGGCAAATATTTCCTTCTGCAGGCAACGACGCTGTGCTGTCGCTAACTCGCCGTTACGTCAGCTCATCCTCGTTGAGAAGAATGTCGAAGAGGAGCCCGGGTGGTACCCATCCAGAGGCCCCCATGGATCGGCTCGCTGGAGAGACTTCACCGTCAGTAGCCGCAAGGGGGCTGCTTATGTTGGGCGATACGAAGGTCACGATATCGAACTTCCACGACTGTTAGCCTTGCGTTCAGTGTGCAAACTATGGCGCTCGTTGGTCTCCAGGCTGCTCCGGGATCTTCAGATGTGGGATGTCAGTATCGATGACATCGATCTAAAGAACGCGCAAGGGATTGATTTCATCGGGAATCTGAACGTCATCGCAGACGAGCATTGGCCTGCCAGGAGCCAAGATCGTTTGCGTTACGCCAAGCTGATTGACGACGAACAACTACGCAGGCGCGAAGCCCAATCGAGACGCTTCCAGGATGCCAAGACGAAAGGATTTCCTGAATTACGTCGATTGTTCGACAGTATCCAGGCTGTGAAGGAATTGGCCGTCGCCTTTGCAGACCCTACTGAGTGGAGGTGGCGGCCGTCCACGTCTCGAAGGCCTTACGACTTGGAAGGCATCATGGCCGCGTCTCATACAATTCGAGACAGCTTACCAGGGCCGACATTTCAGAACCTCGTGGAACTAGATCTCGATGTGCCGAGCACCTTCTTCGTCGGTGAACTCACCGCATCGATGTCCAAGGAAGCCCGGAGCCGTCTCAAACGATTGCGCCTTGAGTTTGTGGACCGAACAGGACCTGGTGGTGATTATTGGCCCCCGTTCGCCGGACAAGCCCGGGAAGACCCCAGCGCCGTCCAAATTGCCTACCCGAACCAAGACCACCAGGATGTGGTATGGGAGTTTGTGGGATCCTGCAAGAATCTGGAGTCTCTATGCATCATCGCATCTCATGTTCTCGACCTCGACCGACTACGCTGGGAGCCAGGGATTGATCACACAGGGCTGACACACATCTATCTTGAGCGACTTCGGACAAGCATAAGCACACTCAAGAAGCTTACGAGGGCCTCTCCGAGGGCGTCAAGGGAGTCTGCAACAAGAAACGTCTTTCTCCACTGCATCGAAATTGTTTCGGAGGGTGGGTATTGGCAAGACCTATTCCAACACTTCAGGGACTCCTGTCCCGACCTCGAATATCTCTATGCGACGGAGTTGCACTACTCGCTAGACCATAGCTCATGGGCACCGAAGCGAGACATTGGTCCTCAAATTTATGACATATGGTCAAATTATGACGGCGAGTTGAAGGCCATACGGGATCTCCAAAAGGATCTGCGCGAAAAGTATCCCGATTATCCCGACAAGCCTATAGATTTCGAAGTTGTATCACCCAGATCAGATTTGGACGAGATGGAGGAGGAGTTGGTGGAGTAGTAGCAGAATGGCAAGCAGGATCAAAGTACTGACATCGTGGTGGTGTTTTGAGATCGTCGATGTTGAGAAGTGTCCCACGTTGTGGAAAGAGCCAGTATAACATGTTTTTGATGGAAGTCAGATTGCAGAGACCAAAATATTTAACGAGCTCATTGCCAACTTTCAACCCTAAACAACCTTTCGTCTACACGGCAACTATCACGTTCAACATTCAATTTCGGGTGCCGTCCTATCTCATAAATCTCATAAGATGTCTTGCCAAAAACGTTCAAAGAGTTTATCTGATCAATACTTCTCGCCCTCAATGTCATGAACCAGAGGGCAGTTTCAAATATCTCGCAATCACGCTGGCGACGAACCCTCATTTGGATTCCGACGATAGCACGGTCAAGCAAGTTATTCAATATTTTCGACTCAATATTTTCGACTCCATTTGACAGTCCGGCAACCACCAAACTTACTCAAAGTACGGTATTCTGGGGCCCGGGGCACGGGTCCCTTCCGTCTCCCTGACAATCTGATCTTTAACAGCATGGCATCATTTCACAAGAACAAAGTACGGATCTTTGAACTGCTTGATGTCATGGAGGGTACATGTAGACGTGCGATCCGCTTCAATAGGCGGTTTCCCGCCGGCTGCCGCTCAACCGCCTCCGGCTCGCCAACGAAATATTTCCCCGCAGTGCGACAGCGCGGAGCTATCTACCTCGTTATGAGCACTTCACAGTCCAGCATCGTCAAGTCTTTTGAAGCTGTGCGCTGTACACGAGAATCGTGAATTTCATCCCGGCTATATCGAAAATGTCTACAGTGGCAGATCTTGTGCAGCTTGATGACTTCCAGAACATCTTCTCGCTGAAAGGGAAGGTTGCGGTCATCTCTGGCGGGTCGCGCGGATTGGGTCTTCACACAGCAAGCGGGTGAGTTCAAGCACGATCTCAGAATCCCACGTACCACCAACAGCAATCATGGCTAACTGACTGGCTTTGCAGTTTTCTCCAGTCAGGATGCTCCCGCGTTTACATAGTCGCCCGCAGCGAGGGCCCTTTGAACGATGCCGCGAAAGCCCTGAATGCCCTCCCCAACATAAGCCCCGACGCACAAGCGATCGCGATCGTTGCGGATATATCAACTCAGGTAGGATGCATTCAGATGGTCGATGAAATCAGCAAAACGACGGACCATGTTGACATTTTGGTTGCCAATGCCGGTGCAACTTTTATTGGGCACATGGACGCTTACCGAGAGGAGGATTTCGACCGGGTCATGAGAATGAACGTCAGCAGCGTGTTTTTCTCGGCTCAAAAGTATGCCCCTTCAATGTTTGACGTTCTGTATGGGAGATTGACGACATTGGTAGATTATCTCCGTTGCTTCAGGCCGGCGGCACTGTCCAGGACCCATCCCGGATCATCATGGTGTCGTCAGTGGCGGATGTCGTTGTCGGGGACATGGGTGAGCATGGGAGTAAGTCGCATCGATTGAACGACCTTGACAATGCTGGTACTAAACTTTCCAACAGCTTACGCATATGCCGCTTCCAAGGCAGCTGTGCACTAGGCACATCGAAGGAAACGCTGCATGGAGAATCCCTTGCTATTTGCAGCTTGTCGGACCAGGCGTGACTCTAGCCATGACCTTCACAATGCCTGAGTCTCCGAGAGTAAGACATTTAGTTTTCTTCACCGCAAGACTTTCATGTTATATTGACTTTTATGCTAGTGGCTTGTCAGACATAGTGCTTCTGATGAAGCTCTGCGAATCCTCGCGAGATATCACGCGAATGGCGACGTAGACGACCCGCTCGTTCGACTCGAATATGAAGAGATAATGGAAACCCTCCGTGCCGATGAGCTCAACTCCGCGACCAAATACACCGACTTTTCCCTACCAAACAATCGCCCTCGGCTGGTTTTGCTCGTCGCCATTGCCATTGGAACAAATTGGGTTGGAAACGGTATCATAACATACTACTTATCGACTATTCTGAACACGATTGGCATTCGGTCTACCGAACAACAAGCTGGACTGAATTTGGGATTACAAATCTGGAACCGTAAGTTATCTTTTCATCACCCGTCTAGGCTATTTCGGATTGATTGTCACAGAAAGGGATTCAAGACTGATTGCTTCTTCTGCTAGTGATTCTCTCAACGTCAGCAGCACTCTCTGTCGATCGCGTCGGACGAAGACCTCTGTGGCTCACCTCAACCGTAGGCATGCTCCTCTCCTTCATTGTTGTCATGGGACTGTCTGCAGCCTACGACACTCAAGGCCAGAGGAATGCAGTAGGGCTTGCAGTCATCCCCTTTTTGTTCGTCTTCTTCGGATTCTACGACCTCGCCTGGACCCCATTGTCGTACATGTACACGGTCGAGATCCTCCCCTACAACCTACGCACTAAAGGGCAGGCAATCTTCAGCGTTGTTCAGGGACTCGCAAATGCCGTCAACCAATGGGTCAACCCAATCATTCTTGACGCAATCCACTGGAAATATTACGCGGTTTACATTGGAATTCTGGCCTTTTACTGCGTCATCATCTATCGGAGATTCCCAGAGACGAAGGGACTGACCATCGAGGAGATTGTAATCATCTTTGATGGAGATAGAGCCAAAGGTGTCAGCCCTACCGCGCGAGTTGTCCGAGACGAGCCTCGTGTCATGGGCGATTGTCACTCAATTCGGTCCGAGCATGCGGACGATATATCCATCAAACAAAATGGTATGGAGGGCAAGAGCAATGGCAACGTCACTGCATCTGAGCGAGTGTGATTGTCGCGCTGTATCATTTTATGAGATGGGATCCTGCCAGACGACAGATTCACAATTGTCTTGAGTGATGGAATAACGTAGTGGTATCGTCGACGCGAGGAGGAGGAATCTTTAACTGAGAGAAAGGTAGTCAAACTTGCAGGGACATTTCAGCAGCCATTTGCATTTAGATTTCTTTGCTTCGACTTTTGAATACTGAATTCAATTGCATTACGAGTCTCATTACAACCTAATGATGATGTGTGCTTTCGTTTACAGTCATTGGCAAAGGTTCCTGACGTGCAATGATTTTCCAACTACGAAAGCCCTTTCCATCTCCTTTTGGGAAAGCTTCCTCACTCCTTTTGCGATGGTTTTCACAAGTCAGACGCTGATATTGGGTGAGTTGGCCCATCTGGAACTCCTTTCCGCTGTTGTTATTGAAGGGCGCAGTCGACGAGGTAGACGCAGCACCAGTACTCACTGCTTGTGGCTTGTGGCGATCGTTTGTGTGGTTCTCTATAGAACACATGATTAGTTGCTGCACCGTCAGGGGTTTGAGTTAAACGGGATGTCGGCGGGACGTCACTTGCCGCTTGCCGCCTCCGTTTCTGGATGTTGCGTCATGAAAATGCCGACGCGACCACCGACCAGTGCGTCGGACCCCATCTGCGAGTAGATGCGGGAGCGTTGATGCCTCGAAGCTAGCTGACCATACCGCCAGCCGCGCATGAATCACTGGGTTGTAGAAAGCAGTGTCTTGGAAACAATAGTCGTGTGAACGGGTTCATTCTGGCTACTTTGGAGCGTGATGATTGATATTCCAAGGTGTCAGCCTGCGCAGATACTTAAGACAGGCGGAACACCAGGCTTCCAATCTCAACCTTCACATTTGCAACCCTGAGCCATCATTATGAGTCCGCCAACCGTCGCCGAGCTTGCAAAGCTCACTGACCATTCCGTTATCGACCCTTTCCATACGGAAACTGATTTGAGAGAGGGAGTCGCCCTAGCCAAGAAATACAAAACGGGGCAGTTTGTAACACAACCTTTCCGCGTTAAGCAAGCTCGTGAGCTCCTGAAAAGCACCGATATCAAGCTCCAGACGTTTGTGGGCCCTCCTCATGGAAGCGATCACACCGCTGTCAAAGTCCTCCAGGCCTCCCTAGCTCTCGAGGATGGGGCACAGGAAATCGACATGGTCATTAACATCTCTGCCTTGCTTTCCGGAGATATCAAGTACGTGGAAGAAGAGATCAAGACTGTCGTTGAAACAGCAAAAGTGAGTACTCATCTGTCTCTCTTTACTTAGCTTGTATTCACTAACCCTACCTCGGCACGTAGAAGTACGATGTGATTGTGAAGGCCATCATTGAAGTCTTCTTCTTGAATGACGAACAAATCAAGACGGCGGGATTGGCAGCTGAGCGGGCTGGTGTTGGCTTCGTCAAGACCTCGACCGGCACCAAACCGGACAGAGTGCCGGATGTGGAACATGCCGTGAAGGTCCTGAGATCTGTGTTGAAGCCCACGACGGTGATCAAAGCATCTGGTGGTTGTTACACTACTGATGCGATTGTGACTTACTACAAGGCTGGCGCGAGGCGGTTCGGTGCATTTGAGACCGCCAAGATCCTTGAAGGCTATGAGGAGCTGCTGCTCCGGGGCGCGATAGGGCTAGAGTAATAAATCATAAATATCGGGTAGCTAGAATCGCCTGAAGCTATGATTCTGCACGGAGTCCACAACTTGTGATTCTTAAATCAAGTGCGTTCATGACTCTATCCATACCATAGGTCTATAGAAACAAGACCGTATATGTGAACAGAACCTAGGGCATTTTGATGTATTGGACTGGCCTAATTTTATCGCCTGCCTCATGAACACTTCGAGAGATGATGCGGAGGCGCACTATGGACGCTTCACATCACTCGTTAAACCCCTATACGCGCGTGTCTTGACAAATGATGTTGGCGAGAACATCAAAGGTAGAGATGAAAACGGCGTCGACAGAATCAAGAAGGGCAGTCTCATAGTAATGTTATCTCTCCTGCCACTGTCGCTAGGCGGGACATAGAACTTGAGGGATGAAGATAGAACAGCATTCTCATTGAGATGTAGACCACGTAGTAATTGAAAGACAACATGCTCATCCAAGCAAGAACAACAATGGTGATGATGATGAGGGTCAGCAGCAATAGAGCACATATATTTACCAATAAATCCCCTCTTAATACGGAGTTACATGTAATATTCTGTTAAAAGGCCAGTGTAAATGCATATTTATAACGACACGTAGGTAGTATTGCGCAAAACCCAAGATAATTCTTAATAAGGAAGGCTGCAGTGGTCTCTCTTCTCTTAGTCTATGTACTCGTTGGCGTACTACTTCATTTCAGCCCTTCATGCTGGCAATCTCGCTCTCGATGGCGGCCTTAGCCTTCACATCCGCGTCTCCGAACGCCTTGAAAACATCCTTCAACTTCTTCACGACGGCTGGATCGGCTTCAATTGCCTTCGAAAGCGCCTCACCATCGTTCGCCAGCCAATCTGTCTCAGCGCTGGCGAATTTGCCGTCCCATGCGGGCCCCACCAAAGGATCAATCTTCATATGTCCTTGGAGTCTGTCTCTTGTCTTGAAGTCCTTGTAGTACGGGGCCTGCTTCTTGGGAGAAGGATCTTTCAAGAAGGGGTATCTTGATAGTGTAGCATCGTCGACGGTCGCGTTCTGAAGTTCTTCTAGATGATGGGCGAGGATTGTGATGTGTTGGCAACCCAATTCGGCGGCAGCAATAATCTCGCCAACATTGGCGTTGCTGTGTATCATCAGAAGATGCTCATTAGGCGAAAAGAGAAAACAGAGTATCGTACTTACCTCGCAATAACGATGAGAGGCTGGTCCTTCCCCGTCGTTTGGTACATCTGGGCGTAAGTCTCGAGAATATGGACTAACCGAGGAGCCATCGGGTGCTACACGAACACATTAATATGTATTGAGACAGATATACGCGATGCAGACTTACAGTCAGAGCGGGATCAGCTCCCTTGTGCATCAAAGAGTCATTTTCGTAAGCGGCCACCTCTGCAAACCATTAGTTTCTGGAGGAGGGCTGAACCGGACGGCTATTCCTCACCATTGAGATACGGGCTCACAAAAAGGCATCCCGCTTGGCTCGCCGCGATAGCCTGCGGAAGGCTAAACAGCGAGGTTCCCAAAGTTCTGATTCCTTCCTCATTCAGAATCTTGGCAGCAGCTAGGCCGGGTCCTGTCGATGCGATCTTGATCGCATATTGATCACGCGTGATGCCGTGGTCTTTGAAGGCTCGGTCATACGCATGGCACTGATCCAAGACCTGCTGCTTGTCGTGAACGTGACTAGGTGATACTTGCACGAGAACGCGGCCGGTGATGTTCTTTCGGTTGTCTGCGCAGAACTGGACTGACTGAATGTGAAGTCAGTATTACCAACTTGCATTACTTTTCTTTGACACCCACAATGCGGTTGAACACTTCTTCCCACCCCTGGGATCCGTATCTCTTGACGTTTTCCAAGAAGATGTCACGGTACTCTGGCTGGAGCATGGTGTTGCAGCAAATGACCTGGTTCGATGTTTCTACAGCTGGTCAGCGAGAAGCGATTTTTGATGAGCTCCCGGCGCTGTGAGGATACTGACGGTTGTGGGGTTTGAACGGCATTTTGGTAGATACCTTCGGATCGATCGCGTCTACGTCTACATTGCAGACTCTCTCGAGAGCTTCCAGCAAGCTCGTGTGTTTCTCGGTGGCCATATTGGGATCTGTTCACTGATCTGCTGCTCGGGCAAATGGGATAACGATTGTGAGACATGGCGAATAGCTCGGTTTTAATATCAGCCTTCTAAGTTATGAAAGAGCTGTCTCAATGTGAATGCATCGTCATCGTCACATGAGCCCGCCTCCATAGTGGTTTGCATCGCAGTCAAGGTTGCCGAGGTTTAGCCGCGGGAGCGATCCCGCTTCGTCCGCTGGCTCCGCTAGTGACTGCGCAGGGGTGGCATCGACGTCCATCGCGCGTGATGCTTGGCCGAATGGAAACAGCCCAAAGCTGCGTAGCGGTATAAGGACACTGGGGCTTGATGGGTGGCCCGACGAAGTAATGCATGATACATTCAGTGAAGAACCAGAACAAGGATTGAAAGGCTCACAGAACCTGTCACACACACTATGTCTGCCAGAATCCCCACGAACAAGAGAACCGCTGTTCTCAACGATGGAAATCAGATCCCGCTTATTGGTCTGGGCACGTACCTTTCGAGGCCCAATGAGGTTCAAGACGCAGTTCTCGCGGGGTAAGCATGTTGGCAGCTCTTCATTGTGGGCGATAGTTGCTGATTTAGGAGTCAAGATGGAGATGTGGTATGCGGCACTTTGACTGCGCCCAGTTTTATCAGGTCAGTCTTCACATTCACTATTGAGAGTTCATCTATCTCGTTCGAATTGACCGAACTGCAGAATGAAAAGGAAATCGGTTCGGCTCTTGAGATCCTCAGGAGGGAGGAACCGAGTTTCAAAAGGGAAGACCTTTTTATCACCAGCAAAGCTTGGAACTCGTGAGTACACTTACATGTAAATAAAAGCGTTATTTGCACCGGTCCATTTGTACTGACAGTTTTGGAGACATCACCAACCCGAGAATCTGAAGAAGGCTCTCGACCAGACGCTGGAAGACTTGGGCACGCATTATTTAGATCTTTACTTGGTACGAGGTGAACCAGACCAAATGTTTTAGTGATTGAGGCTGACTGAGAAGATTCACTGGCCGGTCAACTTTGCTGCGGTCTCTGACGTCAAGTCAGAGACTGGAGTAAAGCTCGAACCATCTGAAGAAGGCGTGATGTTGCTCGACAGGGAGTTGAGCTTGACTACCACCTGGCAAGCTATGTTGGAGGTCCAGAAGGTTGGTAAGGTCAAGAGGTAATATCTATGATGATGCAGAAGTGATTGAAACAGATAATACTGACGCTCCTCAAGCATTGGCGTCAGCAACTTCAGCCCGACGCATATTCAGAAGCTGATTGACGAGACTGGTATAGTCCCAGCAGTCAACCAGGGTATGCTTTTCCTAGGCCTTGCATTCATTCAAATTGATTTTGATGAGAGTCCATGTTAATGCAGAAATCATTGATTTCCCCCAGTTGAGGCCCATCCTCTGCTGATTCAACAGGAGTTGCTCGACTACTGCACGTCGAAGGGAATCCATGTTACCGCTTACATGCCGTTCGGCGGCGACGCGACTCGTGGAGGGGCCAAGGTCCTCGGGAATCCCGTGGTGGACACGATTGCTCGCAAATTTGGGAAAGATGCGGGCCAAGTGCTTGGGTCATGGGGAATCAAGGCATGTATTTCCTGGTTCCAGCACAAAGACATATTTCTGACACGACATCAGCGAGGGTTCTCTGTGTTGCCAAAATCTGTGAAGCCATCCAGGATTGAGTCCAATTTTCAGGTGTTCGATATCGACAACGAGAGGTAACGTGCAACCAAATTATTTCAAAGAAGACAACTGAGCTAATACTTGGAATTCTTTGTATGTACAGCTACGAAACTCTCACCGCTCTTGGCCGCAAAGAGTCGGCCCGTTTCGGGGGTCTTCCCTTCACTTTCGATCCAGCCTGGAATGTCAATGTCTTTGGTACTCCTCAAGAACGCAAGGCGGGTCTTCTCGAACCATTCTGAGTGCAAACCTCTTTATAGGGCCATGTATGGAGGAGAAATTGAGCATATTTCGGCTCCATAGGACTTTGGAAGAACCATCTATGAAGAATTGAAAGTTGCAACATTGCGTCTGTCAGATCGTTTCCTCTTCCGCGTGTCGCGAAACCATGCTTGTCCGTAGTGGGAGTCCTGGGAGTAATAACCACAGCAGGAAGCAAACCACAAGAACCGAGAGTATGATGGGTTGCAGCACAGCCACCCCTTTGGCTTGGGCAATAGCTCCTACCATGAATGGGATGACCGAGGCACCGGAAGCTCCGATAGCTGAGCAGATTCCGATGGCAGACACCCGCATTCTCTGTGGCAGAAGACGAGACAGGCAGACGATGACTGCGGGGAACACGGGGCCAAGGAAGAATCCTACCAAAGAACGTCAGAAAAATGCGTGGACTTTGGCAAGATAAGGTACATACCTAGGAATGCACCCGTGATCGCCGAAGAGATGAAGTTGGGAATGAGCCAGTACAGGAGTTGCATGATGACGGCACAAACCAAATACACAGCCACAGCATGCTTCTCGGACTTGAAGACACGTCCAGTAACGAAGCCAAGAACGATCCGGCCGACAGTGATTCCTGCCCAGAACCCACTGGCAGCAAGTCCTGATGCAAAGGCCGAGCCGCCGCGCACGTCAATCATGAAAGTCACGAGCCAACCGCCGAGGGCGACTTCGGACCCGACATATGCTAGAAGGAATGCGCTGCAAACTAGCACGACTTTGTTCTTGAGACAATTCCAGGTATTGCTAGTTCTGAAGCTTCCGGCAGCTTTGGACACTCTTGATGGAGGGTTTCGCCTCAGGGGTGGCCGACCTGCATTCTCCCCAAGCGGCATCGCCTGCAAGGGAACCTCAATTGTTTCTTGCTGTCCCCGAGTTTCACCGATTTCTTGTCGGTATGACTTTCCGTTCTGAGAATAGAAGAGGGAAAGGGTAAGAACGAACTCCGAGGCAGCCATCGCGACCAAGACGTAGTATACTTGGTACCAATGCCAGCCATACCGAGTAAACAGCGCACTTGCGGTGACTGGGGTAATTGTTGCGCCTATCCCGTAGAATCCATGCAAGAGTCCCAAAAGTTCATTCGAGTTCTTGAAACCTCCAACAAAGGAGTTCCAGGCAGCGGTTTTCGCGCCTGACCCGAGGCCCACGAGGATGTAGACGACAACAAGAACCGGAAACGGTGGGTGGAAGCAGCCGACGAGGTAGGCTGTAACATGACAAGTCCCTGCCATGATGATGATCCCGCGCCTGCCGTAACGTAAATGGACGGCGTGATTCGAGACAGTGCTCATGATGAACCCTAACACAGGCGATAGGAATATGAGCGATACTTGGAGATAAGTGATGCCGTAGTATTCCTCAATCTGTTGCCCAAGGTCAGATCGAGCAAACGTAAACGCATGGATGCATCGGCAAGATAATCTGCCAACGCTAGTAGACGAACCTGCGGGATGAGAACCTGAGATGATCGCCAAGTCAGTCGAGAACTTTACAATTGGAGGACTATGTTGCACCAACACCATAAGAACTGTCATTGCTGCCCAATAGCAAGAAACACCAGAATATTACGCCCAATTTGGCAATGTTGAGGCGCGGGGAATTCCATTCTGCATGCGTAGCTTGCTGGGGTGTATCGTTGGACTCGGGTTCGGGGTTGGCCGGCTGGACTGCACGAGATCTTTGGCGTCGAAAAGGCCTGTTGTTAATGAGAAAGGAGGAGATCGGAGAGATGAGCTTCAGGGGCGACATGGTGAGAATGAGCAGTTTGCGCTGAAGTAGATAAACCGAATCAACACAAGGAACACAGCCATATAAGGTAGAGAATGTGAGACTCCGGGCAGCGCAGCTCTTATTTATGAACAGCAATCTCATTGTCTTTAACAAGCCCAGGGTTTCTGGAAAGGGGTCCACTCACCTCTCGAGGAAGTCATTTTGAATCACGCCTCCAGCACGTACTGTTGTTATCATGCACAGTGTCCGCTTTGTCTTACCAATGGACAGCAGGCCGCGCTGAAAAGCATCGGGCTCAGTGGGTTCTCTGCTATTTCCGCTAGAATGCTTGGAATTATGGGGGCACTCAAGGATCCGGGCTGATCTATGTGACGCTGACGCTGCGGACAGGAAGCGGGGAAGTTCCAGGTTGTTTACCCCGGATTCGTGCTTTTTTCATGTTCGCCAGACAGCATCTCAACCCTCCAGGAGGCGTATATCACCTGGTTAAAGCGGTACTTGGATCAAGACACCGAGTTTCTGTGATACGTTGAGCCTCCAGCCCTTCCCAGGATCAACATCTCGACATAAGGCGCCGCGAAAGCACCACATCAGAATCTGCATCATGACGAGTCAAGGGCGAACCGGGCCGAACTACCCGCGACGACGAGCACCTGTTGCCTGTCACTTCTGTCGATATCGGTAGGTGTTACCTTTTCTGAGCTTGCAAGCCGACCAGACAGCTGACGTCTCTTGTACAGTAAACGAAAATGTGATTCTCAGCGTCCCGCGTGCGGTTTATGTGCCGTTTCTGGCGTTGACTGCGAGTACCCAAAGCACTCAGAAGACACGAGGTACACGACATGTTCCCAGGCTGTTGAACCTCATTCCACTGAGAGCCATGACGCTGATGATGAGAGGTTCGGGTTTCTTCTAGGCAAAACACAACGCAAGCCGCGGCAAGCTTACCAGTAGACGCTCTCTTGCGCCGTCTAGATCAGCTCGAGAACATGTTGAAACAGCAAAATGGGCAGCGGCAAGAGTCTCAACCGACACAGGAGAGTGACGAACAACCTGCTTCAGAGCAACCAACACCAGGCTCTGCTCACCAAGATGAGGAATCGCCAAGTTCACATGCCTCGCCATCACAACAGACACCTCCGCCGGAAGATGTCGTAGCCCGCTCTACTGATAGTCCGACCCCTGTTCTTACCGAGTCAACTTTGCCGACAACCATTACGGATGGTGTAACCATCGCGGCATCGGACCCAGAACATGCTGATCAGCATGAAGCCCCAGGGGAGTTAATGAGCGATGTTTACGATGAGTCCATGCTCGACAACATCCAAGGCTTTGTATCATACCTGTCATCTCATGGTCCGACTATAGCAATGCCGCACCCCATCGAGAAGACGTGGCTCTCAGCAGAACCACCGTATCCGGTGATCGGCCACGGCCAGCGCTGCATTACTTGCGGCCAATCTGATAGCCGGTTGTTGGATGATGCGCCCATCACCATCCCAATATGCCACCACACATCCACCGGGAGCATGTTCGCTCTCGAACCCGTCCGCCGGCTGATTGGCGACTATCCGAGAGATTTCTTCTACCAGGTCGAGACATGCCGGACAAGCATACCCGAACTCAGCTCTAGAAATGATCTGTCGCTCCTCCTTGCTTCCGTTGACTTCACCGGCGGTGCCACAGACGGTCTCATTTCCAGTTACTTCACTAACATCAACTCCACATTCCCAATATTGGGCAAGGCGTCTTTCACAAATCTCTTTCATCGGACCCTGCGAGGCGACCAGTGCGAAGATATTGATGCAGCAGTCTGTCTGGTCGTCTTAGCCCTCGGGAAGCTGGCCGGTACCGACTACGAAGATGCTAGCGCTGCAAACCACTCACACGGCCTTGAATACTTCATCCCTGCGTATAAGATATTGACGTCGCAATGGGTCACTTCCTTCGGCACTGATCTTTCGCTGCCGACAGGTCTGGTCCTCTCTGCCATCTACATGTCTTGCCTCGCCCGACCACTACTTGCTTGGAAACTTGTGTACATGGCGTCAAGCAAGCTGCAAATGATGATGCCAAGTCGGAACCAGGGCAGCTTGGCCTTCTCAAATGCAGAGAATGAAACAGTCGGTCGCCTCTTCTGGGTCTGCTTCCTGCTAGAGTGGTAAGTCGCGATCCGCAGATGTCGCGCCGTGCTAACATGATCATCATCAGTGATTACTTGGCCGAACTACGCGTCCCGCCAAGCGGTATTGAAATCGACATCGACCGCATGCCATACCCAAGGCTTAGTAGCCCAAATGAAAGAGACGGACTGGTATTTCTTGCTCTATGCTCGGTCCGAGGCCTTCTAAATCGCATTCATAACGCAGTTCACGCCTCAGGTAGCCAGGCCCCTCTTCAACCAGCCAGCACGCCAAGCTATACTGACAACGACAACCCGACCGGATCGCCATCGCTATCAACAATTTGCTCGCTCGAAAGAGTATTGAATGAGCTAACCCGCCAGCTCGAGGTATGGTATCACTCTTTACCTGACATCATCAAGCCAGACCTGAGCCACAACGTACCCACTGATGCACATGAGGCTTCGCTGCGGCTTCGGTACTGGTCAGCTAGACACATCATCTCCCGTCCATGTCTTGTTTACATCCTCTCCGTCAGTACGGCCGATGAGGTTCCTACATACGTCTACAAGTATGCCGAGACGTGCATTCAGAGCTGTCGTAACTACATTGAGACCGCTTTACAGGTCTTGACCAAACGAACCCCATACGTATGGGCTATATGCCAAGCGTAAGTTTTGATCTGACGGTTTCTATCAGACTAGGAGGACGCTGACATTCATGCTCCCAACAGGTGTCTAGCAACATCTTTCGTGCTAGCTACGTCATCGGAGTCACTGATTCTAAAGCACCTAGTACCCGATATCGAAGGTATCATTTCTCGACTCATAGCTGGCATGCAGCGTTGGGCGTCACCCGAATCCAGCATTGAGTCCATCGTTTGCATCCTACAGTCCATTCATCAGAAACAACGACTAGCGAAGCTCAAACGACGGCACACGTCCATGTCTCTTGGCTGAAGGATATTGCTGTATGTTCAAAGAGACTGTCTTTAGGCTACATGAGACATTTGATCTAAGTAGAGAATCTCAGTCCTCCGTTGGCGCAAACGACACTTCCAGTGCACCAAGACGAGTCCTGGCCACAAATCATACCAACAACGGCGGCAATCTCAGTCCAGTATGCCGGGCGTCTGCCAGCCATCTTCTCATTCGCCAACTTCACCAGCTCCGGTCGATCAACCCCGTCACGAACAGCCGTCAAGGGAGCGGCGAGCTGAAACGGCTCCAGCTGCTTCCAGAACTCTTCCCCCGCCGCCCAGTACATGTCGCCCTCGACCGGACCGGGGTTTACAGCGTTGACGGTGGCCCGCTCCACGAGCTCTCTCGCCCACGTCCTCGTCATGGCCTCCAACGCAGCCTTCGTCCCGCCGTACAGGGTGTGCGTCTTGAAACCCATGCTCGAGGCGACGGAAGAGATGTTGACGATGCGGCCAGAGCGGTCGTGTGGCAGATACGGCAGGACGGCCTGCATGACCATGATGGGGGCCAATACATTGACGGCGTAGATTCGGTGGAACTCGTCGGCGGGGACCTCGCCCAGGGCGTAGTCACCGCCAACGCCAGCGTTGTTGATGAGGATATTGATGATAAGAGCGCTATCGGCGCGGGAGAAGTTGGCCTTGGCAGTGTCAATGATTCTCCTGGCTGCTTCCTCGGTCTGGGTAAGGTCTGTTTGGAGAGGGACGATCTTGACGCCGTGCTTGGAGGAGAGCGAGGCGGTCAGTTCCTGGGCGGCATTGGTGGAGGAGTCAGACGTGTACACGCCCAGAATATTGGCACCTTTGCCTGCAAGATGCTGTGTAATGGCAGAACCGATGCCTGTACATGTTAGCGGAAGGCTGCTTGACGTGGATATTCATATTTACCTCGGAAGGCGCCGGTGATAACGGCATTCATGCCTTCAAGAGGTCGAGCTTGGTTCGACGCCATTTCTGCTTTCAGAGTGTATACGTCGAACGCCTTGTTTTTTGGAGGGATTGAATCTGGAGCACACCAAATACAAACAAGATGTGATTTGAAAGAGGTAGTCTTGATGCAAAGGCAGTGAAAAGGTGTATGACGAGATGGATATGTTGTCTATTTTTCTACAGCTAGTTGTATCTTGCATTGATATCGGTACTTCGGGATGCATCCAGGGCTCGACGATTGCTCCTAGCTTAGACGGCGGACCAAGGCGGAAGAGCGGGAAGAGCGCCGCCATGCGGTTCTCGGAGAGGTGGTTATGCGGGGGAGGGGATCATCATGCAGGGACCTTTGCGTCACGCCGCATGTGCTACACATAGCGGTGCAATAATTAGCGAATTTGATCATCTCTTTGGCGCGTTAAGTTTCAATTCAGACGAGAATATTTGCACTTGTTTTACGAAGTCAGCTATCTCCGTATTGTATATCGTCATCGTCGAGCAGGCGACACAGAGCGAGAACATGAGCAACACGGCAGACCCTTCGTTCCGAGAGGTGAAGGCGCGGCAGGGCGGCCCTTCGACTCGCGCCGCCGACTTGTTCCGTCTTGATGGTCGCACAATTATCAGTAAGTGGCACGTCAAACCTATGAGGCTGCTCAACAGGTGAACTTCGCAAAAGGAGACAGTCGAGACTGACCTGATCAACCAAACAGTAACTGGCGGTGCTGGCTATTTGGGCGTCGAGGTTGCTCAGGCGGTCCTGGAGGCTGGAGGTAACCCTGTGTGCCTCGACATTGTCACGAGTCCTCCGAGCGAACCCTGGAGTGAGTTGACCAATTTTCTTGACAGGATCAGTTCTCAAATTCGCGGAACATTGACCGAATTATGAAAGTGGCACGCAAAGCTAACTTCCGACGTCTCCAGACCAATTGGTAAAACTCGCCTCTAGATTTGGCCTGCAATTATCGTACTATCACTTAGACGTAACCGACGGGAGCAGCACCACGGCTGTGTTCCAACAGCTCGTGCCGACCCTCAAATATCCCATACGAGGCCTTGTAGCCTGCGCCGGCGTGTCCGACAATGATCCGGCACACGAGTTCTCTATCGAGCGCTTCCGCCGCCTCATGGAGATCAACGTCACCGGCACATTCGCAGCGGCTCAAGCTGTGGCTCTGGAGATGAAGAAGGCCAATGTGGACGGCAGCATGGTCTTGGTTGCAAGTATGAGCGGCACAAACGTCAACAGGGGAGTCGACACGGCCGCGTACAACTCTTCCAAGTCTGCAATCTTGCAACTTGCGCGGTCGCTGGCGGCTGAATGGGGATCGCGGAAGGGCATGCCTCTAATTAGGGTCAACAGCCTATCGCCAGGATACATTAGGACCCCCGCTACTGCTGAGGCACTGCGTAAGCCTGGCATGGAGAGTCAGTGGATGGGAGACAACATGCTGTACCGACTGAGCTCTGTGGACGAGTTCCGAGGTCCGGTGCTGTTCCTTTTGGGAGATGCGAGCAGCTTCATGACGGCGGCAGACCTCCGGGTCGACGGCGGCCATTGTGCATGGTAGAGCTACGGAAATCGACGAATAGAGAGAATCATCAGAATTGTCGTGCTTGAATTGACTTCGAAAAAATGTTTTCTCTATCTCGCATTACGGGACCGCCTACCTAAGATTCACGGTAATGCCATCCCGTTTTCACTAATCTCACTCAAAGGCTAATTACACCGCCGGTGGAGGACATTGCACCATCAATGGTATGTTATTTCTTGATTGATAGAAAACCTCCCAATCCTACGTATCTAGACCAACACGAGATTCTCCTGGCAAGGAAGCCTATGCTCTCTGATATCCTTCGCATTGAGTTCATCGGTTCCAGTCGCCCGTTCCCAAGCCTCCTTCTCGTCCTTAACTATGCCCGCCTGAAGGTGCCTGACAGCAAGCCGCTTACGGGCCAAATCAGCCGGCGTGTCAACATACCAAAGCTCTGTCATCAACGCAGCGGCATCGCTCCATGGAGCCCTATTCAGCGCACAGTAGTTTCCTTCCACCAAAACGATTCGAACTTCTTTGGGGATAACAATGTCGTCGGCAACGGGATCTTTGGCCGCATGATCAAATGAAGGGGCTTTTGCTTCTACTGGAGGTTCGGCTACAAGCCGGCGCACCAAGGCTAGAAAGCCCGCAGCATCAAACGTGAAGGCGGCTCCGCGGCGATGGGTAGCGAAGGCCGGGTCTCGCATCGAGGCAAGATGGGCACGGGAATAGTGAAATCCGTCCATTGCGAGATCTACGACGGTAGGTGCATCAGTTGGACTCGGGCGAAGCTCGTTGATACGCGCGGTAACCAGCCGAGCCAGTGTTGTCTTTCCGGAGCCAGGCACGCCCGAAATCCCCACGACGATTCTTCGCGATGCATGCTGTGAATCCAGGGCGGCTTGGGACATCAAGTCAGCGGCTATGCAGGATCTAGTTGTCTGGTCCGGGTACGGCAGAAGCACCTACAGAGGAGTTTGTTGGAAAGCCGGTCTACCTCCGCTTTCACATTGGGCGTAAGACTGGTGATCTCCTTCATGTCGGCTGTGAAATAAGATCTGCTTCACTACTAGGTACCAATCACTTGCTTTTCTGATGGAAATGCATCTGTCGATGGTTCAAAATTCCCATCCTGTTGGGTTGAAAGGTTTTAATTATGCTTGCAATAGCGGGCGGATAGCGGAGGATAGCGGGATCACCAAACCAGGGGGAGTGCATGAGGAAGACTGTCAAGGAACGCATGGTTTTCAGCGATTGACTACAATTATCCTGGATACATGAAAAATGACTTCTGTATCCTTTTGGCATCGCCTATATTGAAATGACTAATATGGCTTCAATCCAGCCAACTTCAACATCATATCGTCCACCTCGGGCTTCTCTAGCGGCTCGTCCCTATTGCGTGGGTCAACTGTGCCATCAGGGAGATGCGCAAGTTGAGGCCGAAGCCAAATGTTATCATGAGCCCAATGGGTTGTTGCGCCGTAGACATTGAACACACGAGCTTTCTCTTCAAGGGCTTCCTTTTTAGCAAGTTTGGCGGGAGAGTAAGATGCGTAGATAACGGTTCGGATGGTCTTGCTGTCCGCCGTGGGCTCAGCTCCCCAGTGCACCGTCCGCGAATCCCACAAGATGAGGTCGCCGGGCTCGGCCTTGACTTTGCATGCTTTTAGCCCTTTGCTTTCGAACCACTTCATCTCTTCCTCGCTGAAGCGGCGCCAGTCAATCTCCGGCCAGGAAGACGGCTCCGTTTGAGTGTCGAAAAACTCGGCGTTGTATGCATTCGAGCCTGGCAGCACCATGAGCGAGCCATCCTCATCGCCAACGTGGCTGAGATTGATGATGCCCTGGATGCAGTGCAAGCCGCGTTTGAAGGGCGACTGGTCGACATGGGGCCAGGGGGCTCGCGGCGGCTTGTCCTTGCGACCCGGCAGAGTGATGTTGAGCGAGTCGAAGGAGACCAGCAACTCGTTTGTGTTCCACACTTTGGAAAAGGCATCCACGACTCCAGGTTCCATACGAGCGTCCCACATGAACTTCTCATGAACAACGCAGTAGTTGTCAAACGTGTTGAGTTTGCTCTGGACAGGCATGTTTTCGGCAAGCCAGGTGCTGGGGTCGTTCAAATCCAGCGGCAGGCCGAACGAAGTCAGCCACTTTAGGGCCCGCTGCTGGTACTCGACCGCACGTTCGCGGGGAATAGCGCCCTTGACGACCGCATATCCGTTCGTACGCAGGTCATCTCGCCAGTCACCGTAGGAGGCGTCAAGTCTGTAACCCGATGTCAACGAGATCCTCGCAAAAATTGCGCGAATAGAAGCTCACTGAAGAAGAGGGCTGGCAGTAGTGGTCTGAGTCGCCATGGTTCGTGAGCAGGCGCTGAAGCGAAGAAGCTGGATGCAGTTGGTAGTCGAATGACTTGGCCTAGCGGGATTGATGGTGCAGTTGAATCTGCTTGAAGGCTTCAAGACTCCCGAAGTCGAAGCAGCGTTCGCGTTTATGCGTTGAATGCTTGCCACTTGGGTAAACAGCTGTCTCCTTAGAACCATGTTGTCACTGGACTCGTTCACAAGCTTTCAATGGTGACAACGCCGCTATTCTGGACATACAGCCACCGAGAAACCCTCTGGAAATACCCTGAAATAGAGCATTCTGCCTTGTGTAACGGTTATCCCACCTGCCACACAATGTTCATGTCGTCACTGGGTTCCACGCAATCAGATCCGCGGATTTGGATATCCTACATTCCGGGGAATAGCGCTTCAGCGGAAGCCGACACCATTGGGAAGTCCTGTGGTCCGCATCGAAGCGACTTTACATGTACCGTGCAGTTGACGAAGAGTTGCTACTGTATTTCCTAACTTTGCAATCACGGCGGGATGCGGACGAAAACTGCCTCGCTCCCGCTACCCGCCCATCCGCCTTCCCGCCGACCCACATCTCCGGAGACGCCCCTGGCGCAACGATATGCCAGCTAAGAAGGCGAATGTTGGCTTCAGCCTGACTTCAGTTTGCGGGAAAGCGTCCGCTGACTGGATCAATATGGCGGGGACGGAAATGCTGTCCCTTGGATATCAGACAGGCAGCAGGATGCTAAAGCGGATTGAATATGTTGGGTCCGGAACCTGGTACCTTACATGTAGAGCAGCACCACGAAATCACATTGCTGTGAATAACTCAGCTTGACCTAGACCCCCGAATCTGCGATTTCATTGAACCACTTGCGAGCAACGCCTTGCAACATCTTAGAAAGATCTCACTTTTGAGATTCCACGATGACTCTGACCACCGAAGATACGAGAATCCCAACCGAGAACCATGCTTGCGTCATGCTGGGAATCGACAAACTTGGTTTGGAGAGCCGGCCCATGCCTCCTCCGCCAGGGGAGTACGAGTGAGTGCGAGACAGTCGAGAGAATGGTTTAACATTTCACATTCAGAGACTAAACTTCCGACATAGGGTCATAGTAGCACCGAAGAAGACAGGCATTTGGTAAGAGCAATTCCGCAGTATCAAGGGTGCAAACACTGACAAGTATGGATGAACCAGTGGCTCGGATATGCACTTGTTTTTGGAAGGGCGTGTATGTCTGCTTTGAAGAGGGAATCTGAGTGACGGGGACTTTTTGCTTACTTTTAGCTTTCGTCGACAGGCAGGAGAGTCTTCATTCTGCGACCCACTGATTCTAGGTCATGAAGCGGCTGGTGTTGTTGCCCAAGGTGAGCGAGGCCAAAAACAGTGATGTAAGTTGCCAACTTCGCAGAGCAAGTGCTGATGATTATCGACAGTCGGATCGAAGGTCACGTCCCTGCAAATTGGTGATCGAGTTGCACTTGAAGTAAGCTTGACGACTGGTGCGTTCAACAGCAACACTGACTGACTATCACTGCACAACACTAGCCTGGATTTTGCTGTCGGAGATGCGAGTTCTGTAAAGGCGGCGAATGTAAGAACAGCCCGCTCCTCACGATGTCGAAAGCTTCTAACGACTGTCATGAAGATGGGCAATGCGGTGACTTCAAGTTCGCCGCGGCCGACGGCTTCGACGGAACATTGCAAGGCTTTTTCACTATCCCTGCCGACTTGTGAGTATTTGACCCAAACCACTTCTACCTCCCACTAACATATTCTAGCTGCTACCGCCTGCCCGACGTACGTGATCGATCCAATCCAGCAAAGTATTTGAACTGACGAGAAGCATGCAAGTCTATGTCATTCGAACAGGGAGCTCTGGTAAGAATGTGTTCTTTTATCCACCGTCTGAATGGATCTGACCATCAATCAGATCGAGCCCCTCGCTGTCGCCGTTATGGCTGTCAGCAGCGTGGCGAAGATGAAGCACAATGCCAACGTGGCAGTTTTTGGAGCTGGTCCCGTCGGCCTTCTGTAAGTATATCTGTGCTTCATTTTTGCAGTCTCCCTCTAACAGGTAGTAGAACCATGGCAGTCGCGAAGGCCCTTGGAGCCAGACGGATCTTGGCAGTTGATGTGAACGAACAGAGACTTGACTTTGCCAAAGGCTACTGCGCAACGGATGTCCACGTCGCCATTCCTAAGAACTCTGGAGAAGACAACATGTCTTATTCCAAACGACACGTGAGTCTCCTGAAAACCTATCGCAATGCTCCGCAATCATCTAACTTTGCCTAGGCGCTCGAAATCATGAAGAATTTCGGACTGGGCGAACGTGGAGAGGGTATCGATCTTGTTGTAGAATGCTCAGGCGCCGAAGTTTGTGTCCAGACGGGAATCTGGCTCGCCAAACGACGTGGCATGTTCGTTCAGGTCGGCGCCGGTCCAGCAAACAACCTCATCCCAATATCCATCCTGGTAAACAAGGAAATCACGGTGAAGGGAAGTTTGAGAGTAAGTGACGTCGGAAAAGTTGCGCAGACTCTTTTCGGCGAACGGCTGCTGACTATCTCAAGTACGGGCCGGGTTGCTATCAGTTAGCTATCGATCTTGTGCGGCAAGGGAGAATCAACTTGAAGCCCCTCCTGACACATCAGTCAGACATCTATGCCCCTACGAATGACTTGTCAAAGCTAATTATGTTACTGCAGCTTCCCTTTCAATGATGCCGCGAAGGCCTTCAAGGCGATGCAAAACGGAAAGGGAGAGGACGGTGAAGTTTGTATCAAAGTCATCAGTAAGTTTCCATGCACACAGTCTGTTCGGCCCGCAATCAAACTAAGAGTTTTACGGTTGACGGGCCTTTGGCATGAACACATCCATGAACCTAACGTAACTGCTGAAAGTGTGAAATGAAGGGTCCAGCATTTTCCGGTTGGGCATTATACTGAAGGTTATCTTCCAATTATGATGTTGTGTATTTCAGAATGGGAATGAAATATCTATCGTCTGTGATCCGTACAATATCTTCAGAAATGACTGTGATTGCCATCCATCAAAAATAGAGCTGGGTGGCATGATGCATCTTGTCCTTTTTTGGGAGAATCGACACGATGACCACGGGTACTGCAGTAAACGTCATCAAACAATGTCTTGCTCTCATTTACATATTATTTGAATGCTCGTGTTATGGATCTTTAATTTCAAGACGCAAGAGTAAGGTTTCAAGATGCATTTGAGAAGAGGTGAGCTCTTAGAAACCGCCCCAAAACCACATGTCACCAAACCATCCATTTTTCAAGTGAATGAGCACTCTATTACGTCACTAACAGGTGCCAAAAGTGACGAATACTCTTTATGTAAAATTCACCTTGTGGAGGACTAGTCTTTTACTTGATGAGTTCGCTCTTCAATCCATTTCTTGAATTCCCATCACACAAAGCTAGCGGTCTGTCGTCTGTACAGAGGTCAGAATTTGATAGCATGATACTTGTGACTGAAACTCACGGTTGATAAGGCTCTTCAAGAAAACTGATCTCCTCCTCACTGAGCTCGATCTCAAGTGCAGCCAGTGTCTCTTCAAATCTCTCAATCTTCGAAACGCCCACAATGGGAGCAGCCACAGCGTCTTTATGGAGTACCCAGGCTTTGGCAGTATTAGGTTCGATATTCAAGTGAAGACGCCGGGTTGAGATGACATACCAAGACCGATCTGAGCCATGCTATATCCCCTCTTCTCGGCCAGCTGCTCAACCCTTCGGATGACTTCTTTCTCCCACTCTGCGCCAAGCAAGCCTTCATCGTGATAAGCGTCCGAAGTCTGAAATTCAGTATTAGTGATGAGAGCTTGCCAGGCTAGTGGCCCGTTGAAGGACAACCTGGTCTTACCGAGCGGACAGTCTCATAGGCGCGCGAGAGAGGTCGCGCCAAGTCTGTAAACATTCACCCGGATTTAGTCCATGAACTGAGCATCTTCTCTCGAGCCTCTGGCAGGAATATTGCACTTACGGCCTCTTGCGAGTGGACTCCATGGGGTTGAGCCAACGCCCAGATACTTCAGCAATGGCATCATCTCCCTTTCCTCCTCGCGATAGAGAAGATTGTAGAGATTTTGACAATTGACAAACGGTGTGAGGTGATTATTCAAAGCGTAGTCTATCATTCCGGTTGAGTCAGATCCAATGTCGTAGGCTGAGCATGACGGAGGACTTACTCTGCATTGCATGGAATTGCCAAGCCCAACAGCTACTGATACCAATGTAGCGTACATAGCCTGCTTTAACCACATCATGCAAGGCCGTCATGGTCTCTTCAATCTATAGAAAACTATTAGGATATGAGACAAGTGAACAACGAAAATCTTGCATACCGGGGTTTCGTAGTCAAATCGGTGAAGCTGCGATGCTGTCCTTAGATGTTAAGACCTTTTTCTTATCTTGGGGATGCCTACCTGCAGCACATCAATGTAATCCGTGTCAAGCCTCTTGAGTGCCAGCTTGACATTGTCAAAGATGTGCTGAAATCATATGTTCTTAGTAAAGCGCGTGAGAATTCAATGCATCAGGGTCGTACCTTTCGGTTATTTCCAGACGTCATGGTCAGACCTGCTGGGCCCTGCTTCGCGGAGTCTCCAACCGGGTGGAAAGACTAAGACGGACTTTTGAGCAAAAGTACCGAAAGTGTTCGTGGGGTCTTCTCACCTTGGTCATCACAACAACGGACTCGCGCGGAACGGTTTTGAGGAACTTCCCCAGAATCTCCTCGCTAATACCGTTGCAGTAGAAATTGGACGTATCGAAGGTATTGAAACCCAGATCCCAAGCTCTCTGTCAGAAGTCAGACCACAACCATTACTGAAGGTTTTGGCCACGGATACAGTGAACGCTTACCTTCAGATGCTGGAGTGCCTCCTCCTCCTCGATGCGCCATGCAACATCTTTCTTGGTACCATAGGTTGCCATGCCGAGGATGAGCCGCGATACCTGGATCCCGCCATCAGCCAACAAGAACACAGATAGCTTATGAGACTTAGAAATATACCTTCAGTCCACTCTTGCCCAATCGCACGTATGGCATTTTCGGGGCCGGCTTCGAGTGTCCGAACTCCGTAGGCACCGTCCGACCTTGATATCCGCTGTTGATCATGATTGAGAATGTGGCAAGGGGCTTGTTTTGAGATATTGGTGAATAATGTTTCATCAAGACTTCACTTGGACCTGGAATCGCGCTTTTCTGTATCTCAATGATCGTGCGCTTGCCTCTTATACCGAGATGATTCATCTCACCCACCAAAACCCCAGCTCTTCGCATCACCGCGAGGCATTTCCCCGCACTTCTCAACTACGAGGCTGTAGGCACTTCACGCTTCTCCTGGCTAATACTGGCAGCTAAACATTGAGGGTACAGTCCATGGTCGCTGACGTCGTCGTGAGCCGTCTCAAAGCGATGGTTGGGTTGCGGAAGAGCGGGCTGGCGGACTGGCATAAGTCATTCCGGGCGGGAGCGTTTCCGCTTGGCCGCCTCACGCTTGACCCAAATCAGGCTCCTGCATATCACTTGGTTCGAAGCTTCTCGTCTAGGATGCGTTGAACGGCAGTTTCATGATAGAAGCGTCAGCTTGCCCCGAGTCCCTCACAGCACCAAGCAGGTATACAAGAGCCAAGGTGGGTCCTCACTGGACGACCTTGTCCTCCTTGGAACAATACGTCAAAAATAGCATTGCCAAAAAACGATTATGACGTTGTCCGATGTTCTCATGGTCCATGGCGGGTAGGCGGGAACGCGGAGATGCGGGCTGGTCATGTCTGAACAACCATTACATGGATTCTAGCAGTGTAATGACATGAAGCAAGTCAAGCAAGCTGAGGAATGATTCCAGACACAATGAGCCACTGCATCTTCTACGCCTACTTTCATTCAGGCCAAGGATTATTGTGTGACTTCAACATCCTAGTCATCAAAGATGGTGGCTCCTGTCCTTTCGTCCGATGCACCCCAGATTTTCCCCAGACCCACCAACCCTTTACCCCGGATTCGTTTGGTGGTGTTTGTGTGTTGTGTTGTTCGCTCTCTTTAAAGTTTCGGTGGATTTATCCACTATAATCGAGGAAGCAATCAGCTTCAGTCGAATCTTGGTGAAAAGAAAATGTACAAATATTGTTCACCGCCGTGGCGCTGAAGGTCACCTTTACGATTGATCTTTTGAACCATTGGAATCTGAAGCCCAGTTAAACCCTGTGAAATTCCTTCCGGCACGCACTTTTAAATATACATCCTTCGCAATGGCTGGCCTAAAGTCCCAGGTCCGGAATTATCGGTCCATACCGAACAACACGAACGCTTTCTGGTTCTTGGATCCATGTAGGTTAAGAATACCATCCCAATGTACGGGTTTTGCTTGCCACGCAGATCTGATCAAGTCTGACAGGTCTTCGGATCAACATGATTCACTGTTTGGGCTGCTGTTTCACACTATTCTTCAATGGCTGTAGGTGATGTCCCCACGCGGAGGATTTCCATCTTGTGTCTAACAAACTTGTTTTGACAGATGATGGAAGCTTGTTGAACGGACTCCAAAGCATAGATCGATGGCACGAATACTTCGATAACCCCAGTGCTACCACACTGGGCCTAATGAACTCGGCCGGATTTCTTCCAGGTATTGTGGCGGGCTTCTGTGGCGACAGACTGGCTCAAACGTTTGGCAAGCGCTTGACGCTCTGGATCGGGACGTGTATCGCCGTAAGGCTTCATTCATACCTTTCGGCGCGGTCAATCTCACTAACTCAAGTCTGCGATAGATCGTTGGGATCATTCTCATGTCCGTATCTACCACCACCGGCATGTTCTGCGGAGGGCGCACTATCCTCGGCTTTGGAACTCCTTTGGCCGTCACTGTGTCGCCCTCACACCTTCAGGAAATCTCACATCCTAGATATCGTGCCCAAGTGAGCTCATTCTGTAGGTGCTATGATCTCTCTGGTTCTTGTTGGCTCAACCGCTCATGATGCACTTCTTCTGGCAGTTACATGCACATACTATATTGCTGCTGTGTTATCAGCTGGGGTATGTCTGGGCTGTATGAGTATCCCATCGGATATGTCCTGGCGCATTCCATGCTGGACACAGCTCGTAGGCCCGATACTGACGTTGGTCCTAACTAGCACAATGCCAGAGTCTCCGAGGGTAAATCTTCTTCTCTTGTTGATTGCGTGGGAAAATACTGATTCTGGTCTTAGTGGCTGGTCAAAGAAGGTAGATCCACACAAGCCCGCGCGGTTCTCGTAAAGTATCATGCGAATGGAAAGGAAGACGACGAGTTGGTAGACTACGAGTTCCGCGAAATCGTGGACGCAATGAAGTTGGAGGATCTCAACAAGCAGACAACATATCTCGCCTTCTTCGAGACTCCAGGAAATCGACATCGACTAATGATCCTAATTGTGGTTGGTGCAAGTCTCAACTGGGTTGGCAATGGGATCATCTCCTACTACTTGAGCCCCATCCTCAATGGGATTGGTGTCACTGATACCCGTTCTCAACTTCTCATTCTCGTCGGCCTCAATATTTGGAATTGTTCGTGCTACTATCCTGCCTCATATACGCACAGAGACTTCGACGCTAACTTGGGCGAAATAGTGATTTGGTCAACTTCTGCTGCCATCAACGTTGACAGGATTGGCCGCAGACCTCTTTGGCTGACAGCCACCAGCGGACAGTTAGTCACCATGGCCGTGATCATGGGGCTATCCGCTGGTTACACAAAGTATGATATCAAGGCCGCAGGAACCGCCGTCATCCCCTTCTTGTTCCTCTTTTATGCGTCCTACGACATTGCCTATACGCCTATGTCATATGGGTAACGTTGCACACCACACCCTCGACACGAACCTTCACTGACGCATGCTTAGTTACCCAACTGAGATCTTGACGTACAGCCTTCGAACCAAAGGGCTGGCCATTTACATTGTGACCGTTGCCATAGCTGTATCGTTGAACACCTGGATTAACCCGATTGCACTCGATGCGTTAGGCTGGAAATAGTGAGTCAAGTGTCCAGAGAGAACATCTAGCCAAAGTTTGACATCATTCCTCCTAGCTACGCGATCTACATCGTAATCAATGCGGCTCTACTCGCCATTCAATACTTCAAGTTTCCAGAGACAAAAGACCGCACCATAGAGGAGATAGCGACGATTTTTGATGGCACACATGCTACCGCGGTCGTATACGGTCAGGGTGGGGGCATGGAAAGGGATGTTCGGAGCGTTAGAGAAGACCCCGAGGCTAAAAGCATGTAACGCCGTTTTTGCTTCTCAAATTCGGGATCTAATACTGCCAACATGGCGTTATAACATCTTCTGTGTTCCTGGTATATACACTGAATTGATCGAAAGTTCGAGATCCGATTTCTTACTTCATTCCCGAAATATGTACTTCTAGCAATTCCCATTATAAGCAAATTTGAAACATTGACTGGTCTCAGCTAGACAACAGGTGAAGTCCCACGTCCATTGATAACCTATTAATGCGCTTGTTGTCAGCCCGTACGTGATGGCCTTCAGTTGCTCCAACTCTGCTTGCCCTTGATAGTCCAATTCTCCCAGTCTGGTCGGTTGCCCGCTTGAACCGTATGCAGACGTCTAGTTACGGTTATGCCAATCCTCCATATTTTTCAGGTGCTGGAACAATGCAACACCTTGAGGAATAACTCCATAACACGATGTATGTAAGTGAAGTTATCGCCTCAGAGTGAAGTCCTGGTCAGTTGGCCGGGCCACTAATTGGCTGCCATGGCGCGGCGCGGCAATTGCCAGGCAGAAGCCCTTCTGGACATTTTCTGGATTCGCCCGGGCCCACGCCTTTCATCTCTCACTTGCACACTTCCTTCCTACCCGTCCATCAGCTTAAAGCCTATCAAATATCACCCCTCTCTCAGCATCTGCCCGGTTTTCTCGGCATTCCCCCTCAATTCATCGCCAGTCATCACTTCTCGCATGCGTCAAGCGCAAGATGACTGCCTCGACACAATCCGGCTCCATCGACCAAGGCGCTGGAGCCGCGACCGCTCAGCACTTCTCCTTCTTTCAGCCGCCGCCGTTCGATCCAGTCCAATGCATCCCGAAAAAAGATCGAGACCAGATCTTCGGCTTCGCAGTATCCGAGGCCAATGTCGTCGCCCACGAACCGCTTGCCAACGGCGGCAATCACTGGACATTCTATCTCACCGTCGCCTCGAAGTCCCTCGGCTCCGACGAAAGGCGGTTGGTGCAACTTGACTGTACACCCAGCGGAATGCCGGCTGGTGGCGGAGGCAGCGGCTCAAAAGTGAACATCGTGGTCAGTCTCCTCGACGATCAGAAATTCAGCCGAGCCCAGTGTATCTGCCGCATGAGCATTAGAGAGTTGGTCACAGTTGACGACTTTGTCGACGTTATTACCAAACACGGACGGCATAAGTACGTTTTTGATGACAAGGGACGCGGCTGTAAGAAATGGGTTGCCGATCAGATGAACTTGTTCCTCGAGACGGGAGTGTTTGTTCAGGAATATGACGTGAAGAATGCGAAGAAAGATATGATGTTCCAATGGGACAACTTTCAGCGGGTTGGTGACCACTCTGACTGGGCTGTTGGGGTTTACTACCAGTGAGCTGAATACAGGGTTTCATTCGGAAAGAATACCAAAGATTTGAAGGGTCTAGGCCATGCCGAATAAATCATCAAAGTCGGACAGTGCAAGACCAAATCTCAAGATCACATGCCATTCTAACTGCAAGAAACGTCATAGGCTTATATGAAATCATAGGTCAGGCCCAGTGCTCATGACGTGTACTACACTACTGGTCATTGTCGGTTCAAAGCCGGTGAACGTTATACACAGGTCTCAAAAGAATGACCGCCGGGCGTCTGCGCTTCCGTAATATGTATCCCACGAGAACCAGTCAAACGTAGCATCAAACGTCCGTTTTCGACCTCTGGGCCCTTCCCCCTCGGTAGCGACCATAGAAATACCCGGTTGGCCTCCTCTTATCGAATTAGGCTCAAGAGGCCACGAAGTGAACGTATCAGCGGGCAACCAATCCAAGAGGTTCCCAAGATCCATGTCAACCGCCGTGCCAAATTCCTCCTGAGCTTGTTGCAACTTCGCCGCTACCTCCTCGTTGTTCTGATAGCTCAGTAGCTGCGCCGACGCCGCGGGAACCGAAGACGGGAAGCCAGAGCTGTTTCCCGGTTGACGCTCGTTATCACTTGTATGAGGAAGTAAGGGGACCCTTTGGCTAACGTGCACCTGCGCAAGCTGTAGGAAGACAGCGGCCACGTGCTCTAACCGGGCGCACACCTCGGCCATGAGACGCAACTGGGTGCGCATGCTGGCGAAGTATGACACTGCAGTCGAAAGCAAGCCGATGTCTTGGTCGACTGTGGATGATGCCTGGAAGCCCCTGTCGTGCACAATGTGTTCGAAGACAACGAAGAAAGGGATGAATGGGTAGTATAGCAAGTGCCTTGTCACTCGAGTGTTAGTGAGGTCTTATCGGGAGGCAGCAGGTGGCATATGTACCATACGACTCCGTTATAAACGGACGCCCAGTTCGATACCATTGAGGGCAGGAGAGATAAGGCTTCTCGTGCTGACTCAAGACGCGTTTCGGCGCATGAAGGGTCTCCTTTGTGTAAAAGTATCATGACATGCAGATACTGAAATTTCATGCTGCTTATTCCGAGTGACATCTCGCGTAACTGAGTTTCGCAGGCTAAAGGTCCCTCTGCATTCATCGTCTCTGATAGAACCTGTGTATTGGCCGTTAGAAACGGGAGCCCTTTCACAAATATCGAAGCCTTGGAACATTAACTTGCCTCGATTGTCTGACGATACCATTCCTCGAGCTTCCTTGCCACCTTTTCCTTGGGGATCAGTGACTTGCCCGGAGTAAGAAGATCTAGTACAAAGCCCATAAGCTTCGCAAACTGCATCCCCTTGGTGAGTAAATGGGCTCCGAAGGTCGATATAAGTGGCGCATTTTTGGAGTTACTGAAGGAGGATGCATTGTGTGGCTGGAACTTGAGCATGTAGTTGAAATCTGGGAGCGGCACGTCAAGATACAAGCTGGATGGAAGGAACGAAGACCGCCCAAACGCCAGCGAACACGACTTATCCACAACGAAGAGAAGCCAGAACATACAGAGCCTGCGCTGGCGCGCGTCATAGTCGCCGTGAGTCAAGGCGTGCAGTCCCAGAGCCTCGGCCTGGCGGCAGGCGTGGCCCACCAGCATCCAAGATAGGTTGGGAGACGCGTAGTCTTCACCGTGGAAAGCGAGCAAGGTCAAGGCCTGCAGGTTCGCTTCGGTCGGTTCGAGGAAGATGGTGCTGTCGTTGAGTGCTATTTGCATGTTCCGGCGAAACTGCTTTACCTGAATACTCTCCTCGGTCTCGTTTGCGGAGACGAGTGCTAGCATCATGTAGTTGACGTAGACGATCCAGGCTTTCTCCTTCACGCTGTCTGGCTGGAAGATAATCTGTCTCAGCTGATCGTCGGAGGGGTTATGGAAGAAGGCTTCGCCCATAGGGGCGTGCTCCAAAAAGCCTATTTCATCGGCGGCAAGAGTAAGTAGGGTTAATTGATTCGGAGGTGTGGTAGTGTCTTACGGCCAATTAGCTGGTAGCCCTCTGATTTCGAAGGTATATAATATCCCTTCATGTCTGACGCGTCATTGGTGATGGTGGCTGTGGTCAAGGTGTTTGAGAGATATTGAAGCTCAGAGTGGGCATTCTGATGCGGGAGCAGTGTCGCGGCCTTTCGAACGGCATCGATGTTGGCGGGTGTTTCCTTCAAGAAGGAGAATGAATGAGAAGGCCCGACGAATAGGCTGGGAATTTGGCCGTCTTTCTGAGCAGGCACCTCCCGGGTAGAGGGCTCAGCTCCCGCCGAAGAGGCAGCTGTGGAAAAAGTAGAGACATTGGTTTTGGAAGAGTGTTTGGCTGTCACAACTTCTAGTACGTGACTCACTGATTCCGTCAACCTCTGCAGGGATTGTTCGATGTTCCGCAGGCGAAGTTCGATGGCTTCAGGTGTGGGCGATGCTTCAACAGGGGTTGAAGAAGCCTTTGGCCTAGATCACCGGGATGTTGTCAGAAACGATAGGTCGAATTATCACAGTATGAAGCGCCTTGATATACCCAATAGGGACGTGGCTCTGCGTGGTCACAGGCTTGTCCCGCGAATAGTTGCAGCTGCTTGACCAAGGCTTGCACGCGCTACATTTGGGCAGCTCTCTGGAGCATCTATCGATGATCGTCAAAAATTCCGAGCAGAACAGTTTCGACGTCAAAAGTATCAGAAGCAATATCTTACCTAAACTTCTTTTGGCGACAATAGTCGCACTCGACATTGGGGTCAATATCCACGCCAAGTCTCCAGTCGATGAGGAACACTTACGGCAAAACGGGCCAGCCCCCTGCTCCCAGCAGGGTTATCGGTCTCCATTTTCCAGAATGTCGGTATTGAACAGGGTTGTAGACGGCTCGGCATGTGAGTATGTCCCAGTGAAGAATCTGACGGTGGTGAGAAGTGATGTGTGTTGTTGGTAAAAGGCGTTCCGGAAGCAAAGCCGAAGACTCCTCATATGAGTGGAGGGACTCGGAGAATCGTACCCAAGCTTCCGTGCCTAACCAATCATCATCCGCGGGCTCGGCTGCTTATGGTCTGCGTCTGACATGAACCTGGAATGTCCGACGCTTACCCCAACGCAGGGAGAAGCTAGTCATGTTGACGGAGGCACTCGGAAGAGACTCCGTAGCAGACCAATCATAGTGTCAGAAGGTTTCCTAATTCGGGAATGCACCTGGACCATCAACACTGCGATGTGAAGCCTACCAAAGCGACTTGTGGATGGCCATATACCCATTATATGAGGATGGAGTGATATAAAGTAGAAGCTGCAAGTCGGGTCGGATCTCTCCTGGTCATTCACATCACTTCAACTTTCACCAGCTCATCCTCACATCATCAAATCACTTTCATAGACGCATAATGGCCCGCACTTCATCATCCCTTTCCGCTCCCATCGCCATCGTCGGCGGTGGTCCATGCGGACTCGTCTTCGCCCGACTCCTAGAACTCAACAATATCGACTACGTCGTCTTCGAACGCGACGCAAGCTCCGTTCCCACGCCCATGTACCAAGGCGGTACCCTAGATCTTCATCCGCCGTCTGGGCAGCAGGCTCTCAAAGACGCCGGACTCTTTGACGAGTTCAAGAAACTCGCCCGCTGGGACGCCACCCGATTCACCATTCAGAACACTACTTGCACCCTCCGACACAGCTTCGGGGAAGGTCGTGATGCTCCTGAGATTGATCGTCTTCAGCTGCGCCAGATGCTTCTCGACTCAATCCCTTCCCACAAGATCCGGTGGGGGCACGGCGTGCGGTCAATCGAGAAAGAAGGCAGCGACTGGCTCATCAACTTCTCGAACGGCGCCTCGGCCTCTGGATTCCGTCTTGTTGTCGGTGCCGATGGAGCTTGGAGTAAAGTCCGGCCTTTGGTAAGTGCTCTTCCTTCTCCTCCGCCTAGTTTTGAGGTTTATGAGGTTCACTGACTTTGATGAACAGCTCACTGCGGCCAAACCTGAGTACTCGGGCAAGCTATTCATCGAAGGTCGCATTTCACACGGCAATCCCAGCTACGCCGCCGCTTTGGAGATAACTGGTCCCGGGAACATGATGGCGTTAGGCTACGGTCGATCCCTCAGTGTTCAACAGGTAGCCGACGGCTCCTACCGCATGTACGCCGGCTTAGTTGCCCCCGAAGATCTGACTCGTAAGACGCTCGACATGGCCGACACGGAGGGAACCCGACGAAAGCTTCTCACCTCTCCCGAACTTTTCGCAGACTTCGCCCCTGAGCTAAAGCAGTTCATCACCGATGCCGAAGGACCCTTCCGCCCCTGGCCGCTCTACCGTATGCCAGTCTCGTCGCTCAGCTGGGCACGTGTTCCCGGTGTCACTCTCATCGGCGACGCTGCGCACGTGTCGACACCATTTGTGGGCGAGGGTGTCAATATCGCCATGTACGATGCACTCAAGCTGATGAACAGTATCAAGAAACACTGCGGCGGTGGGGTTGACGGTGACTTCAAAGATGCTGCTGGCCTCGAGAAGGCGGTGGCCGAATACGAAGAGGACATGTTTGAGAGGGCGCAGAGTTTCATCTCACGATGCATTATGAGTGAGGGTATCTTCTTTGCGGAGGATGGGGCACAGCAGCTTGTGGATATGATCACCGATGTCAGCAAGCGCGAGGAGGTCCTTGGTGACAAGCTTTGAAGACGCCACCTCGAGGATGCAGGACGAATATCGATAGTGTGCCATGGAGCTTCACTATCAAGAAGGATGTAATTTAGAAGAGGGAACTTCGAGACTTCTTACGGCTGTATATTCGGAATTCAAATCGTCGCTCAATAATATCTTTTGCCTAGGGTTTCAAACTCCCTTGTCATGAAACTCGTAATCATCTAGTGCAACTCCTCTAACCAACTAATCCATCCATTTGAATTGATAACAATGATCACAATCTCCCGAAATACAAGTAACCGTCTAGTTGAAACTTAATGTCGTCGCCTAAGTCATACACATTGTAACTACGCTATGCCGATGCTCTACACCAAAAAATAGGAGACTTCTAGCTGCGCCGGCGATGTCCACGCGCCCACAATCCGAGAAACGCCAGAATTCTATATACAGTCCCAATGACCACCAGAGTGCCCATATTCCGCCAAAGCCAATTCAAATGGAACCCGGTATGAGTCGCCGCCGTGTCTACATCAAACAAATGGCCGAACGGAGACACCAGCTGGCCGAAGTATATCTCCGCGAGCCAAACGCCGGGAGAGGCACGCCACAGCCACTCGAGATGCCAATCTTTGGCCTTGGCCAGCGGCGGCGCAGCTCCCGAGAGAATAGCAACAATCAAGCTGATCATAGTCGCCACGAGGGGAGCATCCTCTCGGGGGACTAACATGCTAATGATGTTCGCCAGACCGTAAATGCAGTAGAAGTACAGGAAATTGGCCAGGAAGGCCAGGCCCCAGTTGATCACCGGCACCGTCAGCAACAGCACGAACGTCGAGAAGTGCAGGCAGCCGAAGAACATGCGCGGCAAGACTGAGATCAGCTTGGCGAGGAAGTACGCGAGGCGGTTGTGTCCAGCTTCGGCCTCTCTGCGGTGCACCAGCAACTCCTCCGAGAACGACTTGACCCCCGGGGCGCCAGCGACTAGACCGATGGCGATGGCAATCAGAAGTGCCAGCTCTGGCGCGGACTTTATGTCGACAGCCGTCGACAAGATCGAGTAGGGCTCTTTGAAAGTGCCTACGAAAAGAATGCCCTTCTTGGAATGCTCGGCCAGGCCGAGGAGGAAGCCGGCGATGGCAGCCAGGCCCATCTCCGACCAAAATGCCGCCTTGGTCCGGTACTGCTGGACCATTGATCGGCGCAGACAAAGCCACAGTTGCTTGAAGAAGGGAGCTCCGCGGTGCTTGATGGCTTCGTGCATGCCGCTGTTGTTCATCATCATGGAGGTGTGGTGCTCTTTACTGGCCGGGCTGTTTACCTGGTGATGGGCGGACCAGTTCGAGATGAGGGAGTCCTTGGAGATCTCGCCGCTGGGCTTGTATATGCGGCCGTTGCCGGTGATAATATCCGTCACTACATCACCGTGGTTGCTGTGTTCGGGGAAATGAAAGCCGATGTTCTGGAAATAGCCCTGTACTTCGGCTTGGGGTCCCTCGTAGATGGTCTGTCCGTTTCCGAGAAGGATCAGGTTATCGAAAAGCTGGAAGATTTCCGAGCGCGGCTGGTGGATGATGACAATCACGGTAATGCCCAAGCGGGCGACGGCCTTGAGGGTTCGCATCATGGATGATGCCGCAGTGGCGTCGAGGCCGCTGGTGGGTTCGTCGAGGAAGATGGCCATCGGCGCGGACGCCAGCTCCATGCCGATGCTCACACGCTTCCGCTGGCCTCCGCTGATGACGGGTTTCCCGACTGATCCGACCAACGAGTTGCGGACGTGAGAAAGCTCCAGACAGTCGATAACGGAAGTGACGTGAGCCTCGATGTCGTCGGTCGACCAGGTTCTCGGTAGGCGGATTTTGGCTGAATGAACAATGTTTTCGTAGACTGTAAGCTCTGGGAGAACGATGTCATCTTGTGGAACATATCCAATGACCTTTTTGTACCTATTCAGCTTGTCGGGGCTGCTGTTGACTGCAACCATGCCGCCGGTGTTCTTCGTCTTTCCCATGAGCACGTTGACAAAGGTGGACTTGCCGGCACCAGATCCTCCCATGACGGCGGTGAGGGTTCCTCGGTCGATTGAACCGGTAACATTTTGCAGAATCAACTTCTTGCTCTTCTTCGGCTGGAAACCAAGGTCGGTGTATCCGAACGACAGACCGAGGTTCGTGGCGTCCGTCGCACGGCGCATCGATTCGACAAACTTGATGAGCTGGGGGTTGACCTGTTCCTTAGGCTGCGCATCGGCCGTCCACTGATGGTCGTAGTCGAGGGCTGCTTGGAAGCCGGCTCCGTAGCTGTCAGAGCGGTAAGGGGTGTACGTGGCGCTCATCGGCAGCATCTCGTGATCGGCATGATCTTGGTCGTCCGAGAGGGCCCTGTAGCCCGTGATTTGCGCTTTCACAAGACTCATTCCGCGACCCTTGGCGGCATTCGCGCTGGCGCGGTCGGCGCGGCGGTCTCTGACACGACTTCGCAGTCCGTGGACAATGATACCGATGATGAGCAAGATGTCGACGAGAAAGAGTATGACGAGCGGGATGAGGAATAGCTCGTATGTTGAGCCCGCCTCGCAGCGACTGCCAGTCAGGCATGGTGTTGGCGTGACGGCGCCTGGTTGGCAGTAGGTGCCTTTCGGGCATTCGATCTTCTCGGTGCCGGGCGGCGGGCAGTAGTATCCTGATTGACAGACGACCGGCTCGAAAGGGCCCATTGGGATATTTTGTCCATGCAACATGCACGTCATGGACGCCAGTCTTGCTAGTTGACATGCATCTTCGGGCGGGCAGTATTGCGGAAGCGAATTGACGGTGTTATTCTGGCCTGTGATTGTCAGCGGGAATCCCTGTTAGGTCGAGCGCTGAGACTTACACAAAAAGCCCGGCGAGCACCCGTCGGTATTCCAGCTCTGGACGTCCTGAATGCGAATAGGAACAGCTTGCCCGTCCCGTCTATAACATGGAGCGGCACTGAGGGGCTCCTGGCCGTTCTCAATTGCCCGAGCTGCTTCATAGAATGAGGTCGAAAATGACGTCCGGTTGTCGCCGGTACAGGCGCGGTCAAACTCGCTCAGCCCATCGTCGTTGGCGGATTCCGTCAGGGAACCAGAACTGAAAACCATCGGTTTGTCGGTGTTTGGACCGTTGGAATCATCGTCGATGCTTCCGTCGGCAGCGTTGCCGCCGTGAAGTGTATCGTACCATCTCCCGCTGGTGACCTCGTAGACTCCCTGGGTCTGGTTGCCGATGCAATGCCACGCCGCGCCGGAGGAGCTGTCGCCGATCGGTCGCAGCGCACAGAGACATGCTGCCGTGTCGAGGAAACTCGGGCCTTTGGGGGTGACTTGGGGAAGATACGGGTCTTGGGGCACACGGTAGCCGCCGAGCGAGAACAAATCGCGGCTCATATTGAAGGAGATCGTCGTTCGGCCTGGAATCGCTGCCGTCGATGTGAGAGAAAGTCCCCGGCAGCAGACGGCGAGTTCTTAAAACAGCCCCCATCGCGGATTCAATGACACCAGGGAACGAAGGAAAACAGCAGTGCTTTTGCCTATTCCGGAGCTGTGAGATTTTAGCGGATGGGCCCTCTCTCATCGTCGAAGAGACGGGGCTTAGAGTAAGACGATACATGTTATTGCCCAGCTAGGAAAGTTTAGCTACAGCTAGGAAAGCTGAGAGCTGCAGCTTGTCTGCCTCTCAGTTTGCGCCTGCTGACATGTATCTCCCGAAAGCCTGTATGAGCAATCCCGAGGTGAAACCCCATCGTCATGGGCTGAATCTGGCGGTCTTGGGAGCACCAGAGATCTCCGCATTACGGGGCATTGGCATTGGCGTTGGTGATTGACATGAAGCTTGCCGACCGCGCCACAATCCGGCTGACGGAAACTGGAGACCATGAAATGTAGAAGCCTAGATGGTGCGGATTCTTATTATAATTATCCTTAGCAAGGTCTAAATCCTAAGCCCCGATAGGCCTAAGTACGTGTAAGCAGGCTGACCGTTGGTCTTCTTTTCGGACGAACCATGCTGCATTGCAGAGAGCAGTATCATGTAAGACAAATAAGGTAGATAATACATAATTAAGGGGGAATCCGGACCCTGAAAAACGACACTGCAATCGGCGAATACAATTAGTCGTTTTCAAATGCCGAGACCCGGCCTGAACCCGGAAGCTAGGTCCTCAGAAATTGACTTAGACGCGCCGCCGGTGATGGTTAAACAACGCCGTCGCAATCGCAGTAGCAAAATCAAATCATTTAAATGAGAACAGGCCCAGGCAGCCATATTTGTTTGACAGCGCCCGCGGCCTAATGCACCGGTATGTTTCTCGTCAAGTATTCGTACCATTTCGGTAGAGTTCTCTTGTACGGATTTCCTTCTGTTGTTAGCTGCAGGTCTTCAATTGCGCTGCCCCATTTGACCAGCTCAGCTTCCCCGAAAGCGGTTTGCATAACCGCAAGCCCGAAGCCCATGCCGTCGCTGGAATGCACGCCGACTGGCAGGGTGATCATGGGGTAGCCAGCTTGCGCAGCGATCTGATACGTCTGGCCGACGTCTGGAGGAACCAAAAGCCCCGACAATCTAGTTCCGTTACGAGGCGTCAGAGCCGAATCGATGCCGTCTCTCGTTGATCGCTGCGTGAATTCCACCGCCTGGTTGTAGGTCTCATCTTTCGCGCCCTTCGACTCCAGTGATGCTAGGAACCCATCTTGGCCGGAGTAAAACGCGGGAATGCCCAAAGGCCAGGGGTTTCCGCCTTCAGTCCCGTCGTTTTTATAGTTGAACTCGATGATGTCCTCGATTGACTTTATGTGGGTGTTTTCGAGCTCGGAGAGGTACGTGTTGATGTTGTTGTAAAAGTCCACCTTGACGACGGTATACTCAGACTCGTTAGGATAGCCACGAGTGGTTCCGTAGTCCCAATCCCATCCATCCGGGCTAACGATTCTTTTGTAGTCGAGAATTTCGGTGTTATTGAGTATCGTCGCGCCTGCAGCGGTGAGAAGGTCCAGGACTTCGCCCAAGATCTGCTTTTGCTCATCATCGGCATACACCCAGAAGCTGTTCCACGGGATGCCAAACGTAGCATCCTTGAGGCTTTCCTTGGTGCTGAGAAACTGCGTATAACCTCCCGTGGGAACCTTTCCGTCTTGGGCCAGTGTGTAATTATCACGCTCGTCGATCCCGTATATCGCGTCGAATGCGTAGACGGCATCCTTGACGGTGCGGCCAAAGGTCCCGACAGTATCTTGGTGCTCACTTTCCGGAATGACTCTGTCGAGGTCAGCGTTTCCCGGAATGAACACGAGCTCCATGGGTACTCACCCAGCCCTCGAAGTAAGACCGACGGTCGGCTTGAAGCCAACAACGCAGTTTCTCATGGCAGGATTGATAACACTGCCATCAGTCTCGGTCCCAAGCGAAAACGCGATCGCATTCGCGGCCACGCCGACTGCGCTCCCGGTACTGCTCCCGCCTGGGTTGAGGGTAAAGTTGTACGGGCTCCGACACTGCCCGCCCCGCGCCGAGAAGCCCTCCGAATAGTTGTTACTGCGCATGTCCGCCCACTCGCTAAGAGCCGCCTTCCCGAAGAGCACGGCGCCGGCTTCGCGGAGGCGAGCAACCACGTGTGCGTCGCGAGGCACGATACTTCCCATGAGCGCCCAGCTGCCGGCAGTCGTTTCCATATTATCTTTCGTCGCAATGTTGTCTTTTACTGTGAACGGGATGCCGTGGAGGGGCCCGCGGACGTTTCCGGCTTTCCTCTCGGCATCCATGCCAGCCGCTATCTGGAAGACATCTGGGTTGACTTGGAGAATTGAGCTGGCTCATGTCAGTTCTGTCGAGATTTGTGTAGCGAGTACGTGGCACGCACTGGATATACTCCTGGGTCTGGTATGTCCGCTGCAAGTAGCACGCGACGAGTTGCTGCGAGGTCAGGGTGCCCGCCTCCATGGCGGCCTGCATGTCATCTATCGTGGCCTCGTGCAATTCGAACGTTCCACACGGAGGCATGGGGAATAGATCCGCCGACTCTGCATTTTCCAGCAGAGGAAAGACTGACGGCAGCGTTGGAGATTGGTTTCCCGGTAAGGTCTCGTTGGTATAGCCTGGGCTGGCGAGGGAGGCGCGGAAGCCAGCCACGACGGCGAGCCAGAACTGTGCCTTCTGCATCCTCATGTCGCTTATTGGGATGTCAGCGTGCGCAACACGTCGTCAAACGGCCGATCGTGAAGAATTGGCCAAGACGAGCTGGCCGCCTGGCTCTTAAAAGCCTCATGCGTCAGCTGATAAGCACCGTACGACGTTCCCCGCGGTGAGATGCAGATAGCTCGCAGATTGCGGCGGGGCCATGTTGCTTTTTGTGCTAGGCGGACTACGCCGACTCGCTAGCGGATATCTCGTGCATCCATTTAGAGATCGACTAGTTTCTGGGACGACCATCCGCAGGGTTGCATTGCTCTATCAACCTTATCAGCGATTATCAACACATCCATGTCTTGACTTCCCGCATCTTCAAGATCATTCGGATGTGATGTCAGCAAAGGGCACAACGGGTTGAGTCAAAACGGCGGGAGACATAGACTTAACAAATGCAAAAGCGCAAACAAGCCCAAGGCAGATTCGGTACGGCGAGGTACAGTCGAACTATGTGAGAATTGATCTTGAGTACACGCAATATCGTACAGAGTGCGTCAAATGTCAACGGCCTCGTGGCCTGCGCCAAAGCCTTTGCGACCCCTCCAAGAAAGGCTTTCCAAGAATCAACGGCAGCTGGCAATGCTCCACAACGCAGCATTGCAAAGGAATCGGCGGGCGGTACCCGACATCGCCTTCACTGCTTCTCCAAAGCAATTCGGTTTTCCCAATGGTAGTCTGGGGTGTCCCGTCGTCAAACACAACCCGCACTCGCTCGACATCATCCTCGGGCTCGACAATCAGTCCTAGTTCGCTTGCCTTGCCTATGGGGATGATGTTGTCATCAAGGGTCTCGAGAACAATGGCTGTCACACGTGTGACACTGCCGGTGCCAGACTCAACGTATCCGCTTGTCGATTTCGTGTTATCGTTCAAGTGAAGCATGTAGTCCTTGCGTTTTCTGACTGATTTCTCGGATTCTGATTGTGCGTGGGAGTTGGAATCAAGCTTGGCTGTCGAGACAGGAATGTCTGGCGGCGGCGGCGCGCGATGTTGGACGACCCTGGTTGTCGCTATCTTCGTACTGGATGAGAATGAAGATTCTATCTCCCCATCTGATAGGTCAGTCTAGTTTGATTTCTGGTCAGCTTCCATGCTCAGGGCATGAGTGTTTCCAATCAAACTAACCTCGAAATCCTCCAATGAGTTCAATGATGAAGTAAAAGACCCTGGATCGGAAAAGCGTGGGCGATTCTGAGAGATCTTTCCCGTTTCAATCATGCTTGTACCTAATCTCATCAATGCTTCATGAGGAAACCTTGTTTCTGCCTTTGAATATGTCTGCTGGGTAAAGCTCGGGGGCTGTCTTTGGGACTCTAGGAGATCGATTCTTTCCAAAAGTGCCTTGATGGTGTCTTTATAAACGTCACTGGCATATCAACTCGTAAGTACATGGACTTCTGCGTAGGAACATATTCTCTTACAGTTGTTTCTCTAACGATTTCGTCCGTGACTTCGTAGAAATCATTGTTTTTAGTAAAGTCCGAGTCTCCAGGGTTGCAGCATGCATTATCAAGGACAAGGAGGATTGAAGAAGATCCATCTCAGGAACCGGTATGAAAATGGACTCCTTCTTCCAATGCCATTTGAATAAGGTTACCATAGTGAACCTGCCCTTTCTAAGCTTCTTAAGCTGTCTGATCGACTCGAACAAGCGGCGTTTGATGCACAGGGATTCCGTTTCAAGTCCTTCGAGAACCTGATTTGACTCTATATACCGGAGGACGGGGGAATCCGTGTGTTCCTGGCAGTGCCGGTCGAGAGCATCCTGGGCGATGCCGATTGCGTTGGAGAAGTTTCGGGCATGATTCGCGCCTCGCTGCGCTTCGTCTGATAAGAAACTGGAGAAATTGGAAAATGTTTGCAACTCTTTGGCAAATTTCTTTCCGTATCCAACAAGTTGAAAAATAGCTGCCAAGCTAGAGACAATGCCGAGAACTTCAGCCATATTTGTATAAAGCGTTCAACAATTAAATATGGTTTTGGATGAGAAATGGGGTTTCCTGAGCGTCCAAGTTAGGCCTTTTTATGTTTCGTGGCCTACGTCGGGGTTCAAGCGCCCATGCAATGCTCAACACCATCTCATTAGATGCATGGCCTGTAAGTACTGGCTTCCAGTAGGCTCTATGCATCTTGTCCTATTGTATTCCACGCCGCGCTCGCTGGTGCGTCTCACTTTTGCTCAAGGAACCGCACAGCCTGCTGGCCGACCGTGCTTCAAGTCGAAGGCAAACTCCAAGGCGCACACTTCCAGATGTCACGACCAACCAAGATCAGTCGACTGAATGTGATTCTACCACGCAGCATGCATACGTTCTTTTTTGCCGGCACCAACTGCCCTTCTCGTAATCAGGCTTTTCACCATCTGCGGGCTCCTCGCAGATCACCCCTCAGCGTGGGTGGCCAGTTGGGGGAAAGGTACCACGCATATGCGCGCAATTCTCGGAGCAAAACGGTCTTTTGATTGGTGCTGCAATCACATTTCACATGGAGGTTCTTCGACAAAAGACTGTCGGAATGCGGGTTCCGGCCGTTTCCATCGGGCTTCGCTCTCCGAAAGGCCGGGCCGTGTACCCATATTTATGGGTGAGCGGGCCGCTGGACGGCTCCGGGACACGGCGGTCTCATAAATCGATGACTAATTGCTCGAGCCGTGTTCTGACGGTGATGTCATGACCCATGGACCATTTCATTTTCTTCATAAACAGAACAGGCAGATGTACTCGGCTTCATTCTTGTCATAATCAGGTTCAAAACTAGAGACACTCATTCAGTTCGCTATGTCGTATTCACGAGTCGGTGTGGTAACCGGTGCCAACAAGGGTATCGGGTATGCAATTGGTAAGCCTCGCGATCCTCAACTCCAAAAGCGCCACGATCTCCAAACTGACTTTTGGCTGCCGTCCAGTTCGACAGCTGGCCTTGCAGTATCCGGAGTCCTACTTGAGCAGCGGGTCACTCCTCATCTATCTTACAGCCCGCGATCAGTCTCGCGGTGAGCAGGCGCTCGCCGACATCCAGGCCGATGCGGACCTCAAGAAGGCCAAGGCCCTGACTGCCCACGGTGGCCTCGCCGACATCAAGTACCGCCAACTGGACATCTCAAACTCCAAGAGCATCGCGAGCTTGGCCGAGGCGTTGAAGAAGGACCATCCCGAAGGCATCGATTTTGTCATCAATAACGCCGGTATTGCGATGCAGGGATTCGGTAAGCCGTGAGCCTACAGATTTCTCCTAGTTCCTCTACTGATTGTCAACTTCAGATTCCAATGTGGTGAAGACTACTCTCGGCTGCAACTACTACGGAACCCTGGAAGCAACCCGTGCCTGGATCCCGATCCTCAAGCCCGAAGGACGCATCATCAACGTCGCCTCCATCGCCGGCTCCTTGAGCAAGTACTCGTCAGAAGTCAAGGAGCGCTTCCAGAACTCGCAGACCGTTCCAGAAGTCACCCAGCTCATGGAGGACTTCACCGCCGCTGTTGAGAGGGGCACGCACGAGAAGGAGGGATGGCCCAGCGCTGCTTACGCGGTGTCCAAGGCTGGCGAGATTGGGATGACGAGGGCGATTGCGAAGGAGCTGTTGGAGAAAGACAGCAAGATGCTCGTGAACTCGTGTCATCCGGGCTGGGTGGTGACGTCCATGACGAGAGGGAAGGGGACGAAGACGCCGGACCAGGGAGCGCAGACTCCTGTTCACCTTGCTCTTGCGGACCTTGGGGGCAAGACTGGTGAATACTGGTCTGACGAGAAGGTCGCGAAATGGTGATCCGTAGTAGTCGTGAAGTCAAAAATAGAAAGGATCATTGGTGCCATGTCTGCTGGGGAATTCAGGCAGTCCACGGTTCTAGCTGGTAACAGAGACATGTTGATTATGGACCTCCTAAGCAAGGATCACCAATAATCACAGTGCAATATGGCAAAATGAGAGATAGGTTTCAGCACCTCGGCGCTTCCGTAACAGTTCTGCATGTGAAGGAAATAAAATGTTGCTGTCTCGCACTTGGAACGGTGGCGGCCGGCGGCGCACGCCATGTGGTGCCGGAGACTTATTCCCGGCGCGGGGCGGCCCTGACGCCGTGCCGGAATGCTTAACAAATGTTCAATTCCAGCGCTGTCCGGAGTGAACTCCTTGCCTTTGCGCCAATTGAAATATCGTTTATTTACTTTGCATTTTTGAGGCGCATCGACTCTCAAAGTGAGACTTCTAATTCCACCGCCGCCAAAAGTCAATTCGTCTACGTCTCAACAATTTCAGCGCGGGCTTCACATTGATTACCGACTTGATAGATTTCTGGCTCTGCGTCCATCGCAATTATGACCTCTTGAACGACATAAACTATAGAAACCAAACCCACAGTCGAACAGTCGACGGCTCGAGAACCCATCTGAGGTCCCCCGACATCCGACAACCTATTCATCGGCCCGTCATTGTCAGCTACGGAGTCGCCTATTCCCCCGTCCAATAGGACTCCCTGCTGGACCAACGACGAGATTATCGCTTGTCGATAGCGTGACGTATAGCCGATTGCAACTTGCCGTCGTTAATTGGCCTCATGTCGTCGCCAAGATGCCAAGAGCCGCAATCAAAACCCCGAGTTAACGCAATTGGGGAAATGAAAATGGGATTCCTGGTCATGGGAAGCTGGGGGAGGTCGCGAACACCCCGTCATTTCAGCACCCGACTTGTCGACCAGCCTCTCTCGCCCGTCCAGAGAGAGACAGCCGATGCCATCCATTTCCTGACGTACATACGCTCCATTACACGAGGCCAAGACGCCCGTGTGATCATGAGGCCTGTCACTACCGTCTCTTGTCCCCAGACGCCGCATTGCTTGTCGAGCTGCCGAAAAGCTTCGCTGCCTTGGCCGCGGGCGCTTTTCTAAGTATCGTTTCCATGGCACATCTCCAGAACGACAGGACATGCGGTCAAATTAACCGGACATGCCAACCCATGCGGCGACGACGGCAGCTAGAACGGCGTCTTCACCCGCACGAAGCACGCCATCCGCCGTCCGAGGCTCCCGTTGGCCGCCTTCGTCTTCGTCTTTCACTGTCTTAATCCCTCGTTTCCTCGGTCGTCGCACCGCGTGCGCGGTTTTGCTGCCATCAACCGGAGACACCGATGGGCTGGAACATCTCGACGAATGAGCTCGCCGGAACCTGGCTCGGTTGACCGCGACTTTCTGCAGCCTGTCACGGCGATGCGATTCCTTCAGACGCATCCCACGCGACCCATGCTCGGATTGACGTCTGCGGCCAAAACAGCACCAACAGAACACATCCAACGCGCTCAGTGAGGCAATGCAATCTCACCGAACTCCTGCACGATAGTGACAGATAAGAGCTCTCCTCATCTCCCATTTCGCCATGTCCTTACGCCCCATGTCGTCACTACCGCAGGGAAAGTCCAGTCGCTTCCAGACACACCCACCCACTCACTCACGCGGCTACGGACGGAATACCTACCTTGTGGAATTCCTCAACAGCCTTTCAACCGCAGGAGATGCCAAATGCCAGCGCCAGATCGAATGTACCTGGTGTCGAACTCTAAGCAAGACGGGCCTGGACCCTGCGAGGTTAAAACAACCAGTTAAAACAACCAGACATGTGCTCGGGCTTTTGCCTGCAACTTGCCTAGCCCCGAGGAGAAATCATACGGCTCAGTGTTCCGCAAGTCAAGAATCTTTCCTGAGCCATTCAGAAGTCACAACATGGATTCCTGGCCCCCATCCCCATGCCCCCCAGCCGTACGCCATCTTGTTCTTCTTACCCTCTCGAGCATGGTTCGCAATGGGGAACCCGCTTCCTTGCAGCTTTCAACCCTCTTCCCCTCCCCCTCCCCCCACTGTCCCGCCTCTGTGTTCGGTGCTACGCTGCGACGTTGCGTTGCGTTGCGTCTCGTTGCTCTGGTCCCTGAACTCTGGGAATTTTTGGAGGGTTTTCTTAAAAGAGATCTGCGGTCCCCCGTGTTGCTGCGCAGAATCTACTCGACTCTTCTGTCCTTTCCTTTCACCGTGATCTTCGTCAAGTCTTGTGTGTCCTGAGGAACGTCAATCGCTGCTAACCCCGACTTTGCTGGCGCGTCAGAACGAACACCATATGGAATTCAAAGTCCAGTTCTTCTCGCTCCTCCTCAAGTCCATTCTGTAAGCTCGCCACGTGCGACTTTCACGAAGACTTTGTTCCTCCGTTCCTAGACCCAAGAGCCCGTCCGTAACCCGTCAATCCAACCGACTTCAGCCGTTCCGACCGGACGCGTCTTCCGCGCCGATTCATTCGGCTCCCTCCCGCTCTCAATCCCCACCTACCTCCGACAATGTCGTCCACGGGCATTGACCGCGCGGGGAACCGCAACAATCTGCCCGGCTACGGCCATGCCGACGGCCGTCTCCCAGACGAGAAAACGGTCGGAGAACCCTACGGCGAGCCGTTCGACGGCGGCTTCCGCTCGTCTCTCGACTCGGGCGACAAGAGGGATCACACCCACCGCAAGCTCAAGTCGCGCCACATCCAATTGATTGGCATCGGCGGCACCATCGGTACGTCCTTCGTGAGCGAGATCCCGAGATGATCAGAACTGACCTGTCACATTAGGCACCGCCCTCTACGTACGTTGAACGTCGCGCACCTCGTTGCAACAAAAAACAACCCCTACTCACTCCCCCACGCATAGGTCCAAATCGGACGCGGCCTGCTCAACGGCGGCCCCGCGAGCCTGTTCCTCGCCTTCAGCATCTGGTGCACCTTCATCCTGGCCGTGACCCTGAGCATGGCCGAGATGGTCACCTACCTCCCGATCTCGAGCCCCTTTATCCGCTTCGCCGGCCGCTACGTCGACGAGGCCTTCGGCTTCGCCGCCGGCTGGAACTTCTTCGTCTTCGAGGCCGCCCTCGTCCCGTTCGAGGTCGTCGCCTGCAACCTCATTATCCACTTCTGGAGCGACGCTGTCCCCGCGGGCGGCATCATCGCCATCATCCTCGTTCTGTACGGCCTCATCAACGTCATGGCCGTCCAGTGGTACGGTGAGACCGAGTTCTGGGCCGCCCTCGGCAAGTTCCTCCTCATCGTCGGCCTCATCATCTTCACCTTCATCGTCATGCTCGGCGGGAACCCCCTCGGCGACCGCTTCGGCTTCCGGTACTGGAACAACCCCGGCGCGTTCGCCGAGCTGTACTACTCCGGCAGCCTCGGCCGCTTCCTCGGGTTCCTGCAGTGCCTCATCCAGGCCTCCTTCACCATCGCCGGGCCCGACTACGTCGCCATGGCCGCCGGCGAGGCCGAGAACCCGCGCAAGGTCATGCCCCGCGCCTTCAACGCCGTCTTCTACCGCCTCACGGCCTTCTTCGTCCTCGGCTCCCTCTGCGTCGGCATCCTGGTCCCCTACAGCGACGACGAGATGTCCCGCGCCTTCAAGGACGGCCAGCCCGGCGCCGCCGCCTCGCCCTACGTCGTCGCCATGAACCGCCTCAAGATCGGCGTCCTCCCGCACATCGTCAACGCCATGGTCCTGACCGCCGCCTTCTCCGCCGGCAACTCGTACGTCTACTGCGCCTCGCGCTCGCTCTACGGCCTCGCCCTCGAGGGCAAGGCGCCCGCCTTCTTCAAGAAGTGCACCAAGAAGGGCGTCCCCGTCTACTGCGTCATCGCCGTCCTCCTCGTCGGCCTCCTCAGCTTCCTGCAGCTGAGCAACAACACGGCCGTCGTGCTCGACTGGTTCGTCAGCCTGGTCACGGCGTCCCAGCTCATCAACTTCTCGTGCATGTGCACGGCGTACCTGGGCTTCTACCGCGCGCTCAAGGCCCAGGGCATCAGCCGCGACTCGCTGCCGTACAAGGCCTGGTTCCAGCCGTACGCGGCGTGGTACGGGCTCGTCGGGACTTTCATCATGACCTTTGTGGGGGGTTACACCGTTTTCCTGCCCTTGGACGGGTACTGGAACATCCCGGACTTTCTGTTCTCGTGAGTTTTTTGTGACACCTTTGGTGAATCAATGCTAATTGGCTGCTAAGTTACACCATGGTCGGGGTGTTTCCGCTCCTGTACCTCGGCTACAAGTTTGACCTCAAGAGGTTCAGGAAGCGGACTAGGATCTTCAAGCCTGAGGACGTCGACTTGTACCGCAACAAAGAAGAGATTGATGAGTACGAGCGGAACTACGTGCCCCAACCAGCCAAGTAAGTTGTTGCCTCCCCGAACCACCATGCATGGATGCTAACGTTTGCCAAGGAACATGTTCGAAAAGATACTGGACAAGCTCTTTGGTTGAGTAGCGTTCGCCGAGGCGTTTACATGGAAAATGGATAGATACCCCACGGGATTGAAATAGTAGAGGGGGGATCGCAGAGAAAGAAAAGACCCCAAACGAACATGAGTTCTATGTGAAGCAGTGTTGTGATAATGTGCCGCCCTCATCCTTACTTACCATCATTCACTCGTAAATAACACTTTCTTCCATCGCCTTCTAAAATTGATTCGTTCATCGCTCTCAGCGACATATGAATATCGCGGCATTCATATCACTTAAGGCAGGGCAGCCAAGCCGGATTACTCCAGACCCGTATCCAAGCACCCAAGACATGGCACGCCGACGACCTTCCTAATTCGGCATGGGCGCGGATAAGATTAATCGGCCCCACTCATCCCCTCCGGACTCGGGGCACCGAGATAATTATTTTCTCCCCGATCCCACCCGGGACTCGCAATCTTCACCTCATCTCACCCGACACCACCAGCGCCAACGCGCATCAGCATCATCAAGATGAACACCTCAACCTTTGACGCGTTCATCACCCATGAACAGTCCCAAATCCACATCACGCCCCCAGCCAAAGCCGCCAGCGCTGGAGGAGGAGGAGGCGCGCCGCTGCTCCACGTCGACTCCAACAGAACGACGCGCGCTCCTGAGTCGATTCACCTCCACCACCTCTCCAAACACCCTTCGTCAATCCGAAATGAGCCACCCGCGACGGCTCTGGAGTCCAACCGCCCTTCGGGGGGCTTCTCCCGCGACGACGCCGCCGCCGAGTCCGCCGAGCCCACCCAGAGCGTGCTGACCCCTTACATGAACCGCTGGCGCTTCCTCGCCGCGTGCCTGATGAATATGGGCAACGGGATCAACGACGGCGCGCCGGGCGCTCTGATCCCGTACATGGAGAAGTGCGTGCCAAACATTCGCATCAGACCCCCAGTGCTTCTTCTTTCAAAGTGACCGCGACTTACGTCTTCTCTCTCTCTGCTGCTTAGGTACTACGACATAGGATACGCCGTGGTCTCGCTCATCTTCATCGGCAACGCCCTCGGCTTCATAACAGCAGCCTTCTTCGTAGACGCCCTCCGCGCCCGCCTCTCCCGCGCGCACCTCATGATCGCGGCCCAGGCCTGCCTGCTGGCAGCCTACATCCCCCTCGTCGCCGGCGCCCCCTTCCCCGTCATCGTGCTCTCCTTCTTCCTCCTCGGCTTCGGCATGGCCACCAACCTCACCCTGAACACCCTCTTCTGCGGCTCCCTCCGCAACGGCACCACCGCCCTCGGCGCCCTGCACGGCGCCTACGGCCTGGGCGGCACCATCGGCCCCATCCTCGCCACCGCCATGGTCTCCTCCATCGGCTGGGGCCTGTGGTTCAGGTTCTATCTCATCCCCATGGCCCTCGCCGCCTTCAGCCTCGTCTTCTCCGCGTGGTCGTTCGCACGCTACGAGAACGACAACCCCGCCGCCGCCGAGAACGACCCCGCAGACGAACGGCGCCCGACGGCCAAGGCCCGCCTGGTCTCCATGTTCCACGCCCTGCGCCGTCGCCTCGTCTTCCTCGGCGCCCTCTTCGTCTTCGCGTACCAGGGCGCCGAGGTCTCCATCTCGGGCTGGGTCATCTCCTTCCTCGTGGACTCGCGCCAGGTCGCGAACCCGGAGGCCGTCGGCTACGTGACGGCGGGTTTCTGGGCGGGCATCACCGTCGGCCGCTTCCTGCTCTCGGGCCTGGGCCAGCGCGTCGGCGAGAAGCTGTTCGTGTACGTCATGACGGCCGGCGCGGCGTGCTTCCAGCTGCTGGTGTGGTTCGTGCCGAACATCGTGGGGAACGCGGTGTCGCTGGCGATCGTGGGTCTGCTGCTGGGGCCGATCTACCCGTGCGCCGCGACGGTGTTTCTGAGGGGCATGTCGAGCAAGAGCCGGACGAGCGGGATCGCGATCATCACGGCGTTCGGGAGCAGCGGAGGGGCGTTGGCGCCCTTTACGACGGGAATGATTGCGCAGGCGAGCGGTACGTGGGTTCTTCACCCCATTGCGCTCGCGTTGTTTGCCGCCATGATCGGGTGCTGGGTTTTCCTTTCTTCTCGGTCCAAGAGAGAGGATTAAGCTGGTGGTGAGTATTGTGTGGGGCTTAAGTCACCTGTTTCCAATGGTGATATGTAAATGCCGACGTGGGCATATTCGTAGTCGTAGATGCTGTAGGGGGGTTTCTGATGTGTTGAATGAGGCCCGCGGGTGGATTAACGCACAACTTGAGGACGCAATCAGGTGCTGGTTCATCAGGTCATAACATTTGGTGGATAAGAGTGCAAGTTGACATGGTTGAAGACACAACATGTGAACGAGAATATAAAACTTAACGTGAAAGTATTTCTGATTGGTCATTACGTTGCTACAGATTTCCCATTCCCAACCAACGCCATAGCTATTGTCATTAACATGCATTTAGTACGCCACTTGAGTGCTCAACTCATCCAACTCACGAGCCCATACGCGATGCTGTGAGATGGTGAAGAAGAACTGCTCCAAGAATCCTCTGCCTTGCTTGGCAATGTTGAAAGTCTCCTTCAAGCTCTCGGGCTGCACGTTCCTCATCGTGACAACACCGTAGCTCTCCTCGACGTTGCTGTCGCTGGAAACCTTGATGTTGGGAACGTTGATCGTGGCGTTGACGAAGTCGACAGCCTCACCAGTAGCGGCGATAGCCTTCAAGTGGCCAAACGCCTCGCGGATCCAGTGCTGAGCGCGACCGTTCTTGGACAAGGTCTTGATGGACTCGGCGCCACCAGGTACGAAGACAGCGTCAACCATGGTAGACCTGAATCCTTCGAGGTGGTGATCAGGCTTGACTCCCTGACCAGGCGTCTTGGAAGCACCCTCGGGGTAAATCTCTGAGCGACGAGTACCAATAACCATGGGAGTACCCTGGGCAGCAGCAACCGCCGACTTCATGGTAGCGAAGGAAAGAGGGTCGTAGCCGTCCGCAATGATGATGGCGACGCGGCGGGTCTTGATGGTGGGGTTCTCGGGCAGATACTCGAGCTGGCTAAGACCCTTGGCCTTGTTGCCGTGGTTCTGCTTGCCAGCCTGCTCAGGAGCCTTACCACCAACCATGTCAGCAACAGCCTGGGCCAGACCAAGATCAATGTCGGCCAGGCGCTGCGACATGCGCTCGTAGACGATGGGGTCCTCGCAGTGGTCCAACTCGAAGGCGAAGGCGTTGATGACGTGGGACTTCTCAATGGGAGACAAGCTGTTGAAAAACAGCTGAGCCTGAGAGAAGTGCTCCTTGAACTTGACGCTCTTGGTTCGCTGCTTGATTCCCTCGACCTTTTGGGCAAACTCGACGTAGGCATCGGCTGCCTTGGAGTGGTTCGCAGGAGGAGTAGCCTCGAAGCGGTTGGGCCAGTAGTTGGGGCCCTTGGAAATCGTGTGGCGCATGGCACCATCGCGGTTGAAGTTCATGACAGGGCACACAGGCTTGTTGATGGGAAGCTCCTCCCAGTTAATACCGAGACGGGAAAGTTGGGTATCAAAGTAAGAAAAGTTGCGGCCCTGGAGAAGGGGGTCGTCGGAAAAGCCAATGCCGGGAACAACATGGCTGGTGCAGAAAGCAACTTGCTCGGTCTGGGTGAAGTACTCATCGGGATTCCTGTTGAGCTCAAGCTCTCCGATGTAGCGGATAGGGACCAATTCCTCGGGCCAAAGCTTGGTAGCATCGAGAATGTCGAAATCGAATTCATGCTCCCTGCTCTCGGGGAGAACCTGGATACCAAACTTCCACTTGGGGAAGACACCGTTATCAATGGCCTCGGCCAGATCCTTGCGGTGGAAGTCGGGGTCCTGACCACCGAGCTTGAGGGCCTCATCCCACACGAGGGAGTGGACACCAAGCTCCGGTGTGAAGTGGAACTTGACAAAGTGACGCTCGCCCTTGTCGTTGGTGAGGGTGTAGGTGTTGACTCCAAAGCCCTGCATCATTCGGTATGAACGGGGGATGGTGCGGTCGGACATGGCCCACATGAACATGTGGGTGGCCTCGGTGTGAAGGAACTGGAAGTCCCAGAAGTTGTCGTGGGCAGACTGCGCCTGAGGGAACTCAAGCTTGGGTTCAGGCTTTCCGGCGTGAATGACATCGGGGAACTTCATGGCGTCCTGGATGAAGAAGACGGGGATGTTGTTTCCAACCATGTCCCAGTTACCCTCCTTGGTGTAGAACTTGATGGCGAAGCCTCGAACATCGCGGACAGTGTCTGCACTGCCACGGCTGCCGAGGACAGTCGAGAAGCGCAGGAAGACGGGAGTCTCTCGCGATGTGTCGGTCAGGACACCTGCGTTGGTAACATCTCCAGCGCTCTCGAAGAGGCGGAAAGTACCAAAGGCGCCGGCGCCTCTGGCGTGGACAACTCGCTCGGGGATTCTCTCGTGGTCGAAGCGGTGGATCTGGAGCAGGTTAGCTTGACCATGAAGGCGTGACGGAAGTGAGACGGACCTTTTCTCTGCCAACGGGATCCTCCAGCAGCATAGGGCCGGTCTTATCGTTGTTGGAGACTCTCAACCAGTCGTCGGTGTTGTTGATCTTCTGGCCAAAGTCGGTCGTCATCTGGGCCTTGGGGCCATGCTCGACCGTGTTCTCGGCGAGTTGAGCTTGCTTTGCGTCGCCCATGATTGCGTTTCCAGCCTTCTTCAAAGTATCGGATACGAGTGATGCCATTTCTGGATTTGAAGCGAACTGAGACACTAGAAAAGGAGAAGGAAGGTGAGCTTTAAGAAAGGAAGAGAGGCAAGTTGAAGTAGTACCACAACGACAACGACGGGGGTATTTTATAAAACAAGTCTTTCCATTGGGCCATCAACTTGATCCATGTTTTCTGGGAGTCGCAGCTCGAGTGCTTTGGTGCGCCTGACGTCAACCATGTGCTCACGGTGAGTCGAGAGCAGCAGCAGCGTCCCCGGTTGGGAAGGGCCGTGCCTGCTCCATTGGTGGGACTTTGATGAAGGAGGTGACACGGCAGTTCTGACCGGGGAAACACAGAATCAGAGAGGCATCTGATGCATTGAGATCAAAGAGAACGCAGGCGCATCGCGATTTCGCCATGTTGATGTCACAGCTCAGAGAAAGTGGACGCGTCCAGGCGCAGAAAGAGCTCCTCCCACCCCTGCCCCTTGCTGCTCCTGCCTGCCACTTCCGCCCTGCAAGACGGAGCTGTGGTCCGGAAGGTGGATCTGATGGAGCAGAGGCTCCAGAGACACCGCGGATGCGTCCAATGAAAATGGGTGAGTTTTGGTGGCGGTCGGGAATAAATACGGGGCATCGACCGAACGGGACGCCTGTGGAGCGCCCTGACAGCCTAAAAAGGTACGTACCTCAGAATTGCCCCTCGATGCCCCTCAGTGGCCCAAGCTTCTGTCCTCAGATGCAGCAGGTGCAGCAGGTGGTGCACATGGTCATTGCTAACAAGTTGCGCCTCATTCGACCATTTTATTCACCGGTGAGATCATTGCCTGGTAATTATCACGATGCTAAAATAATATTCTGTTGAGCTTTGGAGTCTGGAATTCCCATCTCCTCGGCATCCCGGGTTTGTCTGAAATCTCGACCGGTAATGCCGGCAGAGCACAGCTACCAGAACAAGGTTCAACTGACAGCTCAGTGACACGGCAATGACCCAAGTTGAACGCAATTCCTAGATCTCGACTCAATTTCTTGACTTTTTTGGGCATTTTAATCCTCAAGTACCTACAAGCCAATATCTTCTAATCGAGAAAAATTAGAAATATTTTGAAGCAGTGACACCTAGAGCAGCCGCTGCCTCTTGCAGTTTCCACTTCTGAGCTTGTGCAGCATCAAATTTGGCTGAAAATCGACGTCATCGATTCATCGATCGCCCAGCCTGCCTTCCCACATCCCGCTTCACCGGCACAGCAGACACCCAGCCAGCTATTCGTACCTTACCTTCTCCAACCACCAGCATCACCGCTGAATTCTCGGATTCATTGCAGCTTCCTGACTTTCACCGAATAAGAATCCACCTTGGCAACCCCAGAGAATCAACCCCATCGACGTTGCGTCGTGCTCCCTTCGTGTACGAGTCGACGTCGCAATCAAAATACGGACCACATCGACATCTTCCTCGCACTGATTGATTGCGCTTGGGCAAGTTCCAGAACCACGGACGAATAAACAAGGATACGCTTGACCCTCAGACTCCCGAGAACCCCGGCCACTTACTCGAAGCGGTTTCCCATCTTCAACATGCCCGGCGAGGTCGTCAAGGAGGCCAACCCGCCTCCCCTGCCCTCCCATCTGCCCGACAATGTTCTCGATCTCGCAGTAAAGACGGAGAGGAAGCCTTTGGACGAAAAGGTCGCCAGATCCCTGCGCGACTTCCAAAATGTCGCCTGCTACATCGCGGCTGGTAAGCCGATCCTACCCTGTCCCTGCAGATCCCACGTTTTCACCGGCTGACAAAACCTAGCGATGATCTTTCTCCGAGACAACGTTCTCCTGGAATCCGAGTTGAAGTTCGAACATGTCAAGCCCCGGCTACTCGGTAAGCCCACAATTGTGTTCCATCGCGACATTTCCTGACAGACGCCAGGCCACTGGGGCACTTGTCCCGGCCTCATTCTGGTCTGGTCCCACCTGAACCTGCTTATCCGCAATCATGACTTGGACATGATCTATGTCATTGGCCCAGGCCACGGTGCGCCGGCTGCGCTGGCATCACTTTGGCTGGAAGGCTCGCTGCAGAGGTTCTACCCGGACAAGTACGATGTCTCAAAGGAGGGTCTCTCCAACCTCATCACCACATTCTCCACACCCAATGGCTTCCCTAGGTTGGTAGCTCATCTCCTTATTCTAATGGTCCGGTAGGCTAACCTCACCAGCCACATCAACTCCGAGACGCCAGGCGCCATTCACGAGGGTGGCGAGCTTGGCTATGCCCTGGCCGTGTCTTTTGGCGCGGTCATGGACAACCCGGATCTCATTGTCACTTGTATTGTGGGTGATGGAGAAGCCGAGAGCGGTCCTACCGCAACGTAAGCAATATTGCTCCCAGGACAATGCCCTCCTAACATGCTCCAGTGCCTGGCATGCCATCAAGTATCTCGATCCCAAGGAGTCTGGCGCTGTGATTCCCATTCTTCACGTCAATGGCTTCAAGATTAGTGAGCGCACCATCTTTGGCTGCATGGACGACAAGGAAATCGTCTCCCTGTTCTCTGGTTATGGCTACCAAGTGTGCATCGTAGACGATCTGGAGGACATTGACAACGACCTCTCCAATGCTTTGGAATGGGCAGTGGCTGAGATCAAGAAGATCCAGAAGGCCGCTCGATCAGACAAACCAATCATCAAACCTCGCTGGCCAATGATTGCTCTTCGCACACCCAAGGTTCGTCTGGCCCGACAGCGAGTGTCGTTTCTCGCTGACTGTTGAAGGGATGGACGGGACCGAAGGAGGTTGACGGAACCATTATTGAGGGCTCCTTCAAATCGCACCAGGTCCCGCTTGGAAAGGCCGGGTCCGACGAGACTCACCTCGAGAAACTTAACGAATGGCTAACTAGGTATGACATCGGGAACCTCTTGACCAATGGCGAACCAAATTCCAGCATTCTCGAGGCAATCCCGAAGAATGACGCCAAGAAGCTTGGTCAATTCAAGACCACATACGATCCTTATATCGGCCTCAAGCTCCCCGACTGGAAGTCCCTTGCCGTCAAGCCCGGAGAACAAGTTAGCTGCATGAAGCAGACTGGTCAGCTTCTTGACAAGGTGATGCAGGAGAATCCTCATGGTTTCCGCATGTTCACCCCTGACGAGCTGGAGAGCAACAAGCTGGATGCTGTTCTTAAGCATACCGGCCGTAACTTCCAGTGGGACGAGTATTCGCGTGCTCAGGGCGGTCGCGTCATCGAAATCCTCTCGGAGCATTGTTGTCAAGGCTTCATGCAGGGCTACACGCTGACTGGTCGTGTTGGACTGTTCCCCAGCTATGAGTCTTTCCTTGGTATCGTCCACACGATGATGGTACAGTACGCCAAGTTCAATAAGGTAGCTAAGCAGGTCGAGTGGCGCGGCGAGCTGGCTTCTATCAACTACATCGAGACGAGCACTTGGGCGCGTCAGGAGCACAACGGATTCTCCCACCAGAACCCGTCATTCATCGGGGCTGTTCTCAACTTGAAGGCCGAAGCAGCGAGAGTACGTTCCTGTGCCACAGCAACCAAAATACCACTAACACGTGAAGGTCTACCTCCCGCCCGATGCAAACTGCTTTCTCAGCACCGTTCACCACTGTCTCCAGTCCAAAGACAAGGTCAATCTCGTCATTGGCTCGAAGCAGCCCACGGCAACCTACCTCTCCGTTGAAGATGCGGCAGAGCACTGCCGCGTCGGCGCCAGCATTTGGCCTTTCGCCTCGACCGACGGCGGGGCCAACCCAGATGTTGTCCTTGTCGGCATCGGAGTCGAAGTGACTTTTGAAGTTGTCAAGGCAGCAGAACTCCTTCACGACCTTGCACCCGACCTACGCGTTCGCGTTGTGAACGTTACAGACCTGATGGTCCTTCGCGCCGAGGCTAAGCACCCGCACGCGTTGAGCAGGCAGGTCTTCCTTGACATGTTCACCGAAGACAGGGACGTAGTCTTCAACTATCACGGCTACGTCACCGAGTTACAGGGGTTACTGTTTGGAAGACCTGGGTTGGACAGGATGTCCGTTTCAGGATACTGTGAAGAGGGCACCACGACGACGCCGTTTGACATGATGCTCGAAAACCACGTGAGCCGATATCACGTCGCGATACAGGCGTTGAAGAGCGGTGCCAAATTGAATGAGAAGGTCAAGGACAACTTACTTGAGAACATCAAGAGCATTCATTCTAAAGTGACGGCTATCCGAGGGTACTTCCAACAGCATGGGAAGGGTAAGTAGAGACCTGTTGATTGTGCGAATGACCACTGACGATGGCAGATCCTGACGATCTCTATGACGCTCCGAAGTTTTAGGGTGCTTTGCGCCTTTAACAGAGATGGTTGAATGAGCTAATGACAGATGGCATAATCATTTGCGAGCACTGTCTTCGTTGCAGGGCTCCACACGGCAAAAAATGCAAAAGAGAAGGCGACGGGCGCCTGATGTTGTTGCCTCGTATGTGAATCGAACACATGATCTCCTCATTACTAGTGAGGCGCTATACCACTTAGCCAACAAGGCTTGCTTTCACGGGGCAATTTGAAGGCTCTTGTACTGAGGCGGTGAGTAGGCGGCCTGATTGCACGGAGGAGTGGGCCGTCGGGAGGGTTGAGAAGTAGAGGAAAAACACGCAAGAAACCGTCCGTTTTCGCGATATATCTAGATGTAGAGTAGAAGCTTTCTTAAGTGATTTTTGAGTTTATGTCATCTTGAGTTTGACCGTGCAGCCTGCAAAAGTTGCCAGCGGCAAGTGAGCAGAAGTGATATGTGTTAAGGCACTGTTGGTTTCTGTGTGTAAGGTAGTAGCGGAGAAATGAAATAATAACCGGAAGTATTAGCCAAAATGAGCTCGATATACTCATGATACCGCGACTTATCAGTTTCCACGACTAATCGTCGTACGCAGCAGTCAGACTCATTCTGTCCTGTTCTCACGGTCGCGCGATGTACCTGCCTCGCATCATCCTTTGTTGGCAAACAGTACTTTTCCCCTAACATGCAACCCTTCTCCGCGCACTGATTCCCTCATTCAGTCCACCATTTCTGATAGGAACTCAGTACACGACCTGCCCCACCCCCACCTCGAAATTTCTCCGTCGCAAACACCAAAAAATCCGACCAATCTCACGAAACCCCACCCTCACTCGCAGCGAGACGACGAGGACGAACAGCAAAACGACGCGGCGCGCCGGCCCGAAAACTGTGAAGACTCCTTCCGCACCGATACGAAAATGGTCTACTACTTTACCTCGACGGTCGTCGACCCGTCCGCCTTCATCTACGTCGGCAAGGACAAGTTTGAGAGTACGCCTGCTCTGTCTGAGGCGGATGGAGGCATGTGAGGCTGATGAGGGAATGCAGATGAGGAGCTGATCAAGTACGGCTGGGAGGAGGATGTTTGGTAAGTTGCATCCATCTTCACTGTTTGTGATCTGATACTGACTACTCTCACAGGGTACGCACTCACTCACTCACTCACTCTCACTCACCCACCTAACCACATCACAGTTCCACGTCGACAAGCTCTCCTCAGCCCACATCTACCTCCGCCTCCCCGAACAATCCTCCGACGCCTCGGTCACCCAAATGACGTGGGACGCCATCCCGCAACCCCTGCTCACCGACCTCGCGCAGCTGACAAAGGCCAACTCGATCGAGGGCAACAAGAAGGACAACATCACCGTCATCTACACGCCCTGGTCCAACCTCAAGAAGGACGGCAGCATGGAGGTCGGCCAGGTCTCCTTCAAGGACCCGCGCAAGGTCAAGAAGGTTCTCGTGCCCCAGCGCGAGAATCCCGTCGTGAACCGCCTCAACAAGACAAAGGTCGAGAGGAAGCCCGACCTCAAGCAGGAGAGGGAGGATCGGTTGAAGGAGTTGCGGAAGAGGGATCAGGCTGCTTCGCTTTTGAGGGTGAGTTTTTTGTTTTTGTATAATCTGCTGTTTTTATGGATTCTTGTTCCCTTCGCTCGCGGATTCGATCTCGGGTATGTTTTGGTTTACTGACATGGTTCCCGCGACAGAAAAAGGAGGAGGCCCGCGTGATGCAGGAGCGCAAGGAGAAGAAGTGGCAAAAGGACCACGCCTACGACGATCTCTTCTCGCAGGACAACATGGAGGAGTCGAGCAACCAGAACCGCAACGAGGATTGGGAGGACGACTTCATGTGATTTGCCCTCTTCCCCTGCGCGCCCTTAGATATCCCGTCACTTCAATCCAGTAAAATGCCAGCTCATCTCTCTCGTGCAACTCGATTCTTATCGTCACTGCTGGAAGAGGAAAAAGATGCCTGAGATGTATGTCATACGCTTCATTACGTTCATTCTACCGCTGTTTTAACAAAAGGGGTATTCCAAATCGCGGCACGCGCGCGTCCGCAAGTCAGCTGCACATGCCAATGCCCATACGACTCCGTCCGATGCCCATAGACTCCATCCTGCGCGAAAGTTCATTACTATCGTCCGAGGCGTACTTTTCGCCTCCGTGCTGTTTTTGTTTCGTCTGCTCTCCGCCCTCCTCCTCGGGCGTCTGCACGAGGACGGGCGCGTCGTCGTCTTCTTCCATCGCCTCGCTCACGTAATCGTCATCATCCCGCGGGTCCAGAAAAGGCGACGATGGGGGTTCTTCCGTGTCGCCGCCGTAGTCCTCCGCTTCCCTGCTCTCCACCCGGCTCTCCACGATCGCCTCGCCGCCCGGGAGGCCGACTGTGCGTGCTTCGAGGGTCTCGGCGATGTCGAGGAGGAGGATCTCCATCGGGCAAATGTATGCGACGCGCTTCCGCCCGCTCCACGCGAGGATGTGCCCGCACACCCTCCCATGCGCGCGCTCGACTACCCAGGCGCCGCTGTCACCGGGAACGCCCATGGCCAGCTTCTTGTTGCCGCCGCTGAGTTCGACGGGCGTTTCCGCCGCGGCGCTGCTAACTTGATACGTGTGACTGGGTGTGATTCGACCCGAGATCTTGACGCTGGTGAGTGCCGGGAGAATAAGCCCTGTTTGGAGGCCACTCGTGCGCGCCATGCAAATGACCTCCGTGCCGGGTAGCGATGAGGTGGGCACGACGGTCGTCGGGTGAATGTCGGATGCTTCGTGAGAGGGTCGTTTGCCGGTGAGCAGCGACGAAGGCTGGGTTCTGATCCTGGGTATCGCATTCTCGTCGGGTTGCCTCTCGTCGGCGAACTCGAACAAGGCCCAGTCGATTTCGTGGATGAGCCCGTTCTGTTCTCTGCGCCTGAGACCGCTGGACGCGTACATCACGCCCACGGTGAAGGTCTCCAGGTGCTCCTCGTCCGCTGTCTCATCCGAAGCGAAGAAGTTCTCTTCAACGTCGTCCCTGGCGGGCTGCGTGATGATGTACCCATCGCCACAGTCCGGCTCCACCCCAGGGATGTCACCGGGCTGGTCGAATTCCCCATCGCTCTCATCCTCGTCTGAGCCCTCACTGGTGATATCTGTTTCCGAGTACGCTTCCGAGTCGGAGTCGGAAAATTCGCACGCAAAGTCCTCCCCGCCACTGCTCTCGGCCGAAGACTCCGTATACCAGTTGACTTTGACGTCGTCAGTCGGTTTGGCCATGCTTCGGTATGTCGGCTCCAGTTCCCTTGCGTTCTTTGCAATCTCCACCTGGTCGTCCAGCATGTGATGCACTGTCATGCCGTACGGCTTATCGTCAACTACCACGAGACCACCCAAGCTGACTGGGGGAAGGTGGCGGTCACCAATCCAAGCACCAATACTCGCACCGTTGCTTGGGCAGACTTGATATTCCGTGTTGGCGGCCTCCACTTCGTCGTCGTCCTCGTCGTCTGCCGCGCTTCGCTTGACCTTCTCCTCTCCAGAGTCTTTCCGGGACCTCAGCACCTGGCCCTTGCACACCTTCAAGCCAAATCCGGACGTTCCATCAAACAGCTGGCCGAGCTTGCGGGTGAGAATGGACTTAACCTTGCTTACTGACGTGCACACGACCAAAACCGTAGGCTGCGTCTCCTTAGGGGAGCTGCCAATGGACTCGAGGGAAATTTCAACCGACTCCAGGCTGTGCTTTCGGTAGAAGTGCCGTAACGCTTGGTTGACCTGGGGCATCACCGTCGAGTTCCACTTTTCGATAGCGTCAGCCGGAAGGGGGATTTGAGGGTAGAGGCGGGTTTTCGGTGATGGCGACTTGGCGGGCTTCGGGTCGACAGGCTGTTCCGTCGGTGTCGCCGCAGCCTCCTCGGCATCCTTCTTCGCAAGCTGTCTCTTCTCCTCCTCGGCTGATGGGTACGAGCGCGAAGGGGTCGGGTCCGGGATCGGCGTCTTAATGTCGTATGTCCGGCGGCGGGTGTCAGGGGGCGCTTGGGAAGCAGTCTTAGTGTCCCTGGAAGGACCGGAGATGCTTTCTTTAGGAGATTCCTCGACAGGGGACACCGTTCTTTCTCCCAGATCTAAGCTGAGGCGTTCGTCGAGCGCACTGAGGCCGTCAAGAATACAACACGCCTCAAGATAACGGCTGGCCTTGACCTGGACATTCGACAACAGCTCTTCGCCAGCGACCTTTCCTTGAAGGCCTTGATCAACTGCACTCCAGCAAGCCTTGACAGCTTTCATGTAATGGGTTCCGCAGCGAATCGACAACTGATCTATGACAGCTTCAGAGATCGGCTGAGAGGGATCCGAGACGAGGTTCTCGAGCTTGGTCCACAGTCCCACAGACAACAGAATCATGGCAAGCGAGTAGAGGTCCAGAATGCGGGAGTCGGTCTTGTCCGTGATTGGCGATGACGGGGTGGTCCGGGGATCCAAGGGGTGGCGGAATAGCGGAGTAGATGGAGATGGAGGCTCCTGATCTGAAGGAGCATCTGGGAACAGGTCGAATGAGGAGATCATTGGCCGGCGTACGTCAACCTCGCTAACGCCTGTCGTCAAGTCCGGAGTGGCCGTGTTGCAGAAGGAGATGTTCTTGTCGATGAGGCTGCCGTGAGTAATACCTCGAGCGTGCAGGTCAAAGACTGTGTTGCAAAGGTTGTGAGCGAGACGAAACTTTGCCTCGAGTGCCGGCTCGTAATCAGGCCGCGAGAGCAGGTCTCCTAGCGTGCAGATGTTGTAGATGGGATTCTGTGTAAAGTTCTCGAACGAGACGGCGTTAAAGCTTGGCGGGAACTGATAAACAAGTCCAAGCCGTGAGTGTTCCAGATCCTCAAAGTAACCCAGCAGCCTGGGAAGGCCGATCCATGCCCCAGGTGCTCTCCTCGAGTCCTGCTGCAGCCCCGATGACAGCTTCTCGAATCGTGACATTGGCGGCATGATGCCGGTTATTGAGTAGATGGAATCAAAGGTCGCAAACTCCAATAGTAGGGGCGCAAAGGGCTGGCGACCGATGTGCTGAGCCAGATCTGTCCAGGCTTGCTTGCTCATGAAAACAATGTCGCGCGGGGGCTTGTTGTCTCCAGATCCGGTCAAGGGCTCTGCCTGCTGGGAACGAATATCGGTGAGAGTGGACGGATCGATCTGCTGGGGTGTCTGCATGCGCGTAGACTCGAAGGCCTTGTTCTCGTCGACACCGGCCAGCGGCCGTTGGAGCCGTGATCGGGAGCCGGAGGTCATGGCAGGCGAGGCACGTGTCCTGGAAAGGTCGTAAAGAGTGTCGATAGACTGCGTGAGGTCTGCGATGTAGTCGGCAAAGCGGGCCTTATCCCATACGACGAAAGGGGTCTTCAGGTCGCTCTTTTCTGAGCGGCTGCCGTTCTGCTTCTCATAGGCCTTCCACAGAGCATCCAGCTCTACCAAGCAGTCCTTGATGGTTGACAAGATGCTACCCACAATCTCACTCACGCCAGCCTTTGAAAGTGAGGTGTCGATCTCGGCGGATTGGTTCGGATCTGACCATTCCAGACCCCAGCTCGTGAAGCGATCTTTTTGAATTCGCAGCTTGCGATGCAGCGACTTGACTTCCGGGTCCTCGGCATGCTGGATGGGCTCCTTGACGAAGTTGGAAGACTTTTTAGTATCGTTATACAGACGGCTCAGACGTCGCTGCATGGGCAGCTGGAAGCCGCCAGAGAAACCGATGCCCTCCATGTTGGCGATTGAATGGTGGTGACGGGCAGGGACAACGAGGGATGCCCCTCACCTAGAGCGGGGTGAGGGTGAGACTGCGATGATGAGCAGTGAGTGAGATGAGAGTGTCGGCTAGAAGGGGAGAGTGTAGTTCTTCAGCGTCGTCTACGATATGACATAATCAGATTGATTGCGCGGTTGAGTGAGGCTGAGTTCGCCTTGTTCAATGGTGATGAGAGGTCGTCGGTGAAGTGAAGACTCGGAGGCGGACCGGCTGAGTCGCGTAGGGTCACGTCGTGGTAGGCGGGGGTATTTTTGGCAGTGGTTGCGGTGGTATCGGTTGGTTGACGAATGCAACGGATACTGTGAGGGGCCTTGGCCGGGAGAGGCAAGGTACGTATTCTGGACGTAAAGTGGTTACGCGGCGGGGATGCGATAGATGAGGCTGAGCGGTGGTGTTGAGAAGCTCAATATTAATTACTCGGAAATGATGTCGAAGTCGGTTCTTCTTCCTATTATCGTATGCGTTTCTTTGTTTGAACCGAACAGTGCTGAAATTCGAAGTTGTAGATGGGAGGGAGAGAAAACGGGAAGAAATGACGCTGAAATCGCGGGTGTTTGAAAGTCATGAATGGACGCCAACAAACACCAAAGATCCCTTTCTGGGCGGAAAGAAGGAATGGATTATTTCGGTGCCTACGGGCTACGAGACGCTGCGGATGCTCTTTACCCTTTCCTGCGTCCAAGTCGAACTAGGCTGGGGGTGGCTCCGCCGCCAGACAGACACCACACAACCGCGACCCGCTGGATCTCTGGTGCACCGACTCGAGGAGGTAGGTCCAAGGTTCAAGGTCTCGCAGACGGGGTTTAGTGGCAGATTGTGGCTGCGACCGCCAAGGCCCAAAGATGCGGATTTGCTGGTGCTGACTTGTTGGATGCTGATGCTGATGCGGATGCGGATGGTGAATTTGCTGGTCGCTGAGGTTGTGCAGAATGCTGCTCGAAATGCTGCTGCCTGGAAGTTGAAGCGCCTCTCTCGATTGGTCTCGCTTAGCTTCGCCTAATGAACTTGTTTCGGTCCCGACCCGTACATTTGGCCCCGCTAGCTTCAACTTAGGGTGCTGATTGGCTTGGGGAATGCTGGAGCCTGACAAGTGGGTCCTCTCGGAGGAAATCATTGCTGAAGTTGCGAGATCCCGCCGGGGTGCCCTTCTTGGAAAAAGAACGTACGAAGTACTATTCAACTGTTGCTTCCATCTTTCTAGGTATTCTTTTGCATGTACGACGCCACCATTGAAGGCAGCGAAATACCAACAATAAGGTGCGAGACAGGCGCCTGGAGATGCAATCGCCCCCCTGGTCTATCTGAGGTGTACATGAGGTACCTGTGGCTCGTGCACTGGAGACCTCACTTGCCTCAACTTTGAGCCTCCAGCTGGTCCTGCTGAATACTCTCCTATCAGTATCAGATATGGATATCGCCTTCAGCAGGCTGCTTCTTTTCCAAGACTCTGATGATCCTCACGTGCCTGCTTTTGATATCCCTTTCCTGCTTGACACCTAGGCACTTGGATACGTACTCTCGTCTTCTATCAGCTGCTTTCCATTCTCGTGAACAATGCCATCCGGCCCATCTTCTCCATCTTCGGGACACACCGAATCTTCATTCCGTCCAATAAGTGCCATCCCTTCCTTCTTCTTCATCCACCATCATCGTGTCTGATACGGGATCAACACGCCTATCCTCGGAAACGTACCGCTCAGGCACCAGTGATCCCGATACCCGCTCTCACAATCTTCGACATTGGCTGCTTCCTAAGGTAATTATCCATCTTCGTCCCTGAGTAAGCTGAGGCTCGTCTTATTAGCGTCCAAACCCTGGCCCCGAGACAAGTCTGCATGGCAACAGCGGACGGTCCGCACTAACCTTGCCTTTCCGAGGTAGCTCGTTGCCCTTCTCGTTAGTCGCCTTCCCTCCGAATTAGAGGGTAATACATAGTACACCATCTCTACTGATCACTCATCACCAATCGGTCATTGCACCCGCCAATCCTTCGAATGGAATCAGTCAATGCCTTCGTCTTCTGCCTGAAGACCGCAATAAGCAGCTGTCACTCAAGAGTCCTCCGTCCCTTGGCGCGCAGCAGTCTGCGAGATCCTCCAATACTCAAAAGTTCCTTCTTCACTTATCCCGGCGCAAATCCTTCCTCCGTCATAAAGTCCTTCGGGGATTACGACTCGAGGAGATGATTCAAGGCCCGCTCCGCTCTCCTGGTATTCCAAGTATCACGGCAAGCTTCCATTCATTCATACAAGTCGATCACGGCTGTTAGTCCGAGACAAGACAGAAAACACGCTATCCTCGGACTCTGCTGCATGTGGCCCAGTTATTGTGGCTCTTCGGCCATGACCTTCTCCTGGTTTCCCCACGCTCATCTTCATTGGCCTTCTTTTTTATCTCGGTGCCTAAACGCTAAACCCTCACAGACTGGGGCCACTCGCATCATCTCCGAGTGACACACCAACTGACGATTGCTACCCGGCACGTCATTTCCTATCGAGTCAAGTCCCGACCAAATGACATTCGTCGATTCAGATTCACCATGATCAGGAACAGGCTGTCTCCGTCCTTATTACGGAATTCCACCCCGTTTCGAAGTCGACCTGTCGCCTGTCTCCTTAGTTCGGGTAGGTAGGTCTTGAATTTGGGACTAGAAACGGGGCATCTTGATAGCAGGATTGCCAGTCTCCTTAAGAAAAGTCACCGGCAGTACGCTCATCTCTGCCATATTACCGCATAAGGCAAATGCCGGTCCCCGTCGGCCCCCGCGAAGGTTGCAGACGCAATCCTCAACTTGCCAATAACACGGCTCTCGGTCAACTCGGCACGCAGGTCTCAATGGTGGCATCTGACAATGAGAACGACAGAAGTCTGAATCAGACCTCCCCTTGGATTCTAACCTACAGATACAAGACACCTTTCAGGTCTCACGATAATTCTGCTGCCTGCTCGGCTGTCGCAAAACAAACATGCGAGCGGACGAATCATTCAACTCGCCGGGACTCCATCGTGTCCCATCAAGCCACCAGTCCAAATAACTTCATGCAACAGAAGCCCTTAGAAGACAACCTAAAACGTAATGGGGAGAAATTTCGTTCTCATGGTCGTACCAACGCCCCATTATGAATCGTCCCTCTCCCTGATGTTGAATCAGGGCACCTCGGCAGCTCCTTAGCAATAGTCCGGCGGACCAGAGCAAGGCTTCACAAACCCGACGCATCGGACTCTTTTTCCTCCTTGACATTGTGGCGCGGCCTCCCCGAAATTCTCGCCTGATCCTGATTCCTCGGGGCGAGGGCATTCGAATGATCACTGCCGGGTCTAAATCCAAAACCTCCAGGCTCGCACCGCATCGTTCCAAGCCGAGAATCTCGCTGCCTCCGGTGGATTCGGGTTCGGATTCGATGGATTCGGAAAGCCCTCGGGTGCCGCATCCCCTGACCAGGGATGCGGGCGTGACAGCGTGTAGACCGTCTCCCCCACTGCATCGTGGCTTTTGCCCGGCCTGGAAGCCTCCAGGACGTCGCCGCTTGTGTTTACTCCGTCGGCGTTTATATCTCAACGTCCATGTAGCGGCGTCCTTGGCATCCCACCGTACCGCCAGCATGATTATGGATGTACGGTCATTGAATTTGGGCAACTCCGCCATGCGGCCATGCAGTCGTTGCCGTGGTGGTGTTCGATCTGGCGAAACTGCTATTTCGGGACATCGCACCAGGCGCCAATTAGCATCTAGCTGGCCGAGGCCAGGCTTCCGTGATTATGCTGTTTTCAACGTCTTAAATCCTTGACCATTCGAAAAGGCATTTCCATCGCCTGTTGCGAAAGAACGAAATGACCCTTACTTAATCGAGTCATAATAGGTGTCAGTAAGTAAGTAATACATGTTATATTTTTATTTCTCACTGGCCCCCCTTTTCCCATGGCTCTCGCGAGCATACGTGCGCCCAAAGACCTTGGCCAGGCTGAGCTTATTAGTTTATACCAGTTTAGCTATTATTTATATCTATTTATTATATTAAGAGATAGTATAGGCTAAACTACTAGAATCATATTAAAGAACTGAGGAACACATATTGATAAACGGCTATAAAGCTCTCTTAGAGCTGAGCAATACTGCCACCTTATACTTTTATTTCTTTACTTCATTAGGAGATAGCACGGGCGGGAGTGCTAATATTGTGATAAATATGTCGTGGAACCTTGTATCGAGGAATCGCAATAAAGCTCATCTACCTATTGCCAACAACTTGCTTAGTATTATGGAAATGGGTTAACCTTCCTGATCCTCCGAATCTTGCCAGAATGATGTAAAAGAAACTCGTATATCTCCTGAAGACTATTACCAGATAAGGTAACGTCGCCTTGGGTATGGCTTCCCGCCACATCGTCGTTCCTATGCCCGCAATGCGCTCCCGAGGCTGGATGACGTTCTAGCACTTCATAAAAGTTGTCGTCTATCAAAAGAAAAAGCGTTATCACCTCAGTCGTGGTCGCCACGGCGTCTGAATTCCGAAGACTACCGAATGTATCCACGTCCCAACTCAAACGCTCTGCGAAGGAGAAAGCCTCGTCCGCTCGACGCGATGCCGGGACGCAAACGCGACAGAGGTCCAGGATGTACCGGAAGAGAACCACGGTGGGCTCGCCCCTGTTGGCGATTACCTCGCAGAAGTACGCCATGCTGCTTGTGATCTCTGCGGCCAGCACGGACGGGATCTGCTCGCGACTTCCACCCGATTCGGCGTGGGAGTCCGCGAGATGCTCGAGACCGCCCAGGATCGATTTGACCTTCTCCAAGAATTCGTGATATGCATCCTTTTCCATACGACAGAGCCAGGCGAAGTATCTGACGAGTACACGAGTTGCGTCGACGCAGGTATAGTCGTGCCACTTTATTCCAAGGCCGTAGAATGGGGGAGTGTTGAATTCTCGGCACAATATTTTCGGGCTGTTGAAGTCGTAACTGTCTCCCTCCTGTTCCGTGGTACCTAGAATGCCATGTTAGAGGATTGGTTCTAGGACACAGGAATCAGTCTCAGTTGGCTAACCTTTGTCTTTGAGAAAGGCTCCGCATTGGGCCACTGCGAAGGGTATCCTTCCGTAGATGGAAAGCTCGCCGTCCTGACTTCTTAGGGAGATGGGTACAGAAGCGCGGCGAAGACTCTCTGTCAGCTCAACCCCTAACGTTCTTTCACTGTCATTGCCGTAGTAAAGGGGTTCAGCGAAGCTTATGTATTTTCGTTCTTGACGACGTCGTCTCCACCAGGAACGTTTCTCGACAGGCTGTGCCACGAGTTCACCACATACCAGCAGATCGAAATCTTCTCTGAAGGATGACAAGGCAGGAACCTGATTACGTGTGGAGACTGATTCGCTCTCGAGCGTCGACTTCCCAGACCCTTGAATAATACTCGCCTCGAGGGACTTGGCTGAGGATACCGTGTTCACGGAGAACGACTCTTCTTCTGAAGAAGGCAGACTTGGTTTCTGGATGTTAGTATCGCGGAGGAGTCTCACAACGGAAGACTCCCCATCTGGGCTTTCTGCCCTAGTCGGTCCTTTTTGATTTGAATCATGTGCCTCACTCCGGAAGTAATCTTCAAGTGCCGTCGAGAGCGACCCAGCACCATTGTATAGATCATCGCCGGCCTCGTCTGGAAGGGCTAGACGGGGCAAGACAGGCCCCGAGGGGAGAGTTTGCTGCGCTGTCGTGGGTGTCGCTTTATTCGTGACCCTTGACGATGAACTTTCCGCGTCCGAGTTTTCCAAGCTCTGCAGAGTAAGATCCTCGAATCTCGTCTCCGCATCGTCACAGACGGTCTCGGCATAGCTTGTGAGCCCATCTAGGTAACGCTGCAACATGAAGAAGCGGGAGTCGTCATCCAAGGTGCCCGGGAATTTCGCTTGAAGCTCGGCGATGGCTTCAAGAATTCGAGCTGTGCCGTCCACCAGATCCTTGGAGTCCTTGACTAACGCGTCGGTGTTTCCCTTAATCACCGTCGTGTCTTGCTGCACGTCGCGGAGGGCCGTCCTGAGAAAAGATAAGCACGCGCCCCAAGTCACTTGAAGGCTTTCTCACAGGGAAATCATCTCTACAGCGAGATTCAACGTCGACTTGTGGGCTTCCAGGGTTGACCGCAGTCTAGCCATGTCCCCTCTTCCGAAAGCGACCCATCGGGCTCCCTTCTGGACTCGGGAGCCTTCATGATCTCGTATACAGCGGTCTACCTCGCCGACGACATGTGTACAGTTGGAGATGACGCCAGATAGCTGCTCCTGCAGGCTGCTGGGCAGCGGTCGCGATGATGTCTCTATGTCGTCGGCAATGATTTCGAGCACGCCTTTCACAGCTAACAGTTCCCGGGTGACGCCGTCAATTTCATTCCTTGAGTCGCGGACATCGCGAACAAATGTCGTCAATTTGAAGGCCAGACTGGTGATTGTGCCTGCTAGGCCGACACTGGCGGTTGTTATAGAGCTTGATGACCACGGCAGTCAGTCGCTTCCCCTCACAGCCTTGCGTCTATGGGACCGGATATCCGGGCGAGACATACAGAGGGTCCATCACGGCGGTGGCACATGTGTGCTTGACGGGACATGCGACGGATCGAGGTGGGACGGAATGAATCACATCGAGCAGGGAGTAGCTCGTGGTAGATTGTGGGTGATCGTGAATGTTTTCCCATGCTGACCTGTGGTCAAGTATCTCCAACGTGACTCCCGTCTCACAGTGTCATTGGTCGCTGGGAGTCGGGACTGGCAACGCCGGGATTCGGGCAAATCCCTTATTGATCCGTCTTGCGGCACGTAACCCCACGACCACGTCCAGTATTCCAGGCCTCATTGGGGCGCTGGTGGCTTACCCGTGCCGCCCTCTGGATGAGCTTTAAGGTGGTTGACCCATGCGTATTATCACAACACTAGTACTCCAGCCTGTGCTATCTCTCAATGAAATAAATAGATTTCAACAACAGTCGAACTAGTAGTATTGATAAGCTCAGCCTGGTTAACTTTCAAAACCTGTTAGATCTGACTGGCAGTTGGCGTGCATCATAAGTTCTATGAAAGCTGCAGCAAAGTATCCGGTGGCAGAGGCAACGCCGGATTGCTGGATTCACATCACATCAAACATTTTCACAGTCCACTTTAAAAACGGAAATCTCTTGCTTGGCAGATGTACAGACATAACGCATAACCATACATAAACGTAAAACTCAAACGGAACTGGGCCATTTGATCAATGTGCCCATCGAAACAGACGGCTTCCCAACTAAACGCCAGCTCCATGCCCTGCCACATCGCAAAACCGCTATCCTTGTCCTCCTCTCCGGACCAAGCTTACAGGAAACGAAATCGCATGCTCAACGTCTCGGTATTAGCGGGCTGGAAAACATGTTCGATATCTCGGGACAGGGATGAGTGCGGCCTGGCAGATCCAGGCAGAAATGGATTTTTTCGAGACAAGTCGGCCTCAATACATTAAGGCGCGAGGGTATCTGATACATGAAAGAGTGTGAGGCTGTTGCCCTCAAGGACAGACAGGGAGGTACTTCGTGTGCTATTACTCGTGTAGTCGTATTTTTCGTGGTTGGTAGGTTGTCTCGTGACGATTTACAACTCATCACGGACATGCTGAACGGTCTCCTTGACGGCGTCCGTAACGGCAGAGGCGGCAGACGAAGCCGTGGCCGAGGCAGCACTGGCAAAGCTGGCAGCCTGAGCAGCACCGGTAGCATACGCAGCCTGAAGGCGAGCGAGGACGCTTTCGGAGAACGTGGGCTCCTTGCCGACGAGCAGCTCGGAGATGAGCTTGTTGACATCTTCGTATTGCTTGCCGATGACAGATGTTGCCTGAGCAGCGTACTCGCCAGCACCGCTGTATACGCTGTCGTACCAGGCAGTGGGAGTTGGCTTGCCGTAGATCTGGATGCTGACTTGGTTCACGACAGCGTCCCAAGAGTCGACGACACCCTTCTCGATAGCCTGCGCGGCGTCAACCACTTCCTGAACACCCGCGGAAACGGAGTCGCTAATGATGGACGCAGCAGCACCGAGTCCGTCACTAACGGCCGACGCCACGGCAACGGCCTCCTTTTGCGCCCCGGATGCAACCGCATCAGCTGAGCGAGTAGCGACTGAGGCAACAGACGACGCGGTGCCGGCAACGTCAGTTGGGGTGGCAGTGGCAGTGGCCTGGCTCAAAGCAGAGCCGGCAGCCGCCAAGAAATCAGAGTATCGAGCGTGGGCAACTCCCAGGCCAGCGTAGTAGTTGAACTTGGCCTGCTCGAGGAGTCTCTCAACGGTGGAAGTAGGGGTGGCAGTGGCGAGTCCAAGGGCAATCTTGGCGCTCTCATACTGTTGCTCGGCCCACAAACGCCCTTCATTCAGGCGCTGGGAGGCGATGGCCTCAACACTGGCCCAATCGTAAGAAGGGGCGGCCTTCGCGGTGGGTGTTCCGTAGATGCCCTTGGATGCAGCCTTGATCGCCTCATCGAAGCGAGAGCTGGCAGATGCCATGGCAGCAGCATATACCCCGGAAGCTGATGATAAAACCTTCTCTTGGGCAGGCTTCGGTGTACCGTAGATCTTGGCGGAAACAGCGGCCTTGGCAGAAGAATACTGGTCGGAAGCCTGGGAGATCGCGTTGGAGTAGGCCTCATGAGCGCGAGACGAGATGCTCTCGGCGTCAACATCCTCGTCCAGGATCGGTCCCTTGCTGGATACGGATTGAGCAGCAGCACCCAAGAAGGCGGGCTTGACTGATTCAGTCTCGGCAGAGACGGGCTTGTCCTCCATAGACTCCACAATGATCTCCTCCTCAATCTTCTCGCCTGGGACAGCATTCTCCTCGTCACCAGCAGGCGAGGTGCCTGAGTTGTCGACGACAATGCTCTGATCCTGGCCGGGAAGAACAGTGGAGGCCAGATCCGGATGAGACTCGGTGCTGGATGAGCTGCCAGCCACGACACTAGAGGCCTCGCTAGAAACCTGACTGGCGGTGCTGCTGATGGACTCAGATGCGACTGAAGTGGCGCTGCTGAGACTCTCGCTGAGTTTGCTGGCAGCGCTGCTCACGGAGCTTGCGGGACCGTCGGAGCCAAGGTCACTGGCAGGAGATTCGTCCTCAATTACGCTGGCAGCGGACTCAAGAGGGTCCTCGTTGGTTGATGTGGCAGATGATGTGGCGGAGGCGGCATCCGAGGCACGGCTCTCTACATTCTCTGCAGCCAGGCGCGCTGTCTCGCTGTCAAAGTTGTCGGAGGTGTCCTGAGCTGCCAGCTTCCACAGGCCAACCTGCTTAAGCCTGGCGAGCTCTTGCGCAGCAGATTGGGCGACCGCCATACCGGAGTCTTCGATCTCGTTAGATGCCGCACGTGCTTCCTCGAGACCTGGGTGAGTAATGATGAGCTTCTTCAAGTCACTCATCCACTCGGCGAAGCGGTCCTTCAACTCATGGTACTTGGCCCAGTCCTTGTAGGTAATGCCGTCCATCCAAGCCCACTTCATTCCGATCTTCTGAAGTGCCAGATCTCTAATGCTGTCAAGGATCTTGAAGTGGCTGTCGGCAGCCTGAGTGACAGCAGCCTCGATCTCGGCCTCGTAGTCATCCTTCCAGGAGCGAATCTGCTGGGCCTTCTCCTTGACAGCTAGGCCCGCCTTGCGGACGGCTGCAACCAAATCGTCGTGAGCAGCCACAGGGGCGTCCACTGACTTGTGAACGATCTTGATGATCTGCTTCTGCAGAGCGTCTACCTCAGCCTTGGCAGTTTCTTGCAGCTCAACAACAAGTGCCTTGCCCTTGGTGTGTGCGTTCTCCTTGATGACGCGCTGAGAGATTTCCTCGACTTGGTCCTCGATTTCTCTAGCGCCTTCGTCGGCGGCCTTGGCAAACTTGTCCTGCCAGCTGCGCAAGTCCTCCTCGACAGTCTCGCGGGCGGTCTTGCGCATGTCGGACTCATCCTCGGACGGGGGAGGCGCAACGACCTGCTGTGCCTTGTCCTTTACGTCTTCCGCAATTTGCTCTGCAACCTGGGAAGCATCGGGGATAGGAGTGCTTTCGATCTTGGTAGAGACCTTCTCGCTGGCGACCGAAGAGGCTGAAGAGGCAATCGAGGATGCGGATGAAGCCGGTTTCGTGAATGAGGAAGCCTTAGCAGTGGCGCTATAGCTGACCATCAGTATACGGATCGCATGTTTACTATCCTAACTAGAGTTCTTACCTCTCGGAGACATTCTCGAGCGACCCCTTCGTCTTGTTCTTGTAGCGGCCAAGACGCTGTCCGATTCTAGCCAGCTGGGGCTCGACATTCTCAACGTACAAGACGCGAACCTGAGGCCAGACCGTAGAATCGAGGAACACGAAGGTCTTGTTCCAAGCCCAGTAGGCGGTGGGAACAGCCGTCTCGGTGGTGAATTGAGAGGCGGCGTCGTAACCTTGAGCGGCGTAGGGCTGGACGAACTGGTATGAAGGCAGGACCACGTCGTGGTAGGTCTGCAGGGCGTTGGTACGCGCAATGTCGTAGTAGGGGCCTACTACGTCGGAAACCTTGGCGACGTGCGGCGCTACTGCCTGATCGTACTTGTCCTGAACTTGCTTCTGGTAGACAGCCAGCTGGGGCTGGATGTTCTTGTCCCACTGGGCCTGGCCGTAGGCCTGGGCCTGGAGGACGCGGGGAGCGCCATGCTTGGTGACGTAGGCCTTTGTCGGCACAATGACACGCTCGTTGGCGATGTTGTAGTAGGGAGTGGCCTTCTCGACGTAGGGGGCGGCGTAGGTGTCGTAGTAGGGCTCGAGGTGGGGTGATACGGCGTGTTTCAGTTGGAAGTAAGGCTTGCAAATTTTGGGCGAGGTTTCGTCACAGGCATCGAGGGTGGCCGGACAGCGGAAGAGGATTGAAATGATGGAATACCAGGTCAAGATCCTGAAGCAAAGAAGGGATGTCAGTTGAGGCTATCGTGACTATGGAGCTGGCTGCCCTCTGCTCCATCGTGGTGCATTGTCACCATGACGACAGTGGGGGCCGACCAGATGCACAAGCACAAACAAATGCACGACATACCTGGCAGCGACGCTGAAAGTGCGACCGATGAATGTCGGGCCCTTCTTGGGAGTTGTCCTTCTCTTGACCACTGCGTGTCCGTTCATCTTGCCGTTTATCTTGCCATTCGGGGCTTTTGGGAAGCCGTTGGAGTAGGCACTGGAAGCCTCCATGGTGGAGGAAGTGCTGGCGTGGAAAAACCAGGCGGCTCGGACGGGTGTGACGTGATTTGGGTGCTCGTGCTTTGCTTCGGTGCTGCAGAGGCGGAGAGACGCACTCGTTGATGGCGATGCACTACTCTAAGATACCTCAAGCTGGAGTCAAACAGTCGTCAGCAGAAGTTTGGACGGAAAGAAAGCAGAATTCGAGGTGGTCGTGGTCGAGGGTAGAAAAAGGGAAAGGAAGAAAAAAAAAAGCCAGAGATAACAGGCCGGAGGGTGCAGCAGCAGGAGGAGCTCTGACGATTTTCAGATGTTCCAGTCCCAGCCGAGTCGCCCCCAGTGAGCTTGGCTTGGCAATGGCTAGGCCTCAAGCTGCAGGGCAGGGGACTTGGGAACCACTAAGGATACCGGACCACTCGGGGTAAAGGGTTTGGGACTTTTTGGGGCCGCTCTTGGAGGAGTTTAGAGGCCGGATTGTGGAGCTAGGAGCTCATGATCTACCTTCAGAATGGCGATGGATATGCTTCAGGACGCCAGGAAAGGGAGAGCCGGAGCTGCTGGAAGTGAAGGGGGGAGCTGGCGGGTCGGGTTGTCGGCGAAAATCTGGAGAGGAGGAGGATGAGAGAAGAAGAAGAAACAAAAACCACAAAAAAATGGTGTTGTGATGCAGGAAAAGGCAGTTTCCTGTTGTTCTGCTGCTTCGATTTGCCTGACCTCACCTTCCACCTTCCACCTTCCAGGCCAAGTTTCCTGCCTGTCATTCTCCCCTGGAGCAGCACACAGACCAAGTAGATGTACCCTTCTGGTGTCGTCCTCATACAAAAGGAACCTTCCATTGGGTGCTTACCTAAGTAAGACATCCTTTAGCGCCAATCCTTAGCCTGCTTAGCCGTCTGAGGTGCGCTGAACGACAACCCATGAATGTCTCACCAACGTCATCGGCTTCAAAAGCTGTTGCTGTCGCCATCCACCGCCGCGTCCAACCATGCCACCTCAGCCAACCACACCCCCGCCATCGAGATCAAGCAATCCTGTATCTCGGTGCACTATTACGGATTGACGCGTGCCCGCGTCTGGCCCTCGCACTCGACCTGCCTGCTAGCTTGCAGTCTGTCCTCTACGAATAGACTGCTGTTCTTTCTCATCTCTCTCCCTCGGCGAGCCGCCCTCGCTTCCATGTGCGTTGCCATCCGTCCCATGTCATCGACATATCTTTCCGTCGACCGAGACCATCCAACCAACCCTGCCGACGGAGGCACAGACTCGCTTGAATGATTGGCAGAAACCTAGGAAACGAGCCACAACACCCTCCGAAACACTTGACATGCCCGGACGAGGGGTCCAATCAAGCGGGTCCAGAAGACGTCCTAGTAATGCAGCATTGCATCGTTGGCACGCAAGTGTGGCTCACCAGTTGACGACTTGACCTTGGTGTTATCGCTGTCGGCATGAATATCTCGACTGGTCCATGTGACGATGATGATCCGTGCCTACCTGCCTCCAGCTGCTTGCTGTTTGCTGCTTGCTGGTAGAGGCAAAGGAACAGTCATCCAAATGGGGATTTATGCTTCGAGACTGCCTGCTGTGCACATCTATCTTTAGGGGGCTGTAGCTGACTGTGCGACCTGAATCCATTGACATGTGCGTATCCGTAGCATCCAAGGTATTCTGATCATGTCGCGAGACCGGAGCTCAACAGTTTCTCTTAGGTGTCCATACCTTACGCCTTTGTTAGATGGCGAGCCATTTCAACGGTCCTACCCGCCGGTCATTCTCATTTATGGATTGTCTGGGGAAGGGAGCTTTTTCTAAGGTGTGCCGAGTAAACGGATCCAGAAGCTGCACAAAGACGCAATGACATAATGATGGCAATCCGGTATCTTTCCACCAATTTGCAAGCTCCTAATTGGCCGCTCCGAGAAGATGTTGGTCACGTGCATTTCAATCGAAGTGCACCCTGAATGGAAGGCTGAATGGAAGGAGAGAGGAGCGGACCCACTTGCGGTCTTGGCTCGGAGCGGTCCCGCAGTTTATCCGAACGGTGACAGCCCCACACGACCCGGACCCCTGCTCGGACTGCGCTGACACCGAATGCCCAGGACTGGATTGAGCCAGGGCCTTTCGAAACCTAGGTAGGTATCCAGTGGCACTTTGGACCTGAACTTTCGACTGTCTCTGGCGCAAGGGATTTCCGTTGATTGATTTCACAACTACTACTAGAGCCGGGTGGCTCTGCGAGAGCTTTAGCCTGACGATTCCATGATACCCATTCAGCATTCTTGAATCTCTTACGACCTTACGGAGTGCTTCTTTGCTACCTCGACATCCCGCAATCTGTCCACAGCAGCTTGCCGTCTTCCGCTGCAGCGATTTCGTATCCGAATCCAGTCGAGTCGAGTCGAGTCGAGTCGCCTTCACGTGTCCGTCATATTCCCAATCCGATCCGACGACCTCAACACTCCAGATACTCGGTCGGCCTACAGACATTTCGATTCCATCGGTCGGCTACAGATACCCATGCGTCCCTGCTTTCCTACATCCTGCTGTTCTGCAACGGGGTTTAGTCCCCCGCCGCTGTCGTCGACGACAAACCCATCGATATGAACGACCCCGCGATGGAGCCTCTCATGGCCGCCGATGCCGTCGCCCACTCCCGCCGCCGTGCCTCGGCCTCGAAAGCCGCACCTACGGGTCACGACTCTGTTAAGCCCCGGTCAAACGCCAACGATGCCGGCGCACTCGATCCAGATACCTGCCGTATATGCAGAGGCGAGGCGACTGCCGAAGAGCCGCTCTTCTACCCATGCAAATGCAGTGGCAGCATCAAGTTTGTCCACCAGGACTGCTTGATGGAGTGGTTGTCGCATTCCCAGAAGAAACATTGCGAGCTTTGCAAGACTCCCTTCCGATTCACCAAGCTCTACTCGCCGAAGATGCCCAAGACCCTACCCACCCACGTCTTCGTCGGCCACATGGCCAAGTACCTCTTCAGAAACGTCCTCGTCTGGCTGCGCGCTGCCTTGGTCATTAGCGTATGGCTCTGCTGGCTGCCCTATCTGATGCGCTCCGTCTGGGCCTTCCTCTTCTGGGTCAGCGACGAAGGACTGGGTAGCGGCGCTTTGTGGAACAGCTCCAATGCGACTGTCAGTCGAGGCGTTTCGGTAGCGTTCTCCGTCGCTTCGTCCAACGTCTGCCCGGCATCGCCTCTCCTGGAACCAACAACGACACCGGCAAACCTGGGTGGCATGTTGAAGGATATGATTCAGGGCCAGGAGCTTCCCTTCAGCCGCTCTTTCCATGGCGTCAACATCACGACAAATGATTCCGTCTCAGCCGCCCTCTTGAGAATGCTGCTGGGCTCAATCACGTCTTCGGGATCTGGCAACTCCACCTCAACAACCGGGAGCAGCGATCCCGTTTTGGACCGTCACCCTTCTCTTCTGAGTGGTGTGTCGTGGTTGCGCAACTTGACCCGGTATCCGGTGGTAAACCGAACCGTTATCGGTGTGTTGGAGGGCCAGATAATCACTATTCTGGTCATCATCTCCTTCATCCTTGTCATCCTGGTTCGCGATTATGTGGTGCAACAGCAGCCAGAGATTAACATGAGAGCTGCGTTCGCCGCAAATGACAATGCTCATGCCCAGGCCCAGCCACAAGGCGAGCAGGATCATCATCACGACCATGACCACGACCACGACCACGAGGACGATCACGAAGACGATCACTTCATGTTTGATGACCCAACAGGAGCACATGACAGCGACGACGATGACCTCGAGTCAATGACGGGAGGGCACTACGGTTCTGAAAATGACATGCCTTCCATGACTTGGGATGATCAAGACACAAACGCCGACGTGCAGGCGCCTACTCAGCTGCGACCGCTAGGGAACTTCTTCCCACGCGCCTATGATAGTGCCGAAGCCGACTTCGACTTCAACAAACCGCTCGAGCCAACAAACAAGGATGCGCAAACCCCGGTGGCAACCGTTCATGAGTACCTCCGAATCTACCGTCAAGCCGGCGGCGACCCTGAAAAGATTCTTAAAATTATCGAAGAAGAGGACCTCGATGACACCCTTGGCTATTGGGCAAGGATCACGCGGTCCATGATGGATAAGAACAACAGGGATGCTGGTGCTGGGCAGTTCAAGGGGGGATCCGGCTCTGAAGGGCCCTCTCAGTCTGGAGAATCGCAGTCATTGTCACAACCCGCAATTCAACTACCTGCGCCGTCTACGCCACAGTTCTCCTGGCCGCCCAATTCAACAGCTGAGAGCAGCACCAACGGCGACGCCAAAGGAAAAGGCAAGGAGGTTCGGTCCGAAATTGGCCCGGACTTCACGTTCGGCTCCGGCGGTGATGGCGCAAGCAGCTCTCGTGCGCCTTCTTTCCAGAGTCCTCTCCGCCCTCGAGCCGTGTCGGACGGCCCGCAGCGTAACGAAAACATCAACCCTCTTGCCAATAACAGCTGGTCCTTTTCCAACTTGAACACAGAGTCGCCGGCACAGCCTCAGGAGCCGACCCCCATTCCCCGTCCTGCGCCACAATTCCGCCAGTATGGATTTGTCGGCAATGCCACGCCGCCTTTGAGTACTTCCGCCGAGTACGGCTCTGATAGGGACCCCGGACTCGAACGCGTTCACACTCCTCAAGAGAACGACACCTTGGATGGTCATGGCGATGAGATGGCCCCACTGGCACCAGACTTCCTTGAAGCTAGGGAAGACAATGACATTGTCGCGGATATCGTTGACGCCCATGGTGAGATCCAGGAGGCCGACAGCGGACGAGCACCTCAACGTCCACCGCTGCAACGTGGTGTCATGGACCGAGTCGCCGATTTCATGTGGGGCGATATCGAAGTCCGAGAGATTGACATTGGCCGTGATGGAGACGAAGCTGTCCATGAGCATGATGATACAAGCGATGACGACGACGATTTTGATGATTTGGACGACGACGACGATGAAGTGGAGCAGGATCGAGAAGTTGTCGAAGCTGCCGTTGCTGCCGGATTGGATCCTGAAGCCATCGACGACGCTGAAGACTTCGAGGGCATTATGGAGTTGATCGGTATGCGCGGTCCTATTGCTGGCCTTTTCCAAAACGCCATCTTCTGTGTCGTCCTCGTCTCTGTCACCATCTTCGTTTGCGTTTTCCTGCCTTACAACTTGGGCCGAGTCAGCGTATGGGCCGCCATGAATCCCATGCGTCTTGTGCGCATGCTTTTCAGCTTGACCAAGTTCATTCAGGATCTGGCCGTCGGCATCATGGCTGGACTTTCCAGCCTGGTGCTCTTCTTCGTATACACCTCGGGCCGGATGATGGGCTTCCCAGCTGGAAACGGAGTTGGCGTGCTGTCCATGAAGACTTTCAACCTGTTCACCAGCGCCTCTAGCCGAGTTCTCGAAAGTCTCACCAGTGAACTACCGATAATCTCCACTACCGAAATGCAAAACTTCTCCGCCATCAGCCACGAGGCTTTGCTCAACTTCAAGACCTACCTGTCCGGCACTTTCGTTTCCGTTGGCGACGTTCTCAACTCTATCTTTGACCGCGATCTCATTACCAATGGCAAGTACGTTGCATCGTTGACGGCCAACGCGACAGCTTACGCCTGGACCGCCGCCCGAGACGTCCCTATCAGCGTGCTCAACCCAGGTTCATGGGTCATCAGCTTCAATGTGCCCGAGCCCACGACATCTGTCAACCCTGCGTTGTCCTACTGGTCAGGAACGGACCGCTTCTGGGCCATTCTTTGCGGCTACTTCACCTTCTCGGCCATCAGCGCCTTGTACCTGCGCAGAGGCAGGCCGTTTTCCACTGGACAAACTGGCCAAGAGTGGGAGGCTTCATTGATCGATCTGTTGAACCAGGCTAGCGGCGTTATGAAAGTCATCCTAATCATCAGCATCGAGATGTTGATCTTCCCCTTGTACTGCGGTCTCCTCCTGGACGCCGCCTTACTTCCGTTGTTCGAGGATACTACTCTGAAGTCGCGCGTTGCGTTCACCATCAACTATCCGCTGACATCGATATTCGTGCATTGGTTTGTCGGCACGGGTTACATGTTCCACTTTGCGCTCTTCGTCTCCATGTGCCGCAAGATCATGCGCAAAGGTGTTCTATGTAAGTTGGCTGATCACACATCGCTTGAGTAGTTGCTAACAATTGCCAGACTTCATCCGCGACCCGGACGACCCTGAGTTCCACCCTGTGCGCGACGTACTGGAGCGCAACGTCATGACACAACTGCGGAAGATACTTTTTTCGGCTTTTGTCTACGGCGCCCTGGTCATCATCTGCCTCGGTGGAGTCGTTTGGGGTCTCTCTCTCACGCTTCCCAGTGTCCTGCCAATTCACTACTCATCCAACGAACCGGTGCTGGAGTTCCCAATCGATCTCCTTTTCTACAACTTTGCGATGCCTTTGGCTGTAAAGTTCTTCAAGCCGAGCGACGGTCTGCACGCCATGTATACCTGGTGGTTCCGCAAGTGTGCTAGAGGACTTCGATTGACTTGGTTTTTGTTCGGCGAACGACGCATCGACGAGGAGGGCATCCTAGCCCTGCAACCCGGTTCCGAGTATGAAGCTTCGCCGTGGTGGAGGCGGTTGTTCCTTGAGGTCAACAAGCAGAATAAGGTGGTACCAAAGACGTGGGAGGACACTTTCGAAGGCGGTACAGCCAAGCCGATGCCTGCAATTACGAATGACCAAATGGTCATCCTGAGTCTCAAGAAGGCCCGCCTCGTAGATTCGGGGCAGCTCATCGAGGATGGCTGCTTTGTGCGCACGCCTGCCTCTGACCAGGTTAAAATTCCCAAGGGGAGGAGGGTATTTATGCCAATCACGGAAGGCAACACTCGCTTGGATGGCAAAGACGACTCTCCCGACACGGATCTTTACTCGACCGACCAGTACCAACCTGTCTACATTCCTCCACACTTCCGAGTACGAGTCTTCCTTTTCATCATGTTCATCTGGATTTTCGCTGCTGTCACTGGCGTATCCTTCACCATTGTGCCGCTTGCGTTCGGTCGCAAGATGTTCAAGGTTCTCATCCCTGCGCACATCCGGACCAACGACATTTATGCTTTTAGCATCGGGATTTACATCTTGGGTTCCGCAGCCTATTTCCTCTTCCACGCCCGTTCCATCTACAGGAAGATAGCGGCTTGGGCCTCGTCAGCGTTGCAAACGATTTGGCATAGCGATGCACCGATGCGTTTCGCGCTTGTTGGCATTCAGGCCGCCAGGCTTGTCTACGCATACACCATCCTTCTGGTCATTTTCCCCTTGATTTTAACCGCTCTCATGGAGCTGTACTGTCTCATTCCTCTCCATACCTACATGTACCCGCCGACGCCGTACATCATTGAGGCCAACAGCGGTGGCCAGTTCAAGGACGGTATCGTCGTACCGAATCAGCACACTGCGCGAGTCATTCAGTCCTGGACTCTTGGCTTGCTGTATGTGAAACTAGGTGCGCGAGCCATCACCAGCTTATACGAAGGCACTCGAATGGCCCAGGCCGTCCGAGCCGTCCTCCGCCGTGGCTGGCTCCAGCCTGACGTACTCGTTCTCACTAGGGCCTTCGTTGTCCCTGGTCTGCTCGTTGGTGGCCTGGCGATCTTCGGGCCTCCCTATGCCATCAGCTGGATGGAATCGCATGGCGTTCTCGGTACGCCTGTTCCGGCACCTCACGAGCTGAAGATGATATACCGACTGTCATACCCGGCCGCGGCTTTCAGCGCCCTGGCCGCGATGGCCTTCTGGAGCATCGTCGGCGTCTTCAACAACTGGAAGGCGCGCATCAGAGACGAAGCCTACCTTATTGGGGAGAGGCTGCATAACTTTGGTGTTGGAGCAGCCGGCGTGGCGGGAGCTCGTGGGCCTTGGAGAGTCAGGGGCAGGTTGTAATGGAACTAGACGGATTCATTGATTCCTAGCATGAGATAGATGAAAACATGGGTTTCGGCGAATGGCGTCGTTACGTGTAGGTACACATCGGGCTCGCAGCCCTTATATAGTTTTCAGTTGCGCCAGTGTGTCGCAGCCAGAGTTGATAGCAAACATTTCTTTAGTCCCAAAGTCCAACAGGAAGAGGGTTTTTCTTGGGCCAATTTCTTCTAGGGCGTGTAAGTGACGTGTAAAGCGTAAGGTGTTTCATTGCTCATTATCCCTATTCTGGTCTTACACCCGCTCTCAACAACGCTAACGTCCTGCTGATGAGATCTCGATGTCTCATCTCCTACCGTCAATTCCTCGGCCAACAGACTTTTTAGAAGAACAACGCAGCTCCTCCGAGAGCTGCACCCAAAGAGACCATCAAACTGCCCACCACGCCCGCGCTGAAAATGCTGCCAGCCAAGCTAGGCGCCGCATTCGGGGTCGTGGCAGCGGTGCTCGCTGCCGGGGAGGCGGTCCCCGAAGGTGTAACGGTGGCGGAGAGGAGGGCCGTCAGGGAAGGGTCGGAGTCGAAGTCGACCGTGATGGAGGCGTTTTTGCATTCCGAATGGGTCGGCGCGGCGCCGGTTACGAAGTTGACGGGAGCGCACTGGGAAGCATCATGTCAGCACTTGCATCACAAGACCCCCTTCGTGACGATACGACGGTCGTCCAGAAGAGGTATCGGGATGTTTTCACGTACAGCATACAGAAGTCCGTCGGGCGAATGCGCCACGACGCTGACGACGCCCTTCTTACCCGCGAAGTCGGCGGGGACGGCGACCTGGGGCTCGCAGAAGGCGCCGAGGCCGGTCTGGAGCACGATCGGGAACGCCTGCGTCCAGCCGCCGGCGGCGGTCTGGTCGAGGGTGGCGCGGAAGAGCCACTTGGTCTGCGGGTGGCCGTTCTCCATGCCGACGCTGTCGCCGGCGACGTGGAAGTCGGTGGTCGGGGAGGAGGAGGAGGCCGCGTAGCCGCCGCAGGGGGCGGTGCCCTGGTTCTCGTCGCTGTCGCCGAGGGGTTTGGGGATCGTGAGGGAGAAGTGGGCCGTTGCTGTCGTTGCGGCGAGGAGGGGGAGGAGGAGGCGGGTCATTTTGGCGGTTTGTGGTGGGTTGATGTTGTTGGTGTTTTGGTCGAATTTGCGCACGATGGGAGAGGTGTGTTGGAGACAGCTTTGTTTGGGCGAAGGTGTTGAACAAACGTGCCGGGATTAAGAACTTGGGATATGGCGGCTTATGAATGAGCAATGGCCGGAGTAAGTTGCAACGGTCGTGAGGCTAGCTTGACCAATGCCGTCTGGAAGGGGTTTAGGTGTAGGATGGGAAGCTTTTCTGGAGTTTGTTCCGTTTGGACTGGGATCACATGTGTACCACGGGCTATCTACCAGCGATATTGCCGGGTGACAGATCTACTTTTCACTCTGACGGTGGGCGTATGCATTCTTTCCGAATGATGACATTCTAAGAAGCGAGCAGAGGTATCCGTCTCCATATCGCCCTCCACTCACCACGTTTTCGGCACTCGGCACAGGATGAGCTGCAGCGTTTCTGACCATATTGGAAGGTGTCTGCTGCTGGGCGGCAGAATCAGAATCATAAGCATGAACAGAAAACTTGCTCACTGCAAGATCCCAACTAGCTCGGAGCTTCACGTCGATGGGTGTCACTTACACCCCTGGCGATGCGGTTCCCCGGAAATGTTTGCTCGGGAAGTACGGGGTGAACCTGGTGCTCTCACCTGCGTACCTTCTTTGTAACCGCAATGAGATCCCAGAAAGACGAAATCGAGCCACGATTCAAGCATTTTGCCGTCTCGTTTCCCAACTCAAAAATGTGAGGTGAGGATAACGATATCAGAGGCGGTTGCGGGGAGGCTGATGTGGGTGCTGGTGTAGGGATGTTGGTTTAACCTTAGTCGGATTAGCTCGAGATGCGCGCAGGGGCATCGTTGGCTTTAGGTGTGGGGGATGAGCCAATCAGACGACGGGGATGCAATGTCACTGAGAGGTTTTGAGCAAATTGTGGCGTTGGCGCGGGCTTTTCGATCTCGGGGTCCCCCTTGTCGTCATGTATGGAATAAGGCTTCTTTTGGGTGAGGGGAGTGAGTAATCTGCGGTTGTGAGCATGTTCTTTGGAGGAATGGGCTTGGGTGAATACCTTGATGGAAAATAGACTTGGCGAGTGATGAGATGTTTGACGGTATCAGTTGAAGCATGTTAAACGAGATGAAGAGTGTGAGATGCGAGTATCCGTAGGCTGTTGCTGTGAGACAGTTCATGAGATGGTGTAAGTGTCAGGCGTGACTGACGGCTATCGGGCCAACCGTTCGTACTATTCGATACGACGGGAAACAAAACACTGGAGAGCAAATGACAAAAAGCGAAAACGGGAAGAAAAGCCGATGGTGTTCGCGGGATGAGGTTAACCCGTTGGTGAAGACAGGCCATTCCTGTCATATCAAGAACTTTGACATTACCCCCGGGTGATCCTTACACGAAGCGTTGAATCCTAAAGGGTGAAGAAGTCGGATGCATTCTGCGCTACCAATAGCCGAGTCCTAAACTTGCGCATCCGCGCCGCCATGCCACTGCCACACTTCGCTCTGTCATCTTTGCGTGTGCTGCCCAGACGTAGTGAACTTGCTCAATACACCTCACTAATACAGCTGCTGATCTCTCAAACGCCGGTGCTGTCACGGTTTGAGATCTGAGAGATTCCTGTCACTCTGATTTGAATGCCAGTATGGACATGACGAATACTTGGACGAGATGATTTTGTCTTCTTGGTGTTTTGTATGACCTGGCGCCTACCTCTGCTTGTCAACGCTGTCATACCCGAGCCGGCCGATGAATCCTTAACGGGGAGAACGAATCTCACAATAACGCTGGATATATCGATTCGCCGACCTTGAACACACACTAGACTTCGATCTCGACCGACACGGGGCATCCTTTCGGGGGCGGAGGCTCTATCATATACCGTCGCAATGAGCCACAATCATGGAGGAAGCGGTGGCGGAGGAGGAATGGCGATGGGAACGGCCCTATTCCAAGAGACGAACATACACCTGGCCCAGTCGTTTTGGTACATAATCGCCGGCGTCGTCGGATTCCTAGGGATTATCCGCGGCGTCAACTACCTCGAAGGCCGGAGGAGGTGAGTCTTCTTTACTTTCCTCTGCGTCTGACGAAAGCTTACTAGCTGAATAGACTGAAGAGATGCCGATCAGAATCGGTCCAATTCCCAACGCGACCGTCGAATCGCATAACGCAGATATGGGCAACCGCGACGGCACTCGTGCGCGAGGCGGGCCATCCGCAATTATACATCCCCTTCAAGGGCCTCCGCTGGGCCACCCCGCCGCCCCTCGGCCGCGTCCTCGTCCTGCTGGCGTACTGGGCCGTCATCATCTACATGATGGCTAGCGATGCCGTCATCAAAGACGCGTACTTCTGGGAGCGCATCGGATTTCGCAACGCCTGGGTCACCCTGATGCAGATGCCCCTCGTCTACCTCCTTGCAATGAAGGTCAACGTCGTGGGGTTCATCACGGGGACGTCGCATGAGCGTCTGAACTGGCTGCATCGCTGGGTGGCGAGGACGATGTTCGTCACGGCGACGGTTCACGGGTTCCATTTCTGGACGGAGTGGGTCAGGGCCGATTTCGTCGAGACGCAGCTGAAGATCATGCCGGTTACCAAGTATGGACTTGGGGCCTGGGGTATTCTTATCTGGACTTTCGTCAGCGGTCTGAAGCCCATCCGCGGGATGGCCTACGAGGTCTTCGTGCTGCAGCATATCCTCTCGGCCGTCTTGTTCATCTGGCTGGTGTACGTCCACATCCCGGTGTATGCGCGGCAGTACCTATGGTTCACCGTCGCGCTCATCTGCTTCGACCGACTTGCCCGGTGGGCGCTGCTTGCGTGGCAGAATACGAGGCTCCGTCCGAGCGGATCGAGCTGCAAGGGAATGAAGAGGCTCGGCCATGAGGTACAGGTCAGAGCCGTGGGATCCTCGACGACGGTCTTGACAATCAAAGACGTCCACTTCTCCTGGAAGGCGGGGCAGCACCTGTACCTCTGGCTCCCGCGAGTCGGTCCTTTCGAAGCGCATCCGTACACCATCGCCTGCGCGCACCAAATGCCAGAGACGTGCATCTGCAACAGCATCCAACTTGTCATACGCACGCATGGCGGTTTCTCACAGAGATTGCATGCGTTTGCACGGAAGAACGAGGAGTCGGGAAAGAAGGATACGTTGACGGGATTCGTGCTGGGGCCGTTTGGCGCGCCGCCTCGATGGGATATCTACGAGACCATGGTGCTGATCTCGGCATCGACGGGGGCTTCGTTCACCCTGCCCATCCTGGAGAGCATCGTGCAGAGCCGCAGAAAAATGTGCACGACGAGGATCGAGTTCATACTGATGGCGTGCCAGGGCGAGGAGATTGAGTTCTACACGCAACGACTGCGCGAGTCGATGGATCGGGCGCAGCAGGTCGGCATCGAGTTGCAGGTACACATCGCCATCACGAGATCCGGCAAGGCGAAGGAGGGCGAGGTTTCGATGGTGCTGTACGCAGACCACGATGCAAGCTCTGGGTCGTCAGCGCAGCACCGAAGGATTGCGTCTGATGGCTCTGTCCACGGCGGGCGCTTTCATGAGAAGGGAGTGCTGGACTTGGAGAAGGGCGACGAGGTGCCGTTGACGCCACGGGAGAGAAGCGGTTCGACGACGGGAATGGTGAAGGAGTATTATAGCAGGCCGGACCTCAAGGAGCTGATACGGGAACCGGTGGAGGCTGCTGGTGGAGAGACGTCGATTGTAGTGTGTGGCGGGCAGTCTTTGACGAGCTCGGTGAGGAATTGCGTTGCTGCGCTGTCTGATGAGAGGGCTGTTCATAAGGGTACAGGGGCGCAGGGTATTCACCTATTTGTTGAAGAGTATTCTTTCTAATACAAGGAATGACGTGCGAGGCTTGACCTTGATGATTTCAAGATGGCGTGACTCGATTGTATTGGGCGTGTGGTCAGAATGGCGGACACGTCGTGAGCCTCCAGGACGCAGACTGGTATGTGCTAAGTCGGTCACATTTGTTCGAATTTTCCAAGATGTGGTATTCGATCGACTGATTAGGAGTGTTCCCGCAGAATTGAGCTTCTCATCAATTCTCGCCGTGGTGGAAAGTATTGAAATGGGTAAGGCGAGGAATTGAGGTGAAGAGATAAGGAAGCCAAGGTGTAGGAAAGACTCACCGAAACCCACCGAGAAAAAATGTGTTCGCGGGGCATCTCAGAGCCCCTCCACACGTCACCGAGTACCCCTCATTCGGTGAGGCCCGGTCTCGGTGAACAGCCAATCAAAATACAGCCCTCCAAGTGAGTCAAGCTGGGATGGTCCGCAATTTTTTTTCTGCGGGTGACACACTGCGAGCAATGCCAGAGCCCTCAGCCCGGCGAATCGAGACCCCTCCTTTCCCTTCCCTGCAACCCAGTCACCCTTACAATCCTTATGACTAGCGTCGCACGCTTCCTCTTGTCTTCTTCATATCCTTCACTTCGTTCAAACCACGTTTATACCACTGCCCTTCGTCGAGGTCCTTCTGCTGCTCCAGCCGTCCGCTTCCCATCGACCACGCGACCCTTCTCGACCCCGCGTCGACCGCCGTCCCTCCGTCCCCGAGTCGTCCCACGACCCCTCTTCGACTTATTCTCCCCTCACCCCACCGCCTCGTTTGCGACAATGGCGACAGACCAGATCACGGCTCAGCTCGAGAAGCTGTCGATCGGCAAGCTGGAGTCCTTCCCCGGCTGCTACCCCGACGTCAACCCCGTCGATATCTACCGCTCCCACATCACCTCGCTGCTGCACGACGTGACGGGCGTCGAGAAGCCCATCATCTACAATGCGCTCCAATGGACTCAAAGTTTGGACAAGGGCGACATGGTCCTCGCTGTTCCTGCTCTCCGCATCAAGGGCAAGAAGCCTGCCGAGCTCTGTGAGGAGTGGCTCCCCAAGGTCAGTTTGGGAATCCCAATGGCTTTCTACGTTTGCTTGCGGTCGTAGCCTCGAAAGGTAGCGGAAATCACTGACACTTGCTTGTTTGCAGTTTACCGAGTCTTCCCTGATCGAGAAGCCCGTTCCTTTCCAGAACGGCGCATTCCTCCAGTTCTGGTTCAAGCCCGGTCCCCTGGCGCAGATCCTGATTCCCCAGGTCTCCCAGCGCGGCAAGGACTTTGGCAAGAACCCCCACAACGGCCTCAAGAACCCCGAAGACGCCTCCAAGGGCAAGAAGAAGATCATCGTCGAGTTCTCCTCCCCGAATATTGCCAAGCCTTTCCATGCGGGCCACTTGCGAAGCACCATCATCGGTGGTTTCATCTCCAACCTGTACGACGGTGCCGGCTGGGATGTCACTCGTATCAACTACCTTGGTGACTGGGGCAAGCAGTATGGTCTTCTGGCCCTGGGTTTCGACAGGTACGGAAGCGAGGAGGCTTTGAAGGCCGACCCCATCAACCACTTGTACGAGGTTTACGTCAAAATCAACGCGGCTATGGGTGCCGAGAAGGAGTCGATTGAAGCCAAGAAGCAGGCGGGCGAGGACATCACCGAGCTCACCAACAATAGTCTGGACGAGCAGGCTCGCAAGTACTTCAAGGCCATGACTGCTGGCGACGAGGCTGCTGTCGCTCAATGGAAGCGATTCCGTGACCTCAGTATCGTTCGCTACAAGGAGACATACGCCCGTCTGAACATCCACTTCGACGAGTACTCTGGTGAGAGCCAGGTTGCTGAGGCGGATATGGAGGCCGCTGCCAGGAAGCTCGAGGAGATGAAGATCTCCGAGGAGTCGGAAGGCGCTGTCATTATCGACTTCACCAAGCACGTTCCCGGCAAGGCGGGTAAGAGTCTGGAGCGTCCGATCATTCGCAAGAAGGACGGAACCGCTCTGTACCTTACCCGAGACATCAGCGAATTGCTGCACCGCGAGAAGAAGTACGGCTTTGATCACATGATCTACGTTGTTGCTTCCCAGCAGGACCTGCATCTGAAGCAGCTCTTCAAGATTATTGAACTGATGGGTTACCCCGAGACCGCCAAGAAGTGCCAGCACATCAACTTCGGCCTGGTCCTTGGAATGAGTACTCGCAAGGGAACTGTCAAGTTCTTGGACGACATTCTGCGCGATGTCGGCGACAAGATGCACGAGGTGATGAAGAAGAACGAGTCCAAGTACGCCCAGGTCGAGAACCCTGAGGCGACTGCCGACATTCTTGGCATCAGCAGTGTGATGGTCCAGGATATGAGCGGAAAGAGGTGAGTCGTCTGGACTTTGAACCGGGCGCTTTCGGATGCACTGACACCGGCTAGGATCAACAACTACAAGTTCGACATGGACGCGATGACTTCCTTCGAGGGTGACACCGGACCGTACCTCCAGTATGCGCACGCCCGACTCTGCTCCATCTTCCGCAAGGCTGGCGTCCCGGAGGAAGAGATTGCCAGCGCGGATCTCAGCCTCTTGACAGAGAAGCATGCCATCGAACTCATCCGCATCCTCAGCCAGTACCCCGACGTGGTCCAGAACACCCTGAGGACACTGGAGCCGACTACCGTGCTTACGTACCTGTTCCGCATGACCCACGTCGTGAGCAGCAGCTACGACCACCTGCGCATCATTGGTAGCGAGCGCGAGCTCATGAAGGCTCGTCTGGCTCTGTACACTGCGGCCAGGACCGTGCTCTACAACGGCATGCGTCTGTTGGGTCTCTCCCCGGTCGAGAGGTGAGTGCTCGATACCCTGATTCCCTGCGCTGCAACCTGCTGCTGCAATGGATCGTCTTGCATGTGAAACCTGTCGCTAATCACGTAAACAGGATGTAATGTAGCAACAGCATGGCAAAAAAGTCGTCGTTTTCGTAAGTGGCAAAAATCGGAGCGGAATACGGCCAGCTCGACAGTTAGGCCGCAAGAGACGAGAAATGAGTAGTACACGCGGCCGCAAGAGGAGCATCACCAAGGAAAGTTGCGTACGAGAAGAGAAGCTACTGCGATGACAGGCCGGCACAACGGCTGCTAGCCATCAGCCACGATGTGGTGTCCGCTTTCTTGGCGCGCGACTTGGACCGATGTGGCGCCGTGTAACAAAGGACTCACACGGTCGAAGGATCCAGTGCTCTCCGGAGTCCTTGAATCCCCCGCGGCCGTGATGTTCGCCGAACAGACAGATTACATGACCGAGTCGATTCGCGCGTGCGGTCGCCTAAGCTGGTTAATAGAAGACAAAGATCACCAAAAGACTCAAAACACGCAATAGTGATTGAAGAACGTCTGCAAGGACTACGATGAGATCCCAACACGCAAGATCGCGCTGCCAAAGCTTCAATCTCTCCCAGTAGGGCTGCTTCTCTGCAAAGCATCGCAAGGTAGAGCACAGTGGACGGCAAGGCAAAGCGAAGCAAGGCACAGCTCAGCCAACGGTTTAGCCGCCGCCTCAGCACAGTTGAACGAACAAAATGAAGTCAAGCCCATGGTCGAGAACTAATATCGACAAATCGAGAGCCGCGACGGTAGCGTTTCGCCCGTCCTCAGGTGAGAAAAGTCTGCCCCCCGTTATGACTGTCAAAGCAAAAGCGTGCAGTCTCTGCTGCAAGCCGCGACGCCTACGATGGGATCTGCCCCTGGTCCTCCCGCAATCCCGCCGCCCAACTGAGTCGACGGGCCAGCCAAGTGGCTTGATGGCTTTGTGGTCTTGGTGTTTGGCGCTCGGTACTTACGTGGGGGATTCCATACTGGGCGCCAACAGAATGATCGTCTCGCTCGGATAACGCTAAGGCGTCCTAATCCCTGTCAACACCGAATCTTGCATATCCCCAAACGCTAGAGATGCGATGGCTCAGGACGGCTCTGACTGGTTCGAGATGGCTCATGATGGGTTCTCAGTGGTTCGCGTTGACGACAGACGGTTCACTCTGGATCTGACAACGCTTGTTGCTCCTCATCTCCGGCTGTGTTACCGTCTCCGCGCGCCGTGGCTTGCAGTTGATCGACAGCCATTTTCGACTCTTCAAGACTCGATGACTACGTGATGCAATTATTGCTTTTCTCGCCAACCACCGAATGCAACACTGTCCGGGGTCATCTTTTCCCTTTGAGACTGTCTTGATCATATGAGGCCGAAACTGACAGCTTGCCTAGATGCCGAAATATTACAATTCATCAAGTTCTCATCGCATCATCACTTGTTTGCCGGCGCATGCCTTCAGCCTGGAGCATCTTCCGGGCTCGGCATCAGCAGCCTTAGCAGAAGGAATATCAGCAGCATTATCACCACCATCGCCTGAGCTTATTCTCCCCCCGAGAAGCCCGCAAGCGAGGGAGAGAGACGCGCCTTAGCGGCAATATCTTGCCTAGAATACTTCCAAACTAACGACAGCATCTGCCCATACTGCCAATTTTAGGCGACGGATAGTACGATGCTCCCCTTTTGTGCCTTGCCCCAAAGTTTTAGCTGCAAGCTAATATTCTGCCCGGCACCCTGGCGCGCTGTCTGTGCCGAGACCGGATGAGCCCCGACCTCCGGCACCCACCGCAGTAGCTTGAGTAGCTCGACCTGAGAACGGTGCCTGGGCAAGTGGTTCGGACGCCCAGTAGTAAACACCAAGTGGGACGAGGATGATCCCTTTCAGTGCCGAGTAGATCACGGTATAGCTAGCATGGCTTGCATGGGTGTGTAATCCTCGCCGAGGGTGAGATATCGACTCGCCCAATCTTTTGGCCCCTGTGTTTTGGACCTCCCGCGGCTGCAACTTGCATGTTACCGTCAGCTCATATTCTAACCGTCTCCTTGGGCCCTAAGGAGCCATGGTCAAACCCTGCTGACGTCTACGAGAAGGCTGGTATCCCACACGCCCTGCAAGGACGGGCATCGGCCTTTGCCAGCTCCCCGTCGAGCTCCAGGACGAAGCTCTCGGGGCTTGTACCTCCTACCTTCCCGTCTCTGACTGAGTCTGGAGGCGAACCAGCTTGTCTGATGTCGCTTCCACAGAGCTCAGTCCCCGACGTCAGAACTCAACGAACCACATGTCCGGGAACAAGCCAAGCAGGCACAACGGCCGATATGCAAGCGCAACACAACCTCGTTGTGCAAACCTGTTGGGAAGGATTATTCCCTCTCCCGGACCAAGACTCTGGGCCCTCGCCTGCTGTTGGTCAAAGGCGGAATAGCGGCCAGGAGAGATGACTCTCGCCTGGCATGACCTGACTTGACATGTTGCCGCCCGCGGCCGCCGTCGCCGCCGCCGCCGCCAGCAGCTGTGCGCCGATCTTAACAATTCGTAATGGTGGACTGTCTTGCCTTCCTTGGCGCTTGGGGAACCCGGCGTGTGTTCACACGCGGGTCAATCATGTTTCCAGACAAAGGGACCGTTGAGCGTTCTCCGTCGGCCCGCTTGGGCTCCCACGACCAGACGGCTTGAACGTGGCCTTGACTCTTCTTATTAACAGGCCAGAGACACACCGTCCGTCAGACCCGTGGTTGTGTTTCTTCTCTTTTCTGTTCTTCCTGTAACAGCGGGACATATTCTTCATTCCTTTCTTACCTCGACATTGACGTCGTCGTGTACCCTTTCCTTTCGACGAAACGATCATAGACGACGCTTTACTATTATTGTGTAATACTTTCAGGCCTGCAACCATGGCCATAGGCGTGGTACTTCTCGCCTTTATTGTCTTCTGCGCATGGCGCCTGTATACCGCCATACAGCTGAAGAAGAAGCTTCCTGAGGGAGCGAAGCCTTTGCCGGGTCCTCCAGGTTAGTGGTTCTTAGTATGATGGTGATGTTCATGAAGCTCATCGTTCACAGGTCTTCCTTACATTGGCCGCGTACACGATGTGCCTGCGGAGGCAACATGGTTGAAGTTCTACGAGTGGGCCAAGGTCTACGGACCTATCTACCAGCAGGAGATCTTTGGATCCATCCATGTTTGGATCTCTTCTGAGCAGATTGCTCATGATCTCCTGGGCCGTCGCAACGTCATCTACTCTGACAGGCCTATGATCCCCAACCTGCCTGACAACAGGACCAGTGGCGACTACCTAGCCTTGCTCGGACGTACTGGTATGAATCGCAACTTCCACCAATCCCTCTCGCCAACTAACCGTCCACAGATACCTGGAAGCGCCAGCGCAGACTCTGCCATCACCTCATGAACCAGAGCGACAAGGCAGAGCTCCACGCGTACCCGACTCGTGAGCGCGATCGTTTCCTGTACCTCCTGTCCCAAAAGCCCTCCGAGTACCGCGAGTACATCGAGCAGTTCACCAGCCGCACCGTCAGCCGTCTGTCCTGGGGTACTGCCCACCCGTCTCGCGTCTTGCGTAAGACCACCTTCGGTCTGCTTGAGACCATCTCTCCCGCTGGTGCCCTGCCCAACATCATGTCATTCCTCATGCACGTTCCCGCTGTCCTCTCTCCATGGAAGAAGAAGGAAGCAGCCCGCCACCAGCTCGAGTCCAAGCAATTCAAGAGCAACGTCGACTTTGTCGTCGACCAGGTCGAGAAGGGCACCGCGGCGCCTAGCTTCATCAGCACTTTCATTAACCAGGGTCTCGGCGACGAGAAGGAGAAGGGCAAGTGGGGTGATCTGAAGGAGGCGTCCAACGTCGTCGGTCTCATGGCCATCGCCGGTGCCTTGACGATTGGCAGCCCTATCCAGAGTTTCCTCCTCGCCATGTGCCACTACCCCGAATGGCAAGCTAGACTGCAACGCGAGGTCGACGAGGTCTGCGAGGGCAGATGTCCCCAGTGGTCGGATCGCGAGAAGCTGCCCATGTTGAGAGCCGTTGTTAAGGAGGTTATCCGCTGGAGACCCCCCGTCCCTACTGGTATGTGCTTTTACCCCGACAATTGGAGTCGGTTTTAGGTTCGTGACTGACGTGACGTGCAGGCATTCCCCATGCTGTGGAGAAGGACGATGTTTACAACGGCTACTTCATCCCTGCTGGTGCTACGATCCATGCTCTCGAGTGGTGAGTCTAATAATCCTACCACGTTAATGACTCTTACTGACAGACCTAGGGGCATCACCCGTGATGAGTCAATGTACCCGGATCCCGAGACATTCAACCCCGACCGCTGGCTGCAACCCTCGTATCCCACTTACAAAGAGCCTCTCACCCGCTTCCCCAACCTCGACGGTTTCAGCCAGTTCGGCTTCGGCCGCAGAACCTGCCAGGGTGTCCCTATCGTCGACCAAGATCTCTTCCTCACCATGGGCGGCATGGCCTGGGCCCTCAACATTCAGAAGAAGCGCAACGCTGACGGCAGCGAGGTGCCTGTGCACTGGAACGACTACACTCCTCTTCTGATCGCCAAGCCCGCCTTCTTCGAGTTCGACGCCGTCGTTCGCACACCTGAGAAGGCTGACCTGATGAAGGCCATGTTCGACGCCGCCAAGGAGGAGGAGGAGCACGAGGAGAAGATGATGAAAATGGGCATGCCAGACATCGCTGCGGCGCCGACGGAGAAGAAGAAGGCTGCGAGGTCATCTGTCATCTTCAACCTGAGACAGAGGAAGGATGAGGGCGAGAGGGAGAAGCAGTACCGTGAGCACGAGCGGGATATCCCCGGGTGTCCTGGTCGGTGGGCGACGGAGAGCGATGTGGAGTCGTCGAACGAGAAGGGATACGTCGACGATGACAGCTGTTCAGGGCGGTCATCGCCGACGATGCTGCCGTAATTTGACGGGCGGCGAGGGGTGACGGGGAGAATGCATTCGAACGGGCGCTTGGAGGAGTGAATGGGGGTAATTTGGTTTGATATCAGGATTCCCTTTGTTGTTTTTTCCTCACAAAGATGTCGATGCTACTGAAGGAGCTTGGTCATCTGGAGTCTAGATTGTGACGGACATGGATATACCTTCTACGATGTATGAATATAGAATATGAATCTTATCAATCCAAATGAGATTATTAAACATGAGTTAGCTCGTATATGCTTAAGTTTCTCTAGCAACTATGATTGATCATTGATCCCCTCGATCTCATGCTCTTAATTATTCAGTTATCGGGGGAAGTAACTCGTCAAATGTAATAGATATGCAGTAATGTTAACTGCCCAAAAGAGCAAAAATGGCAATCTAGAAGCGTGCGGGGGGAAACAAATTGACAGGACTTCTGACCACCAAAAGATAAGCAAAGTATCTTTCGACATTGAGATGTTGCGGAACCGTTCCTTGTGCAACTCTGGCGAACATGGCTACTGACCAAAGCAAAGCCATAGAACAAGTGCATTTGCCCTCAGCACCACCATTCGAACCCGCAAGCTTGACACTCGAAGAGTCACCGACCCACGACGATGTCGACTACCCCGAGGGCGGCGTCCAGGCCTGGCTGGTCGTCGTCGGCGCTTGGTGCGCCATGATCCCGCCCATGGGAATGATTAACACTCTGGCCGCGCTGCAAGGATGGCTGTCTGAACACGAACTCGCGGGAATGCCCGAGAGCAAGACGGGCTGGATATTTTCTTGTTATGCATTCTTCATAACGGCGTGTGGCGCTCAAGTCGGTACGTACACGATCACGACTGCTTACGGCTTCATCTACTGAGACATCTCAAGGCCCGATATTCGACGCCTACGACATCAAAGTCCTCTTGGTCCCGGGGTCATTGGGTATGATTGCCTCGCTGGTGTTCCTCAGCCTATCTAAAGGTAACCCGGACTCACAATTCCAACATGCTGTATACCCAAGGCTGAACTCTTTCGCGCATTGTCTTAGACTTTTACCAATTCCTCCTCTCCTTCGGCTTCTGCGGGGGCATCAGCGCATCGCTGCTCTTCAACCCGGCCCTGTCAGCCATCGGGCACTGGTTCTGCAAACGCCGTGCTCTCGCAACGGGCATCGCCTGCACAGCCGGTGGCCTCGGAGGCATCGCATTCCCCCTCATAATCCAGTTCGCGGCGCCCCGATATGGCTTCCCCTGGGCAATACGCATCATCGCCTTCGTCTCCACCGCCGCGCTCATCGTCGCAAACCTGACCCTGCGAAAGAGATTACCGCCCGTCCAGGAAGCCAAGATCCTCATCGACTTCGGCCTCCTCAGGGACGTCAAGTTCGCAATCACCGTCTGCGCCGTCTTCTTCGTGGAGTTCGCCGTCTTCATCCCCTACTCGTACATATCCTCGTACGCCCTGCACGACGGGCTGGGCATGCAAAAGTCGTTCCTGATGAATGTGCTCCTCAACGCGGGCGCCGTCCTCGGACGCGTGTTCCCGGGCTACGTCGCGGACCGCGTCGGCGCCTTCAACACCATGTGCGTGACCTCGTCGTTCTGCGCCGTGCTCATTTTCGGGCTCTGGCTCACGGCGGGGGGCGTCGAGGCCAGGGTGATGGCTTTCGCGACGCTCTTCGGGTTTTGGTCCGGTGCTGCCATCAGTCTTTCGCCGGTCTGCATCTCGCGCGTCTGCCGGATTGAGGACTATGGCAAGTCGAACGGGATGGCGTATTTCATTGCCAGCTTCGGCGCTCTGGTCGGGATTCCCATCGCCGGCGCTTTGCTTGCTACCGAGCATGACCCTTATCAGCGGCTCATCGTCTTCGCTGGGGTTGCGTACGGTGTGGCTTCCGTCGTGTTTTGCCTCGCTCGGGGTGTGGCTGGTGGATGGACAATGACGAGATTCTGAAGGTAACTTGGGATTGTGCAAGCGGCATAAACTGCGCAATGTCACTGCCTCCTAAGGTCATGACTGTGAACCGTCTGCGGCGCCTAGCGCTTCGTGAAACGGGAACATCAGAACGGTGGCGATAAGGTCGTGACGAAGACGGTGAATAGCATCAGGTGTTCCATGACTAAGCGGCGAACTCGGGGAGCCTGAGCGAATAAGAAAGAAGTTTTCTTGGCAGAAAGGCTGTAGGACGGCCCAGTCTGAGTGAGAGTACGAGGGAACTATGCGAGACATGTTCGAACAGTCTGGAGTGTAGGCGCTTGACGCTTGACGCTCGTCCAGGCGCAAGAACGACAGGACCGAGCGGTCTGGACTCATGGTGTCCGGGCCCCTGGGTGTTCGTCTTTGCCAAGACGGAAGACCACGGGCGAATCAGTATTTGAGTGTGTTTCGGGCTGGAAACGATGCGATTCGTCGATTGCGATGGGCTTTAGGTTTGTCCCGAACCCGCGATAGAGGAGAGATACATGTGTCAGAGGGGTGATGGGACGATCTAGGAGCTGTCAAAGCAAGATGGGTGGGGGGCGTAAAAGGGCGGATTTCGTGATATGATGAGATGAACTGTGAGGCTATCGGGTTTGAGTTGGGCCTGATCGGGATTCACATAGCATCGTCATGGATTTGGCTTTTATTTGTTGCATGTGTCAACAGTTTTGACAGACCAAAGTGTCGAAGTTTAATGGCCGACAGGTTCGCAACATGTCCCGAGCTCCCTTCGCCGGAGCTTGAGGTTGAGTTTAATAGAGATCAGAGCTGAGGGCCTTTTCACTAGATCAGTTCATTATGATTTGCAGTCTTGATTGCCAGAAAGGCTATGCTTATTTCCATCACACGGGAGATCAGAGCTTGAACCCTTCGTTTCATTGAACTATCGCCAACTAAGATTCTGCAAAAGGTTCATCACCGAACGGCTTTGATTTCTTTCCATTTAGAGAAAACTAGCAACCTGATTTGATTCAAGAGTTTGAACGTGTTGCAGATTTCGACCTTGGCTCTGATCCCATGGCCGGATGAAACAGATGCAAACTGACCGATAAGGCTGAGGTGAGATGCGTTTGGCAACGGCCGAAATGTTCATTTTACGTACCCACGGACTCATCAGATGCTTTTGTTTTCTGCTCGGGCTATTGTAGGACTCCGAATTTTGCCGTACTTGTATTTCCCATCCACTCTGAAGAATCACATCTGAGGTGGAGGTCACTGCGCTTGTCAAACGAGAACATGCTTTCGAGGTCGCCGACGGGAGCTCTTTGTCTGTGTGAACTCGTGGGAAATAGAAGCTGGGCTTGCAGAAGATTTATGCTGTCACGAATAAGGTGCGATGTTTGTTAACATTCGAGATGCATTTCATGTCGAGTAGAACTAAGCAGGAAGACCCCTTTTTCTTCAGAGCATGGCGATTTTCGGCGCGGCGGAGAGAACACCCGAGAGCTAGCCAAAACTTTGCGGCGGAAATTCATCGCATTCTTTGAGGTGGAAGTGTCATCAAAATACACTTTCTCGGGTGAGATAATTGGAATTACCTGATTGGATGGCAGAACAGTCTCACCGAATGACAATTCTGAAGCCGAAAGACCTTTGTCACCAGATGCCAAGTGAATTAGACATCCCTCAAGCCCCAGGGAGATGTAGGTGTTTCTGGTAAGGTCAAGTTTGTAGAAGTAAACGCGGGATGGCGGAAAAGTAAGTAGGGCGCCGGCATGACATGCACGGTGTCGTGCGCGAATCGCCTCTTTTTCTTTAACGCAAGAAGGCTCTAATCATATGCTCGTGTAAATTTACCTGGAGATTCTAAGAGTCTAAGACGGTGGGGTAGAGGGAAAAGACGTCCATAACTGCCTTGAGGCCTGGGCGACCTCCGGGTGTATATGACACTCGAGTGAAATAATGTCGCAAGGTTGGTTTAATGTGCTGAATTAGTGTGTTTGCCCGGCGTTCTCCCTTGCCTGAAGAACTTTCATCAATTCATTGCGAATGACGTTCAGCGCCTCGGGAATTCCTGACCTCTTCAATTAAGCTCAATAATGCCGTGAGTCAGTTTGGTGTCAGTCTCCAACTGAACATCATGCGCTGAGTGTTTTGTGGTGATCACAGTCATTCAAGTAGACCCCTCATCCTGAGACCTCCAAAGACCTCGCACCCACGGGAGTAATTGGGGTCAACCAATTTTCGGCACTTGAGATGCGAGGCTCTGCTTACATCATGACTGCCGAGCCAGTCCCGGCACCAAGAGCCGTCTTGGAATCAATCCCCCTTTCTCCAGACTTGGCAACTCTATCACATTGCCATCCTAGGGAAGTAATTGATCTACGAGTTGCATGTCAATGTCTATATCCCAGTCACATTGTGCTCGCTTTTCTTTCGGATCTCGCACCCTAAATCAACTCCCGCGGGCGTTCAGTAGGGCTTGTTCTCTCTCGATTGGTGGGAAGGTTCTCTCAATTCAGGGGTCATCGGACAAGATCATGAAGACGCGTGGACTTTCGGGCAGGAATTCTGCGCCAACGAATTTGACGTTCCAGATATCAAATGCTTAGCAAGGTTGGAGGTCTGACGATCACCAAGCCTTTGATCATAGAAGTAAACCATTTTCCACGACTAGGAGATAACTGCAGTCGAAGTGAGAGAATTGCGCCGTCTTGGCCGTCGACGTTTGGTCGTACTAATGAGTCTCTGCTCTCTTGGTTAATATCCCTTGTATTATAGCCTGTCTAGTTCATACGCGTGCCAATGGGACCTCATCCAGCGATCACAACATGTGCTCATGAGCTTTCTACTTAAACTCATGGTAGTCAACTCGTATGAGTGATGTTCGCTACTCAACCATTGACGTCTCGAAGCTAGCAAGACTACCAAATCGACTACAATGTTCTCCAAAACCGTTACCGCTGCACTTCTCGGATCGATCCCAGCTGCCCTGGCATGCTTGGGTTATGAAGGTGGCCTTCCCACTCCTACGGAGAACAGACAGATTTCTGCGCCTATCTACGTCAAGTCTGGTGAAGTCTTCGATGGCGGTTGGGCCAAGTACGATAGGAACCCCACTTCGTGTAGAGAGCAACAAGAAGGAGGTAAGTGACATTTCTCCAATGGCCACTTGTGGCTGATAAAGCTAAGAAGAATGATACAGGCGAGTCCGATACTGCATTTGTGCTTGAGAAAGGCGCAACCCTGCGAAACGTCATCATCGGCAAGACTGCCGGTGAGGGTGTCTACTGCCTCGGAGGAGGCTGCACCATTGAGTTCGTTTGGTTCGAAGACGTTTGTGAGGATGCGATCTCTGTGGTATGTCTTCAAACTTGAAATCTCGGACAAGTAGCCAAAAGATGTGATGTGAGGTATTATGACTGACTATCTCGTAGAAAGAAGACCAGCCCGGTGACGAGACCTGGATCATTGGCGGAGGAGCTTACCATGCTGCCGATAAGATCATTCAGCACAACGGCTGTGGCAAAGTCAACGTTCGTGTTCCAACAAATGATAACTCTCTGGTGCATCCTGACGTATCTATCTTTTTAGATCATCAACTTCTACGCCGAGGACTACGGCAAGGTATACCGCTCTTGTGGAACTGTAAGTATAGCTATTGCTAAGGCCGTAGCCCACGCTGACGCAAGAAATAGTGTCAACAGTGCGCTCGCGAGGTTTACGTCGAAGGAGTCACTGCTTACAACGGCGGCGAAGTTGTGGGGATCACGAAGGCCAACGGCGACAAGGCGACTCTCGTCAACGTCTGTACCGACGCTAAGACGCCTTGCCAGAACTACAGTGGCCCTGGAGACAAGGACGGAGCTTGCTAAAGCTTCTTCACGAGAGAGCGGACGCTGTTTCCCATGCAGGCCTTCATTGTGCTGAGATTCAACGGACTTGATTGGAAATCACTTCGATTCTATTGTAGATATATAAGTTCAACGCTTACCATGTCATATCGGATCTTACATTCACCAAATGCAATACGCCGCGCAATACAATGCAGCCACCCTTATAATCTAGTCACTGATATCTCGCCATACCCAACGATCTTACATTCACGACAAGTACGCCCCCACGTTGACATGCAGCAAGAGAGCTGGTTTTGGTGTGAGAATTAATGAACTGCATGCCTGGTGGTTTCGTAAAACGTGGTTGATTTACTATGAATTACGGCAGTCTATTTCCTCTACACTTCTGCTTCATACGCATCATCAGATCTAGGTGCTTGCAGCAGCTGTCGTCGTCACAGGCGCTGCAGTAGTTGTAGCCTGGACTGTGGTGCCCGAAGCAGTCGATGATCCCGATCCTGATCCCCCGCCCTTGACTACCGTAGCTCGAACAACTTGTCCAAGCGTGTTGAAAACGATGTTGACCAAAGAGCTCAGCGGAGTATACTCGTACGTTTTCTGCACCAACCCATTACCGAGGTCTGTCTGCGAGCCAGTGAAGGTCATGTTCTGCTGGTAGTTGCCAATAATGGTGCTCAGAGCTGTGCTACCAGCGTTGGTGACTTCTTGGACGATGTTGCCCAGGTTGTCGATCAGGAAGTTGATCTTGCTGTCTCCGTTCACGATCGAGCCGAGAAGGCCGTCCACAGCGCCAATGACATCATCGACGACATCACCAACGGTATCAAGAAGGTTGATGAGCAGAGGATTAAGGTCCAGAGATGCCAATGTGCGATTGACGATGTCGACGAGGTTTCCGAGACGGATAACCAGTTCGAGTTCCGCATTGACGTCGGCGATGGTGATGTTGACCTTCTCGATGCCGACTTGGACGCCGGCGTTGATGGTCACGAGCTTAGCAACCTCGGCGGCCAGGTTAATCTCAGCGTTGAGGTTGTCGACATCAAGCTCAATGCGGCCAACGGAGAGCTCGGGAACCTTGAGGTGGACGTCTGCTGGGGGTGTGCTGGTAGGAGCTGAAGTGGTACCACCGCCACCGTTGCCGTTGCCGTTTGATGCAGTGCCTTGCGCGACTGTCGAAGTTGGCGTGGTTGCTGATCCAGTTGCTTCTGGTGTCGAGGACTGTTGCTCAGCTGAGGTGGTTGCTTCGGCGGGCTCGGTAGCAGTTGGAGTCTGCGCAGCAACGAGCGAGACCAAGAGCGCGAGCAAGAATGAGAGAATAGAGTACCTCATCGTGACTGAGGTAACTGTTTGAAAGAATGAATGGATGAAAGAGCGACGACGACACCGGATGACAGGAACGGGCTGGTGAGCTGTGGGATAACAATCGCGTGAACAGGGCCGCCGGGGGGATATAAGGCGGTCTCATCCTGCAGGAGAATCAAGGTTGTTAATTTACCTCATCGGCATCCCCTGTCCATCGCGGAGCTCTCAAGCATCCACACATCCAAGCGGGACTGATCCTACCGGTCCCATATCTAGGGCGGATATCGACAACGTACCGGAAAGGCGGTGCTGGCAGCTGTCCCCCGGCCGCCCCCCTTTCCAACGTGTGGCTCATCACACATGCCGAGACAACCTGCAAGCCCCCGGCCCGATGGACTGCACGTTTTCCTTGGAATCACTCGCAATTTTCCAAGGTCGAGTGAAATTGCCGTCCATAACGCATGGCAAATCGACGTTCTGGGCCTTTTGTCCGCGGGCGAGCCAGTCGGGGAGTTCGCTTCGAACGGGGCGCCGCGTGCGGAGGAGGCTTCCGAGAGGAACACCCATCCCAATGTGGGCTTCGCGTGTGAGCTGACTTACCCAGGATATTGACATGGGCTTATATTAATGTGGTCTCGATGTGATGCTTGTCGACTTTGAGGGAAATACCTCGTCATCACATCGGGGCGTTAGAACCCCGTCTCCTCAGAAGAGTTGGTAGGTCATACTTGTATCCTGTGGCCCCCGCCTCCGTCGAGACTGCAGACCTCGCTCGTCCGCGGCTCATTCTCTAGTCGTCCTAACTCGAACCTCTCGAACGGCCTGCTGTGCCATTCTTCCATTCTTTTAGACTTCATCAGCTCTTCAGTATGGGTCCATTCGTTGGCAGGGCGTTTGCCTTGCTTGCCGCTCTTTCCACCCTCACCCTCGCTCAAGATGAACCAAAGGGCGATGGCTACGTTGGTTACCACCTCGAACGTCGCGGCGACAATGAGTCAGCTGTCTATGAGACGGCCAACACCAAAACCGGCATCGATACCCTCAACCCGATCCCAGATGTCTATCTCAATGCGTCGGTCTCAGTCGGCGAGATCAGCATCGAGGTGAAGAATATCACTGCCAAGGTCAACCTTGACGCGAAGGTGCTCAACCTGCTGCACTTCCAAGCCGGCGTTGACGCAAGCATCGACCGCGTCAAGCTGGGCATCTACAACGTGTCGGCCAAGGTCGAGCTCGAGGCCCGTCTGGAAAACGTCGTGAAGATGGTCGACGACGTCCTCACCAGCATCGACCTGAACCCCATCATCGCGACCCTTGGCGACACGGTCGGCGACATCGTCAACAAGACAACGGACGTCATCACGGACCCCGTCGAGAGCGATGCCAGCTCGGTAGCGAAGCGCGACTTGACTTATCGCATCGAGAACAACATCTTGTATTCGATTAACGATTTCTCCGGTCGCACGCACACCAACCGCGTTCTCGCGCAAAACGGATCCCTGTTCGACGTGTTCCTGAACAACAACGGCGATGAATCGGGACGACGGGTGGTGGGATACTACAGTCGCGACATGACGTTCAGCGGCCACAACAGAACCATCTCGATTGACGGACAGGTGAAGGAGTTTGAGATGCAATACATCTATGCGCCGTACCCCGGCCTGGAGGCGTTCAGCAATATCTACATGGACACGACCGGCAGGGTCGTCCGGACGAAGATTGTGGCCGAGGCGGAGGGAGGGGGAACGGCTACCATTAGCAATGACGAGGAGCCAGGATTGAAGCCGTAGACGGTAGAGGATGAGTTGGATCCAGATGCAGGGCTTGAATGGTGCTGCCAATTGAAAAATGAGATTTTTACCCTGCCAACGACATCATAGGACCAATGCAATTGTGGACGTTGAATTGCCGTTTGAGATGGTGAAGCATGCCAGTCTGGAAGCAGACAGACCTCCGACGTCTGGATCGTTCGATTGAAAACGGAGAGCCGCTTGTGGGACATTGAACACGCCCCCTATAACGGAGTAGATATTGGCGGGGGCGTGTTCGCGGCAGGCATTTGTGCCTCAATGGAACGCGGTCAAAGCTACAGACTGGACATTATCCCATCAAAATTCAACATCATTTATGAGAGATTTCCAGTCTTGTTACTTCTCTTATCCTATGCATTAATTCAGGCTCTTGCTCTGGTGGTTTTTATCTCCCTTCCAGGAGGCATTTCAACAATTGACGCGTCGTTGTTCTAAGCCAAAGCAGAGGAGCAATTTCTCCGCGAACTGCGACGCTGAGAGTTCACGGCTTAGGGCCGGACGGGCAGATCATCCATCTAATCCTGCGAGTGGTTACGCACGGCGCACTAAGAGAGCCGTTAAGCACCTAATTGTGCTTGATATGAAATTTATGACGGGTTTGTGAACTTGAATGCGACGCTCCTCCGCTGCGGGTAAAGCTGTCAAGATGACGATAGGGTAAGGAGACGGCAGCGTCGCACCCATTGGAAACATGGATCGGCCATGCGACTGCAACGTGGGCGAGTTCGGGTCGGTTACACCAAAACGCTCAACCGTCTGAACGACGTTCTATCGACCGTTAGGGGCTGTTCGAATGATGAGTTATTTTGGCAAAAGTTTCTTCTCACGTTGCGCTCCGGAGTGTGTTGGTGGTTGACATTGGAATGCTTTCTTTTTCTAGCCCCTGAACCCCTGAACCCCGCGGTAGTTTGCTGGAGATTCTTGAACTTCTAGCCGTGAATCACAGCCCACTGCTCCATTTTACCCAAAATTTAGCCAATACTGTGGTAAAGCTCGATTTTCCCCTATGGAGTTGTGAATGCAACATTCAGTTTTCACTGGATAGAATCCCATGTTGTCAACATGGTGGTAACCTTGTAGTGTGGGCTTTGTGAGAAGTCGTCAAGTGGCCCGCTGATCAATGAGATTATCGCCAGTAGGATATCGTGGCCCGTCACCCTCTTCTCTCATCGCCATGCCCGGCAATTCGTCCGACCAGATCTCGATAGATTCTGGGTCCAATGTCGCGTTGGCAGAGGCAAGAACCAAGGCAGAGGAAATTAACATGTTTCACACGTACGATTTTGCACGCTCGATGAATGCAGCTTTTGCTCTGGCGCACTGGATTGGCGAGGGCTGAAGGTGTGTCGACGCGGCAGTGCGGCACAAAGTCAAGGGCGGCAGAATAAGTGACGCTGACTACCTAATGCGATGCGACCCTGCGGCGTATGAATGCTTGGTACGGGTGATAATTATGCTTGATTAGCTGAAGTGTTCCTGCGAGCTTTTGAGATGATCTGATTACGGTTATCGAAAATCTTTCCCCGGGGGAAAGGGATCGAATTGGATGTGAGACGATGTGATCACGAATCTTCAGCATTCGAGAACAATTGATGACTGATTCCAATCCCGGAGGTTCGGCGTATGCCACACCGCCAGCTTCTTTTGTCTCATCTCGGGCAAAATAACCGCAGCGGAGCTGTCTGTGTGTTTTCCGTCATTACTCTATCGATGTGTCGTCATTGGGTTGCCATGGGGTGACAGCGCCCCCTTGTCGTCGTCTCCGCGACTCGAATTTAGTTGTGGAGGCACTCACTGTGTTGGAAGTTTTCTCCAACAACCTCACCCCCATGACTCGTAACTCATCATTTGTGTTGGAAAATGTGAAAGCAAAGCTTTTGAAAGGATTTCGTTGCGTTGTATTGTGCAGCAAATATTGATTTAGATGACTCGTGGCTCGCATGGCCAACATCACATTTCATTCTGCCGGCGGATTTCCGAGTGACTACTTCCACTTACTCGCCTTGTACACGGTGGCAGCATCGGACTGCCAACATCCATCTCAGACGTCCAGTTAAGCTGTCAGCCAGAAACGGCAGTTCAAAATGGAAGGCTACCCTTGTTTATTCACTGTTCAGATGAGACTATGGGTGATATTGACCTGATGCCGTGGTCGTGTCACTTCTTCCCTTTACCAGTGGTTGAGATACCTAGAAAAAGAATGCATCAAGGTTGAATCTCATATGTAACGGCTATTTGAGGGACCAGCGACGTTGTGTATACATGAAAATTGTTTCCCGCTACTCAGCCAATGAGGCAACCAGCAAAGGCATCAATGCATTAAAAGTCCAGGATTTGACAAACGCAATGAATAATCTCTCGATACCCTTCCAGTTATCAACGTATTAGAAGTAAGAAGACTGCTATGTTGAACCCTGGATCAAGACGTTATCTCCCTGATTCAATCCGAAAATCGTTAACAAACATTGAAGGAGAGAAATCCAGTTTCTGGGTCGGAATATGACTGAATTAGAACAAACATGTCCAACATGATCTACCAAACAAAAACCTCCATGGCCTGATCTCATCTTCGACAAAATAGAATCTCGCACTTTCCATTGATACTCCCATCGATCACGAGCCAGGTTGCTGAGATATTCCATTGGGCTCTTACCTTTGCCCTTCACATCCTTGCGGCTTCTCTTGGGCAAAGAGCTTCCACGCTCAGAAGTTCCCGGCTGTCGTCCGACTTGTTGCTTTCTTTTCGATTCCCTGCCGTGATGGCCATGTTGGTGAGATCGCGGTGCTTGAGGGGGCGTCGAAATACCGCGAGGAGGAATTGGCGCATGTTCCGATGCTCTGTAGTTCTGGTCGGAGGTCGGTTGCTGATGTGATCCATTTCCTTGTGCAGCAGAGGTTCTGTGGCCACAAGCATAGAGAATGGAGTTGTCGGGCTGAGGAATTCTAGGCTGTCTCTCAAGTCTGAATTGCTTCTTCATTCTCGGTTCATCTTCATCCAAGTCCCGTGGAGGGCATTGGTGCTTCAACCGAGGCGTCTGATTATCGTAAGTCTGGTAAGTCAGGCCTGTACCCAAGCCGTAGGATTCGTCGTAGGTCATGGAAGGTCTGGCAGGGTCTTCGGAGTAGCGGTGTCCATTCTCAACGCTCGTCGCAGAATTAAAGCTCTCACCCTTCTCGTCACCCCGCAATGCCATTCTTCTAGATCGAGAACCGCCAAGAACCTCCACCTCCATCTCAACGCCACCTTCTTCCACTCGTGCTGCCTCGACATAGGAAGAAGGAGGCAGGCCGTGACCGAAGATCTTGTCTGCGACACGAACCAAATGGTACACGAGCCATGTGATCCAGATACCGATCTTTCGGTTGAAGCTCATGGAGGAGTCGTAACCGAGCATGAACTTGCGCCACTCCGTCGAGCCACGAACCATCCCAATCGGGTAGTTGTGGATGTACAGTTCATATTTCGGGGGAAAGCGTTCTCCAGAGTAGTACCACCATCGCAGGAGTGCAATCAGCGAGAGCAGAATGGCTAGAGAAGTGCTTATGGCTATGAAAAGGGCCATTGGGATACGGTGATGGTGTTCGAAGGAGGAGACGCCGACAATAGAGCCGAAGGTGACGCCAAGCGAGGTACTGAGGAGAAAGAGGAAGATCGCCATCATACGTAGATTGATGAGCTCTGCATCATAGTCGAAGATAGTCTTCTGCGGGGCCGACATGATGGCACGAGATTGAGAAATGAGCGTTGAGTGTGAGATCGAGGAATTTGAATGGTGATTTCTAGCGACTTGCTAACTGGTGGGTGAGTTTTGCAAATTCATCTGGATGAGATTGTCAAGTTATATCATATTCAGATAACATCGAAAAGCGCATCACGGTTCCACCAATTACTTGCAGAATTTCATGTCGTGATTCATTGGGGTTTCCATCTGAGATACCTTAGTTGGGGCTCCTCATGCCAACAACGCCAACAGCAAGACGGCAAGACAGCAAGGCGCTGGAATACGTCATGTTGAAACGAAGTTCATTATTCAGTTCCGTTGGGGTTCTGCTGCATGAATTGGGTTGTAAACGTCTCAAGTCCCTTTGTGCTTACATGTATGCATCCTCATAGAAATAGGCGGACTGGGAAGTCTCAGATGATTCCGACGGTCTTTGTTGCGGAGTAGTATTGTGTTCTGATTTCAAACTGAATGAGTTTATTTAAGTCTGAGATTTACCGGTTTTCATTTGCAAACTATCGCAACGTAGGAATTCCCATCCATGGGTGTCTGACCACTAGCTTGTGGTCTTATTCGCTGTATGTATGAGCCCACGCTTCTCTTCACAAGAACGGACTCTGTTTCACACAGCGCAACTTATGGAAGTATTTTAGAGTCTATGTTGACTGAGATGAAAACCTCACCATGATAAATCTCTAAAGAACGCTGAAAAGAATGTCTTCTAGGCATTCCCTGGTAGGGTCTTACACCGGCTTAGAGTGCAGAATGAGACCATGTTTGGGCACGCTGCATATTGAGATTCAATGAAACTCTCACTGCTCTTTCATGGGTCTGGGACGAAAAGTCTCTAGTACTGAGAGGAATACTAGCGAAGGGGTTTCAAGCCGATTTTCACATTCCGGGGCTGCTGAATTTCAGTACTCATTGACGTAGACACGCCTAAAGCCAGTACAAACAATCGTCTAATGAGAGTGGGTACAAATTTCGACTTCATCAGTGAAAAAAACACAAAAAGAGTAACCCGTGAGATTGAACTACGACAATCGTGGTGAGGAATTGAGCCTCACGCGGGGGTCGAACCCGCAACCTTGAGATTAAGAGTCTCACGCTCTACCGATTGAGCTAGCAAGGCGGGTCTGATTAGATGACCGGGGCCTCCGCCGCAAAGCTCTTGTTGCGCGGCAGGTCCAGTCGTGGGCATCAAAATCGGCAGTAGGAATAGCATCTAGAATGGTGGTTTGATTTTTGTAACCTTTTGGATGTAGTCGACAGTTTGTGTTTGACAAGTTAAGACGCTCTACGAAATAAGGTTCACCAGTTAGCTTCCAGTTAGATAGTTCAACGCAATGGCTGGAAGGCAAGTCTTGCGAGACGCGACCAACTATATGCAGCCCTTTAGACTTGGAATGCATGATATGGCGAACGAGTCTCTCCGCAACGATGTCGTCGTAGGGTCGGTCTTTCTTGAAATATGGTAATGAGTTAAGTTCCTCGGCCATGAAACATGTTGATGACATGGGAAGTAGCTGAGGTAAACGGAACGCAGATTCTGAAGTCCGACAGATTATACTATCGATTATATGGCTCTAGTGCCTGGCTAAAATGACAATGGATTCTGACCAGGCTGATTTGCCTGAAAACGCATGTTGCATCGTTAATGGGTATGCAAGAAGCATGCCGAAGACCGAAAACGCCCGCTGAATAAAAAATCCCTTGGTATCCTCTTACACTTTCTGGTCTCATAATTACTTCGGGTTTGCTGGAGTACCATCTCCCAGCTCTGCCAGGGGAGCTGGAGGCGCTGTTGGTTTAGGATGAGGATGCTCGACACCGTCCAACTCGCTGACAGGATGAAGTTCCGGCGGAGGGCCAGCGTATAATGGATGTTTGGCGTAACCGTGGCCGGTCATGGAGCTCACATTACTATCGGTGTATGTTGACATGCGATGGTCGTCCATGGGAGGCGATTGCATATGCTTCATGGGGTAGTACGGCGAGTGAGGCGGGGAAGAGGACGCATATGACCCCGGGACGGCTGTTGTGGCGTATGATTCTATGCATGTCAGTCAGTGGCGCTCCTGCGGAATCCTTTGGTTCGGAGTAAGCTTACCACGTGCCGGGTCGTAGGGAATAGGGCTGCGTGATGGTTCATATGGCGAAGGGCTTTGTGGTGTCGACGCGAAACCCATCTCGGGATGGCCGGCCTGTGTAGCGGCTTCCCACTTCGGTTGCCGTCTCTCGTTGCGCTTTCTTGCGTGCCATCCGCACCTCCAGATGACGGCGATGATGAGACCGACGGCCACGGCAGCTCCGATCGCGATGCCAACAATGGCTCCCGTAGCAAGACCACCGCCACTGGATCCAGGAGTCGATGACGCGGACGGGGAGGGAGTCGTTGATGATACTTTTTCAGCAAAGAATGCTCTGTTGACGGGGTCGCTGCTGAGCTTCGCTGGGACCAGGTTGTTCTTTGGGCAGAGACCGTCCGGCTCTTCACATGGATTCGAGGCGCAACATCCGATGAATGGAAAGCTGTTCGTTCCCTCGTTTTTGCATGTGTACCAGTCATTCTTTCCTGCCGCGACGTCGCAGTCTTGTTGTTTGATGGCGGAGTAAACGTCGAGACTGAAAGACGATACTACTAGGTCTTTTGATGGGCACTTCCCGCCGTTCGTACAGGGGTTCGAATTACAGCAGCCGATAAATTCCGTCGCGTTGCCGGCGCAGATGTAGAAATTGCCGCCTTTGGGGCAGCTCAAGTCCGACATGTTGGTCGTTGGTGGGGGTTCCAATCGTAATTGTTGAGGGTCGCCGTCTTCTGTCACCCGAGGCCTTGTGAAGATGCGTTTAACAAGTAGATCGCGGAGTACCTACTCGCTCAAAAGTGGGCGTCGAGAAAGATTAAAGCGGCAGACTTGAGGAAACTGGAATGAAAGGTTTGATTGACAATCAAGACATCGATTGAGACGTATATAAGCGTAATCGAGGCTGGTTCCACCGTTGGTATGCAAACCAAGCCACCCCAGCTCGATCAGCTTGGCTGACCGGGGCTGTTATTTGGCAACTCGCTTTCCAACGGGGGCGTTGCTTCGCCAGCTTGCAAAAGCCCGGCCCGACGTGCAGCAGGCAGACGAATAAGTCAATGTCGCCGTTGGTAGTGCAAGCTAAGGATGTGCCAACATTGCACTTATTTCTCCACAGCCTCTCTTTTGGGGGCTGTTGACGGGCTGTTCGACTGCTTCTGGGAAGAGCAGGATCGATCCGCATATCAGGGTTACAAAGAATGTAGAGTTGATGCAGCCAAGCCCAGAGTCGACCAACTGCATAATTGACCTAGCAAGAGGTATTCAACTGAATGGCAAGAGCTCCGAGTTTGTCGCAATGGTAGTACTCGAGGTTTCGAAGTTGCATCAGCGTGTTTGCCATCGCAATTTCTTTGAGTAGACGAAAGGGAGTGTTGGGGTACTGAGACAGACCATCACGAGGGACGGCTGTTGTCGAACATTGAATTGTGAGAGTGAGACCTCGACGTGGCCAAGTAGGATAAGTTCATTCTTGGCCACAGTAGCCTTCTCCGCTTATCACCTTTGTTGGAACCGGCGCTCTCGGCTCTCGCATGTTTGCTGGGTGGCTGGGGGCTTTGCTATGCAGCTTGTTGGTGCCAGGATCACATGCGGAGCTCTTGGCTGCTCAGCTCCGAATCTGAGATCATCCATCTAAAAATAAGGTACAAGAAAGTTTGTCATCGCCGTACATGAGATGGATGGGGATGGGGGACCTCGACCATCCTTTCTCGCTGACGGTGCTGACAGTGCTGACAGGATTCGAATTTTACGAAGCGAACAAACTTTTTGACTGCTGAGCTCTGTTGGCCTTCCTCCTTGCGGCTGCCAATCTCAAGGTGCATGTGATGGGGAAATGAAGTGCAGGCTGTTGGAACGAAACCCGGAAAAGATGTGATTGAAGCCAACAAATAAAAGCAGTCGTGTCGTATGATATTTGTATATTATCCAACGATTTTCGCCCCCTGTCGTTGGTTTCGCGACCACTTGCTGTCGCCTGGGCATATCCGAGCAGTTGTGCGGGCGAAATGTTGCATAAATCATAAAACATCGCGAAAACACGATGCTATCTGGCTGGTCAAAAATCGAGTATTTGACCGCATCCCACATGGTGAGATCTGTCAAAATGTGTCATTAAACCAGGCTGAACTCGCCACCTCGTAAGTTGCCACGATCATGGGGCTGACTGACTCCTACTGTGATTCCATCCCACGGAGTTGGCAGAACTCAGCTGATCCGAAAAAATTGCAAGTTGTTGGAGTTTGGGAAGCACCAGCCTGATTGTCGACAAATCGTCCGAGGAATTGGGCGAAGCAGTTAGGAAATGAGAAATTTGAGCAGGATTAGCAATCAGATTATCAGGGAGAAGTTTCAAGAGGCTCGGATTGAAACGACCCTCAGTAAAACAAGTTGTCAGTGAAGGAGTCAGACGGATTCGGTCGCGGTTTTGTGGGATCGAACTGACTCTTATCCACGAACCGCTGGGCGATCATCATGGTCAAGGACCTTGGCTTTCAAAGAACATCGTTGAAACGAATTGGTAATCCAGAAATCTCCACGACGTTCGCTTGCGACCGTGGAGATCGTGAACGCATGCCACGCACGCAACTGCATCAGGTATACCGACGTGATTACCGGATCGGGAATCCTGCTTCAAGGACCGGCCTTGAGCGGCCGTTTTGTCAGACTGGGAGAACCGAAACTTTCGGCTCGGGCCACGAACACGTAATGAAGCCAATTCGGCCGTTGGCCGGGGTGGCTTGTCTTTCCCGTGTCACTTCGGACGGCCGCGCGCGCTTAGAACGAACTCGGCGGGCATTAAGCCGATCCCGTAGCGATGTTGAGCAAGTTCTGCCGGTAGGGCTTCATGCCGTAGTGGAGATGACGGCTCAAGGACGGTCGCGGGATGGGGACCGGGACCTTTCGGTGGCCCGGTCTGCCTCGAAGGATCGGGATGGTTTGCCGAATCTTGAGCATCCACCCCGGATCCTGACTCCTGATGTGAAGCTTCTGTGGGAACCGTTCGTCGGTATGCATGCTGCCGGCTCGCCAAGGGTGCGGTTCCCTTGTGAACTTGAGGCGACTACCATTCGAACATCCATCATGAGACGGAGGCTGTAGCATCCGACCTTACGCATCTCATCTTCCAAATCCCTTTCCATCGCGAGATCCAGTTTGCTATTTTCATTCATCAATACTAAAAGCTGACTCCTGAGTTTTCTCGCGGCCGGCGAGCGGATTCCTGCTGGACTCCGGACAGCAATACGGTCTCATCTGCGGACGTGGCACTGATCCTCTTGGACAACGTTGAGACTCGTGGCGCCGCCATGTCCTGTCGTCGACCGGCAACGTAGACGTTGATCTCACGATGTGGTGAACCGTGCCGGATTGTGGAGGTGGGACCCCGGCTCTTCCAGTCCTGGGACCATCGTAGCCCTCCCGACGCAATCGGCCCCATACCCGCATCACCTTCTGCATTCGTCGGATAGCGAGAGAGCGCGAGTAAGGCATAGAAGCCTACGATCCTCCCAGGGGCATCGCGCCGAAGCGGAAGAGCGACCGGCGCTGCTCGAGATAACGTCCAAGGGAAGCCAATGATGTCTTTGCGTGAAGCTTCCAAGACCGAGCAAAGGGGCCCGTCGCGGTGGAACAGTCCGCCTTGGTCTGCGTCCGGGGCTCGGTCCGGGCGGTTCATACAACTTTCTAATATTATTCGTACCTTACGCGCAAGACGGTGCGTACAGGTGCGTCGGGTCTTCGACGGCGCCAAGGGGAACCACCCGCGCTAATTCAGGGACGATCAGCAAAAAAAGAATAGGGATGGGCTCGTAGCGTGTACTCGGCTCTCGCCTTTCGTGCGGGAAGCGATGGATTGGTCCAATGTGGCCGCAGACTAGCGACCGAATTGGTGTCGTTTCACGGACGTCCGGCCGCGCACGTTCAAGTCCGGCGGTCTCTCCACGGGCCTCCGGTGCGACGAACTGGCTCTGCCTCGCCTGAAGTCGATCTCAAGTCGAGATGGGAAACAAAAGATCAACATGTCAAAATGTCGTATTTAAGACCCGGGATACAACCTCCAAATCAGGTCTCGAAACAGACGACAGAACTCAAACACTCACTCACCAACTCACTCACTCACCCGACTTCCTCGGTCTTCTCGACGACAACTTTTCAGCCTTACAACCCACACATAACCGACTTTCAACTCCAAAAAATCAGTCAAAATGCCTGGCCTTACCTCCGAGTCTAAGGGATCCAAGTACGACCGCATCCCGGGTCCCCTGGGTCTGCAGTCTGCTTCCCTCGCCGGCAAGGTCGCTCTCGTCACCGGTGCCGGTAAGTCCGTCTGATTTCCGCTGGAGGTTGCAGCCGACGACTGGCCGTATTCGGTCATGCCTCGGGGTCGCATATCGGGGTCCTGGTTCGTCTGATCTAAAGTTCAATGCACTAACATGAAGCCAACCAGGCCGTGGCATTGGTCGCGAGATGGCTATGGAGCTTGGCCGTCGTGGTGCGAAGGTCATCGTCAACTACGCCAACAGCGCCGAGACCGCCGAGGAGGTCGTCCAGGCCATCAAGAAGTCCGGTTCCGATGCCGCTTCCATCAAGGCCAACGTCTCCGACGTCGACCAGATCGTCAAGATGTTCGCCGAGGCCAAGAAGATCTTCGGCAAGCTCGACGTCGTCTGCTCCAACTCCGGTGTCGTATCCTTCGGCCACGTCAAGGACGTCACCCCCGAGGAGTTCGACCGCGTCTTCGCCATCAACACCCGTGGTCAGTTCTTCGTTGCCCGTGAGGCCTACAAGAACCTCGAGGTCGGTGGCCGTCTCATCCTGATGGGCTCCATCACCGGCCAGGCCAAGGGTGTCCCCAAGCACGCCGTCTACTCCGGATCCAAGGGTACCATCGAGACCTTCGTCCGCTGCATGGCCATCGGTAAGATTTGCGACATTTGACTCCATCGCCGTGATTTCGGATGCTAACAGTCTTCAGACTTCGGTGACAAGAAGATCACTGTCAACGCCGTCGCCCCCGGTGGTATCAAGACCGACATGTACCGTGACGTCTGCCGCGAGTACATTCCCGGCGGTGCTGAGCTCGACGACGAGGGTGTCGATGAGTACGCCGCTGGCTGGTCCCCCATGCACCGTGTCGGTCTCCCCATCGACATTGCCCGTGTTGTCTGCTTCCTGGCTTCCCAGGACGGTGAGTGGATCAACGGAAAGGTCCTCGGCATTGACGGTGCCGCCTGCATGTAAACTACCTAATGTAATTGGGATCGGAGTTAGGGCTCGTCTGGGCTGGTAATGGCAAATTGGATCAACTGTAATCTTAGAGTAAGACTTGGGATATAATGAATAAAGACCTTATGCCCCATCAGAAAATGAGATTCCTATCCGCAGTGAGAAATATCGAAACAGTGAATAGAATCTTTCGCCTCCGACCTAGTCCCGCTGGGCGGGTGTGAACCTCACTCCATCGGCATCGGTGGCGGCCGTCCAGACCAGCAGTCCTCGACATTCGAGTGATCACGCTCGTCAAGAGTCTTTGGAACCAGGACAATCCGGGGTGACGAAGAGAAGAGGACGATAAAAAAGACATAGCACAACAGGTGCGTCGATGACGTGCACCATCATCCAACTTGGTTGAGCAATTCCCTTCTCATGCGAAGAGGGAGGCATCAATCAGGAACTCTGTCCATGCAATCCGGCCTCTTCAATAAAAGGGACCAAGAACATATCGCCAACTCATACACAGATGAGTAGAGCAACGCGAGAAGGACCAGACATTATTTCTGATTGAAAAAGCTATTTACGAGAAAAGGAAATGCCGTAGAGACATCAAATTATATGACAAAGATTTACAACATCCGCCTGGCAGGAGCAGTCTCGTTGACTCCACCGTACACGATGCGGAAGGGGTTGGTCTCGGTGGTATCGTACTCCTCAAGCTTGGAAGCATCACCAAAGACGCGGAGGGCCTTGACGGCGAACTTGTACTTGCCAGCAGGGGCGTATGTGCCGTCGTCAAGCTGACCGTCCCAGTTGACGGAGAAGACGCCGCGCGAGACGTAGAGGTAAGGGAAGGATCGGGGCTGGCCGATGGTCTTGGTGCCGAAGACCTCCTTGGTGATGTTGGGAGGGCAGCTGGTGAGGGGAACAAGGTCGGCGCGAACGAAGGAGGAGCCGAAGGCCATGTTGACCGCAAGGGCGGGGATCACGGCATCGGTTTCGTTGGCGGTTCCAGGGGGAGGGAGGATGTAGGTGTAGTTGGAGGGAACCTCCTCGTACTCCTCGGCCTTGGCGCTCACGGAGGTGGTCATGAGGGCCTGGTCGAGGGTGACATGGCTGTGGAGGCTGCCACCGATACCCTGGTAGGGCAGGATGATGCTGGAGCCATCGGTTCCGTTAAGGGCGATGTAGCCGGACCAGACGGGGAGACGCTCGGCGACGAGGCCGGCGGGAGGAGTAGGGGTGACGAGGACGGTGGCCTCACCGCCAGCAAGGACGGAGACCTTGGACTCGCTGAAGCCCAGAGTAGCGTACTCGGCGGTGAGCTCGTTGGGGAACGCGGCGGGGAAAAGGTCGCCGGCGGCAGCGAAGGTGTAGGCGGTGGCGGCGCCGATGTTGCTCAGCTCGTAGGTAACTTCCGCGGAGCCGGTGTTCTTGATGGTGAAGTTCAGCTCGGGAATGAAGTTGTCGGTGTCGTTGAATGAAAGGCTGGAGGCGCTAAGAATGACCGAGGAGTGAGCGGCATCGTAGGCCTGGACGAGACCAGCTCCCTGCTGGGGAACAGGGGCGAGAAGCTCATCGGGGCCGGTGCCGTAGTTGAACTTGACGGGGTTGGCGTGGGCAGAGAGAACGTTCTCAATGGTGGCGGGGTCGAGGGTCTTGCGGACCTCACCGATCAGGGCAACAATACCGGCAGTCTGGGGGCAGGACATGGAGGTACCGGAGAGGACAGCGTAGCTGCCAAGGGCGCGAGGGTAAGTGCTGAGAACGTTACCTCCAACGGCACCAAACTGCGGCTTCTGGAGACCATCCCAGTTAGGGCCCCAGGAGCTGAAGCTGGAGACAGAGCCACCGGTAGCGGTGTTGGCAGCTTCGGTGAGAATCTGCTCGGCCTCCTTAGGGTCGGTCATGTGCAGAGTAACCTCAGTTCCGGCAGCCAGAGCCTCGAGCCAAGGAGCGGCCTGCTCAGGAGTGGTCATGCCAACGGCCAGGATCTCGGGAACGGACGTGACAGTAACGGAACCAGCACCGGGGGCGTTGTTGTACAGCATGAGGTACTTCGCACCCTTAGCAGCAGCGTTCTGGGCCTTGGCGACGAAAGTGCAAGTTCCACGCTTGACGAGGACGATCTTGCCGCTCAGGTCAGGGGTGTCGGCGGGGTAAGGGTCGCAGCCGAGGGCCGCAGTGGAGCTAGAGTCGGTGCTGACGGTCCAAAGGGGGAGAGAAACACCGGCCCAAGCATCGGGCTCACCGGGAGTGTAGGTGAAGTTCTGGGGCTCGCCGTCGCCGATGGTGTAGGACTGCTCGATCAGCACGGCAGGGGTGATGACGTTGTCGAAAGAGGCGATGGCAGTGACGCGCTTACCGCTGGCGGCGGTAGAAGCGAAGAAGATACCCTGGTCACCAGAGTTACCGGCAGAGACGGTGCAAGGAACACCGGCCTCCACGATTCTGGAGACAGTGGCGGCCCAAGGCTCGTCAGTCCAACCGGAGGGACCTCCGATGGAGGCAGTGATGATGTCGCTACCATCCTCGTAGGCCTTGTTGTAAGCGGCGATCAGGACGTCGTTGGAGACTTCACCCTCGCAGCCAAAAACCTGGATCGGGGAGTGTCAGCTTATGAGTTCGGGGTACGCGGCCGGCGTTCAGGATAATGTGGATGCTCAGTCCGGAAATTGCGGCGCGGGTATCCACCCGCGACCCGGAGGTTGATTTCCCGAGGAGAGGCAGAAGTGAGTGTCACATACCTTGTAGGCGCCAAGAGTAACACCAGGAGCAGTACCGGTGAAACCGAAGGGGTTGGTCTGAGCGGCAATGATGCCAGCAACGTGGGTTCCGTGACCACCACAGTCCATGGGATCCGGGTCCGGGAAGTGCTCATTGTAGCCATCGTAAGCGTCACCGACGAAGTCGGTTCCGTAGCTCACCAAGCAGTCGGAGCCAAAGCAGCCGCCAAGGGCAGGGTGAAGGTAGTCAATGCCAGTGTCAATGACGGCGACCTTGAGACCCTTGCCAGTGACACCATCAGCGTGAAGCTTGTCAACGCCAGTCATGACGTGCGTGCTGAACGTGTCGTTACCCTCCTGTCGCTTTCTCAAGTCGATATAGTCGCGTCCCTGCTGGCCCGTCCATACGATCTCCGGCTGGGGGATTCTGTAGGTTCGGACGGGGTACATGGCCTTGACGGAGGGAAGCTGGGCCAGCTTGGCGGCCTTCTCGTCGGCCGTGTCGAGGTTCTTGAAGCGGATCGAGGCACCCTTGAACAGAGAGTAAGTCAGGTTCAGGCGGGTGATGGCGTCGACGTTCGCCTCGGCGTAGAAGTCGGAGGCATCCTAATGTTTGCTTCAGTCAGTGACTGTCGTTCGATACGAGGCAACTCTGTAAACTCACCTGTCCGTCCTCCAACTCGACGATGAAGGCACCGGGGACGGTCTTGGGGGAGTGCGTCTTTCCCTGAACGGCGGAAGCCGCCGCGAGGAGCGGCAGCAAGAGACTGCTACGAACCATGGTGTTTGGCTGACGGATGACCTGGGGGAGACCGAAGCTGAAGACCAGAGGCACAACTCATGAGAGAGGCGCGCCGGGGGCACAACTTTTATAAGTCCGCCCAGATAATGTCGTATCGTAGAACAGGCTTCGGCGGGGGTCCTGTCCCGCAGACCTTGGCAGGACGGTCCTCATCAGCGGGCCCTCCCAGCTCGGGGAAGACTGGCCTGTCGTTGTCGTCATGAAATGAATGGACAACATGGGGTTCCAGACGCTTGCTCGGCCGGGCAGGTGGACAGCCAGACAGTCAAGGACAACGACGGAAGGGAAAGTGCAAACGCGCGAGATAGGCAGTGTGGCACGGGATGGTGTCCGGGGTATTCTGGCAGGGATAGATGGGATCATGGACATGGGGGCCCCAACATGGAGACCCCAAGCAGAGCAAGAGAGGCGACGGCCGGGCCAGGACATGAGAAATTGCAGGGACCGTATGCAGTCTGCGCTGCTGCGGCGCTCGCGACGAAATGCGACCGCGAAGAAAGGAGCGAACGGCGATCAGCATATGAACGTTGCTTTCTGAGCTGCCTCAATGAGGCTCCTCACTGGTGGAGGGAAGCATGATTGATTAATTGGCCCTTGTCATTGGATTAATCTGCCCAGATGGCCTTCCTATCCGGGTAAGTGTCTCCGCTTGTCGTTGGTGGTGAGGGACCAGAGTCGAGGTTGTTTTCGTGAATCATGAAGGGGGGCTCCTGGTCGAGCCGAATCGCAGTGGAAGTGAGAATGCGGCTGCCGTAGGGGGAACTGGCCATATGGTGGCGAAGCTATCGCCGGAATTCGATTGGTAGAGGCGGGAGATCGAGACAGGTTCGTGGGAGATCTCTGGGCGTCAAGCCAGCGGCGCCACCATCTTTATCCAGGCCGTTGGCCGTGGAGAGACTTGAAGACTTGAAGACCTAGAGGGTCTTGTTGCCGACGGCAAAAAGACGTTATTGCACTCAGGTCTATGGGCGACAGCTCGATATCTACTCTGAACGTCGCCCATCATTGGATCATGTACTTTCGTCGTCTCAGATGACCCGGCTTAGATTTGGAACGGTTATAGACATTAAGGTTGATGATGCCTAGTCCATCTGATAAATCTGAGACCATTCGCCAGTGAGACTCAGTTTCTCGGCCAAGAGGCCAAGAGGCCAAGGCAAGTCGACTGCCGTGGTAGCAGTGCATCGCGGTCGCGTACCTGAATGCCCTCGTGTTCTGTGGAGCTCAGCGTACCACGGCAGCATCCACGCGGGGAGGGGCATCCCGGCCGTGATGTGGGCTCGGGCGATTGCGTTGGAAATGGTACCTGGCACGTCAATGTCGGCCGAGGTGGCATGTCGTCTGAGAATTCAGATGAACGATCCAGCTTCAGCTGTCGACGATTGACCAGGAAGGTTCTCACCCCGATACACAACGGCCGCAGTAGTTGAATTGGGCAGGAGTTTGAGAAGGACCTTTTGCTAGCCGGCATCGCCTATTCTTCCGCATCAATAGACCGTCCCCGCATAGCTTCTTGAGGGAGGCAAAAGCGATGAGGGGAACAGGTCCAGAAGGGCTGAGGAGGGGCTATCATCCCATCATCCATGGCTCCCCGTCCGCCTGGGTCTTCATCCGACTCACCTGCCGAAAAGTCGATAACGCGATGGCCACCTCCGGACGGACCTAGCCCGGACACAGAGGTCTACGGGATGCGGGATGTTCTGCAAAGCAACGCTGCATGGTTTGCGTGTGATGCCAATTCATTCTCACCGGGTGATGACTGAGGATTGATTTGCCTCCTGAGACGAGACGACAGAGGCAAAATTCAGGATTCCGAGAAGATGCTCGAAAGAAAGACACAAACGGGACCTGGGGAAGCGACCGAAGGTGGAATCTCAATCAGCACCCTGGAAAAGAAAACATGACCCAGTATTGATACGCCCGGACCAATGTCTGACAGGCCCCTTTTGCTGAGCCAAAAGAGGATCATGTCCCTGTGAGCTGCTAGGGCGATCTGGGAAGTTCGGGTACAGGCCGCCGCGCGGGAGAGGAGTCGAAGAACTTTTGATATGCAGGTCCGAATTGCCTTCGAAATGCTTAGCAAACGAATGGGCGATTCGTTTACGTTTCCGATGAACACGAACGGCTCAATGAGAATGTTTAAGAAGGTCATTAAACACCCATTAACCTAAAAATGGATGCCAGGGGTCACTGACTCTCACCCGATGGGGATTCCTTACTCGTGACAGCCCGCAGCGCTTTAACTTTCTCAATTTTGAGGAATTGGCTCGCTTTAATTACAATTAACCTTAATGTTTCCCCTTAACTTTGTCTCCGCGGAACTCCCGAAGAACTCGGGAACCTGAGTCTAGTGTAAACTCTTAACGACTACATGTGGTGATTTGCAGAGCGACCATCAACGTGCCCAGCGGAAGGCATGTCTCATGGTGAACGTTTGCTAAACATGTTTTCCGAGGAGTAAGACAAACACGTTTGTTCAAAACAGAGAAGACCTTGATGCCAAGATGATGATCCCCCAGGGAACCCTAGGCCGTAGGAAGAGGCCCTGACAGCCAAGCCCGCTGCGGGATGGAGCTGTGCCTTGCAGATGCCACCGTCGTAGCCCGCACGATCCGCAATGCCCGTCTGGCTGCTGGGCGCTCGGCGCCGTATGCTGTTGCGTGACCGGGCCGATAGTAAAAGGTTGGTCAGATGACTAGTAGGCTAAGTCTGCGGCAAAGTAGAAGGACTGAGAAATGCAGCAGCTGTGTTACTCGAGTACAATTACGTAGTATTATGAAAGTTGGTTTAGCTTCGGGTTGTGTAAGAGTGTAACCGGGATGTTGTAGTTATCTATCATGCAAGCAGCTCTCTCGCAACCTCATATGAGTTGATGTACGCAATGCCTTCCTTTCTCCACGTATCGTCCTCCACGAAACTGTTGCTCGCATTCAGAACCATGTTCTTTGGTGCGCTGAGATCATACTTTGGCCATGTCGGCAGCAGACCGTCCCTCTTCGTGACGTTCCCGGCCTTCGGGTTGGGATCCAAGTTATTGACGAACCGAACGTAGGCCTGCCCGATGCCCCGAGCCAACTCCACGTGGCTATCAAACTCGGGCGAAGGTCCCAGCAACCCAGTGATGTTCTGGAAGCTGAAGGCCACGTTATCGAAATGTTGCACTCCCTCAATTTCCGTTCTGTTCCACAGCCGCTGGTCAAATCTGTAGCTGTACACCGTCTGTCCCACCTCGGGGCCCGCATACAGCTCGCACATCTTCCTGCGGCCCGAGATCATGACCAGGTCCCCACCGATCGACGCGCCCCGTCGCCATTGCAGACCCTTGGAGGGGAAGACCGAACAGTTGGTGATGGAGTGCGGCGGCTGCGTGCACGGGTCGTTCGGGTAGAGGTCGAAGAACTTGCGGATCGTCGGCGGCGAGAGCGCGTAGGACCGCCAGAACATGAATCCGTTGAGGAGGTTCTGCTCGTTGTCGGGTTTCGGGCTGTTCGGGTTGAAGTTGATGCCCTCATCACTATTGGCGCCCGTCAGGAGTGGGACCTTGACGAACTTGCCCTCGCGGATGAGCTGGCTCGGATATCCCGTCAGGAAGTTTCCGTCGACGAGAGGGTTCCAGACTTGGCTCGGCTTCGCAGCAAAGAGGTCCGCCTGACTGAGGCCCCGGAGGCAGGCGAGCTGGTCTTTGGCGGTCCAGCAGCCGGTTGTGCGGGTGAGATTCTCCACGGGTACGGTGTAATAAGCAAGGTCTTGGACCTGTGCTCCGGTCGGCCCGCCGCTTTCGAGAATTGCGGCGCGGTAGAGGCCGTCGTCACGGCCGTCATAGCTGAAGAGGTGATAGGCAATAGACTGGGCCCCGGCACTCTCTCCCCAGATTGTGACCCGGTCCTTGTCCCCACCGAACGCGGCGACGTTCTCTTGGATCCATCTGAGAGCTAACCGCTGGTCCAGAAGACCGGCGTTGCTAGAGCCTTCGGCGAGTAGCTGTGGAGTTTGCAGGAAGCCGTACATGTTGAGACGGTAGTTCATTGCGATGGCAATGATGGGTTCCCCCATGTCTTGACTGACTTTAACAATACCCGACAGGTTATACTGTGGGTCGGCCTGCAGATGGTCTTAGTGAGATGTGCGATGAATACTCAAGAGAGTGATCGTACAATAGCACCCGTGTATAAACCACCCCCATATATCCAAACAAGCACTGGCAATGGCTTCTTGGGATTTCCGGCGGGACGGACAACGTTGAGTGTCAGGCAATCTTCCGACATGTTGAAGTTCCCCCTATACTGCATGCAGCTGTATCCTTGCTGAGTGGCATCTCGTACGTCGTCAAAGGAGGTGTTGAGACTCTCGGGCCAACGATATCTGAGCTGACCGACTGGAGGTTGGGCAAAGGGAATACCGAGAAATGCATCTTGGTCCCATTCCGAAAGGTGTCGGCCCCTGTAAGTGCCGTTCACTACTTCAGCGGTAGGGTCTTGGGCAACAACGGCCCTCAAACATGCCACAACGGCAGATGCTAGATACCGAAACCGAGCCATGGAATCGAAGAGAATACACTGCTGTGCAAAGCAGTCTATTTCATGCTCATTTCTTCATTGTCCTGCTTATATACGCTGGCAGCGTAACAGTACTCTTTGTCTTGTCACCGCTGAACCGGCTGGAAGACCTCAAAGGTCCCCGGCCTGATTGGAGGAAAATCGATCAACATATTGGAAGCCTCATAGCCCTGAATACCCATGGCCGGATAAAATAAGCGTCTTTGATCTGGGGTAAATCATTGGAGTAGAATGCGGGGGATGCGGGGGACGCTGTCGATGGCCTACGAACCGGCCGGGAAGCGATCTCGAGTAGGATTGAATGCCGGGCTTCGGATATTGAAAAGAACTGTGATAGGCGTCAGTAACCTCGAGAAATCTTTTCCGGTACCAAGAATCGCTTACTGCAGCAGGGCGTCTGCAGTTAAGAGCAGAGCCGAGGAAGTCGGACGGAAGAATTGAGGCCATTCAGGGTGACATTGAAGTCGGGGCTCTAGAGGCCACTGAAATGAAGATGTGCTGTGAATGAAGGGGCATTGTCTGAGATAAACCTAGTATCCAGGGTGCTCAATATCGCTCCGTTTGTTGGAGGCCGTAGTTCTGATGAGACCTTTTGGTAGCAAGAGATTTGGATGAGTTTGAGGGTGAGATTCACCATGAGACTCTCATGGGTGAGACACCGTGCATTCGGCCAGACACTGTATGATCAGCACAGTGACCCGGCTAATCTCCGGGAGTTGGTCCGGTTCCATTGACGTCAACCGGGCCGAGCTTAGAAATTTGGATTGCAGAGCTTCCGATTCTGAATTGTTTGCCGGGAACTCAATTTGACCTCGCCGACCCTGAATCGCGACCCCTCAACGCGTCTATTACCGGGCTTCTCGTCTATATCGAATCCCTTTCCCCGAAAAACAAGTTCACAATTTTCAATATGCTCTGCCGATCGTGTCGGCGCGCAGTGGCGCTGTCCAAAACCAGCCCCAGCAACCTTGTCTCCAGAGCTTCCGTCGCAAGCTTCCCGGTCGCAACAAGAAGCTACTCCTCGATCGCTTCAAGAACCAATGCTTCCACTGCTTTCGCCTGCCAATCGTCATCGCAATCGAATTTCCAAATACCTTCCCAGCGTGCCTACTCCACGGCCGAGACCACACCGACACTCGAGAAGCCCGACCACCTCGACGCCGCCGAGTCGACGATATGGGATAAGCTGGTGGCGGAGTTCTCCCCTTCGGAGCTGATAGTCCAAGATGTCTCCGGCGGCTGCGGCTCCATGTACGCGATCGACATCACCTCGGCAAAGTTCAAGGGCGCCAACATGCTCAAGCAACAGCGCATGGTCAACGCGGTGTTGGGCGACATGATGAAGCAGTGGCACGGCGTCCAGCTGAGGACAAAGGCGCCTTGAAAACAGGCGCAATAGACGGAACTTGGCGGCGAAGGATGTATACTAGACGACGGTGTATCAACACAACTATACCTCACGGATAATCTCCTACTCGAAGAAAAGACAGGGCTCGGACTAGCGATGCCGGATAACTGGGCTTTAGACGATGAATTGAGCTTGAATGATTACGAATTTCGACATTAAGACCTCTGAGTGTCGAGCATAGTGCAACTGTAAGCGCCCACGATCTTCGCATGTTTATCCTGCCTCGACATAGGTCGCGGATGACTTCAATTTTTGTCTTGCTTTAGTACATTCCTTCATCAGTCGAGAACGTCACATGCTTTTCTCTCTAAATGGCAGCATCTTAGCCTCGTTCACCCTACACTTCCTATCAAGAAATTCTCTATCGGCGGTCTTAACTGTTCAGCCAATGACATCTATCCTATTACTCCTCCTGCCCGCTGAGTGGGACTCGAATGGATCATCTCGGAGCTTTAACCCATTCTTCGAAACCCCAAGGTCCAATGGGATTCTTGCCGTTACTTCACCCTGCCGAATGCCCTCAAGAACGTCGGGTTCTTGCCACACTCTGATAATGGCCCGCTGCAGCGTCGGCCGAGTCGCTTTCGTTCTCTCTACGTTGGTTCACAATCACCCAATCGCAGCGGTCCCTCGTCGTCTAATGTAGATGGGACCGCTTAGCGAGAGGTCGTATCTCACTGGCTATGATCGCAGTTCGACAGGGGAAACAATGCAGTCAGCTTTTGGCGAGCCGTTGTGAAAGTCCAACGGCAATGGCCAAGATTCCTGCGGAGTTTGTGCGCTCCGAACCCAGGCGGCCCGGACCACTGACGGGCTACGACCCCCGGCATTCAACATCGCCATCCCCTGCTCAAGACCGTCGGATATAACGCTGGCCAGCGTTAGAATGCCCGCTAAAGATGTAGGTCAAGCGCTTGGAGCGGGGAAGATGTTGGACGAAAACGATGATCGCAGTGAAGCATGTTGCCATTAAAAAGATTATCATCAGACCAGATTCTATAACTAGTGTTGTCTGCCGTTCGGTAATCCTCAACCTGCGGCCGACTTATGCAGGCACAAGTCGCATGATGGCTTTGTCGGACCTGATCTCAGGCTTTACCGCCTTCTCAACGCCTCTGTACCTCGTCGCTGCCAGCGTGGTTTACTACGTCGTCTCCTCGGTCGTAGCATGGCGTCGTCTCAGCAGCTTCCCCGGACCGTCGCTCGCCCGGTTCTCCTACCTCTGGAACATATCCAACTCCCGCACCGGGAGACCGGCAGAGACCTTCACGGCACTGAATCGCGAACACGGCCCTTTGGTTTGCATCGGGCCAAATGATCTCGTCACGGACGACCCGGAAATCCTCCGGCGGATGAACGGAGCCCGCTCGACCTACAACCGCTCGTCGTGGTACAACGCCGCCAAGTTCAACCCGCACACCGAGGCCATGTTCAGCATGCGAAACGTCAAAGAGCACGACAAGATGAAGGCCCAAGTCGCCTTCGCGTATTCGGGCAAGGAGAACGATTCCCTCGAGGCCAGTATAGACACTCAGCTTGCGAATTTCATGGACCTAATCCGGAGGAAGTACCTCACCAAAGGCGACGACGTCAAGCCTATAGACTTTGGCGGGGCGGTTCAGTATTTCACCCTGGATGTCATCACGGAGATCGCGTACGGCAAGGCTTTTGGGTATTTGGCTACTGACTCGGACGTACACGACTATATCAAGACAGCCGAGGACGTAGTCGAGTGGTTGCAAATCTTTGGGGAGACTCCCTTCTTCGTGGACATTCTCTGGTCGAAATGGATTCTCGGAGCTGTTGGGCCGAAGCCCACGGATAAGTCGGGAATGGGCAAGATGATGGGGTATGTCCCTCGTTTTCTCCTGTGGATTGGATAGCTGCTGACTAGCGAGCAGAGTCGCGAGAGATGTCGTTGCGAAGCGATTCGAGCCCGATAGCAAGGACCAGCGCGATATGCTGGTAAGCGGTCGTCGATTAAGTTGGCGGGTTCTTAACTAAACTTGACTGATAGGGTTCTTTCCTTCGACATGGCCTTTCCCAAGCTCAAGCTGAGCAGGAAGTTCTATTCCAGATCACCGCCGGATCCGACACCACGGCCACAGCTATTCGTACGACGCTTCTATATCTCATGACTCTGCCTCGGGCATACCACGCTCTGAAGAACGAAATCAACACCGCCATCAAAGAAGGTCGCGTCTCGTCGCCCATCACGGTCGAAGAGGCCAAGCAGTTGCCTTACCTTCAGGTACTTATTCTCACATGAGTTCAGCGAGTCGGTATTGACGCGCATAGGCGATTATCTACGAAGGTCTTCGCATGAATTCCCCCTTCACAGGCCAGTGCTCGAAAGAGGTCCCTGCCGGAGGAGACACGATCAACGGTAAGTTCATTCCAGGTGGGACGCGCATCGCGCAGAACTTCTGGGGCACGCTGCGTCGCCTCGATGTCTTCGGCAAGGATGCGGATCTCTTCCGCCCGGAGAGGTGGCTGGAGGCCGACGAGGCGACAAGGGATAACATGGTGAGAACGACGGAGTTGACGTTTGGCTACGGTCGTTGGGGATGTTCGGGGAAGAATGTGGCGTTTATGGAGTTGAACAAGGTCTACGTTGAGGTAAGTCGCGTAAATCCGAGACTGAAGGTCGATGCTTATCGTTGTGATAGCTGCTTCGCCGTTTCGATCTGCAGATTGTCTATCCTGGGAGGGCCTGGAATAGCGTGAATCACAACTTGTTTATCCAGAAGGAGTTTTGGGTCAGAGTCACAGAGGTAGAAGGGTTCGAGGAGTAGGCAATACAACGTCTACAAGGAGATTTTAGTTGGCAGAGTTGCTGTGCAGGTAAATGTACCGAGGAACGTTAGTTGCAACGATCGGGTCACGGGTGCAATTCTTTGACATTGCGGTGCCTTGTTCAACCAATTATTGATGTTTGCAAACTCATCTTGTCGATTGGAGGCACAGATGTATCTTGTTATGGATTGCCTCGACACAGATGAGTGTGCATTGCCCTTCCTCGGTTCCAGATGCCGAGTGTATTGCCCCTTCTCAGTGACCGGCCGTTATGGACTTGTTTAGCCGAAACGCTTCAGTCTGCCACCCTTCAGTTCCAATCGAATGTCATCTTTAATTACCGATTTAAAGATCTCTGGCTGCCGCATTTGTGCTGTTGTTTTGGGTCGGACTTGGATCCCCTGCCACGGAATGGGAACACCAAACTTACACTCACTGGCGTGGAACCGTCAGTGCAGAAACACTGAACAAGCTGAGTTAAGCTCTCGGGCCCTGCCGGTTGGTTCTCCGCCACAAAACAGAACCATAATGGGCCAAATCGCAAAAGCCACCCACTCTAGACTGCCGAAAATCAAAGAAAACGTGATGACTGCTGTGGATGAGCGACTCAAACGGCGATTTCGGTGTCGGTGACTTGACTCTCGCATGCATAAGCTTTGCAGGAGCGTAAGATCGCATGAGTCAAGCATGCCTTGGTGGCTCAGTGGTAAAGCGTCTCACTCGTAATGAGAAGATCGGGCGTTCGATTCGCCCTCGAGGCAATGATTCGTTTATTTTGCCATTTTTGGCTAATTTGAGCGAGTATGCACTGCTGACTGGGATCGTGATGACCTGAGGAAAGCTCAGAAGGTCTTGAATTGTTATAAACCATCTTTGAATATGGCGGCAAGCCGCATCAACTTTTACTCAAGGTATCTGAACTATTTGGCATCTCCCTTCTTGATCAGGTGGTTGAAGAACTCGCCCAGAAACAAGGCCGATCTCTTCGGATACCGCGTCTTGTCCGGACTATCAAAGTCAATCCACGTCGCGCCAAACCTGTCGGAGAAGCCTGCCGCCCACTCCCAGTTATCAGTAAAGGTCCAGCCAAAGTATGACTTGATCACAACACCCTCCTGCGATGCCTTGGCAACCTCCGTCAGATAACTCTTGAAGAAGTCAATTCGGAACGGATCCTCAAGGACATCGTCCGGCCCCTTCGCCTTCCAGTCATGCTCCCCCTTCGCTGTCGTGCCATTCTCAGTGATGTAGATCGGCACCCCGTACCGGTTCCAAATCCAGCGCAACAACTTCGCCCACCCCCACGGCGTCGTGCGCAGCCAGTACGTGTCGCTCATCGGGCCTCTCGGCACACCCTGCTTGTTCTCGTCGAACTGCTCAATATTGCCCTTGTGGTCGTTGATGTCCGCCGGTCCGTCGCGGTGACGGACGTAAAAGGCAGAGTACGAGTTCATCCCGTAGAACTCGGAGCTGCCCAGCACCAAGTTGCTCTCCTCGGGCGTGAACCGCGGAAGCCGGTCACCCAGCTGCGCGCGCATCGAGGCCGGGTAATCCCCCGTCTTATACAGCGGATCGGCAAACCACGCAATCTCGAACTCGCGTGCGCGCTCAGCGGCCTCGACATCGAGAGGGTCCGACTCGTCCCAGGGCTCGGACCAATTCCCGTGCAGCGTGATCATGATTTTGCCCTTTTGCGAGGGCTTGAACTCCTTCTTGTACATGTCGGCGACGTACGCATGGGAGATCAGCTCCGTGTGTGCGACGATGAAGGGTTCCGTGCTGGAATCACCCTCCTGGTTCAGCTCACGGAAGCTGGATCTCGCTGGGGCGTGAACGCCGGCCGCGTAACCTGCCAAAGTGTACACGCCGGGCTCGTTGTACGTGATCCAATCCTTGACGCGGTCGCCGAATCTCTCGAAGCAGACGCGGGCGTAGCGGACAAAATCGGGCGTGTACTTCTCCTTGTCAAGCATGCCGCCGTATCGATCCTCGAGGGCCTGCGGCGTGTCCCAGTGGAAGAGGGTGACGAAGGGGGTGATGCCGTTGGCGAGGAGCTCGTCGATGAGGCGATTGTAGTACGCGATGCCCGCCTCGTTCACCGGGTCGTCTTTCCCGCCAAGAGGGATAATGCGCGACCAAGAAAGAGAGAAGCGGTAGCCAGTGACGCCGTAACGCTTCATAAGAGCCACATCGGTCTTGTAGAGGTCGTAGGACCGCACAGCGTCGTCGCCGGTGCTGCCATCCTTCACCTTGCCTGGAGTATGTGCGAACTTGTCCCAGATTGACTCCCCTTTCCCATCTTTGTCCCACGCTCCCTCGACTTGTGCGGCGGCTGTTGCGAAGCCCCATGTAAAGTCGGAAGGCAGGGCGCCCTTGATAGCTTCGTCAAAGTCCTGTGAGGCCATGATTGCTTAGCGGATGATGTAAAGTGTAGAAAACCACTGCTTTACCTTGAGTCCTGACTTAGGTTCCCGTCGGACAGTCAGTACCTGCAATGCCCAACCCCACCTCACGATCATGTGCTGGTACCTGAAGCTTTCATGATGCGATTTCAATGGACGAGCATTCCTGCGTCGGGATAAAGTGATGTTGATTCGTGGAGAGGGTATGTCGGTCGCAGCTGGCCCGAAGATCGCAGGGCGGATATGTCACTTCAGTGGAGTCTGCGCGAGCTTCAGCGTCTCGAGGACCACGGCGGAGCCCGGAACCCTCTCGACGTGACAGAACCCTGGCTTAACGACGACGTAAGCTGCGAAATGATTGTTCTGAATAGGTCTCAATTCATTCTGCTAACGATTTCCTCGAATTGGTAACTTCTGGGCGAGTCTAGCCAATGGGCAGTGCTCCAAGACGCAAGCTCAACCAGATCTTTGTAGTGGGCAGGGGACCCCGACTCAGATCGTGGGGTATCGGCGCTCAGTTAACGGCCCGGAGGACCGAACGTGTTGCGGCTCCCAATTGACCTCCGGAGACCGGACTGCACCTATGACTACTGGTCACTCCGTCGTTGAATTTAATTTTTGGCTCTGTCCTACCGACAATCATTTCACATAGGCCCATGAGACTTGCATCTAAGATTTCCCTTCAGATGCTCTGCTGATGGCACGTATTGTTACTGCGTTTGCGATACTTCCATGATGCTACTTCGTTCTCATCAACACTGTTCCCACCAAGAAATAACTCCAGATTTCGAAGATAACTGTATAAGCGAGAAGCGTTTTATGCATATATTGCTGACGAAAGCCACGCATCTACCGCAAGATCATCTTTCCATCTACATGTGAGATGGCTTAATAAATCGGAGCCTTCGGATTCTATTCACAAGAACCTTCACTGGAGACGAGGCCAGAGTCGGGAAAGAAATTGGAGGTAAACGTGATTCTAATCAACACTTAGCATGGTTTGCTGTCTCTGATGGTACTCCTTGATCTCAGCTAGAACTTGAACCATGAGCCGGAGAGAAAATAGCCACTTCCCAGAACTTGGATCTGTTAGAACTGCTATACAACCACTTTCTCAACCTGGTAATGATCATGAAAATTTCGGATATACAGGAAACAAGCCCTGAATAAATGGAAAAAATACCTGAAATTGCATAAAGAAGAGTTGCAGCTCGGGTTTCTCGACCTTGTTAACACACCATGCAATGAAGCCCGATATGATGTCATCACATAATGTTCACGACGCTGAATTGACGCGGAAACCATTTCTAAGCCCGCGATGAACATTTGAAGTTATGCCATACGGACCGTTACAAGTTCGTCAGCTGGGTTCGTAAGGTGGCTTAGACAACCTAAATGCATGACCCCCGAGCGGCCGCAACAGCCGAAACGGTTAGACCACCGGTAGAGGCATAAAGTCGCGCCAAGCAACAGACCACTTACAACTCGCACATCTTCAGTTAACCAGATACAATCCCAAAAAGATCCCACAAGATGCTTCATCTCAACAGTCCGGGGACGTCATGCGGAGATTGCGGGCGTCTTTCATTCAATTAGCGAATACTAAAAGGGGGATTCCCGCCGCTTACGGTTTACCTCGTCCTACGATCCTGGAAATCGCTCATACAAGTTGCACAACGGCGATTCTTCTGATGACCGAAACTACTGGAGGCCTCTTCCATTCTCACGGTATATCGACTTGGGAAATCTGGTGGGAGATGACGAAGACGATGCTATGAGGGATAATTCGCACGAAGCCCCTGCCCCCCGCTGATCCGAAAATCCTCACCTCAGACAAACACCAACCAAGGCCAGCTCAACACCTGAAATGCGTGATTTTCTGGGAAAGAGTATTCATCGTCAGTAGTGGAACTGCCTTCTCTGATCCTCAATGGCACCTCTCACTGATGGAAGGTAGATGGCTTACAACGAATTCAAAGTTTATGCTTTCCGACATCTCCGCCCAGCGCCTGTAACACGCAACCATCCACGACCCGTGCACGACGTTCGGACTCTCAGGCAACCGAAAACAGTTTGTCACCCGAGAAGAAGCAACACTGCGCTAGGTCGAAAGCGACGAGGATGTGTGGACTTCTGAGAGACGCGATGCTGTCGTCTTGGCTGAACCTCTTGCTCGTCTTCGTCCCCGTCGGCGTTTGGTTATTCCTATCTCAAGTCAGCCCCATACTGATATTTGTGTTCAACGGGATCGCCATCATACCGTTGTCGTCACTCCTCACTGGGGCTACCGAGAAGATTGCCAGCGATGTCGGAGACACCGTCGGAGCTCTCCTAAATATCAGTTTGGGGAACCTTGTCGAGCTGATCTTGTTGTGAGTCTGACTTGATTGTCTTTGTCCGGGTACAACTAATGAAATTTGTTGTTGAAGCATGTAGGTCTCATCGTCTTTCTGATACGGTCACGATGTCGCCAACAATGGTATTAACATTGACACATACAGTGTTGCACTCAAACACAACCATATCCATATCGTTCAGGCGTCTATCCTTGGTTCCATGCTAGTCAACCTCCTGCTGATTCTCGGCACCGCTCTCTGCGTGAATGGGCTATGGCATGATGACCCTGTTCTCAACACCATTGAGACGCAGCTCTTGAGCTGTCTTTTGTTTGTTTCGGTATTCGTTTTCCTAATTCCGGTAACTCTCCTTCAAGCCAAAGCTTTGGACGCGTAGCTTACCAAAGACAGACGGCCTTCGACTATACTGCCAGTCAGGCTGGTGACGGCGACGACGCCGTTTTGACTATGGGTAGATTGTCTGCTCTGATGGTGTTCTTTATCTACATCATGTACTTGATGTATGAGATTAGAGCGCATTCCATCGCAGGGTCGTACCAAGCAGCCCCGACGAATTCGTTCGACCTCGAAAGTCTGCCTGAAACGCCGACGATTTCTCGAGAGCATACATGTACCGGCACCCATTTGGATGAAGAAGCCATTCTCTCTTCTCGTACCATTCGCTTCGCAGATGGCGGGAGGCGAGATCGAGATAGTGAAGTCAATGATGGTGATAATGGCCGACCAAAGCTGGGCGATGATCAGGTTTCTGTCTCCGAGTCTGAGGATGATGAGGAAGAGGACGAGTTTCGAGGCCGCAACGCTGGGAAGCAGCTCCAATTCGATCGCAGAGTCGGCTGTCAAGATCCCTCGACAAGGCCTCGCAGGCAGTCTATCGAAAATAACAATCGCGCTGTACGCAGAAGCCTCAGCCGAGATGTATCGGCCGCCAGCGCGGAACATCGGAGACTTGTAGGGTCCAGTCTACCAAGCCTGCACATCTTACGCAGACGTCGGAACAGCACAGACAGCGCCCACGCCCGGGAATCGCACCGCGAGAAGTCACTAGTAGAGAGGCTCGTACCTATATTCGTCCTGATTATCAGCTCCGGCTTGATGTCGATGTGCGCCGAGTTTCTCGTCAGCGCAATCGACGAAGTGACGCACGAGGGCCACCTATCCGAGTCCGTCATCGGTCTCATCATACTCCCGGTCATCGGCAACGTTGCCGAGTATGTCACAGTGGTTACGGTGGCTGCCAGGGGTAAGCTAGATCTGGCTATCGCGGTAGCAGTCGGTTCCTCGATACAAATCGCCCTCTGCGTCGCGCCGCTGACTGTCATTGCTGGATGGATTCTGTCCCGGGACCTGGCTCTCAACTTCAGCCTCTTCGAGATGGCCGCGCTTATGGGAACGGCTCTGTTGGTCAACTTGTTGATCCTGAGCGACGGAAATGGCGTTTTGCGGACGAGTGGGCTGAAAGGTGGTCTGATGTGTGTTTGCTACATGATCATTGGGTGAGTTCCCCATGCCGTGCCGCCGAGAACGAAAATTGTGCTGATAATTGGCAGGGTCGGTGCCTACTTGGCACCACAGATGGAAGTCTAGGTAGGTTAGGTTGTTGGGCGTGGAGGACGGATCATGTGGCAGCGCAAGGGACGTCGTCAGGCTGCGGCAGTGGGCGTATTCCTGGCGCAGCCCATCAACACTAATGTGATATGAATGCCAGCATGTCCAACACAGAATAGAGACAATTAAAGGAAAATAAGCCTCGATGGCGACTTAAGCTTGATTACCAAGGAACAAAAGTGCTTCCTGCTGTTGGATCCTTGCCGGTCTCATTGCCCACAGAAAGGTCTAGCAACCATGACAGCGAAGACCCGTCATTGGTCGCCTGATTTGAGTTGCAATTCTTCAAGGTATCTTGACATCGCCGCTGGGCCGCATACACGAAGGGTGTGTCTATTTACGAAAAGTCGTTTGCCGTCACAATTTCCAGGAGTGCCACACCTTGGCTCCTTTTCGTGCTGATTTGCCAGCCTGGTTGTGGCCCATGTTCTCTGCCGGCATCCGGACCGCCTTAATTTGAGGTACATGTGCTGGCTGTCAAGGGTATGTGAAAGTACTTAACGCTGAAGATTTACAGGCAGGTTGCAACGTGAGACACGCAGCCGGAGCTCTGGAATCGCCTTTGTCTTGATACCAGGCTGTGCCGGGTAGATGAGCCGAGTTGATTCCCTGTGCCGCTTCCTTCGATCTCTGTAACAACTCGGACGATTCCTTTAACCTCGGGAATGATGGAACGTCGAGAAGTAAGAACGGAAGATGCGACCCGTTTCGACTTTATCGGGTGGGAAATCTCAGGGACCTCCAGTAAGTTTGTCGACTCGACCACCACGTCCTGGGATACATCCGCCGGATGCTGGAGATAATTATTGACTGAACGTAGCATGGGCGAATTATTGCCAGCAAGAAACAGAGAAACCGACTATCCACGCCGGTTATGTGAATTGCTGCCCTTCCGACTGTTCTGTCGCGACGGGATGTGCCGGGTCCACGATATATTACGATGGAACTCAGGATAGAGCTGTCTGGTAAGTTGCTCGTCGACATCCTGGATCAAACGGAGGACCGGAAGATGTGAACTGCATGCTTACATACATGAAATCCATAGCGACGACGCTCTCTGCGTGACTCGGACAATCTACCATCATCAAGCGGCTACGGATACGCCTCTCTACCGTAGCATATACTGCGGTGAAACACTTCCGCCATTGTACAACGTGTTGTATATTCCCACTCAAAGCTCTAGTACAGGTATGGTCTCCTACGCTCGTTGTCTTCTTGCTTTGTTTCAGGGTCGTGAACTGATGAATTGGTTTACAGCGGCTACATCGTCGTCGGCGACAAGTTCGGCCTCCTCAAGTTCCAATACAACAACACCATCTGCATCGTCGACCCCGAACCCGGAACCGAAACAAGAAAGCAAGGCTTGGATCGCTGGTGTGGTAATAGGGCCGTTGGTGGGCATTGCACTCGGCGTAATGGCGTTTTTCTTCATGAGGAGAAGGCTCAAGCGGAAGTACAGCGGCGAACATGCAGCGGTGCCTACTTCTGAGCCACACGGAGACTGGGCGAAGACTCAAGAGACGTCATATAATGCCCAGCAACCTCCAGGAGAACTGGACGCCTACAACGTCCCCCGCAACGTTCACCAGCCACCGGGAGAATTGGACTCCAACCAGTGGTCACATCCTCCGACAGAGCTGGATGCGAACCCTCGTAGACAGTGAGTTTGGACAAGCTTGGTGCGAGACGAGGGGACTCGAATTGTACAGAAGGAAGGGATGAGAAACTACTCAGCTGCGAAGCAGAGGGTGTTTGTATTGATAGTACTTACATAAAGGATGACTGTGTGCGAAGCGCTCGTCACATGGTCGAAGGAATATTATGGTTCTAATGTCGATATCACTGCGTAGACTGGCCAGCATCTTGGTTTCGCTAACTCTCGTTGGGGTTCGTGTCACCTTCTGGAGATAGGAACATTGAGACACTTGGGATCACAGGCCTTCCAGAACTCCGGACATGACTTTCCTGCTGGAAGCTTTTGAGACTTCATTCGATAACGCCATGGGGAATGGGGCTTGGCTGGTCGCCTGTATGCGTGGGATAATCACCTTCCTAAAGTGTGAGTTGGCTACCTGTCCGGTGTCGAACCAACCTACATGGTCGGATAAGCAGCTGAGGCTCTATGATGTCATTGTAGTGGTAGCCTCTTGACACCGAGACCGACTCCATCAGACGTTGAGACCTCGCGATGTGGTGTAATATCAGACAATACCACGGAATATAACACGGCCTCGGCGGAGAAGATGGCGGGCGAAATAGTTTGTAATGCGGTACTATATGGTTAAAGGACGATAAAATCCATGAGTCTGGGCTCATCGAACCTGAAAAGAAGGTACGCCCCCTATTATGTGCTGACACGGCAAAGCGGCGTTGTCGTCTGCGGCACGGTTGAGAACCAACTGATAACATCGTTGCTAAGCCAATCGGAAATGCTCCCTAGCATTCTCTCGATCTTACAATGTTGGGCGTCCGAAGCGTCGCTGGAGTCGTCTCATCCTTGGCGATTCCCTCGTAGAGCGTTCCCGTCGTCGGTCGGCGAGCCCAGCCATTCGAGGGGCCCCGTGCCGAGAGAATTAGCATTTAAGTCCTCAAGGTCTCTCGTCTTGCTCAAAAGATTCCCGAGTCTCATCGCCTATCCAGTAAGTCTCGCAGCTCGTAGTCTCGTCGCTGGTGTACCCGCTCTTCTAACATCTTCCAAGGGAAATGCCTTGCATCGTCAACGCTGTCGCCATTGCGACCATGGTGGTCTCGGCTGCTGCGAATCAGCCAAACCCAGCCTGGCAGCTCCTCCCGAACACTGTGGTTGTCGAGGAATACTACATCTCCGAGCAAGGAAACGTTGTGCCGTTTGGCTGTTCTACTTGCGCCCATTGCACCACTGTTGGAGACGGATGTTTTCGTTGTTGTCTCGAGGAGGGATGTTGGGACGCTTGCAACGGAAGGGGTAAGTGCAGGTTTCCTGGGGAGATGTAATCGAAGGAAAATAATATTGGAGGAATGTCTTGGGTTTGAGCTGGCGAGAACCAAGGCATACCTCGCAAAAAGACGTCAAGAGCGACAAAGCTGGCGACAGGTTGAGCGCGGAAGCCACTTCAGGGAACTCGAGAGACAACACACAGGATCCTGTAAAACATTGTTGTATCGGCATGCCGCATCAAAAGGTGTCTTTGTGAGCTCGTCACTTGAAGTGAAGCAGCGCTTTGTTGAAGAGTCCCATTGACTACCTTTGAATCCCAAATTGTCATCCACAGCCTCCCCCTCCCAACAAAGCAGTATCCCATCACCAGTAGTTTTCATCCAGGACGACCGTGGCAAAGGTGCCGAGGAAGGGTCAGCGACGAAAACACGTCGAAGGTTGTGATATCGGGTCGGAGGCCGGCGGTGAGAAAGTGGCCTCCAAATCGAGAAGGATCCTGTATCTTCACCCAGTCAGCAAGGAAAACTTGCTGGTAAGCCACACTCGTCACCCTCTGTTGCGCTCAATCCAACGCCTCCATCTGTAATATGACACGGCACTCGCAAGGAAAACCTGGCAGACAGTCAAGCGTCGCAGGTGGGCCACTGGTGGTAAGTTCCGGGCTTGTCCTGCGCGCCGCTCTTTGCAAGTTTTGTTTGTATCGAGGACGATTCCGAAGAACGACCCTCAACTGCAGGATTCCGTGACTACCACACGGGAACGAGAGGGTAGTGTGAAGGTCCCGAGCTCACCAACCCCGGCACCACACCGGGGTGAGACGTGACACATAAACCGGCTGTGACTACCCGATAGATCGGGCGCTCCCTGAGACCAACAACGTCCGCTCAAAGGCCAAAGGCGGACACCGGTGGGAGGGGAGAGAGTGAGTGATTGCCCAGCCGGTCCAAATGGCTCTGACGATCGACTCGCGCCCCAACTCTTGCAGAACCGGCCTCTCGACGCCTCAAGGGATTGCTTTGAGTCCAGCGGCCAAGATGAGGAGATGGGAAGAACGCGACGGGACGAGGCTGGGACATAATGAAAAGATCGTGGTGCTTACCTTCGTGGTATTCCGTCGGATCTGGCAAGGAAGGAAGTTGCGATGATCGGGTGAAGCGAGGTAGGCAAATGAGCCAGGAACCCGGTCAAGAAAAAGATGCTAAGAAATATGTCAGTGGATTGTCGACGACGAGGATAAGTGGTGTTGAGACTTGCTTACCGACTCGAGGACCGATCATGGCGATGGCCGAGATCGCGACGTCAAGAGGTAAGGATGTGAAGAGCCGAGAAACGGTGAAGGTGAAGAAGTTGAGGAGGTGGAAGAGTCGGGGAGATAAATGAAAGATCTGTGATGAGGTGTGAAGGGGGGAAGGTGGTGGTGGGTGGGGCAGAGTAGAAGATGAGGTCGGGTGGAAAAGATGCTCCCACCTCAAAGGCAGGAGCGGGTAGAGGAGGCACGTTGCCTCAGGTAACCAAACGCCGCAGAAGAACAAAGTCCAAAAAGAAAACAGAATAATGTGGAAAAAATAGAGAGCACCAGAGAAGAAAGCAAAGAGAAAAGTTTTCAGCAGCAGAGGTGTAGGGATAAGAGGCTCAACACGGGAAAGAGATTGCTTGCTAGGCGAACCAGGAAGGAGCGAAAATCACCAGAAAGATGGATTCTTTCTGAGCTTTTGGATGTGTTTTTGGTCTCACATGAGACAGGGATGGGAGATAAAACATAAGCGGAAAGATTCGTGTGAAGGGATGATGTTGGAGGAGATGAGAAGGTTCGGGTTGGAGTCTGGCCGGAGAGATTAAGTCGATTAAGAGATCGCGCTTGAGGTTAGTAAAAGGTCCACGTGATCAGACTTTTAGCGTGTTAACGACGCGTCAAAGTCGCAAAAGTAAAGAAATAGGTGGGGAGTATTACCTAGCTCTAAGGGAGCTTTATAGCAGTTTATTAATATAAGTTTCTTAGTTCTTTAATATAATTCTAATACTTTAGCTTATATTACCTCTTAATATAATAAATAGATATAAA